TCTAGCTCGCACCTTTGGAGAGGTACAAGAGATTAGTATCATTTGTCGCCAAACACCCCCCCCCCCCAAAACGCATAGCGGTCGGCTGGCGAGAAAACAAAACCTCGAACCAGGAATCGGTGGGAACACAAACGTCGATATCCACACAATAACAGCTCTAAAAGCTTAGTCCAAGGCAGGAATAAATCCGGTACGTCTCCAGCAACTTAATCGCACCTTCGGAGGCGTGTTCTGGGAAATTAGCGTATTTCGTTCTCAAAATATTTTTCTCAACCTGGAGGGGCAGAACCACGGGTATTCTGGTCACGTGTCCCCGCCCCCCGAGACCCCACCCCGAGGCAAATAGAACATCTTTTAGCAACAAGATTAAAGACTTGAAAGCTTATCTCAAGGCGGGGATGGATCCGGTATGCATTCGGGAATCTAATGCTGCTCTTCCGGTCTTATTCTGACAGAATCGATGTTTTTGTTCCCAATAGTTTTTTCTGTGGCATCCTGAGTTCGAGGGGGTAGACGAGGATCTTGAGCTGTGGTAGTCACGTGCACTCTCTAACTCTCCACGCTCATGAAACCGGTGATCATACAACTGCAGCAACAAGTCTTGAGTAGCTTAGCTCAAGGCGGTGATGAGTCCGGTACGCAGTGAGGAATCTAATGGCGCTCCTCCGGTCTTGTTCTGACAAAATCGTTATTTTTCGGTCTCAAAGAGTTTTTCCATGGCTTTGGGGCCAGCTAGCCATGGTACCTGACATGTAAGCCTTAAAACAGCGGCGTGCCAGAAACCCCCGATAGTCAGAAAACCAGATATCCCCACAAACACAGACCTAAAAGCTTGATAAAGGGTGGGAATCGATCCGGTACGCCTCTAGCAACACAATACCACATCTACAGGGATGTTCTGGAGAAATCGATATTTTCGCTCCCCGATATTCTTTTCCGTGGCATCCTCGAGGTAGGGGACTGTCTGTGCCCAGGGGCCACGTGCATCCCCCATCAAGACGGACAATCTTATATCTCCCCACTGATATGTTTAGGAGCCTAGCTCAAGGCGGAAATACGTCCGGTAATCTAATGCCACCCGGGCCTAGTATTCTGAGAAACTATTATTTTTCGTTGCCAAATATTGTTTTCGCCGCATGCATTATGATCTGTCCTATCCTGGTCACCTTGCGGAGAAAGCCTAAAACTAGAGTACAGATCGACCGCCATGGCGATGATTTCTCTAGAGCGGAAAATTCTATATCCAAAGTTATCATCATAGACACACAAGCTCAGCAGATAATTGGTATTCGTCTCATCCTTTACCGGCAATCCAACTCTACATCTGCGGTGGTGTCTCGGGAATCGTAGTTTTCTGGTCCAAACTAGTTCTTTCTAGAGAATTAGCGGCCATGGGAAATTAAAAAGAACGAACAGGTGCATATAACACGCCTCCACCTCCAGTAATTACTACAATCTACCGATTCCGAGCTCAATAGGATCGAGAAGCCATCTTTTTGAAGACGACGTTCCCCGGAAATAATTCCCCTCACCCACATGATACTCTCGGCTGCGTACTGTCGGTACCATTTCCTCTGGCCGTCTTGATAAATATGAGTGAACACTAATATAGGGTTAGGGTTCCTTGGTCACGGAACAGAGGGGTAGAACCGGCGATGGTGGTGAGGGAGTTACTATGTATGGATGTCTTATGCGACTTATTGGCTTGGTTGTTTGTCTCGATTGACTTCATAGAACTTGCTCCGGCTGCTTTTTTATTTCTTTTTCGATATGTGTACTACGAAATTACCGATGTTTTCATTTAGATTTTGATATATGATATTTTATGTTTGACAGAACCACTTATTCCCTTTAACTCAATGTTTCTAAAATATCTGGATTTCAATTCAAAATCCCTATGATTCAGAGAATGTGAGTATCGTAATCGATACAATTGAAGGTAAACCCCTACTCACGCAATCCGCTCCAGGGAAATTAAAATCACATATGTATAGATCATCAATCATGCAGTTGCTCGAATAAAAAAGAAAGAAAAGACTATATACCCCAACCACACACCCCATCCCACTATGTACTCCTCCCCTTCTCCCACCCCACCGCTAATCTGACCTCGTACCCAGTCCAGTATTTTGTGGTTGCTGTGCAAAGACTTTCTGCGAGAGTTGGCGCAACCAAATATTTACCAAACCTTGACACGTGACTGCCAAGAAGTTTGTAGTGGGATCGAGCTCACCGCTAATCCTCCTCCGGCTTCCTCCCACACATAAAATGCTGTACAATGTACGAATGCACCTTCCCACTCCTGACCTCCTCCACACAGTCATCAATAATCTTCCTACACTCCTCCTCGCTCATTCCCAGCACCCTCGTAAATATCGCAATCCCAAGCGCCTCAAACCCGCTCTCACTGAGCAGCTGCGAGTACGCGCCGACCTTCTTCTGGAACGGGTCTTTGGCCCATGTGCCGATGGGCTGCTTTTCGAGCTTGGTGCGCAGGTCGATGAAGCCGGCGGTTGCCATGAGTGTCGGGAGGGCGGTGGGGGTGAAACGTTGGTCTAATATAATGGGGGTTAGTATTTATGCGGAGATTTTTTTTTTGGGGGGGGGGGTAGTACCGGTCTTTTCGGTGCCCTTTTTGACGAGCTTGTACCAGCGGTCCATTTCGCTGTTTTCGAGAGTCTTGTCGTCGCTGTAGAATTCCATAGGGAATTCGCAGAGATCGAGCCAGCCGCCAGGTTTCAGTGCCCTATCATGCTAATGTCAATGATTGCCTAGACATAAACCTTCGTATACGCTTCTGCCACTGTGGCTAGAGAGTGGGAAGTCCTTAGAGGATGTATATCAATTCCCGGGAACCAAACTTATCTTATTCTGTCATTGATATACCCCCCCCCCAATACTTCTCACCCGCTAGTGCAGTCCTCGGAGCCATGTTCCCCTTTCGCATGTAACCTCCGATACCGCCCCCTCTCCTTCATTCTGAAGAGCCGATATTCCGGGACCTCACATACCTATAGCATTGCTTTATTAAGCCATCCCAGTCCCTAATCGAACCACTCAAATGCCTGATATGCACAATATCAAATACCTCCTCCCCGAACGTCCACTCGCTCTCCGCATCATCCACCTGGAACGACACATTTGGTGGGACCCACGACGGCTGTATCGGGCTCAAATCCGTTCCAATCACCTCCGCGCTCGGCCACTTCTCCCCCGCATCGATCGCCCAGATGCCCGTCCCGGTGCCGAGATCTAAAATCTTCTGCGGGTTCTCCAGCACGGGGCAGAAGAGCAGCTGATTCGAGTCCGTGGACTGGTTGTGCCTAGCGTGGAACATGCACATGATGTGGTGGTAGATGTCGAGGCGGTCTTGCTCCTTCTCGTCGTTGGGCAGATTGTAGGTGCCGTCGCGGAAGGCGTGGTAGCGGCGGCCGTTCTCGTAGCGATAGGAGTAGATAGAGGAGGTGAGGGAGGCGGTGGAGTATTGTCTGCGCGGCGGGGGGTTAGCAAATCTGGATCAAGGGACTGGTTATCTGTTTTGGGGTGAGGCGTACGAGGCGGTATCTTCGGTGTCGGTCGCGGAGTAATCAGGACGTTTGTATTCCTGCAAAAGGTATGTTAATTGAGTTCATGGCGTGAGGAAAGTTTCCACAGGATATCCTCAGTAACATTGAGTTTATGATGTCAGAAACGTTTCCATAGGAAATTATTGTTCAAAGCGAGCAGTCTAACAACACTCCCGACAGAATGGGGGCAAGGAAGTGTACTTTATCAACTTCAATATGAGCATCGGCGCTGGGCTTCCTGTCGGCCATTGTGGGCGTTCTTCTTTTGGTTGATGAGAATGCGATGGTGGTGCAGAAATCGATGTGACGGTAAAAGGAGAGAGAGAGGCAGTTGGCGGGGATGGGGGGGCAGAAGTATATTCGCCGGAGCACAGCTGGAGACAAGACACCACCACCCCAGCCAAATCCCTTCCCTCGCTCCCTCGCTCCCTCGCTCCACTCCGCAACCGGGCCCACCTCAGGGATGTCCTCGGCTTTCCTGGTTCCCACTAGACAGCTTTCCAGGCTGGGCACATATGCATCCTTTATCCCAGATCCCGGCAAAGTCTAATTGCATGTGTAAAAGCTTCCCAAAGAACTGGTGAACTCCACCCGACCCAGACTCCCATCGGATCGCCATGTGGTAGAGCAGCACGGGCCCCATTAGAGGTGATGCAGGGCGTCCAGATAGGCAGTCGCTTTGAGAGGGGGCAACGCCGACAAGCGGGGGATAGTCTCGATATTGACCTCCTCCTCTGCATCTTCGAGAGCGTCACCGAGGGGGCGTATGTATCGAGTGTTGGAAACGGATGAAAAACCTGCCCATTAGAAGTCTGATTACAAAACCAGATAAAAATTCACTTCCTGTAGAGCTACTTCTCATCCCCGACACCAGCGATAATAAACGCCACCGTCACCACGCATGCCACACTCTCAAACCCGGGCAACGTCGCTCCGCGAACCCCTGTGTTTCTGCAATAAAGGCGCCACCATTATTCTTCAGCTGACGCGCTTCTGTCGACCCCTGTCTTCCTATGGCCGCGAGCGGTAGCGACCTAAGACACACGCGCAAAACACGGTTTAGCCGGCGGAAGATTGAACACGCAAACGCTCACCGACAGGACGTCTAGCGGATGCCATATGCTGTATGCCGTCACAATCGATCCGATACGCTGAATTCTGGCGGAAACAATGCTTTCCGGCTTGGCAAATTTCTTGTCAATGATTGATTTCGATATTTTTTTACTTGAAGATTCCACGATTGGTTCATCCGGTCTTCGTCTGTCCTGTTTTCACGCCCCGACGCGATATTGCTCGAATATTTCCGGTAGCGAGCATATCTCCCACAATTACAACGATATCGATACGGCGCTCGCTCTCTTGACATTGCCATATTTACCTCAAACGTAAAACCCACAAAAATCCCTCGCCAACATATCGTCAACGAAACCCTCCATGCCACACAGCTCAAGTGCTATATCCCAATCCTTTACCGCGCTCGACTCGATCACCACCCTCTCCACTCCCGCGCTCCACCGCGCCATCCCCCAACCGCCAAAATCCCCCGCCTCCGGCTTCCTGACCCCAGCAAACACTTACTTTGGCGCTTTTAAATGACCAATGCCATCCTTGTAGCAAGACATCGTGGCCGAGTGGTTAAGGCGACAGATTAGAAATCTGTTTCGTTCGCGAGCGTAGGTTCAAATCCTGCCGATGTCGTTTGTTCTTATCATTCTTCAATTCCATGTTTGATATCCTTTTTTGTTCAAGGTGTAGGTTGGTGGTGGTGGTTGTTACTTTTGTTTTTTGTTGTGGTTGAACTTATACCACACTACCGATGTCAAATTCTTCCACTACCTCGAACAAAAACATTGATCAATTTCCCAAGCTACAGTCGCAACTCGATGTGCGGGATACCAAAAATCCGGGATACCAAATCGATTTTGCAGTAGAAAAAATACAGTCGCGCCTCGAGGTACGGAACCCCGGGTTAAGGAATATTTACGGTAATGGAATGAATTTGAGGATTGTTTTTCGCCTCACCAAAAAAACCTCCGTATAGGGATTAGTGTAGTGGATGAAATCTCCAAATAAAACACCCCTGTCACACCTCTGTTCCCATACAAACTGAATCTGCTGTAAGGAATTATCACTCATAAATTTTTACCTGATCTCCCCAAATTTTCTTGAAATTCCTCAATCGCAGGTGATTAACCACTTCCATCAGTCTCTGCATATCTCACACTCCACCATTCCATTTATGGAGTCACTAGCAACCTATCGACGGCAACCCCCGAGCCGCTAACGCTAAGAAAAGAAAACAAAGCGTTAGTCACAGCAACAACCACCCGCGCAACGTGAAAAATGAAACAGAAAAAGAGCAAAAAAGAACAAGGCCCTAATCCGGGATTGAACCGGAGACCTCCTGCATTTAAGAGAACCCAAAGCAGGAATCATACCACTAGACCATCAGGGCTTGTGGTCGGTTACTGTCTCGGGGGCTTATGGATTTTGCTGTGTAGTGAGATGACTGTGGAGGCGCGGGTTGGGGGCGGGAGCGTTTGAGGCGCAGAGGGCTCGGGTTTGGAAAGAGGTGCGGCGATCGGCGAGACGGGGCCCCGCTGTGGTCAGACGCGCAGGTTTCGTTGCTGGGAGTTCGGCCGACCGATGGATGTTCGCTTCGGCTCCGCGTTCGGCCCGAAGCAACGGCTGGACATGCGCATACTGAAGGGATGGGCCTCGGAAATTGACAATACTGAAACTCTCGCGATATCCCTCGGAGAATTCACGCTGATAACCTCCGAATCGGCATTCACTCGGTTATTTTCTTGTCTAGGAGACAGTTATTTTAGTTTACCTCGTCACGGAAAGTCAAGGGTTTTTGAAGAGGCTGATTGCGATGGTGGTGGTAACTTGGAAAAGTAAGGGCGCGTTTGGGGGAAGTGTGGTTTAGAAACCACGTTAAGCAAAAGTCTTGTTAGCACATTGCTAACTGAGAAATATTAAAACGGAGTTTTGGTCTGCCAAACACGAGCTCAGTTAGGTGATTTTGTTACAGTTTTTGGTGGGGGATGTGCGTTGCAACGAGAAAAAATAGGTGCTGTAAATCCCCCACCACAGACTCCGAACAGAAAATGCTGCCTCGGATATCGAAAAGACTTTCATGTTGTCAGAATGAAACTTCCGGTTCTCCACAAGCGATTGATAAAAGAATAAAGAAAGTGAGAAGTTCCGTAAGGTAAAAAAACGCTGATATCATACCCAGGACAGCTGTACGTCAATCTTTGGTAGTATAGTGGTTAGTATACTCGCTTGTCATTGACAAACCGCGAGTGACCGGGGTTCAATTCCCCGCCAGAGAGTTGCCCATAACCCACATATCGGCTGCGATGGATCGCATTGATGATGGGTAAAGCTTTTTTGTTTCCGACTGCTAGGGCTGCTGTTTTAGTTTTGAAGGATTAATTGGTAGGGTCAAGATTTTGTGATAAGTTCCCTGTTCGCCAAATACGAATTTCACGAAGGGTTGGCTTTCTGGCTCCGGAAAGCCTCTTGATCCGGCTCATATCATGTTGAATGAATTATCAGCCCCAGACCGGAGGAGACCAACGTGAACCAAAATGCGGTTTTAAAAAGACTTGAAAAATCTCATCCGAAGTTGAGAAAGAACCTTTAGGCGGAAGGAAACGTTAGGGAACTTTTCCGTGTATTAAACTTTAATAAGCTTTTTTATAGCTTCTAGTTTATAAGGGTTTGAAGAGCGATAATGTCCTTATAAGATCCCGTCGCGGGTACGACTACAGCGAAAGTCATTTTTTTCCCTTCTTTTTCTCAACGACAGGACCGGATCGTATCAGTTTTGAAATACAAGATGTGCATAGAGCACAAAGTCTTTGGAAAATCTGTTACCACGTTGCAGGTTGTTGTATTCTTTAGAATCTAGTCCAGAACTTACTGTCACGAGCACTGTGGTTGGGAAAAGATTTCATTCTGGCACTTTTTTTTTGTGGGAACAGGGCGCTCCTGACGCTGACAGAATGCTGGACAAGGCATAAAATCTTTGACAAATAAAGGTTTTGGGGCGGGCTCCGCTGTGAGTTTTCTTTCTTTTTGTTTCAAACGGAATTAGAGTGAATGCTTGTAACGGATCGATTGCTTACCTGGTGTGTACAGAGGACGTACGAGAAGGTGGAAAACGACTGGTCATATGTACACCCATGGATATCAAATACTAATAGCGTTTCCCCAATCCTGACTGCTGACAAAGAAACTATGGGACACGAGAAATATCCACTGACACTGACAAAAGACCCGAAAGTCTAAGGAAATCTGAGGTCGGTGACAGTACGTGAACGATGTATTGATGAGGGATGATAGTCTAAGATTGACAGAGACGGAAACTAATCTAAGTGTTTCTTCCACCTCCGTTGATCACCTATCCGTCTCGCTTATCTACTCGCAATTTCACAGCGTTTCCGGACGCAACTGCTATTGCATACACAGAAAAAACCCGCCAAGGCTATCTTTTGTATGGCATGCAATAGTGGTCGCGTCCGGAAACGTCAAAAAACTACGAGTATCACCTATGTGTGGCTTGACTAGCGCCACGCGCCACAACTTCGGTCGCAACATGCAGCTCGGCTAGGGCCGGGGTACTTGGGTCAAATTGCTTCTCAAAAAAGGCGTAAGAATCACATTTACCCGATCCGTTGTGGTGTAATGGTTAGCATCAGTCGCTCTCACCGACTAGATCGGGGTTCAATTCCCCGCAACGGAATCACTCTGTCGCCAAGTCGTTGCCGGACTCTGCTCTGAGCCTTGACTGACGTTGCAGATTGTTTTTGTATTTTTCGTGGTTTCCCGGTGCTTGTATCTGGTTCGGCCCTTGGGATTCGGGCTTTGCCCGCGGGAGAAATCGATTTGTTATTTCGTTGATTTCATACTCCGACGGTGCGTGGTAATTGTAAGGTGTTACTGTAGCTATCGCCCTCGAAAACAACGATTATCATCACGGATTATAATTACTAGTGAGGGGTACATGATCTGAGAATTATTCGGTAAATCAAGAAACCGATGAATTTAAGTATGCTGGGAGGGGAGTTTCCAGCGGCTATGAAACAATGAGCTTGTTATCACGGTGGAAAAGGTGGAGTGTCTATAAATATAGAAATGTGGTGGAGATATCATTTCCAGTAGTTACTAGGCCTAGGGAGTGCACGCGGGTATGTTCGTATTGGCTGGATGCCGTTGGGATATGTATAAAATGGGGGAGGGGTGGGGGTTGATACATGGGGTCATCTGGGGACAAGGAGCGACATCGAGAATTATTACCGTTTGCTTGGTAGTGGAGTGACCGGACGCGGGAGGGTGGCTGTTCGGAAATTAAGCGTGCTGTAATGCTGATTGGCTTGTGTAGTTTCTTTTGCACAAGGCACTCGAATGCCAGTAATCAACCATACTTTTGGTCCTTTCCTGGGCGGGAGAGTAGGGTAGTGGCCATGCGGAGGACAATCATCGGAAACATGCTTGTAGTGGCAGGATATCTCTTCTCGCAATTTTAGTGGCATTGTAAGCTGGTTGTTTATCATGACTAGCATTAGCAATATATACACCCGTACACCTTAAATACCTAGGGAGTAGTCATCCAGCTTCACGCGGAACTTAAGATAAACCTCCTCTTTCCCGGAGGGATAAACTTCTTCCGGTGGTCTGTATTGATATCCGGATCCATGAATCCATAGTAAACTCAAGTAAGACGGAGGAAGATAAGGTATTGTAGTATTAGTGCCTTGATGCCCTCAACCTCCTCCTCTTGTTCGCATATATGTCAGGCTTACCTGAGTTAAGGGGGGTATGTCTCTGGTCGTATGTTTTAGCCCTTCGAAGAAAATGGAGACATAGACATCGTCCGTAAGAATCAAAGGAAAAAAGAAGACTGAAAATAGCCTCTAGCTTGGAACAACTAGTGTTCCACGTATTACCTCAGTCTATCGCCAGGCAAGTCGGCGGCAATGATAGCGTGAACCAGATTTCTCTCCAATCTACACCGATCTCCAGGACGGAAACCGATAAACAGACGCGACGCCGGGGATGAAAAGATTCTTCATCGCCGGGCTATGGGAAGAGTGGAATCTGCGAGTTTGATACCGAAGCGAGATGGCCCCGGGATTGGGGGGGGGATCGCGTTGTAGTTCGTCTGGTTCGGGGGTTAGACACAACGTTAGACATAGTCTATAGCTACGATGTCTTTCTGACCGCAAAGGACGATAGAAACACCCGGAGTTCACCGTGGTGTGTTTTGTCTCGGCCAGGACTGAGTTGTGCGAGACTCGCTATTTTGATATTCCCGAGAGACTGCGCTCTAGAAGGAATCGAAGCTTCGGTAGAAAACCTACCAGATCATTGGGCGAGGGCGTTTTAGTTTATGGGGCGAATACCGCGGTCGGAGTCCCTTTATTTAGGGATGGGGTGCACTCTACTACTGCAGGAAATACATATTCCCAGCTCTTACTGCCGCGTAGAGGTGTGTGCAGAGCTGGCCTCGGCGTTTCGAGATAAGCATCGCTCCCTCAAGTCTGGCGCAGGTATAAATTATCCGAGAAATATCCCAGGTGCCAGTCGAAAGAGTTGCACTTGTGTAGTTCTGGGACGCCGGGCGGATATCAGATGATCAGATCTCTTTAAATTTCCGCCGTGAAGCTACCGCTGGATAAGTTTCGTTTCATTACCGAGTATGTATGGAGCTGCTGGTACTCCATGATGACACTCAGTGCCGTACAACACCGGTATCAATCTCCATATCTCCTTCTCTCAGCTCCAGCTCTTGAGCCTGGAGCCAGAAGACGATCAGTAGTCTCCCCTCATCTCGCGATAACGGAGGAGGCCTTTTCGGGATTTAGCCCTCGGGATAGGGCTCACCCAAGATCTTGGGCAGTGATCTAGGTTCCGCGGGAGTTTGTGATGAGGTCGCCCTGCGGGCTTGGAGGTGGTAACTGGAGCGCTGGAAAATGGTGTGGGGAGCTTCGATAGGTACCGCAGCAGAGACCTGAGGGCTGCAGGAGGTCCTTTGTACGGTGTTAGAAGCTTCGGAGAAGGGTGCAGGAGACAGAGCTATGGTTGGCGCATCTGGCCATTTTTGGGGGGGGGGGGGAGTAGACTTGTAATGGTTGTCGGCGTGGTATGGACAGGTGGTCGCGGAGGTGGGGTAGGTTGGTGAGAGAAACGGTGCTGGTGGGGAGGAGGGGGAAGCTAGTATGGGGAGAGAGAAAACTGTGACTCTGGTCGAAAGGAGACCGAGCCGGGACCATTGTATATATTGGCGTTGAAAGAGGGAGGCGGGGGGTGAGGCGGGTATCGGCCAGTGTGGTCTTTTCGTTGGGTGGATCTGTGGAATTAGTGGTTGTGTCGATATTTGAAGTTGAATTGGTTCAAAATAAGGAAAAAGAATTTAAAGAACTCCAAGAACAAGTAAAATTCGAAGGACCCAAAAGATTCGAAAAGTCGAAAATTATAGAAACTGTCGACTCAACCCTAACCCTGGTTTCCTATAGAATCATGTACCCAACCGAACAATGTTTCAAAACCTCCAGATAAGAAAAACCCAATTAAGGAGAAATTAAGATCTATGGTAGACTTAGCGTAAGTTTGTGCTCCGCAGGAAGTTGGTTTTTAGGAGCTTAATGGGCGGATGCCGAAATTACTCTGATGACGAGATGAACGGGACAGGTTTCTTCATGTCGCTCCTTCCTCAATTATGAGGAAAGAAATTATGTGTTCTCTCATGATGAATGATCGCTCCTAAAATCGTGTTGTGGCCTCACAATTGTCTGCCTAAACACAAGCACTCACTCGCCGAGTGCGATAATATGACGTTGCTAACCGGCATGTAAGACCTACCTCAACCTCACAAACCTTGCAGGCAACGACAAACGACAAACCACAACCACCAACACAAAAAACTCCACCCCCCCGCCGTCTACACTCCACCCCTCTCATCGCCGGTATCACCGCATGCCTAAACGCTCTGTTGAAAGCACAGACTACTGTCAGTTGCCTGCCCACTCGCCACACGCCGCCGTTGGAAGGCACATGTCGCTAAAACCAAACGAGCCGCCGGAGGCGCGGGAGATGGAAAGGGTGATGACATGGAGGCTTGGGTAGAGGACATGAACGCCGCAGAATTTATGGGATGAATGGGACTGCTGTAGCTATACTGTATCTTCATCAAGATGATAGCAGTGGGGCGTACACCGATGCATCTACCATTAACCCCCAACCACCACCGTGGAATGATCAATACCACCACGGGTACAAGCGACGATAGTGAAGGGGACATCGAAGATGGATCTATCACTGGGTAGGAAAGTGGACCCTGGTGCGGGACAGCATGGAGCTGTGCACGGCAGTTTTGGATTGGTGGGTACAAATCTTCAAAATGAATGTGGGTGTGAGACCGGAATGAGGCTAACGAAGCGGCGATCAGGTGGCAGGAGAGAAATAAGGGTGAAATGAGATAGGAAGGGAGGAGGGATATCAGGGAGATGGAGAACGTTGAATTTATGTTCCGGGTTGTACTCGGAGAAGGCTAAGACTTGTCATCGCCGGGTGTCACAACCCCGATTTACAATGCGTAAACTCACCATTAGCTTACGAACGCTAGCATCACCGACTGCTCCAGTACCGGAAAAAAAAAATCGCGCGAACTTCTCATTATAGTAGCTGCACATGCTGCAATGCTCTACGACTTCGCGCGCTTCCCGCCCCTGGTAGAGGGTGGAATAGGTAATGCCGCAGGCGGAAAAAAATCCCACAGCAGAGATTGGCTGGAAAAAAAAGATGGTAGTCTGTTCATGGGGGGGGGGGGAGCTTGGATGGACGGAAAGTGGACGCGGAATTTTCGTTCTACCAGATTCATGGTGAGTTGAGCAGAAAGGGGGGGGGGGGAAAAGAGCAAAGGTTCGGAAGCTAATCGGAAGGGAATTAGGTGCCGATGAGATGAAATTATTGTTGGACTGAATACAATACCGCACCATAGACAGAAAACTGAAGGATGTAATTTTTTCTTCTTTTTTTTCTTTGCGGGGGGGGGGGGGGGGGGCGGACATGGGTACTGAGTTCTCTCGTTTGAGGATAATGGTGGACCTTGAGCGTAAAGAAAGGATGAAGCATTACGCGGCAGGGAATAATCGAGGACTACGCGGGCTTGAAGGGAAAAGATGGAAGAATCAGTTCCACGGGATATAACTGCTAGATGGCATGGACATTACCACCAGACTCGTCATCATTGACGCCAACATCGACTCCCGTACACATAGCTGCAATAGAAACCTCCCTCCTGGAAAAAAGTCATTAATACGACCAGCATGGAGAACTCTTTCGCCGAGAGGAAAAATACGTTGTTCTCAAAGGAAGAAGCTTTGTGTTTGCAGCACTCCCGAGCAGTGAAATAGCTGCTAGGATCTAAATACTGGCACTGGTTGTGGGGTGAAATCGAAGCTCAAGAAAAATGAGGGTACGAGATAGGTTTTTGTGGGCGGAGAACTCGGATCCTTAAAATGATTATTGGGTGATGGGGGTATAGGCGGAGAGGGGGGGGTTGAGGCAGGGATGTTTAATGGTGGTAATGGTTATGGTTTCTTCTTCGAATATGGGAAGCCAGCGATGAGGATGCGAGCAATCATGGGGAACTCAAGACTACTGGATGGAAAATGCTGTCACCGCGGTTGAGAGATGGAAAATTACTGGCGGATCATCTAGAATAGTTCATGAACGTCGGCCTATCATACAATGCCCACCACACAAAAAAGCAAAGATATCTGAGGAGTACAAAAGGGAAGTATTAGTTGTGTGGGAGGGATTATTTGTACTAGGAGATTTAATTCAATTATGCGAATCATCTTTGTCTTGGGCAGGGCCATTTCTAGTTCTTTTGCGTGCTGGCGGGTATTTCCACCCAGAGGCTGTATCAATTCTGGCCTGCAACACCTCCGGCTTACGAAACGTGAGAGTTGTATTGCCCACACTCTTGGTTTCTCTCGCCCACATGGATCCAGGCCGGCGCCATAATGGTGTGAGCCCAAGGTTGGTTTTTTTTAGCAAGCAAAAAAAACATATCGATTTTGCCCTATACATAAAACCAGGGTTAGGGTTCTTCTAGGTTCCGTAGGAGTACGAGTGGACACCTGGACATATCTCTGCGACCAGCTCTAGAGTTGGGGCGTCATTCTCGAGGGACGGTATTGTTTTCATTGGTGATCACCGAGAACCAAAATCCTTGATAAAATCAGGCGGACCATCCGAGTGAGCAAGGCGCAAAGTAGTGAGGTGTGAGGGTAACAACGGACGAGAAACTCGAATGGAGAGCAAGAAACGCCGAAAGTATTAATTTGGAAATTCTGTTCAGGCTAATTTGCTGCATGATTCGTTATCAGCTAGGCACCATGCTGTGTCCAAGCATCCACTGTACTCAAGTTTCAGGTGTCCAAACTCGATTATATGGGGAACGCTGATTATGTAATAAGCGTAGAGAGCCTCGAGAGAGATGTGTATTAATAGACGGTGGCAACAATGAGCGGGGATACTAACATAACATACAGGGCAATCGTTACTCCAGCCGTGACTTTGGCAGCGGTGCTGCTAACCAAAACTCGTACCACTATAGCAACAGTGAGTTCCTCTCTACATCTATCTATGGCCGACCTTGATTGTTTTGTACTGACTGTACTCGTTATGTATAGAGGACAGTTCTTATTATTATAGTAATTCAAATGTATAGTTTGGTGTCTATGCTATTTCTTATATGTTATTTCAGGTTTAGCTTACATACTCTACTTTAGGGCTCCGAGTATTATAACGATGGGGAGGGCAACGCTGTTTATGTTCCCCCAAGCTCTGGGTCCAGCGGTACGGCAAAGAAGTAAGGTGTACTTTGGGAGTGGGACGGAAGATACAAGACCCGATCTATCATAGCATGACAGATCCCCCCTTGTAGTTTAAATAAATATCAACTGCGCCTACCATTTCGTGAAATTTAGATCAAGCTTTGAGATAGCGATGTGAATCTAGAAAGGGTTTTGCTCGGAATGTGTTTGGGGAAATGCCAATGCTAAGCGATAGTTCTGTAGCTTTTAAACTTGTAATATTGTAAACCGGATTCCGCTCGCTGAGTGACTGATGATGCCACTAAGACGAGGCGGAATCCTACCCTATTTATACATATTGGAACCTATGCCAAGGCCCGCTTTCTAATACTAAAGAGATAACGATAATAGAATAAGACAATCAACCCGAAGATAACCCCAGTAGAAAAGCGCCCCCGCATAGTTCCGTTCCTCCATTCTAATTCTGACACGTAACCATAAACCCCGCAATTGCCAGTAACCGAGCTGTATCATGCTATTGTCCTAGAGCTACTTCCCTAAGTAGAATGGCCTGCAGCCATAAGCCCCGCTTCTATTCCGTTCCGGGTGAGACACCCAATAGTAAGCGTGCCCTCACAACAGCCTAATACTAGTGTGGTTGCACCCGGTGCCCCCACACCCCTCGATACCTTTCTATGCTGGTTCCTTCGTTACCCGACCGTACTCGCCTCACCACTCATCACTCGTATTATCCTTATTCCTTGACTTAGGAGCAGTGTTCGTGTTTCCTATAACACTACTCCCCCTTCCTAGACGTCGCCCTCGACCGTTAAAACCTCTCTATGATAAAAACCCTTTGGGAAAAGTCATAGAGTAGGAAAGGTATCGAGCTAGTCTTCCCTAGTCCGCTGTCGTTTCGGGGGCCGACTCGAGTCGATGACTGGCCCTTGGCTCCGTGTATGGGGCCGAATATTCGTGGTTGGTTTGAAGTTCTCATCTAAGAGCGCTTCTTGAGGATCGGGTGTTGCGAGTCGTTTTCGTGTATTCTGTTGCCTGCCAGGGTTGGGATCCTCTCGATAAGGTCGCAACAACATCTCGTGGAATACGTCATGAACCTTCCATTCTGCCGGAAGATTCAACCTATAAGCCCTATTTCCTACAGCCGCGGCGACCTCGAAGGGGCCTGTAAACTTGTCCGACCATTTATTGTAACCCCCGAGGTTCCGAGTATCCAGCAAAACCTTTTGACCGATTGTGAACCGCTGAACTGCTGGCCCTGGCCTTGACGCCATCCTGTCAAAGGTCTTCTGTAGCGTGTCTCTCGCCGACTCATGGGCTAGGAGAAGGTCTTCCAGGTAGGTGCTTCCCTTGGCATCCAGCTGTCCGATTTCTACATCCGTTGGCCAATCTGTTCGTGGGTGGAAACCATAGTTACAGTAGAACGGCGATTGTCCTGTCGACGAGTGTTTCGCATTATTATATGCATACTCGCAAATCGGTAGTAGGTCCTTCCATCTCTTTCCTGTTCCGGCGGTATAGGCCCGGATGTAGGATTCGAGGTGCTGGTTGGTCTTTTCTGTTTGTCCATCCGTCTGTGGGTGGAACGAGGTCGAGAGTCTTCTACGAATCCCTAGTCGTTTTGTAATCGCAGCCCAGAATGCCGATACGAACTGTGTTCCCCTATCAGAGACAATGCTCCTAGGAAGTCCGTGAAAGCGCCAAATGTCCTTGACAAAGGCGTTAGCGGTCTGTTCCGCGTTGATTCCCGTCATTGGAATGAAGTGAGCCATTTTCGTAAAACGGTCCACGACTACCAATACGTTACGGAATCCTGATTTCTCCTTTGGCATTTCTACTACGAAATCCATTGAGATATCAGTCCAAGGTGTGGTGGCTAACTCTAGGGGTTGAGGGAGTGACAAGTGTCTCCGACGTTGCTTGGCTCTCTGGCACACGTCGCAAGTCTTAACGAAGTTGGCTACATCCGTGGACATCCCTGGCCACCAGTAGTTCCTATCGATCAACTCAAGGGTTTTATCCCTTCCTAGATGCCCCGCTACGGGTCTGTCGTGATGATCCTCAATGACTTGTCTGACCGTGTATCCTGGCACTACCCAACGACCATCGTGGGTGGCCTCATTCGATCCCGGGGTCCATTCAGTGGCAAGCTCCGTTATTACGGCATCAGCTTCCTCTGTCCCGAAGACTTCAAGGTTTGCGTCAGGGAGAGGTTCATCCCGGAACACTCTCCGAACCCATTGTCTGTCCTGTTCATACCAGTCTTGTAGTGGCTGTGTTTGGGGAAATGCCAATGCTAAGCGATAGTTCTGTAGCTTTTAAACTTGTAATATTGTAAACCGGATTCCGCTCGCTGAGTGACTGATGATGCCACTAAGACGAGGCAGAACCCTCCCTATTTATACATGTTGGAACCTATGCCAAGGCCCGCTTTCTAATACTAAAGAGATAACGATAATAGAATAAGATAATCAACCCGAAGATAACCCCAGTAGAAAAGCGCCCCCGCGTAGTTCCGTTCCTCCATTCTAATTCCGACACGTAACCATAAACCCCGCAATTGCCAGTAACCGAGCTGTATCATGCTATTGTCCTAGAGCTACTTCCCTAAGTAGAATGGCCTGCAGCCATAAGCCCCGCTTCTATTCCGTTCCGGGTGAGACACCCAATAGTAAGCGTGCCCTCACAACAGCCTAATACTAGTGTGGTTGCACCCGGTGCCCCCACACCCCTCGGTACCTTTCTATGCTTGTTCCTTCGTTACCCGACCGTACTCGCATCACAACCCATCACTCATATTATCCCTGTTCCTTGACTTAGGAGCAGTGTTCGTGTTTCCTATAACACTACTCCCCCTTCCTAGACGTCGCCCTCGACCGTTAAAACCTCTCTATGATAAAAACCCTTTGGGAAAAGTCATAGAGTAGGAAAGGTATCGAGCTAGTCTTCCCTAGTCCGCTGTCGTTTCAGAGGTCGTCTCGAGTCGGTGACGGGCCCTTGGCTCCGCGTATGGGGCCGAGTGTTGGTGACCGGTTTGAAGTTCTCATCTAAGAGTGCCTCTTGAGGGTCGGGTGTTGCGAGTCGTTTTCGTGTGTTTTGTTGCCTGCCCGGGTTGGGGTCCTCTCGATAAGGTCTTAGCAACATCTCGTGGAATACGTCATGAACCTTCCATTCTGCCGGAAGATTCAATCTATAAGCCCTGTTTCCTACAGCCGCGGCAACCTCGAAGGGGCCTGTAAACTTGTCCGACCATTTATTGTACCCGCCGAGGTTCCGAGTATCCAGCAAAACCTTTTGTCCGATTGTGAATCGCTGAACTGCTGGCCCTGGCCTTGACGCCATCCTGTCAAAGGTCTTCTGCAGCGTGTCTCTGGCTGACTCATGGGCTAGGAGAAGGTCTTCCAGGTAGGTGCTTCCCTTGGCATCCAGCTGTCCGATTTTCGCATCCGTTGGCCAATCTGTTCGCGGGTGGAAACCATAGTTACAGTAGAACGGCGATTGTCCTGTCGACGAGTGTTTCGCATTATTGTATGCATACTCGCAAATCGGTAGTAGGTCCTTCCATTTCTTTCCTGTTCCGGCGGTATAGGCCCGGAGGTAGGATTCGAGGTGCTGGTTGGTCTTTTCTGTTTGTCCATCCGTCTGTGGGTGGAACGAGGTCGAGAGTCTTCTACGAATCCCTAGTCGTTCTGTGACCGCAGCCCAGAATGCCGATACGAATTGTGTTCCCCTATCAGAGACAATGCTCCTAGGAAGTCCGTGAAAGCGCCAAATGTCCTTGACAAAGGCGTTAGCGGTCTGTTCCGCATTGATTCCCGTCATTGGAATGAAGTGAGCCATTTTCGTAAAACGGTCCACTACTACCAATACGTTACGGAATCCTGATTTTTCCTTTGGCATTTCTACTACGAAATCCATTGAGATATCAGTCCAAGGTGTGGTGGCTAACTCTAGGGGTTGAGGGAGTGACAAGTGTCTCCGGCGTTGCTTGGCTCTCTGGCATACATCGCAAGTCTTGACGAAGTTGGCTACATCCGTGGACATTCCTGGCCACCAGTAGTTCCTATCGATCAACTCGAGGGTTTTATCCCTTCCTAGATGCCCCGCTACGGGTCTGTCATGATGATCCTCGATGACTTGTCTAACCGCGTATCCTGGCACTACCCAACGACCATCGTGGGTGGCCTCATTCGATCCCGGGGTCCATTCAGTGGCAAGCTCCGTTATTACGGCATCAGCTTCCTCTGTCCCGAAGACTTCAAGGTTTGCGTCAGGGAGAGGTTCATCCCGGAACACTCTCCGAACCCATTGTCTGTCCTGTTCATACCAGTCTTGTAGTGGCTGAGGCAGCTCAGTACCTGGTATGTCGTACCACTGATCCAACGGAGTCCATCCTTCTTCGGGGTTGCCAATGATTTCAGGGCCAGTTCCTACACTGGTCCGTGATTTTCTGACAAATTGTTCTGCGCTGAGCAACTGTTTTACGGGTTGTTCACGCATTACTCCCCCTTCCATAGCGAACTCTGGGCGCCTTGTAAGTGCATCTGGCTTGCCATTCTTTTCGCCTGGTCGGTAATGAATCCTGAAGCGAAAAGGTGCTATCTTTTCGGCCCATCTGGCTTGTCTTCTCGACAACTTCTTGGTCGTTGTGAAGTACTGTAGGTTCTGATGATCCGAATGTATCTGGATAGGGATGTCTGTTCCTTCCAGCCAATGTCTCCAAGTCAAGAGAGCAGAAACTATAGCGAGCATCTCCTTGTCATAGATCTCGTAGTTTACCTCTGCCTCGTTGAACTTGCGAGAGTGGTAAGCTACCGGGTGTAGAATACCGTCCTCGAACACCTGAGAGAGTACTGCGGCCTCCGCCCAGTCGCTCGCATCAGTTTCTATGATCGCTTCGCGGTGCTCGTCATAGTGTCGTAGTATTGGAGCAGACGTAAATCTCTCCTTGAGTTCGTCGAAAGCGCTTTGCTGTTCACTGCTCCATCGCCATACGGAACCTTTCTTTAAGAGGTCGGTCATTGGTCGGCAAACTTCGGAGTACCTGTGGATGAACCGTCGTAGGAAGTTGGCGAACCCGAGGAAACATTGAAGTTCCTTGACCTTGGTGGGTGGTAACCATTCCGTGATTGCCTTCACCTTCTTGGGTGAGACCTGATTCCCTTTTCCTGATAGTACAAATCCCAGGAATTCTACCTCCTGTCTGTACCATTCCGTTTTCTCGAGGTTCCCGTATAGATGGTTTTGTTGCAGTCGCTCCAATATCTTCTTCACAAGAGTCGTATGCTCTTCCTTAGTCTTTGAATATATTAGGATATCATCCAAGTAGACTACTACGCCTTGATCTAGAAGATCCTTGAATATGGTATTGACCATGACCTGGAACGACGCCGGTGCATTGGTTAAGCCAAAAGGCATTACCCTATATTCGAAGTGGCCGTACTTCGTTCTGAAAGCTGTTTTCCATTCCTCACCAGCGGCAATCCTAATCAAGTTATAGCCATTTTTCAGGTCTATCTTGGTGAAGAATTCTGCTCCTTTCGTCGAATCGGCCAACTCTGTCATGAGTGGAAGGGGGTAGCGATTCTTGACCGTGATAGCATTTAAGCCACGAAAGTCTACGCATAACCTCAGTTTTCCATTGGCTTTCTTCACGAACAGGATCGGTGCTGCTGCCGGGCTGGTGGAGGGGACTATTTTGCCAGAGGCTAGCATTTCGTCCAAGTACTCCCGGAGTGCCTTTTGTTCCACTGGGGAGAGCGCATAGATCGGTCCCCATGGAGGCTGCTTTCCTTCCATAAGGGGAATGGTATGGTCCCATTCAGAGTGATCAGGTAGTCGATCGGCTCCCTCCTTGGAGAAGACGTCGACGAAGTCCTGGTACTCCATCGGTATAGCACTAGCGAGAGCCTCGCCTACCAATGCCCTTGCCCAGAAGGGATGTTGCTCGATCATCGTCTGTGTTTCGGGTGATGCCTTCAACAGCCTGATGACCAGCTCTTCTGGTTCTTCTTCGTATATATCATACATGGTCCTGAAGCATCCCTTCACTTGACAATTGATGTTGTCGAAGGTGACCTTGTTCTGACCCCAATGTATGGTAGGTTGATGCTCCTTGAGCCATCGATGTGGTATGACGAGGTCTTCTCCTGCGAATGAGCCAACCTCACAGACGATGTCTCTGTCTAGATGGTTGCCGACGCGGAGGGTAAGGGATTGGGTGATGTGAGTGCCGGAGTTAGGCATAGGGGTACCGTCAGCCTGTCTGATGATGAGGGGCTTGGGTCGAGGTTGAGTTGGGATCTTGAGACGGTGGACACAGTTCCAGGACATAACCCAGTCCTCTGTTCCGCTGTCTAGGAGTGCGTTGACCATTTCTGCATGTTGGGTACTCGTTGCGGGGTGGCTCCAAGAGATTTCAATCTCAAGGCGGGTTTCTTGGTTGTGTGAAGACATGTTTGTATGTTTTGAAAATGTAAGGTAAGGTGGGTTGTTCTTGATGTTGATAGTTCTTGTTCCGAGCGCGGGGCGAGGGAGTTTATATAGAAAATTCGAGCGTTGATCAAATCATAGTACGACACTTATGCACCAGGCGTTTTCGGAATGTGACCCCGCTTCTTGAAATGTGTGTAGAGAGGATTTAGATTGCGCAAAATAACAAAACCGATAGAACATAACATAACCCGATCCCTTCGAAAGTCTTCCTTCCAAAACAGAATAGAAAAGCCGTAATCCAACATAGAATAAAACACCGCATAAATAGAAATACCCAATCAATTTAGTCCTCCAAATTCGTAATCCTTGCCCTAAATGCCTCATTTTGTGGCCCCAATTTTCGTTTCTTATCACCCTCCCTTCCGTGGTCCTTTCTCCCGGAAGGATATTCTTTTCTCTTCAGGTTCGTCATCCTGACCTTACTCGTCGCCACGCAATCCTTTACGAAGTGGTTATCTCTACCACAACGGAAACACTTTCCTTCCTTCTGCCATTTCTCCTTTTCTTCTTTGGTGACACCTAAGTCATCCGAGGTCTTGGAGTTGTTGGCTGATGCGGGAAAAGTTTTCCGAGGATTTGCGTTGTTGCGCGATTTCCGCCGTTCCGTTTTCTCCTCGCGAGGTTTCACGGTGTCTTTACCTCGCAGGATTTCCTTCCGAGCCTTCACCTCGTGGTCCTTACGTCCAACTTTTCGTACCCAGGCTAACCAGTCCACGAAATCATTTGGTTCCTCAATCGCATTGGAGAGCCGTTGTTCCAGCGAGGAGTTTATTCCTGTTAGGATCATGGATCTCATGACAACTGGTCCAACTCGTGCGTCCCATTCTAGGTTCTGCATCTCGTTGATGTAGTCGTCGATTGGGCCAGTTTGCCGGAGTCTGTCCATCTTCTGCTTGGCCTGTTCCTGACTTGTGCGGTTGCCATATTGAGTGCGGAGCTCTTGCTTGAACCGTTCCCAGGTTCCGATACTTCTGTCCACAGCCAACCTCTCCGTAAAATTCCGCCAGAAGTTTGCCGTACTACCGGTAAACTCGAGGGATGCCCACATAATCTTGGTACCATCATCCCATTGGACCTTCTTCTGGAGACTGATTAGGATTTCCATCTGATCGATCCAGAGTCTTACGTCCTGATCGGCTCTTCCGGAGAAGGGAATGTTGGCCTTTTTGGGTGCATCACCTACGGTGGCACGAGAGGGGTGCGAGAGTTCTTGCTCTCGTTGGCGCTTCCTTTCCTGTCTTCGTTTCTTGCGTTCCAGCCGCCTGCGGCGTTCGCCTTCCGAATCTGAGGAATCCGATGGCGATGATCCGGGTGCTTCCGGGGCGTTTCCTCCCTTATTGCCATTCCCGTTACCTCCACCTTGTGCTTCTTGACCTCCTTGCTTCCCTTGTTGGCTTTGGTCTTCGAGGCCTTCACTGGATTCGGAGCCAGCTGGAGGGACGACTGGTTGTTGGGGAGGTGGTTGGGGAGGTGGGCCTGATCCGCCGCCACCTGCTTCTGGGGCCAGTGGTTTTTCCGCAGCCGCTTTACGGGCTGTTTCCTTCATCTGCTCCACCATTTCTTCTAAGGCCGTCTTTGTTCCGGAGAACCCATCTACCAAGGAGACCTGCTGCTGCATGGTCCTTTCCAATTGTGCTAGTGTGGCTGCTACGCCTTCTGGAACTTGGGCTGGACCATCTTTCGGCAGTCTTTGAATCCAGTCAGCCAGCATGGTTATGTGCTGGGCCTGCTCTTCCTGCCGCTGTTGATGGGTCCTAGTAGTGGTGACGATCTGCTCCAAGACTTGGCCGAGGTTCGTAGTAGTTGCGGCTGTCTCTGCCCGCACTTGCGCGAGGATATACCCTTCTCGGCGCTCCCGTTCTTCTTGGTCCTGGTTGAACTTCATCTGCAATTCGCGGATGAGTTTGGTCTGCTCTTCGTGCTGCCGGGTAAGCTGCGCCGCGTGCTGCCGAGTAATTTCCCTGATTGCGGGCAGGTCTTGGACGCTCACAGTGAGGTCTCCAAGTCCGCGACTCAGTTGCTGAACCACTGGGGCTCCTCTCCGTTCGATTTCCTGCCCGATGATTTCTCCAAAGGGATGCTCGATACGGCGTTCTTCCACGTCCATATTCGTGTCCTCGTCGTCGTCCATTACCCTGTGGTCCGAGGGCCTCGGAATAGAAGATCGTTCTCTGATTGGCGTCTTGTACGGGGAATAGTCTCGGTAGTCCCCTTGCCTGCGGGAGCGGGGTTGGCCATAGGATGCGGCCGGCTGAGTCGATCTGAAGAGGTCGCTGATTGGCATGTCCAGATCCCTCCTGTGGCGCCGTCTCGCCTGGGTCTCGACTATACCTCGATCTCTCACGGTGATCGAGCTCTCCATGTTGTAGTCTTCCTCCATTGGTTGCTGATGACCCCTTGACATCGCTAAGTTGCTCGATTCTGAGTTGTGGCTGTCTCCTGCACCAGGGTTGAGCGACGAACCAAGGGACGGAGTGAGCTAATCCGTAGGATTGCTGATTGAGGGTGACTTTAATGGGGAAGAGTTCGGGATAGTTGAGGATCTCCGGGTCCTGTTCTTCGAATGTGCAAGTAGTACCTGCTTCGGCAAAAAACCCGGCGTATTCGAGGTATCCGCAATAGAGGTGTTCGGCACTGCCTCTGCGAACAACAAAAGAGGTAGTGCAAGTAAAGTTGTTGATAGCTGCTGTTGCTACTCGAGGATGCATACGGTATCAAAGAGTCCTTCTAATAGACTACTTTCTTATTCTTTTACTTGAGCGCACGGTGACTATCCGCCACAAACAAAATACTCTCAAGTATTGGTCTAAGCAAGTAGTTGTCTTATCGGGACGTTGATAATATGCGATCGATAAAATAATAGCGTAGTGGATAAGGTACAATATAGTGTTTGGGGAAATGCCAATGCTAAGCGATAGTTCTGTAGCTTTTAAACTTGTAATATTGTAAACCGGATTCCGCTCGCTGAGTGACTGATGATGCCACTAAGACGAGGCAGAACCCTCCCTATTTATACATGTTGGAACCTATGCCAAGGCCCGCTTTCTAATACTAAAGAGATAACGATGATAGAATAAGATAATCAACCCGAAGATAACCCCAGTAGAAAAGCGCCCCCGCGTAGTTCCGTTCCTCCATTCTAATTCCGACACGTAACCATAAACCCCGCAATTGCCAGTAACCGAGCTGTATCATGCTATTGTCCTAGAGCTACTTCCCTAAGTAGAATGGCCTGCAGCCATAAGCCCCGCTTCTATTCCGTTCCGGGTGAGACACCCAATAGTAAGCGTGCCCTCACAACAGCCTAATACTAGTGTGGTTGCACCCGGTGCCCCCACACCCCTCGGTACCTTTCTATGCTTGTTCCTTCGTTACCCGACCGTACTCGCATCACAACCCATCACTCATATTATCCCTGTTCCTTGACTTAGGAGCAGTGTTCGTGTTTCCTATAACAGGCTGAGGCAGCTCAGTACCTGGTATGTCGTACCACTGATCCAACGGAGTCCATTCTTCTTCGGGGTTGCCAATAATTTCAGGGCCAGTTTCTACGCTGGTCCGTGATTTTCTGACAAATTGTTCTGCGCTGAGCAACTGTTTTACGGGTTGTTCACGCATTACTCCCCCTTCCATAGCGAACTCTGGGCGCCTTGTGAGTGCGTCTGGCTTGCCATTCTTTTCGCCTGGTCGGTAATGAATCCTGAAGCGAAAAGGTGCTATCTTTTCGGCCCATCTGGCTTGTCTTCTCGACAACTTCTTGGTCGTTGTGAAGTACTGCAGGTTCTGATGATCCGAATGTATCTGGATAGGAATGTCCGTTCCTTCCAGCCAATGTCTCCAAGTCAGGAGAGCAGAAACTATAGCGAGCATCTCCTTGTCATAGATCTCGTAGTTTACCTCTGCCTCGTTGAACTTGCGAGAGTGGTAAGCTACCGGGTGTAGGATACCGTCCTCGAACACCTGAGAGAGTACTGCGGCTTCAGCCCAGTCGCTCGCGTCAGTTTCTATGATCGCTTCACGGTGTTCGTCATAGTGTCGTAGTATTGGAGCAGACGTAAATTTCTCCTTGAGTTCGTCGAAAGCGCCTTGCTGCTCACTGCTCCATCGCCATACGGAACCTTTCTTCAAGAGATCGGTCATTGGTCGGCAAACTTCGGAGTATCTGTGGATGAACCGTCGTAGGAAGTTGGCGAATCCGAGGAAACATTGAAGTTCCTTGACCTTGGTGGGTGGTAACCATTCCGTGATTGCCTTCACCTTCTTAGGCGAGACCTGGTTCCCTTTCCCTGATAGTACAAATCCCAGGAATTCTACCTCCTGTTTGTACCATTCCGTTTTCTCGAGGTTCCCGTATAGATGGTTTTGTTGCAGTCGCTCCAATATCTTCCTCACAAGAGTCGTATGCTCTTCCTTAGTCTTTGAATATATTAAAATATCATCCAAGTAGACTACTACGCCCTGATCTAGAAGATCCTTGAATATGGTATTGACCATGACCTGGAACGACGCCGGTGCATTGGTTAAGCCAAAAGGCATTACCCTATATTCGAAGTGGCCGTACTTCGTTCTGAAAGCTGTTTTCCATTCCTCGCCAGCGGCAATTCTAATCAAGTTATAGCCATTTTTCAGGTCTATCTTGGTGAAGAACTCTGCTCCTTTCGTCGAATCGGCCAGCTCTGTCATGAGTGGAAGGGGGTAGCGATTCTTGACCGTGATAGCATTTAAGCCACGAAAGTCTACGCATAGCCTCAGTTTTCCATTGGCTTTCTTCACGAACAGGATCGGTGCTGCTGCCGGGCTGGTGGAGGGGACTATTTTGCCCGAGGCTAGCATTTCGTCCAAGTACTCCCGGAGTGCCTTTTGTTCTACTGGGGAGAGCGCATAGATCGGTCCCCATGGAGGCTGCTTTCCTTCCATAAGGGGAATGGTGTGATCCCATTCAGAGTGATCAGGTAGTCGATCAGCTCCCTCCTTAGAGAAGACGTCGACTAAGTCCTGGTACTCCATCGGTATAGCACTAGCGAGAGTCTCGCCTACCAATGCCCTTGCCCAGAAGGGGTGTTGCTCGATCATCATCTGTGTCTCGGGTGACGACCTCAACAGCCTGATGACCAGCTCTTCTGAGTCCTCTTCGTATATATCATACATGGTCCTGAAGCATCCCTTCACTTGACAATTGATGTTGTCGAAGGTGACCTTGTTCTGTCCCCAATGTATGGTTGGTTGATGATCCTTGAGCCATCGATGTGGTATGACGAGGTCTTCTCCTGCGAATGAGGCAACCTCACAGACGATGTCTCTGTCTAGATGGTTGCCGACGCGGAGGGTAAGGGATTGGGTGATGTGAGTGCCGGAGTTAGGCATAGGGGTACCGTCAGCCTGTCTGATGATGAGGGGCTTGGGTCGAGGTTGAGTTGGGATCTTGAGACGGTGGACACAGTTCCAGGACATAACCCAGTCCTCTGTTCCGCTGTCTAGGAGTGCGTTGACTGTTTCTGCATGTTGGGTACTAGTTGCGGGGTGGCTCCAAGAGATTTCAATCTCAAGGCGGGTTTCTTGGTTGTGTGAAGACATGTTTGTATGTTTTTGGAAGTGTAAGGTAAGGGGGGTTGTTCTTCTGGATATAAGTGGGTTGATGTTGATAGTTCTTGTTCTGAGCGCGGGCGAGGGAGTTTATATAGAAAATTCGAGGGTTGATGAAGATCATAGTACAACACTTACGCACCAGGCGTTTCGGAATGTGACCCCGCTTCTCAAAGTGTGTGTAAAGAGAATTTAAATTGCGCGAAATAACAAAACCGATAGAACATAACATAACCCGATCCCTTAAGAAAGTCTTTTTCTCAAACAGAATGAAAGCCGTAACACAACATAGAATAAAACACCGCATAAATAGAAATACCCAATCAATTTAGTCCTCCAAATTCGTAATCCTTGCCCTGAATGCCTCATTTTGTGGCCCCAATTTCCGTTTCTTATCACCCTCCCTTCCGTGGTCCTTTCTCCCGGAAGGATACTCTTTTCTTTTCAGGTTCGTTAACCTGACCTTACTCGTCGCCACGCAATCCTTTACGAAGTGGTTATCTCTACCACAACGGAAACACTTTCCTTCCTTCTGCCATTTCTCCTTTTCTTCTTTGGTGACACCTAAGTCATCCGAGGTCTTGGAGTTGTTGGCTGATGCGAGAAAAGTTTTCCGGGGATTTGCGTTGTTGCGCGATTTCCGCCGTTCCGTTTTCTCCTCGCGAGGTTTCACAGTGTCTTTACCTCGCAGGATTTCCTTCCGAGCCTTCACCTCGTGGTCCTTACGTCCAACTTTTCGTACCCAGGCTAACCAGTCCACGAAATCTTCAGGCTCCTCAATCGCGTTAGAGAGCCTCTGTTCCAGCGAGGAGTTTATTCCTGTTAGGATGATGGACCTCATGACAACTGGTCCAACTCGTGCATCCCATTCCAGGTTCTGCATCTCGTTAATGTAGTCGTCGATTGGGCCAGTTTGACGGAGCTTGTCCATCTTCTGCTTAGCCTGTTCCTGACTCGTACGATTGCCATATTGGGTGCGAAGTTCCTGTTTGAACCGTTCCCAGGTTCCGATGCTTCTATCCACCGCCAACCTCTCCGTAAAGTTCCGCCAAAAGTTCGCCGCACTACCGGTAAACTCGAGGGATGCCCACATAATCTTGGTGCCGTCATCCCATTGGACCTTTTTCTGGAGACTGATTAGAATCTCCATCTGGTCGATCCAGAGTCTTACGTCTTGATCGGCTCTTCCGGAGAAGGGAATGTTGGCCTTTTTGGGTGCATCGCCTACGGTGGCGCGAGGGGGGTGCGAAAGTTCTTGCTCTCGTTGGCGCCTCCTTTCCTGTCCTGTCTTCGTTTTTTTTCGTTCCAGCCGCTTGCGGCGTTCGCCTTCCGAGTCTGAGGAATCCGATGGGGATGATCCGGGTGCTTCCGGGGCGTTACCTCCCTTATTGCCATTCCCATTACCTCCCCCTTGTGCTTCTTGACCTCCTTGCTTCCCTTGTTGGCTTTGGTCTTCGAGGCCTTCACTGGATTCGGAGCCAGCTGGAGGGACGACTGGTTGTTGGGGAGGTGGTTGGGGAGGTGGGCCTGATCCGCCGCCACCTGTTTCTGGGGCCAGTGGTTTTTCCGCAGCCGCTTTACGGGCTGTTTCCTTCATCTGCTCCACCATTTCTTCTAAGGCCGTCTTTGTTCCAGAGAACCCATCTACCAAGGAGACCTGCTGCTGCATGGTCCTTTCCAATTGTGCTAGTGTGGCTGCTACGCCTTCTGGGACTTGGGCTGGACCATCTTTCGGCAGTCTTTGAATCCAGTCAGCCAGCATGGTTATGTGCTGGGCCTGCTCTTCCTGCCGCTGTTGATAGGCCCTAGTAGTGGTGACGATCTGCTCCAAGACTTGGCCGAGGTTCGTAGTGGTTGCGGCTGTCTCTGCCCGCACTTGCGCGAGGATATACCCTTCTCAGCGCTCCCGTTCTTCTTGGTCCTGGTTGAACTTCATCTGTAATTCGCGGATGAGTTTGGTCTGCTCTTCGTGCTGCCGGGTAAGCTGCGCCGCGTGCTGCCGAGTAATTTCCCTGATTGCGGGCAGGTCTTGGACGCTCACAGTGAGGTCTCCAAGTCCGCGACTCAGTTGCTGAACCACTGGGGCTCCTCTCCGTTCGATTTCTTGCCCGATGATTTCTCCAAAGGGGTGCTCGATCCGGCGTTCCTCTACGTCCATATCCGTATCCTCGTCTTCGTCCGTTTCCCTGGGGACCGAGGGCCTCGGAATAGAAGATCGTTCCCTGATTGGCGTTTTGTACGGGGAATAATCTCGGTAGTTCCCTTGCCTGCGGGAGCGGGGTTGGCCATAGGATGCGGCCGGCTGAGTCGATCTGAAGAGGTCGCTGATCGGCATGTCCAGATCCCTCCTGTGGCGCTGTCTCGCCTGGGTCTCGACTATACCTCGATCTCTCACGGTGATCGAGCTCTCCATGTTGTAGTCTTCCTCCATTTGTTGCTGATGACCCCTTGACATCGCTAAGTTGCTCGATTCTGAGCTGTGGCTGCCTTCTGCACCAGGGTTGAGCGACGAACCAAGGGACGGAGTGAGCTAATCCGTAGGATTGCTGACGGAGGGTGACTTTGATGGGGAAGAGTTCGGGATAGTTGAGGATCTCCGGGTCGTGTTCTTCGAATGTGCAAGTAGTACCTGCTTCGGCAAAAAACCCGGCGTATTCGAGGTATCCGCAATAGAGGTGTTCGGCACTGCCTCTGCGAACAACAAAAGAGGTAGTGCAAGTAAAGTTGTTGATAGCTGCTGTTGCTACTCGAGGATGCATACGGTATCAAAGAGTCCTTCTAATAGACTACTTTCTTATTCTTTTACTTGAGCGCACGGTGACTATCCGCCACAAACAAAATACTCTCAAGTATTGGTCTAAGCAAGTAGTTGTCTTATCGGGACGTTGATAATATGCGATCGATAAAATAATAGCGTAGTGGATAAGGTACAATATAGTGTTTGGGGAAATGCCAATGCTAAGCGATAGTTCTGTAGCTTTTAAACTTGTAATATTGTAAACCGGATTCCGCTCGCTGAGTGACTGATGATGCCACTAAGACGAGGCAGAACCCTCCCTATTTATACATGTTGGAACCTATGCCAAGGCCCGCTTTCTAATACTAAAGAGATAACGATGATAGAATAAGATAATCAACCCGAAGATAACCCCAGTAGAAAAGCGCCCCCGCGTAGTTCCGTTCCTCCATTCTAATTCCGACACGTAACCATAAACCCCGCAATTGCCAGTAACCGAGCTGTATCATGCTATTGTCCTAGAGCTACTTCCCTAAGTAGAATGGCCTGCAGCCATAAGCCCCGCTTCTATTCCGTTCCGGGTGAGACACCCAATAGTAAGCGTGCCCTCACAACAGCCTAATACTAGTGTGGTTGCACCCGGTGCCCCCACACCCCTCGATACCTTTCTATGCTGGTTCCTTCGTTACCCGACCGTACTCGCCTCACCACTCATCACTCGTATTATCCTTATTCCTTGACTTAGGAGCAGTGTTCGTGTTTCCTATAACAGAATGGTTGAGTGATTTTGTCTTGTATCCCCCACCCGCACCCATACACTTCTTCTACGACAAACTAATAAAGAATCTTCTTCGATCTCGCGCTCTTCTGTCACTCATATTGCTTTCCGAAATCAGATTAGACTGTACACAGGTTCCTAACATATAGATTATCCTTTATGCGATTTTTATGTAGGAACGTAATATTTATTTTACTTGGAGTTTTGTTGTATCGTATTCCTACTATGTATGTAGGTAAAATAACCGGGGTTGGGGCCTTGGTGCCCCAAATTCCCGCCTCTCCCCGCGAAGGTTATCATTCCCCCCTCCTTCGATCAGATGTTCCCAAGCATGCGAGCGAAAGAACAGACTCGCATAGCTGCTCCTGTACACTATCTTTTCTACTGTAGACCCCGCCGGAAGAGAGGGTAAGCCCCAGGTCTATTGACTATGGAGGCTGTAGTTAGGTGTCAATGATCGTAAGCGCACCATAGCGGAAACTATAACCGAGCACACATTGAAATTTGAATAGACCAACATTGTTGGAGATATGTATTACTATTTCCACCAGTAGTAATCCAGTGAATGTACGTACGTCTCGGCTCCTCCGGTTTTCATTGTTTCGCCCCCCCGGGGGGGGGGGGGCGAGGCCTTCGGAGGTATGGGTGTGCCCTGGTCCCAGGCAGCCTACAAAAACCGCCAAGCCTAGGCTTGCTAATACCCGCCAATGATCGATTTCCGCATAAGAACTACTCATGCGTTTATTAAATGGTCGGAATTCTTAGTAGGGATTTGGTTGCAACGATATCCGACCATTTAATGAACGCCCGAGTATATTTGGGAGGGATAAGGACTTAAGCGGAAGAGAAAAAGGAATCCCGGACATTCTCTGTAATCCAATCATTCCCGGGGACGGGTCTCAAGTTATGTACTCTCATTTTTCAGTGTAAGAAGCACCGGATTGAAATAAGCTAGATATAAGTATAATATAATGCCTTCATAAGATTCGAATAAGGTTTTAATTTCGGTAAGGCGCCATGCTCTGTGGGCCACGCCGAATACTAATAAAGCCGACCATGTTTGTCATTATCCCGATGGCACGAGATGTCCGTCGCACCACCATCTATGTGTTTACTGTGCGGGCGGCGCCTGGAGGGGCAACCGTTGCCAGGCGGAATTTTGTAACCAAACGTGCCCCAAGTAATTCAGCAAGAGCCACGTCGACGAAAAAAAAACCAAATAGGGGATTAAATAGAAGCGTTACAAACGGCAAAAATTCCGTTGCGGGGAATTGAACCCCGATCTAGTCGGTGAGAGCGACTGATGCTAACCATTACACCACAACGGATTCTAACAGACGGCGTTTTAGGCTATTTTGACAGGGAATACAAGGTAAGATGCTGCTAGACCACGAGGTTCGAACGAGGTTGATCAAGACCAATGCTCACCGACTATTCGTAAGAAGTACCTCGAGAGTAGACACAGACGGGGTACTAAGCTATATATCCTAGCAGGATCAACAATATTTTCTGCGGAAAGAAATCAGGCTGCCGACCGCAGGTTCTCACGACTTTCGCGCTCTTTGACCCCGGCTCATTGCCGCGTAACCTGAGAAGTCGATCATTACCTTATTTCAACCCAGAATCAAATTGAGTGACTCAGAGAACAAATACCAGAACCACCAAACTTCAATTCCAGCAGTTGCCATTTCTATCTTCTCTAAAGTTCTCGGTAGTACTCTTTCGCCATCCCATACGCTAATTTAACCCCTGTCAGCCAAGGGCGTAGAGACAAACTTAAAAGCACTCCAGTGACAATATACCATCCCTTTGTGGTGTAGTTGGTATCACACCCGGCTGTAATAGCTTGCTTACCGGTTGGTCACCAGTTCGACTCTGGTCGGAGGGAGTTCTAGGTAGTTCATGTCCATTCCTTCGGGATGGATATGTGTCACAAATGTTGTTACCCCCGGGGGCCGCATAGAATACTTTTAAGTTCTTTGAAATGAAACAGAACGGATGAAAGGCCCTTTATTTTAGTCGTAGTTAAGGCTTTCTTTGGGAATATGCCTGCCGGTAGGTAGGAGTGCTACATGTAGGCGTAGTAGACCCCCCCATAAGAAAACTGGAAGTCTTTTTCATGTGTCTGCGGTTCGTCAATGATCTATACACATCTCCATTTTTATTGGCTATCTGGGGGAATGCGCGCACAGTTTAATCCCCTTTGTACCACTGTCCCGAGATCTTCTAGGATAGGATTGCGGCATGCGGATGTCTTTTTGACTATCTGCAGCTGGACATGTTGTATGACACAAGACATGTCGTGCGCCAGCTATGCCCGAGTCAGGAACCCCTTAATAAACGAAAAATTTGTAGATCAATCGTCTGTATCGTTCAAATGAGTATAGAGGGGATCACTGTTGAGCTTCTGTGGAATAACAGATCGGTTAAAAGAAGGTATGTAGGGAGTGGTAAGCCTTACAACTTCCCATATAATTAGAAACGAGACGGGGACATGGATAGAAACCAGCCTCTCTTGTCTATGTAGTACACACGATCACCCTCGAATTCCGGTATTTAGTACATCCTTTAAGAGATCAACCATGTTATTGAATATTCTTTTCCATTATGGGTCTCAGCTTGGCCAGTCTTATTACCGGGAAAGATTAAAGAGCTCATAGGCTATATTCTCCGCCAGCGGAAGTGTCGATTGTGTAAGTCGCTTGACATCTGATAGAATATATAGAGCGGCCACTTGTATTTTTTGCGTCACGATAATTGCGAGTGGTGGTTTATGAAGACAGGATCAAGTCACCAGTGGCTTGTTATGGAGGGGGTATTTACTCATCGATCCGTTTTTCGGGTAATCGGTGATAGTTATCACCCGAAAGATTTCAAAGACTCTGAATTCTCACGATTCTGATGCTTTGAGTGTTGGACTTGATTTCCTCGCTAGCACTGACAGGGATGCTCGGTCTGACAGATACCGAGATACATGTCTGTACTACTTCGGGCCGATATAGTACTAGCGGCTACTTGAAGGCTACGTCATCAGGCATGCTATGTATAACTGATCTCGCCTCCGGAACTCTCAGCCTCCCTTCGGAATTTCCCCTCCTTGCTACATGTAAATGCCCACATTTTCTTCCTCTACTCACCACAAACCGCCTTCCGTCAAAACTACGACAAATCCCAGCAAGTGTAATGAGAACTGGCTGAATTCTAATCAACAGAAAGAACCGAAAATAATTGATGGATTGAAGAATCTCGGAAGTCAATGCCAGAGAGATGGAGTCTCATTGGCAATTTCAGCCCCGGTAGTCACTAATTGGATTTACTCCAGAACCTTTGGACTTTCTTTGCATCGATAAGGAGATGGAAATCAAATCTTATCTCGGTCTTCACCAAATGAAACAATTTTAATGGCATAATGGCTGGACAGAGGGTTCGGGATATGTACTAGACTGATGGCTGCTTTCTGGTTTCTCTTAATACCCTATTCAAGAGTTTAATCGGGGACGGCGTGCTTCAAGGCTTCAAAGAAAATAAAACCGGAGCAAGATATCTTTGATTTTCATATACTCCGGGAGGTGAGCGAGGTCCAACAATCACGAGCAAGCTAAATAGAATCCCTCGCTTTTTTGAGTACAAGAGAAGGTGCATTTATCTATAGTCGCTCATTTTAGGTTTTTAATCTTATAAGTTCCTATATTCTGGGGAACATGATCTCAGTGGATGATTGTATGACTCAGATGCTACGAGCATATCGTACAGGGTTGAGCACTCGATACACAGTTAATTCCGGTTCAGGACAATATCCCCGGAAAGGATTCTCTAATGAGACAGCGTATCTGCGCACCAGCTTCTTTTCGAACTATGTCCTTTCTGAGCACATCATCGCGAATATGGAATATGCCAGGGTAAGCAAGAAGCAAGGAATGGCAGGTGATAGTCTCCCAGGATCACTTTGACATGGATGGAAGACAAGAATACCTAGAGTCGCAGAAGAAAATTTTGAAAGAAACGTTCTGAAAGAAATATTTTGTTTCAGGCTAATAACTCTGCTCAGAGACACCTAATGACGCATGGTAGAGTACAAAACAATCTACGGGGGTTTGACAACGATACGATACCGCTTCCTCCCAATCCCCTCTCCAGGCATACTGTCATTTCGCAACATCCTCTTTGCGTTGGCGAAATGATACTCCACTTCCCTTTTCAGCTCAGCTTTCTCAATGCGGCAAAGCTCCTGCTCGTGTTCGGTAACGATATCCTTGAAGATCCTATTCTCAATGAGAACTTTCCGTTCATTTGCATGCCCGAGAGCATCGAGGGCCTCGAAGTATTTCTCATCCCTCTCCGTGGGAAGCTGATTGGGCGAGAGGTTCCTCCGCTCGTTGATGATGTGACGGTCTAAGGAGTCACCATACGCCTCCCGGATAGCCTGGCGGCGCTCGAGTTGATTGCTTCGTTTCCTCAGCCATTGAAGACGACGCCTCGCAGTGTCCACGGTCTCAGCGTAGGGGGTGTTGCGGGGGAGTGTGCCACTGTTGGGGGGGCCGCCGGGGACGATGGTGATAGGAACACGGCCATTGAGCCTTGTGGAGGCGTTGTGATGGGGAGAGGGGCCATTGCTGGTAATAACAGCGTTGGCAGCGCTGGTAAAGAGGCCAGCGATCACCACATGGCCAGTGTTCAGCGGGAGTGAGGACATGGTGGTACTGGGCTGGAAATGATTAATATCTACTTGCTGGGGCTCTGAGGTGGGGGGAGGGGGGGTGCTGTTGTTACCAGTTCGGACTCGCGGGAAACCGGGAGTACTTGGCCGCACTGCGTAGGGTTGATGGAGAGCTGGATACGGAAACAGTGGGCCGAGATCGGGATGACCGATGGTAGACCAAGGATGGTTGATTAGAAGTAAGAGGTTCCGTGGGGTAGGTGGTTTGGTGAGGAGGGTAGGGAAGATTGTTTTAGTGGTAAGCGTTGCCTCAGATTAAGTAATTTCGCCGTCGCTATGACGAGCCCCTTTGTTAACTATTCATAAGACCTAATGTCATTCCCGGAACGAGCGAGGGTCTGGCATAGTGGCGAATGGCGGCTTTTCTACTTTATAATCAGTTGAGTCGAAGGATTTTGTTTTCTTACTTTTTCTTTTTTTTCTTTCGGTTTTAATTGGCCCATTCGCCATCGAACCTGGTATGGATTCGACATTACCACACGTAATTAACCGGAGATGCCGACAGCTTGAGAACTAACTATTCCCCATTCTAAAATCTCACGATACGGTTTTTGACGACATAAAGAGTGATTTGTTCGTTTAATAGGAATACTAATCAGTCATTCCGATAATAATTTAGAAACTCATAGCTTTTTATGCTAAATCCCATAAGAAAGCTAAATCACGCTACCGGATCGCTCTATATATATCCAGAAACTGACGTCATGGCTATATTATGTAACAGTATCTGAAATTAGCTGATGTTTGGCTGAATAGTTATAGGATAGAGTACGACCCTGTAGACCATGAATATCAATTTCTCCACACCCGGAGGTGATATACTTCTCAGACAGCCGATACAAGAGCAGCGTGTTCCACGTCACTGACGGATAGCGTGGAATACAATTTTACCAATTCTATTGACTAATAATTTGACAGATATACGCTAGACCTAGAAATCGCCTTCACGAAAGCGCTCCCGCACGAGGTCGGCCAGTCCCCGTGACCATTCAGTCGCCGTTTCGCTTGGCAATCCTCAATACAAAGAGAGCATGAGGATTAGGATATACTCCTCCTGATTTTGAAAAAATAGCTCCACTGCTTTATTTGTTTATTGCTAAGAAAACGGCGACTGGATGGCCTCGCGCGATATTGAGGGGAAAGCGAGTGATATTTCATGACGCCAACTCACTCACCTAGTCCGAGAAGTCACATTTATACCGAGAAAAACGCTGGATTAAGAACTCTAATATCACTTGTGGTCTGCGACGTTCCCGGGGGGTGGCGTTGTGCGCGGTGCAGAGTGGGGCGGTTCTTCTCCACAACGGTGGGGGGCGGGGGGCGGGGGGCGGGTTAGGAGTATCTTCGGCCATTATCCGAATAGAGCGCCAAAGAACAGGAATAATGCTCAAAAGTTTCGAATTGATTCCCCGGCGGAAGCAGCCTGGAGACGGGTTTCATACCAGTGACAGTCCTATGGCTAGTCATTTAGGTGACCGGAGGAGGAATAACTCGCATACAATCTGGGAAAAAGAGCTATCCGTTGGACGGATGAAAATCTCAGGCTTGCAGCTTCCATCTCTCAGCTAATACTAGCTCTGTCTTGTAATTCGCGCTGATTTTTGATCGGCGGTATGACGAATACCGCACACAAAAGCTAGAAGGCTACCTGATTGAGTGCATGCACAGTCCAGGCTGCGGATTTGAGTTTTTCATCCGTTCAAGGGATAGGAATTTATTCATAAAAGAAGAAAGCCTGGTCACCGGAATGAAGGCACATACTCAAAAGCAGTGTTGTGTTATTTTACTGGGCCATGAACATACAGAATTTTCTTTAACTATGTTCCTCTTAGAGACCTCCGATATTCTCCATTCATTCGACTCAAATCCTTAGTCGTGGCCAACACCTGTCTCAGCCTCCGGCACAACCTGGCTCTGAATCGCATCGATGATCTCAACCGCATCGATGACGCCAGCCGCATCAGCAAGCCGACCCTGATCAGCTGCATCCACCCCAACCCCCGCCTCCATCCCCCTCAACTCCTCCAACATCTCCACCAGCCGCCCCCTAATCATGCCCAGATCCCTCATCTGGTTCTCCTGCTGGTTCCTGATGACCTCGCGGCGGTTAACCAAGCCCTTCAGCGTAACCAAGGCCTGTACCATCACGATCTGCTCCGGCCTCAGGTCGTCGTTGAGCACCATGCTGGCCTCGAGAGGGGTACGTGTGACATCGAAGCCGCTGCGGATGAGGGCGATGCGGCCCACGGTGTAGTCAAAGCGCATCTTGTTGGTGTCATGGAGGAGCTGCTGCGCGCGGGTGGAGGCGAGGTGGATCTTTTGGGTGGTGTGGGTGATCCAGTAGGTGAAGGTGGAGATGAGGGTGGAAAGGGTGATGGTGTCGTCCATTTTGGCGTGTGGGAAGATGGGAGGTTTGGATGTACAGGGGGGGGACTAGCTGCAGTGTGGGGTATTGGTCGCGGGATGGTGGGGGTGGGGGATTGATGAAGTGTGTTCAAGGTTGTGTGTGTGGGGAAAGGTGTGGTGAAGGTTGTGTGCGGGAAGGAAGGTCATTGACTGTCGCGGCAGGGTAGCTTACCTTAGCCCAGACCCAGGCTCGTCCCCAGACACCCTGCTTCCGTCCCACTAGTGTGAGGAACCTGCTACTACATGTAAGTTCGGGAGGAGTACGAGACTAGCCCAGACCCAGCATGAGGTGAATGTGGAAGCTTAAAATGTGATCACGGCCCAGCCGTGTTCTTGTCCTTACGCTTATCGATTCAGCCACCATCACATCTTCTGCTTTGCCAAACCGGTTTGCAACCACCGCGGCGGATCAAACCTAACCCACAACTGTCTGGGCCCAGCCGGGCCCGCGCGTTTCACCAAAGCCCACACCCGGCCTACGTCTCCCAGTAACCAGCACTAAAACTTGAAAGATAGGGAGGGTATGGCTCTACCTAGATTTCTGTTACCGGAATAGCCTTTTCCCCTCAAAGGAAAACATTTTATTGCTCGAGATTTGCCAGTTTTCGGGTTCAGCTCAAGGGATACTGCCCGCGCCCGGAAAAACGGCGGCCTGGCCAGCCGAGTTCAGCCCAGTTTATAGCGGGATACTACATGTACTTACATTTCTCGGGGCAATATATTACATGGCACAAGTCTCAACACCGTCCCTCTAGAAGCCGGTGTTTCCAGTGGTTCGTCGATTTACCGATCCGGCCCGATTTTCTGCAGCCGTTGAGCAGATGAGTTCTGTCCAGTTTCTCATTTTAGTTCAGTTTCTGGCTTGAATCCAAACTGGTTCTAAGTTGTAAGTGCTCATATAAAAGACGGACACCCTACGCCAGGAGAGGTTCCCGGAGAACACCAACCCTGAACACCTTTGGCCACGTAGTGTTCGTAATTGGAGTTCAAACCGGCGTCCCAGTCTGACCAGTCCTTATTCCGTCAGGTCAGTTGTTAGTTCTTGTAATCCAGTTCAGTTTAACTTTGACTAAAAGCAGAACCCTTTCCAACCATTGGAAATACCGCTGGAAGTACAAGTACAGAGGGCCGAAGCATCTGTAAAGTGATAAATGAGGCAATATGACAGCCTGTCATAACGTCAAACGAACCGGAAAGGTGACAGGCTTACTAAAGCGATCGCGATAACCCCGGCGACTTAATGATTTATCCATCAATGAATGAATCGATAAACCCGGGGCCGATGAGAATGAATTACGAGTGATATTCCGTGCTTCAGCTGTGATGACTAAAGCGCTTGGCAAACAATGAGATGCTAAGGACTACACTAAGAACATTTTAGAATATTAAAAGTGCCAGATTCTAAATGGCGATGACATCTGTTGAATTTCTCCCGGAAATCTCACCATGAGATGTTATGGGCGGGATAGCTTAATCGGTGTTTAGACACTACGTAGTTATGATCAGTTAACGATATATATGTTAGTTTCGAGACCTGTAACCTCAGCTGCGGCAGCCCGTTTGATCCTACGCATCATTCCCTTCTCCTTCATCAGAGCAGCGCAGCAAAATAGTAATAGTCTTGTTTGAACCAGTCAGCTAACATCATCATTCGGACTTTGAATAGTTCTTGATTTCCTGAGCATGAGTACACAAACAGGAATAAAATATGCGGATGCAATTGCAGGAGTGTGGTTCATGTGGTCAGGAGTGATTAATCTCAGACCACTGTTTTTTGACTTAGACTACAGAAGACGTATGCAATTCTATTTTCACCAAGACCTACTCCATTTATCAAAACAGAGGATAGAAATAAGACCCGTACTTAATAACCGCATTCTCTATCACCCTTACCGACTCACTCTGTTTTTTCGCGCTCTTAACCTCCCAGCAACTGAATCATTTCACTAAGCTCCACTGGACCCAGCTCTTTCCGGTTCCACCCTCTCAATGAAGTCATAAACCCCATTATCGAGGATCCTCTTTTCGATCTGGTTCAGAATGTGATCCCTCTCCCTTCTCATTTCGAAGCACTTCACGTGCATACATTTCTGTCTATCCTCCAATTCCAAAATCTTATCCTTCAAGTCCATCAGCAGATAGAGCCTTGCGTATATTGGGAAGGATTCCGGACACATATACACCTCGATAGGCTCGCTCGGGTCGATCCCCTTTATGATTAGGCCGTTCCGCGAAACGGTGTAGTCGTATCGGAGTTTTTCAATGCGTCTGTAGTTGTCATGGCGACGGATGTTCATGAGCATTAGGTCTTCATCGATGTGTTCTAGCCTTTCTTCAAATGTAGTTGCGACGGCACGTGCTGGTGCGGCGGTTGTGTCAGACATTGAGTCTGACATTGCCTCGGACATTGTGGCAGATATTGTGTCGGACATTGTGGTAAATGTTTCGTGGTGTGTGCTTATTTAAAGCTGCGAGGAGGTTTGTGGTTCGTGTTGTTGACGAAGAGGGAAGAAGAGGTTTTAACATATTGCGTTTATATTTCTAAAAGACACCTTGTCTCGGAATGGCAGGCTCTAGTGTAAGACTGTGTTGATTGACTGGGGTTAGGTTGATATATGTGTTAACATGGCCGCACTTACTACGTACGCAGGGTTATGTGTTTGATTGATAATATTGAACAACTACATGTAGTGGTTGTCCCAGTGCAGTTGTCTCGAACCAGGCCCTTTGCTTTGGCGTTGGATAAATCAGCAACAACAAAGCCGTTGGGCACTTCGCAACGCCGAAATTATGCACGTGACCCAAGTCTGGTTCGAGACAACCGGTGCAGCAATCAGCACCCGTCATTTGCGAAATCATTTTTCGTTCTGAATTTTTATATTATAGGAGATAGGGTTTTCTGATTTAAAACCAGCGATAATGTGCTATCAATCGCAGGTAATAATGACAGGCTGTACGGATAATTATTTAAAGGGAATAGGTAGGAGAGCTGTTACTTAAAGAATAAATATTAGGATATGAGGATATCAGGATTCACGACCACAGATCCCCGCACTGACCACTCTTTCCCCCACCACTCGTTCTCCCACACGATCTCTCCCACCACCTTTTCTCCCGCCACGCTTGCTCCCACCACACTTCCTTCCACCACGCCTTATTTCGCCACTCCCAATACACTAGTGTCTACCTCCCCACCCCACCCTCCTCCACCCCTCTATTCCCTGGGCCACCCACCATTGCCTTGACTATATCCCTCTCATTTTCTTTTAGCGCTCGATACGTGCGGGCATACCATTCGCCCTTCTCCCTCAGCTCCTTCCGCTCCATAGAGTTGTTCTTGGCTACAGTACGTAGCCGCCGCTGGATACCCCTAAGGACGGACTCGTAGACGGTGAGGCTCTGGCGCAGCACGCGCAGCTGCTCGGTGAGTGTGAAGGTGGGGGCTGCGCGGTCGAGGAGGGGTTGGTAAAAGTGCAGGGCGCTGAGGGCTGTATCCATTGCAGGGTTATATGGGAGCTTGGGCAGGGGACTGGTTGTGAGGATTGAACTGGATTGACAGAGTGATATCTTGTGAAGATTAACTGAGTGATATCTTGTGAAGTTTGCAGTTACTGAGGTATTTGGATGGGATGGGGTCTATTTATACATAACAGCCAAGCCTAACAACGTATCCCCTGCCAGGGTGTCTGAGCGGACCGGATGAAGAGGGGCCGAAGCCCTAGCCAAGCCATTCACGGACCCCCGCGTTTTTGCTGATGTGGGATGGTGTGGTGATGTGCATGATGCAGTGCATTATTAGTAGGGGGCCAACATGATCGATTTTGACACGTAGTGGGTATGGATAGGGTTCTGGGAAATCGGGTACGGCATGGAATATGCAGCGAGCATTATAGGGCAGGGATGGCGTATTAATATATGCATCTGTCTCAGTCAGCCAGTCGGTTGGTAATGATAGACTTACCAAACTAAGATTAATAACCACCCAACAGTGAAATACTTTGTATAGCATTCTGGGAACCGTATGGGTAGGGAAAGACACCAATAGGCCTTCTTGAGCTTAGACAACCTTTGAGTATTCGAAGTACTTAATGGCAGCCAGATTTTAAGGATTTCCCAGAGTTGATATCTAAGTCATAACTGCTTCAGATGTGACATGTATATGTAGATTGGTACTGGATAAAGAAAATGGCGTTGTAAAGTGATATAGTCATTTATATTTACCCTTTCCACATCTATCTCACATCTGTCAATTGGGGTTTCCTAGTCAATGTCACGTCTATTATAGTAGTGAAAAGTCCCTGATATATTTTACTATTGTACATGGCCTTCTATTTATAAAAACGAAAATAAAATGAGTGTAAAGACTGCACCCTATGGCACTCTATGGCAATCTATGGAAATCTGTTTATAGTGAATCAGATAGTGTTCTAGGGGATGAGGTTGTGCAAGCCACAAGAAAAGTAGGTAACAAAAAAGAAATAAAACAATGAAAGTATTCATTCAAGGGAACATCGGACTGATGAGTCAGCTTTTTGTTCTCCCGGAACCCTGTTCTAGCAATATCCAGAAGAGATAGGTGCAGTGTGTATCATGTCCCTTAGTCTGGCAAAAAAATGCTTTCCTTTTTCGTGGGGGCCAAAGGTATTTCTTTACTAGATTTCATTATGAATAAATGTACTCTAGTTAACTCTGAGTCAATGGTCCTCCTGCATCTGCTGGATCATCTCGGACCCCACCAGAATATAGTTAGCACTAGCACAGTAAGTCATACGACATTTTCCAGGGTTCGTGATAGTGGATTTTAGTCCCCATATTTCTACCAAAATTAGGTCATATTTCTGCTGCAGAAGCCACGTGCGCCATACCGTTTTACGTGGAAGAAATCTGGCTGAATAACGGATTACAGGGATGGACTAAAATGCTCTGATAGTTAGCATAGACGCGATCGCATGCATACGGCCGTTTAAAGCGCATAAAATGATGATTGGTACGATCTCGCAAAGTGCAATAAAGTGCACGTGTCAATACATGTAGTCAGGTGTGGTTCCCGGGGTGAATTCGACCCATGCAGTTGGTCTCTTCCAGACGCACAGACAGCAAGGATCATTGGTTGCTCCTTCTTTTTCTTCTTTAGTTTAGCTTATCAATCGCACATATGCAGCCATCATTGATTGCTTGCTTTTTAGGGGATGGGGAGGCACACTCAAGGCAGAAAACTGATGGAGCTAATAATATGATAGGAGACCAAACGATATATTGGGGAAAGCAATATTATGATACGAGATGAATAATCTGAAGAACCTCCATGCATGCGCGATGATATCATCGGTAAGGGGTCGTTAATTCTGCCTACCGCGGTAAACCGCATAGTTAGATGTTACACCAGACGTTGAAATTCCCGGATTCGGTTATTTGTCTTAAATATCACATTTTATTGGTATATGTGTCCAACCGTACGTGGTCACGTCGCTGTGATTAGGTGTTGGTTTCGTGGCCTATAAGTTGATTGAGGGGTTCGACCTCTGCTCCCTAGCCTATTTCCTCTACTACTCGCGACAGGCATGAAGTACCCGAATATGCAGCTACAGGTTTTTGGTCTATTTTTGACTTCTAATCCAATGGAAATTGCAGATTAGGACGTGCATTTTCGGGTACTTGTTACCTGCTGCGAGTACGCATCTTCAAAGTCTTAAATGACGCCGATCTTACTTTGACCAGACGGTATCCCTTAAGCTGTTACTTACATGCTGCCAACATGAGACATCGTAACATCAGGCGAGCCTCGCACGAAAGCCACAGAATTGAGACATGATACTTGGCAAAGTTCGTAGCTTTAACAGCATAAGGGATAAGGGGTATGTATCTCAAGGGTGTATCTCCGGATAGTGACAAATCCTGACTCTATTTTCATTTCATACAGGTATCGACTATAGTACATCGTTCACGTATCAAACCGTGGCTACAAGACCTTTACACAAGCAACATAGATAGTGGGCGCATCTATTAATTGTGTCAATCAAAGTAGAGATTTATTGAATAACAAGAATCGGACAGAATCCAGTGCTGTTTCTCTTCCCACCACCATCCTCCCCGTGGTATCAAGATCTTCATCGAACGTCAGCAGCTTCAAATGACGATTCGCATAGCGGCAGTTACCTTCACTTCACCCAGCGTGCAGTTCGAGAGCGCTTTCCCTCTTAATGCCAAAACGGATCCTTCCCCCCCTTCGGCGCAATGGTGACAATCTTCAATTTGTTCCTCCTGTCCCTCTTCCACCAGGGTGGCCTCCTCTGCGCGAAGAGTCTAGTCCGCGCCTCTATATTCCACCCCCACATCACCAGGAAGAGGAGAGTGTCAACGTTTTGCATCTCACAGACTGGGCAGGTTTTACTGGCTGTGAGGAAGTGTGTGGTGTATTGAGTGTAGGGGGACATGGTTGTGATCGGGGTTGTGGGTGAGCAGGTTGTGAGAGTGTGGGGAGTGGGGTGTTGGATGTGGGTTCTAATGGTGTGTTTGGAGGTTTAGGTTGCTGTTGGTGGTAAAACATCCCCCTCCCGTTGATCCTGAACAGCAGGACCGTGAGCACATTTCTGCTCTAGGGCTAGATCGAATTAGAATACTAAGAGACCAAAAAATCCTATTAGTCTTCCCGCCTTAACTCCTTGGGACGAACGCGCGGTACCTTTCCCTTTCTTTCTTTGCTGGAGGCCGAGACATGTGATATCACTCGGTACCCTTCTCCCGCCACCCCGCAAGATTATAGCAAAATCAGAACAGCTACCGTCAGGTCTAAGCTAGAGAGGTTCTGTGAAGCCTCTAGGGGGCAAATCAAAAGTTTCAAATAAATAAAACCTATATCGGAGTATTCGTGATGTGTGCTCACAGGTTGAAACTTCCGGATGTTGCTTCTCCGTCATTCGCCCCTCAGTCATTCACCCCAATTCGTAGTTGGGTGGACTGAATTGGAACGAGTTACACGTTAAGCTTAACGTATAATTTGTCCACCAGAAAATGTTGCGTGTGGACGAGGTACACTCTAAGACGCACCTACTATACACACCTAATAACACCGGAACCACGCCCCGGGAAGTTTCTTAACGAAATAACCAACACCACTAAAGTACGAGTTGACCGAAACAAAGGCCATTTAGAACTGTATGTTTGACACTTTTATATTCCGATACGGCTTATTCCACGACTATAACTAAATAAACCAAACTGATTATAGGTAAAGCAAGACTAAAAAATCTTTTCGAATAAAATCATGTCAGAGACGCCGCCACCCCACTCTTCGCCCTCACTTCCCTCATCTCCCTCACTTCCCTCACCTACCCCGCCCCCATCACCCCCCTCACCGGTGCGGAACCTCCTACCTATGCCCACCCACCCCTTCCCGCATCTCAAATACCAAATCACAGTCCTCAGCAAGGATCAATACGCGGACATTCTGGACGGCAGCGTACTTCATCCCGACATTGTCAAGTCCAGGTCCTCTCTACGTCGCCTTGAAATAGCCGACTGTAACAACTCCCCCCTTCTCCACCTCTTTTCCCTCGGTGAACTAATACTAATAACCCGCCAACACCCCACCCAGACATCCCGGAACCAGGCCCCACAGTACCCCTGCCAACACCACGCAATCGAATCTACACATGCTCAGTGTGCGCCTACGCCGTCACAGGGTACACCAAGACGTTTGGCCACGGTAGAGGTGAGGATATGGTGCTGTATGACTGCTCCTGCGGAATGAGCCATAGCAAATTTATGAGAGTAGTTGCGCATCATGCGGAGGTATGTCCTGGGATGTTGGAGCGTTATCTGTATGCCGATAGGGTGAGGATGGGGTGCGGGGTGGCGTCTAGGGAGGTGGTTTTGTGGGTTGCGCCGGGGCGGTGGGGGTTGGGGAAGGTGTGGGAAACATCCAAAAGGAGTCGGTTGTAGCGTCGCTGCCGGGCAGGGAAGCACGGGCCTGAAGGGCTGGGATGAGGCCTTGGAGCTATATTCTCTGGGTATTCGTGTTCCAGTTGGTTAGGAGTTGGAGTGGTCTCTGGTAGGGATGATGGTAGAAGGGGTATTTTGGGGCGGAATAATGGGAGGCTGGAGTAATAATAGAAATAAAGTAAGATAGGAACTAGCTCTGTAGATATGGAGATGCTCTGGTGAAGAAATTAAGAAGATATCTGAACACGGATTACGTTTATAAAGAACTGGTTGATAGAAATTAAACAAAAAAGAAAAAAAGAAAAACTGGTTGATAGAGCAGAACAGAACCCATAAGAAATATAATAGTAAAACGAGGATCGTAAATGTAAAGAGTTTATCTTCGGGAAGTGACTAGGCTAATGGAAGAAGGACGATTTACACAATGAAAAGACAGGAGTATTATCGAGAGCAATATGTGAGGAGAGCTGAGGAGAGGCGACTTCCACAGAACTCACGACCACTTCTGCCGATGACAAATGGCCTTACTTGTGCCACGTATGCTGAGTCTTGCACAGCTGTCTACTTCTTCTCGATGTTTCCCCTGCATCATCACCGTCAACACAATCTTTCCATCAAATGCTGGAACAGTCTCAATACTCACCTCTTATCCTTCCTCACGAGACGACACTGCGAACCATGCGCCTCCAGGTCTTCCTTTGTTCTAAAGACACTCCCACAATCGCACGTCTTACTCCTCCTCTCCATCTCGCTCTCCTCCACCTGATGCCCCCTCCGATGCATCGCCACTTTGTCCACATCCGCAAACTCCTCCCCACAAACCTCACAGGCGAGCTCACTCATCTTGCGCCGTACATTCAGTCCATACGCGTACTTATTCCACTTCTTACTCATCCCAGACCTCGACAAATAGGCCACCTTCCCCTTCTCCTTGTCTCCCTCCCCCTCCTCCCCCTCCTCCACACCCTTGGCAAGCACCCATGCCCCCGGCCGCGACCTAACCCGCCGCCTCACCGCCGCCGCGACGACACTACCAAACTCCTTCCTGACGCGCTCACGGGCAGCCTCGATGTCCGTCTCGAGTGCCTGGTGCTCCTCCTGCTTGATATCGACACGCACCCTCATGTTCGGATACTCGCGGCTGAAGCGCTCGCCGCACCCGCAGCTGTACAGCATGAACGGTGTGTGGATACGTCCGTTCTTGAAGACATGGACCCGTGTTGTGAATGGTTGGGTGCAGGTGATGCAGACGTGCGGCGATGCGCGCTGCTGCTCGGCGTGGGTGTCGCAGTCGGGGCCGTCGGAGGAGGGTTGTAGGTCTCCTGCAACTGGCGCAGGTGGGGAGCACGGGGGATGCGGGGCAAGCTGGCGCCAGCGTCGCGGGGGTGGTGAGGGTGACCGGGTTGGGTTGGCGGTGGGGCGGTTCAACATGGCCTGGATGTTCTCGAACTGGCCCCAGCTGATGGCGTCTTCTTGGATGGTCTGCGCTGGTGGCGGCGCGGCGATATAAGAGGACGTGTCGCTGAGCTCATTGTCGATGTCGGCTTTGCCAGAGCAGAAGGAGAGGTGGTGCGCCAGAACCGTTGTGGCGTGGGCGTGGTCTTGACCGCACGGGCACGGATGGATGATGATGTTGAAGCCTTCGAATTCGACGGAGGACTGAGTGGTGGTGAAGGGGCAGTAGGGGCAGCCTGTGGCCGGGGAGTGCAGGTTGTACAGTGGTGCCTCATAGGCGGCCGAGTCTGTGGAGAGCGGGGGTTAGTATAGTTGGTATTCGAGTAGGGATGGATGGGGAATACCTGGACCATTGCGGTGGGTGGAGGAAGAAGATTGGACTTGACGTCCTGCAGAGGAAGACGATCCTAACTGCGAGTTTGCCTCGAGTGCTGCTGCAGCGGTGGTGCGCAGCTGGGAAGCGGAGGAAGAAGAGCTGATAGGCCTGTCTTGGGTGGGGGCGCGGGCCTTCACAAGGCGCTTGGAGGCGCGCGTGACGGGGCATGCGCGTGGCATTGTGGGTGTTGGTGGTGGGGGATGTCGAGATATATGTGGTTGTTGGTTGCTCTTCTTAGTTTTGGTGTTGGTGTTGGTGTTCGGGAGAAGTTGGGTGAAGGGCGGAAGGTTGGAAGTGGTGTGGGGAACTTTGTGGTCTTGGCTGGAGTGTGGTAGATTGGGTTTGGTTTGAGATGAGCCGACTTGGAGGGGAGTGGGCTGTGTGTGGTGAGATGAAGTTGGAATATAGGAAGTGTTGGGGGAAGAGGAATATATATTTTAATATTAAGTTCGGACGTAGGAGCTTCTGGCAGCTGGAAATTATCGATATATCTCACGGTAGAGGTAGCTATAGAGGTAAGAATTATGGCCCGATCATAACGGCGGGGGAGGAATAAGAGCATACACATCAGGGTTAAACCAAAATGCAATACACATTTTTTTTCTTTCCTGCAGGTTAAAAAACCGTTCGGTCAGAACCTATCGATCCTCGGACATACGAAAAGACTAGCTTCATGAGCATGTCCGAGATCGATAATTGGGTGTTCCCGATAATTATACTCGGGATAGTTCTGGTGCAATAGCTAGCATGATTTTGATTGATTTGGGATAACTCGCGGCGGGCTCGCTTTGTTATATCTCGGGCCCCTAGGCTCCCAACATTGCGAGTCCGTTCCAGTGCTTTCCCGAGTGATATCGCATGATGCGGAGGAGCCAACGTTCCAACTGAACACAAAATCACAAATAGAAGGACCTCCTGGAAGGGCTACAGAATGCATATATAAAGTAACTGAACAATAAAAAAAAACAGAAAATACACTGACCCAAAAAATAGCAAAAGGAGGAGACTAGCTCTTACCCCTTTTTACCCAGTCACACAGACTTTCAACCAAGCCTGGGAGGTGGTTCGAATGAATGACCTCGGCCCCTCTGGGCGACACCATAGCCACTGGGCTACGGCGGTAGATGGTGTGGTGATTTTGGGTGTGCATTAATACTGGTGCATGATCGATGGAGAAAATGGCCTACGCAAAAGGTATTCAGAAAAAGAACCCGGCGTGTCGGTGTAGAGATAGTATGTAGTATGGAGGTATGACTTTGTTTCTATTGGGGTTCTTAATTGGAGAGTTGTGGGGTGGGATTGCTCTCGTTTACGGAACAATCTAGTATAGTATCGAGAGTTCTTCACCTTATCCACCACAATCCGCGGCATTCGTAATCCATAACCTCAACCTCACCCTTCACTATCCTCAGCAACCTCACGAAGCACACCACGCTCACTACGCTCAGCACGTTCAAGGGTCACCACGCTCACTACATTCACCACGCTCACAACGCTCACTACACTCATACCCCGCATTCCGGCTCTTATTATCACACAATCCACCCCCCACTCACTACCACAAACATGTCCGCCCGCACCGAATGCACCACCCACTTCCTCGCCACCGGCGAGTACTGCCCCGTCTGCGACCTCACCTCCGTCGAGATCGTCATCTGGTTCGGTCGCTGGATGTGGTCCAACAGCCCCCCCGTCATCGGCGCAGAGTCAAAACATAATATCAAGCTCTGGGATGATGATGTCGACCGGTGGGACTACAAGACACCCTGGTGGAAGCGGTTGAGGAAGGGGAAGCCTAAGAATGGGAAGGTCCACGTGCCGAAGGGGACGGATCCGGCGTGGCATTGGGGTTAGAACAGGGGTGGCGGAAGGGTGGTGGTTTTGGTTTTGAAGGGGAACGGAGGGGGATGCGGGAAAGAGGATCGTCAGCGATGAGTTCTTGGAGAAAAGGGGGGGGGGGGAGGTTGTCTTTGGATGATCGTTCCGCACATTCAACAACAATACGCTCACTTTAATAAATTCCATTTGTTCATTCCGGTCGTTCTTTTCTGTATCTGTGCTGTGAATATTCCTATTATATCCTCGTATCTCATGCATTCGCATATTGCGAATTTCAATCAAGCTGTCCTGTGAGAATCTGGAACTATCAAGCCTGGAACCATATAACATGATCTCCGGGGGAGACCAAGCCTTCTCAGATACGGAATTGCAGAAGTTATTTTGGCAGCCTTAGGGCCAGGGCACCTGCGCAAATAACGAGTTAGTTAGCAACCGTGCAAACGCTTATATACCGTCCATCCTAACCCCCTCTTCCAGCCCCCACCACACCTCTCAGTCTGCACATCAACCTCCATCACCATACAAACCTAGAACCAAAGCTCCCCAACCATGTCCGCCCACGTCCAGTGCACCACGCACTTCCTCGCCACCGGTGACTACTGCCCTATCTGCGATTTGTATAACATTGATATTTTCCTCTTCATGGCGAATTGGGCGTGGGATAGGCGGCCGAACATTACGCTATTCAAGGAGGACTCGAAGATATTCTGGTGGAAGAGGGGCAGGAAGAATAAGTTGAAGAATGTCATCATTGAGGGGCCGAAGGCGGGGAGGGATCCGTGCTGGCATTAGGGGATGGGATGAGGAGAGAAGGAAGCAGCCTCGGAGGGCGCACTGGATGCGGTGAAGGTAACCGCCGGTCTGCTAGCCCCTTGCCACTTGACTGCTAACATCGTGGCCAGATCTCGATATCTCGGGGGATTCGGAGGTGATTTTGGGATGGAAAGTGTACTGGATTCTGTCTAGCTGTTAGTTTTATGGCTCAATAAATCTCTACTTTTATCTGCACCTGTTGTATTCTCCAGTTCCGGACTCCTTAATTCAGACTCACATCTGAACCCTGGCTCTTCTCTGGTCAAGTCCCGGAAAACCCGCATAAATTAGATACTACCACCTAGATACCTGTATATAGTGCAAGTTCAGAATGGGGACAGGTGTTATCCTCAGAAAGTTAGGGTTAGGGTTTATATTAACACTTCTACGGCTTTGAGATCAGTTTTCTGTGACTTGAAGTAAGTACGTATAGAATGCGCATGTAGTGCTTGCGTTTTTCTTCTCTCACACTTTATCCTCTACTATCTTACTCCAGTATCTAGCGGGACCATTATATGCCAACGAGGCAACTCGACGTCCAGTATGTGCTGCTTCCTGAGCTCTTTACGCAGGAAATATCTGGATAGTGGCCGGACCTCTTGACGCAGGTGACTTGACTTAGGCGGTCGCAAGTACTAGTAATGCGAGGGCAAATTCCCGATGGATCAAAGGAGAGATCACGATGAGTACTGTGTCCTCACCACCTGGTTTGTGTCTTATTGTCTTCCGAGCATCATCATCCTACCGTTCGAGCTGGTTTCAATACTGACTTTAAGCTCTGATCCCGTCATACACATACATATATGACCAAAGTATATATTGAGTTCCTCATTCACTCCAACAGTTTTGGGACAAACGAATGGATGAGGTTTTAAAACACGTCACAGCAGCTAAGTGATGGCAAGTGGTAAGAATATCTGTTAAGCCAATAATACTATCTACAAAAATCTCCCTCTAAAATAACGAATTGTATGAGCAGATAGCGAGTTAAAAAGTTGGTCGTCCATTATAACTCGATCACCTGTTTGGCTTCAGCCTTTTGTTCAAACCCCCGCTCAAGCTTCCGGCGGCTTAGTTATACCTCTCTGGGAAGGGAAATCCTTGTCCCAGATATCTAAAGCTGCCTACAGGGCCGCCACCGATAGATAGGAGATGCCAGGTACCGGTTATGGGATCATTCAGGTAAGGCATCGACCTACGGGAAGGGCCAAGGAACCCAAAGAAAAAAGGCGACAGTTTCACTTAGTCACTTTACTTTACCTGGACATCCCTTTTATGACCGGCGTAGAACTCGCGATTTAGTTCAACTCAGCTGTTGCCACTGTTGTAGAAAAGGCTATAAACTCTTCATCTCGGGGTTCAGAATGTATGGATTGAAAGGAATTGAAAAAGAAAGCATCGAAGATTTTGATTTTAATTATCTCATAGTGGTATCTGAAAGGGCTATTCTCCCAATGCTTCTATCAGGGCCTCCTGTCGGTAAAACATGTGAGTAGTTACCCCAAATGCTTTACCCGCCAAAATCCCCCCTAACGACGCGATAAACAGCGTTTGAAAATGGGACATAAGACATTTCAGATACTTCCTAAAGAACCAGTGAAGGTGTCGGTAGGTGCGTATATTTTATTCCTCTCAAGTCTAGCATGGTCCTCGCTAACGGAAGCAGCGGGCTGATCGCTTTTATATCTTACAGGGGTAGCCTCACCAGACTATGATCGAAGTACTACTCGGGCTTATGGCATCCAACAAATCTGTGCAAGCAGAGCCCGCACCTAGCGCTACTAAACCACGGATCGTTCCCAACGAGCACCCTACACACATCTTTTTTAGAGTTTCTGCACTCCTGGGACCTGCTCTTCCCCACCTCCTCCTTTGTCACCGCAAACTTCCCGCCAAGCGATATAAGCCCGTCAACGTACTTCCCCTTGTGCCAATCAACTCTTTTACCTAACTCCCGGCGCGCGTGGGCGAGGTCAGTAAAGTCCCCAAGAAAGGTATTTGGCGGGTAGACGTGGGCGTGGGCGTGGGGGGGAGGGGTGGTGGTAGAGGTGGTGGCAGTGGGAGGCGAGTCAGTGGTCGCCGCTGGTACAGTGTGGTGTACTGAATAACGGCGGGTTCCAGAGGTAGTGACCCTGGGAGCTGTGGTAGATGGCGCTGAACGGCGTCGAGCACCAGAACTGGGCCTGTAGTCCTCATCATCCTCGTCATCCACCTCATCCACCTCAGTGCCACTGTTGCCCGTAGGAGGAGGGGATTCAGTGTTGCGCACAGGAGGAGGAGATTCCTGCTCCTCTGGTAGTTTACATTCCTCCACCAGATGGGCGTCTTCTTCTACACCCAGCGCTGCAGTCCCAGAGAGAAACGCCATATCCCTCTGTCCAGCAGGCCCCGCTGGGCGAGACCCTCCCGCCGCAACAGATGCGACCCTATGATATGCTGCAAGTGTCATCTTACGGGTAGCCAGGAAGGCTTCCATCGGGTCAGTTGCGATGTTGAAGATGTGTCCGTCGATGGTGAAGATTCTCTGTGCTCCAGTCGGGGCAGGAGGTGCCGGTGGACCGGTTGGAGAGACTAGGATGAACACCATATCCCTTGCCCCCGCCGTCCCCTCAAAGATAGCAACGTAGGATGCGATTATCTGAGAACGCAGGAAATGGAACGCCTCGAGCGGGTCCTTCGGGATGCTGAAGATGTGGCCCGCGATTGTGAATGCATATGGTGCTGACTAGGTGGTGACGTCGTCAGCATCGGGCTCAGGGGAGGCTGGTCGCTGGACTTGAGCGGGACGATGTGAGAGCGCGGGTTATGGACTTCTGATGAACGGGCGAAGACGAGTGTCGGAAGAGACAGGGCGGCGCCTAGTACGGGCCATCGTTTGGGGGGGGGGGTGTCGTGGGGTCGTGGTTGTGATGACTGATAAAAGGGAAGGGTGTTGGCTCAAGTGTGAAATAGCGATCGCTAGGCCAGGGTGTTGAAGTTGTCCGTCATGGACTCTCACTCGGCGTACCAAGAGAAGAGCTCGGCCTTAGTCATAGTTTCTCACTCGCTCACCGAGTGATCGTCTGTGTCCCCGTATCGCTTGTCACAAAACCACACCATAGCCCTCGACACGAGAAAGCTGAGTTCGAGGGGGATTGTGGCTGGGTAGATCCTTGTCTCAGATTGCCAGTGGTTTGTCAGAACTAGACCTCCAACTAGCAGGATAGGTGTACCGTCAGAGACAGGGACCAGCGCCGTGCACGAGCCGTCCTGGCCGGGAACTCGGCTTATTGAAATAATGATTCTAGCCATTCAATTTCAGGAGTTGAGCTCGAACCCAGTCAGGCTCGCCGTTCTATTTTTACATCTAAACATTGTGATTTTGATACAGTTTTCATTTCTACAGATGAACTCTGGGTAGTTTCCTTAATTTTGATATTCCTTGTTTCCATTATCAACCGATTACTGATAATTTATAACCATCGAGCCTATAGCTAGATGAGAATTTCCAATTTAGAATCGAGCTGGTGAGAAACAGACATCGAGCTCAAGGCACGAGCAAGCTCTCGTCATGACTCATGCCTAGCTCTAACTGGAACCGCTGTGGCATGGGTCAAAGCTACAAGTTGGTAAATTGAAGTGAACGGGGGATATATTTCACGAGAGGTACATCGATAGCAAAGAGGACGGGAGAAATAGTAACACATTGCAGATCAGTAGTGAGTCTATCTACACCAATTCCCACACCTTATACCCATTACAAGACCATCATAACCCTCCAAATTCTTCTACACCATTGCTCCCATCGTATCCCCCATTACAAGACCCTTCTAATCCTCCAAATCCTCCTCCACATTGCACAGAATTGACCTCTGCGCGCAGAACCCACACCTCTGATTCGTCAACGTGACGCGCGGATCTTCTCCCACCAGCACCCTACACACCACATCCACTCCATGTCGCTCCGCCGACAAAATGCACCGGCTACACTTCACCTCCCCGACAACCTCCCTCGTCTCTGCAAATATTCCACCGAGTGAGATTAGCCCCTCGATATACTTCCCTCTGCACCATGATTCACCCATATTCAGCTCGCGCCGCACGTGCGCGATGTCACGGAAGAACTGACCGAGTAAGAACCGTTTTAAGTTGAAGAAACATTCTCGGGTCTTGGCGCTCTCAACCGGGATGAGCTCTACACCAAGGAGGTTCAGGGTTAGGGTGAAACTCAGAGGAGAGTCGGTGTTTTATACAGGGAGTTCTACCGGCGTGAAAAACTGGCTAATCAGAACCCGAAAGCGAACTGAGTAAACAATGGGGACAAAATTAAACTGAACTGCTTGACTAAACGCTTGAAGGAAACCGGTTCGAAGTGGTACACGAACCGTTGGAAACTCTGGCCGGTGGTCTCTGGAACTGCACCATGGGCTTAGGCATGGGAACTGCTGGAATGAGCGACTATAAACCGCTACTAGGAGTCATGGTTCCCTAAAATCGACGGGTGGGTAGGTATTCCGAGCTCGTCCAAGAATAATGCTTCTGGCGTCTCATTACATGGAAGGAAACCTCTGGTTTGAAATATGCTCGCCATAATATATCTTTCAAAATTGTTAGATCTTTCTCCTCTTTGGGTTGGAGAGAATTAATCCATCCTGCCGACAACGACGGAAGAGGAGAGGTTGTACCGTCCGGCAAAAAGCCCTGAGGTCATTCTGCTGTGACCTCGGGGGCAGCTGTGCTTGGCACACACCGGCGTGTATTGCGAGCGTTTAGCAGTGCAGTAGGTATGATCACTAATAATTTATAACCATCGAGCCTATAGCTAGACGAGAATTTACAAGCTAAAATCAAGCTGGTGAGAAACAGGCATCAAGCTCAACGCTGTAGCAAGCTCGGTTGATGCCCAGCTCTAGCAGGAATGGCTGTGGCAGGGGGCAAGGCTACACGTCGGTAAATTGAAGTGAGCGTTGGATATATTCGATAAGGGATACATCGACCGTGAAGAGGATGGGTAGATTAGTAACGTTTTGTATGAGTGAGTCTATCTACACAATTACTCTCATAGTACTCTACTTACAGTATGTGTTCGGATCAACATTTAGACTACACACTGCTCCCGTCTGCACGCAAAGCCCACACCGGTTCTTCAGCATCCAGATCCACATGTCTGGCTCGTCCACCACCCAACAAGACATATACACTCCCGTCCGCTCCGACAACAAGAGGCAACTCTTACACCTGTCAATCCTCACAAGCTCCCTCGTCTCCGCAAACCCCCAACCGAGCGATAGTAGCCCGTCGATGTACTTCCCCCTGCACCACGACTTGTTCATGCCGAGCTCGCGCTGCGCGTGTTCGATGTCGTGAAAATTGCCAAGGAAGGTGTTGCGGCTGTTCAAGCTTGCGGAATCCAGCTTGAGGAGGGTGCGGGTAGTAGCGGCGGTAGGGGCGGTGGTGGGAGTAGCGGGTGTAGCATCATCTTCTGCTCGACGACAAGGCACAGCACTAGTGAGCGTACCAGCACGGGAGTCAATTCGAGTCAGAGCGTTCTGAGAGCTGTGCTCGGGTGTTGTCTCAGCGGCGGTGCCAAACACAAAGGCCATATCCCGCGCGCCTGCTCTCCCCTCTGTAACGTGCCGAAACGACGCGATCGTCATCTCACGGGTGGCAAGGAAGGCGGGCACTGCGCCGGCGGGGATCGTGAAGGTCTGGTTGTCGATGGAAATCTCTCTGGTACTGCCGCTGCCATCAGGAGCCGCGGGCTGGGTCATGCTCAGGCCACCGCGTGCGATCGGCTTTGCAGCCGTGGGGGCCAGAGCGGCACCAAAGATAAATCCCGTATCTGCGCTTCCGCCGCCCCGCCTGACACGGCACGCAGAAAGGCGATTGTCTGTGCCCTTGTGGCATGGAATGCCTGGACGGGGTCGTGCGGGGTGGTGAATGGGTGGCGGTCAATCAGGAGCGTTGTGGTGGTGGGCTGTATCTGTTTCTCCGACGCCGATCCGGCGGTGGTGTTGGTTTTCGACGCCTTGTCCACATGAATAGCGGGGGCTTCGACTGCCGATCCTCGGTGGGTGGTGCGTTGCACCTTGCGGGAGCCGGTCTTGGTGGAGGAGCGAGGTGGGGGAGAGGACTTGTGTTTCGGGTCAGGGGCGATGAGGTCTGAGTCGTGGCGGGAGCTGCGGGCGCTGCGTATGGGACCCATGGTGGTGATGATGAGGCAGTGTAGGGGAGGTGGAGTGTGGTAATGGAAATGATGGGGGAGAGGAAGAGAGGAAGGAAGAGTAGGGGATGTAGTAGCGTGTGCTGTGTTCTCAAGTCTTGGCACGCCCACCCAGGACGAACATTTCACCAACGATGTTGAAGGTTAGGGTGACACCTAGACGAGAGTTGTCCTTATTTATACAGGGACTTCGAACGGCATGCAAAACCGGCGAATCAAACTCCGAAAGTGAATTGGCCAAAGAATGAGATTGTAAAACTGAAATCAACTGCTTCACTCAACGGTTGTCGGAGCGCGATTTGAACTGGTACACGAGCGGTTGAAAAGAATGGCCGGTGGTCTCTGGAGTCGCCCCAGGGGCCTCGGGCATGAACAAGCGACTACAAACCGGTACCAGGAGCCCCAGACTCGGCCTAAAGTTGGCGAGTGGGTAAATATAGGTATTCCGAGCTCGGGCTCATTCCCGGCCGCAGTGGTCCTCGTATTACTTGCATGTATTGTGATCCTTGAGTATGATTGATACGTTAAATAAGCTTGAATATATGGTTAAACAACGCTCTGACAGTAGGTTTCGGAAGCGTTGACATATCTGCACAATTATTCGAGGATTGATGAGCGTCATGAAGTATCACTCGGTGATGCTACTCCTCCGGTGGACAAACTTCTCAACCTGTGTGAGGCAGTTAATATAGCCTTATTCTAACTAAAGTTATTCATCCCTCAGGTGACAATGCTGGTGCTGGGGTAATCAGATACCTCTACTGCGTAGTATTGATTTAAGACGGATTCGAGCACGCAATCGAATGATAGTTTATGACTATTATTTAGCTAAGTATTCGCATATAGAACAGTAGACAGCCTCAATCGGAGCCTAACTAATCATTGTTAACTAAGAACACCCAAGGCTACTCTTTCGTGAGATAATAAACCCCCGATCCAAGCCCACACCCACCCCCGTCCCCATCCTCAGCAGCATTCCCACCACTACCCCCATCCCCAACCTGAACCCGCCATCTCTTTACCGGCCGTCCCTCTTCCCCCTCACAGCCCTCAGCAGCCCTCTTCCCAGCAGCACCAACCCCGCCCCCTCCCTCCGCCGCCCCAGTACCCATCGCGACAGCCAGGTCCCTGTCCGTCCCGCTCCTTGCCACAACCGCACGATACGACGCAATGACCTGCTGCCGCACCGTATGGAAGCACTCCACCGGATCCGCCGGAACCTCGAAGATGTGCCCATCGATAACGATCGCTGTAAAGCCCGCAGGGGACAGGGTCGAGGTGTTGGTCGCGGCGTTCACCATGCCCGGTTTGGGAATGCTGGGGTTGGCCGCAGAAGCGTGCTGGGCTGGGGCGTCGGGATCCAGTTGCCCGTCGTCGGACGGGGCGGGCTCGGTCTTGATGCCCTTCGGCGGACTGGAGGTTTTACTGCCCTTGATACCTTTCTTGGGAGCTTCCTTCTTGGGGGCATTTTTCTTGGGAGCTTCTTTCTTGGGTGCTTTTCCCTTGCCCTTGGAAGCAGCGGCAGTACGAGGAGCTGCTTTGCGAGCTCTCTTGGGAGCGGGAGCAGGAGACTCGTTCTCGCTCTCGTTGTCGTTGTCGTTGTCGTTTTCATCTTCATTTTCATCTCCGGAGGCAGCAGGCTCACTGGCGGAGGCTTCGTCGAGGGCTTCATCATCTTCGAGGGCCTCCTCGTCACTGGGGATGGAGGGTTCCGATGGGGGTGGATCGGACACTGCCACTCTGCCAAAACACCTGCCAATGGGGGCGTATCGAGTCCAGCTTCTGCATCCTGTACCCCGCCGGGGTGGTTGCCTGGTGCGGGCCATTGTGAGATACAGGAGGAGGTCAAGGGGATGGATAATGACGCCTGTGGACCACGGGGGTGATGAGCTTTGATGAGAGGTAAGGGGGAGAAATGTATTGATGATGAAGGCAGAGCTGTACTAGATGAGATTGTGTGATGCCGGAGATGGATGGAGATGGAGATGGTTGTGGTGGAGGGTATGGAGATATGGGGGCTGGACTTGGGTCATATCTGTGCTTGGCGTCTATTTTGGCCGCAGTGTGAAATGTACACTAGTAGACGTGCATTGTAGCCTGCGTAGTGTTCATTTGCGTTGCGGTTAGTATAGGATGGGCGCGAGCCCAGTGGTGTCGGATATTTGACATTGAGCAAAATAAGGCAAGGATCATAAGACGCAACAAGATCAGTTTCTAGCTCGCATTAACTTTCTTCCACCTTAAATGTCCTTCAAAGCAATTGCGAGCTTCTTCCGGTTTTCTCATGAGCTCGGTAGGCAGATTGGAAATCGTTAGGTCCTAGTCATAGACTATCACTCCGTGTTTACTCCCGAATTACAGACGCCGGTTGCACCACGCCAAGGGGTTTGATAAATCCTAGTCCATCATTGATATCCGGCGAAGGATATTCTCGTATTGAATTGTGTTCGCCTCGTTCGCGGATGTGGGGGGTGTTAGTCCCCAGGTGGGGAGATCGGACCGAGTGATAATCTGTCAATCGGATGTGCGTGTACAGATCAACCAAGTGGTAGAGGGTTGTTGATAAATGGATCACGAAAGATGTTATCGGTGTAATTTCACCACATAGATGAGTCCATTCAAGGCGTTGTCCTCCCCTAGGATGGCTATGGCGATACACGAAGTTCAATGCTCTGAATTCGTCTTTAGGAATGAAAGCTATGTTGAGATTACTATTTTTAGGTCGCTTAATGAGAGCCTGAGCCTAAGCTTGACCCATAGTCCCGAGTCTTGAAGTTGGGCTCGAGGTTGAGCTTGAGCTCTCGTGACTATACCTAAAAGTTGACCTCCCAGTAAGTGGAGGACATATTTCTTTATGTAGCTGTTCTGTCCGGTCCGTAAGTCATCCTATCCACCAGAAAATACGAATTGGGCGCCCTATCGGCCAGGGAATTGTTATATCGTATTAACTTGAAAATAGCGCCCCACCCATAAGCATAAGCTCAACCCATATGGACGTGACAGGTATTCGGTTGAAGACTTGCGGGTGTTAAATGACACGAGGGTGCAGTTGTAGGATTGCTGGATAGAGTTTGATAAAATTGTAAATTGATAGTGATGTAACTAAGTCGTGACCTCTCTTCTTTTACCTGTCTTTCCCTTCAGCTCCTTCCTTCTCCCACTATCTTTGTCAAGCAGGCAGGGAGCTTTTATTCTAACAGTTGGAATAGAACTTGCTTATTTACCTGACCCTGTTTGGTCATGGTATCCAGTGACTGCACGTGTTGCCTCATATCAAGATGTTATAGCATTGCCGGGTGACAAAAGTAACCGTGATTTTGCTTAGCAACCAGCAGAAATTGCCCAAATCGACCAACTCCCAAAGTCGGTTCTCGAGATTCATACCGAAGGGATAGGTTCTATCAATCTAAGGCTTTCTAACTATACAATCCTTGATTTCGTATCTATTATGGTTATGGAGTTATACTTGTTTCAAGACGCATTCACATACAAATCTGGTTGCAATGCAAAATCACGGTTACTTTTGTCACCCAGCAATAATTCGGAGTTCTGAGTTTCACTGACAATCTTTCGTCAACCTCAAGTTCGTGGTTTGACAATATTGTTGGGTTCCCCAGTGTTTAGAGTGACTGCTGAGCGGGATGCAAACTCTCTGTCGGGCGGGGTGGCCCTTTGGGTTTATTCCGATAAAGCAGGTACCTGGTGGATAGGGCGCCCGAATCATACTTCCTGGCGGATAGGACGCCCATACGGCTCGGTCAGAACATAGCTCACCCGGGGGCTATAGTGTTCAACTAGCATTAGTAATAATCTCCCAGGTTCGAGCTTTTTGGATATGGGCTTGAGCTGGCTCGGGCTCGTCGGTAAGAGAGCTTGATCTGTGCGAGCTTAAAGCTCGAGTTCAAAGCTTGAGCCCGCTCTGCTCGGGCCCATCACTAGCTCAGGTGGGATAAGGAAAACGCTGTAGAGTAACTTACAGTACACTATAACACCCGGCAGTTTGCATGCAGATGACTGATACAACACTCCGTCTACTCTCCATACACACCCTCCTCCTTCTACATCCCCATCCATCACACAATACCCTAACTCTTCTCTAAATTACCCATCAGTGCACCTCTCCCCATCATCGAATTTCTCTACTGCACCTTCTCTCATCATCTCACGATGACCTTTACTCCGATTGTTCGCCACGGCACAGGGCCCAGGTACCAACCCACTTCTGCCTCCACATCCAATGGCAAGATTGTCCTCTCAAAGTCGCCCCCAGTTGAGCTCGCCGGGGAGAACGATGAACGCCTAGGGCTTCGGGAAGAATACCTCGTTACCGAGGACGAATACACAGGCACTGAAAGCTCTTCTAGTGGTACGGCTGCCTCCGGGGATGATAACGACAACGCCAACTTCACCGAGGACGAAGTCCTATGCACTGAAGGCTCTGTCAGTGAGCTTGCTGCCTCCGAAAATGATAATGATAACGATAACGATAACGATAACGATAACGATAACGACACCGACGTTCCTGCTCCTACTCCTACTCCTGCTCCTAAGAAAGCAAGGAAAGCAGCAGCCTCTCGTGCTACCACCGCTACTACTACCAAAGACAGGAAGAAAGCTCCCAAGAAGATTGCGAAGAAGAGCAAGGGTAAACGCACCCCGAAGCGGATCAAGGCCGAGCCTGCTACCTCCGACAATGAACACGAGGACATTGAAGACTCTGCCCAGGAAGAAGAGGCGCCAGACGCCGATACAAAAAAGAGACGCCGCAGGGTGGACACTATGGCTAAAACCGAGCAATTGTCCTCTACAGACTTTACAGCGATCTTTATCGACGGGTACGGCTTCGACGTTCCTGCGGATCCGGTGGAGTGCTTTCATAAGGTGAGGCAGCATGTTATTGCTTCCTATCGTGCGGTTGTGGGAAGGAGAGGGACTGAGAGGGATATGGCAGTTGTGGTGGGGACTGGCATAGCGGATGGGGCTAGCGAGGTTGATGGCGGGGTTCATGGCGGGGGTCGCGGGGGTAGGAAGAGAGCGGCTGAGGGCGGGAAGGGCGGGGACCCGGGGAACGGTAGGAAGGTGAAGAAGCGTGGTATACAGGTTGCGAATACAGTCGACTCTCGTTATAGTGATGCTCGATATAGTGATATTCTTCTTATAAGGATGTCACTTAAGTTGCTGGTCCTAACATTTGCTATGGGGTATTAGTGATATTTTGATAGAACGATATCCTTAGGTATTTAGTAGATGAAGAGAACAAAAACCTAAGGAAAAATGAAAGAAAGAAAAAGCAAAAAGAAACAGGTTTCCAAGGAAGAGAAGAAAATAATTTCCATAAAAGGAGTGAGTGATCAAGCAACGAAATTAAATTAAATTTTATTCTTCGGTCCAGAAAAAACCTAGCCCTGAACTTCTTATAGTGATAATCTCGTTATAAGGATGCCACTTTCCGGTCCCGACCTCATCACTATAACGAGAGTCGACTGTAAGGGGGAGGGTAGCTATGCTGGTGGGCTTGATGCTGCTGAGAGTTGTGGTGCGGGCGGGGGTAAGGAGGAGAGCATTATGCTCTGAGGGAGTTGCATTCGGATTTTCTTGTTTGTCAGGTTCACACTGTGGCTTCTTATATATATAAATGTTTAGCTAGATAGCGTCTTACCAAAATTAAATACATTTTTGCTGCTTCCTGAATTGTCCGATTGTACAGGGGTTTCGATAACCTGGCATAGCCCAGCTGTTCTACTTGACTGAAGAACATTGCTCACTCAGGAACCTGTTGCTATGGCTGATTGCCGCAGGATTTACTGCACAAAGTAATTGTACAGTAAAACAATGGATCAAAATCGCTGCGACGCTGCCTGACTTTCCTCTGAATAGATAACGATTGTAAAGATTTCTATGGCCCACTCAAAGACCGGCAAAGAGGACAGCTATATTCACGGCGCCCCCTCGATGACTACTCGAGAACTCCTAATCTGTGGCTTTACTTGCTAATTCTAACCGATAAGCTTTAAGAGGGCGCCAAGGAAGCTATCAGCACACGCATGGTTTAAATGGTCGAGGGGTAACACAGCTACCTAGCGGAGCCACCATGAGACCTTCAGGAGGTCTTGCGTTCGACACACATCGGCGCAGTGGAGCGCAATACTTTTTTGTATTTTATTTGCTTTTTTTTTATTTATCGTAATGCTGCAATCTGCATACCCTGGGTACATACCTGTAAGTGGTCGACTATTGTGGTTGATTGTTGGCTTAGTGTGGTACACGGCGTTGGCGCTCGAGACCTTAACTCGAGGCTTATGGTTCGAGAGAGATGCAATACCCCAATGCAAAGTAAACATTAGCGGTATACTTATTCTCCCTGAGAAATTGATACATGTGGATTTATTACGTCTACCCCGGACTCCATATCGATATATACTCGAAGGATGGAATACTAAAATGAGACAATCATGTAAGCAGCCATGTAGAGTTCCTGGCTGGGCCACCATAGTTCCTGAATGAACCGCTCATAGGTGAAGACTTCCGGAGACACCTCGGCTCGTGCCCATTACTAGAGACGGGATATGGATAACGTTGTGGAATAACTTCCAGTACACCATTGCTACAAGCGGCAGTTTGCATGCAGACCACTGGTAAGACACGCGGTCTACTCAGGGTCGAGGTCTGTCCCCAGTTGATGACATACATATCTCTCTCACTTATTATTGCTTGTATGATATCATCGATATTAGGTCGATTATTCTTTCTAGTTTCCCACATCTCGTATTCATCATTACCGGTTATCAATATTAACGCTCAAGCCCACCAAAGGAAGAAGCAATACACTACCTGTTAGACCTGCGTCATCAGTACCGAACATGAGTCACCCGCAACCTGTTATATAACTGTAGCGCATATGTCTTGTGTGGCGGCCAGAACTATCCCGTAAGCTGTCGCGAAAAATGGTGGCCCACCAAAAAAAAGAAAACTTGGTGTGGTTTTACCAACAGATCTCATTATCTCTCTGATCAAATAATAGATCTCTGATACAAATCTAATTCTGTGTTGTAGGGGGGTCAGCATCGACAGCTTAAGGGATAGTATGAGATCGACCTGTCACACATATACCACCGCATAACAGTTGGTATTGTGTCGTTTCCGGATCAGTGCATCTTCCAGTGGACAAACTCAATGTGATGAGCAGTTATTCGGTATCAATGTCGTCAGAGGCGGAAGGGAGCCTCTTACCACTCGCCAGTTATACATTGTCCGGTACAGTACGCTCCATCTACACTCTCTACACCCTCCTGCCCCCCCACCCGTCCCACAACACCTACCCCTCCTCTACATCATCTATCAGTAGACTGCACACCTCCTTATCATCGAACTCCTCTCTTCTAAACCGATTAAAGCTTCTTATACCATTCCACAATGATCACCTATGGAGCCCGCAAGGGCACAGGACCCAGAGCACCCGAATCCATCTCTGCCCCCGTATGCATCTGGGATGAGTACATGGTGACCGAGGACGAATACCCCGGCACCGAAAACCCTTGCAATCAGAGTGCTCCCTTCGAAGAAGGCACCGACCACGACCACGACTCCGAGACCGAGAGCGATGTTCATGCTCCTCCTCCTCCTCCTGCTACAAAATCTATGAAAGCGCCTCCCCCTGCTGCTGCGGCTCTTCCTGCTGCAGCGGCTCCCGCTAGTGGTAGCAAGAATCCTACCGGAAAGGTCCCAAACGGCAGCAAGACCGGAAACGCTACAAAGAGCGTCCAGACGGATCCTACCACCGCCGGCGATATCGCTGCGACCAAAGCCGTGCCCTTGTCCTCTGCGATCTTTATCGACGAGTACGCCTTCGACGTTCCTACAAATCCGGTGGAGTGTTTCCAGAAGGTGCGGCAGCAGGTCATTGCGTCGTACCGTGCCGTGGCGGCAAGGAGGGGGACTGACAGGGATTTGGCTGTGGTCATGGGGAGTGGATCCGTGGACGGAGTAGGTGGTGTTCATGGCGGGGGTCGTGGTGGGAGGAAGAGAGCGGCTGGGGGCGGGAGGGGCGGGGATGTGGAGGAGGGGAGGAAGGTGAAGAGGTGACGCGCGCAGGTTAGAAATGGGGGAAGGGGGCCATCCTGGTGGAGTTCGTGCCGCTGAGGCTGGTGGTGAGGCGGCGGTAGGGTGGGGAATATTATATATTATGCTCTGAAAGGGAAGCATTCGGATTTTCTTGGTCAGATACTAGGCTCACACTGACCCCTCTTATATATATAAATATTTAGCCAGATAGCGTAGTAACAGAATTAAATCCACTTTTACTGCTTCCTCGATTGCCCCATTGTTCCACAGTGGTTTTGATATGCTGCATGGCCTAATTGTAACAGTATGGATCGTCACCGGACTGGTCTGGTCCGCATGGTGATCTTGAGCCCGGACTTGTATTCAGAACTATTGATTCAAAGACTTCCCGTATTGTACAAACTACACCACCAGGACTTCAAAAAAATTGTGCTAAATGGGTGTATTTAACTACCTCTCCCAACATTGTTAACCCGGGAATTTCATTTATCAAACTGGTATGTGGGTTAGCGTTGGCAACTATTTCAGGCGGAAAAATAATTAATCTGTGCAGGTTGCCAGTTGGGTTGTGTCGGTTTACGGTGTGTGAGGTATCGTGATTAGTAATCACCATAGTCTGAAGCCCAAACTGTACTGACTACCTCATTGGTATTTAGTTTCTTACGGTAATTGTATCTGTATATACCGCCAAGCCGGCGACTAATTGCAAATACTGGGCCACTCTCGAGACCGCCTTGACTTTTCTTCATCCTCCGGAGTCTATTCAAAGAGTATTTAGCTAATTCCGGCTCACTCTTGCAATCGGTAAGCATTCCTTATTTCATAAGTCACTATTTCTTACTTTCATAAGTCACGATGATGTCCATTTGTTATAGGCTCCTAGCTTATTGTTTTGCGATTATCTCTTTATTTCCTTACTGCGTGAGAGGTGGAGGAAGTGATTGGCAAGTTCTGGGGCAGTGGGATCTTGTCATAGACTACGGTCTGCGTGCGGTTGATGAATCGGAAGAGACATCTTGGAGTTGAGTGGTAATCATAGACTATCACTCGGTCATGTGCTCAAGCCCGCAAATCAAATCACAAACGCCAGTTGCACCACGCAAAGATGTCAGATTTCTCCTGCTCTATCATTTATATCCGGAAGGAGATTAAGTAATTTTAGGCCATGTTTGCCTATTTTACTGATTTCGAGATAGAGTGTTAGGTCACCAGGTATGGGAGATCGGGCCGAGTGATGGTCTGTGAACCGGGTGTACGTGGACAGATCATCAAGCTACAGATTTATACTTATCAGGGCGACTAAAGATTAATTAGAGGAGCGATATTTCCTCACATAACTTAGTTTATTCAAGGCTTTGTCTCCACCTAGGATTGGTTTCGCAATACACGCGGTGATGAATCTAGTACTAGGACCGGGGGTGAGCGCTCATGAACATGAAGAAGATTATATTGTGATATCGTGGAGCAAGTTAAAAGAACATGTGTCAGAAAACGTTTCAAAGGCTACGTTGGTGGATTCAATTAAGCATATCTGTTCGTTTCAAGAGCTATAAGTCAAGCTGCGGCAACCCACTTAATCCTACCATCATCACTCCCATTTCTTTGGGTCCGGCCATTCAGAGCGACAGTGCCCTCAGAATCTCAGATAGATATATAAAAAGCCTCGGTTGCCAACAGCCTGAAGGGAACAGGGTTCCATGAGCAGAGTATTCACGAGAATTCGAAACCTATATTTCCCCTTGTTGTAAGAGACCGAGGTCAATCGATTCTTAAATCTAGCTAATATCAGAAAACTTCGATCGGCGAATTAGCATATCTGGAAGACGGTTACCAAGCGACCTACAAGCCATCCTGAAGCACCTGGTATTTGGAGCGCTGAGGGCAGATCGCGGAATATCTAGCCCGGCCGTGGTTTAGTTCTGGGTAACAGTGATTCCTTTACCAGTTTGCAATTGCTCGCTATAGAATTTATAACCTCTAATCCCGCGGTGGTCTGTATAGTTCCAGAGATGACCGAATATGCAACGGGAGCACCCCCCGTATAACAATCCACCATGCATCATGAGTTGACAAGGATCACAACACGCACTAGTCCATCACTTACCCTTCTTTCCCTCTCTTCATCCTCCCTATCAAGACCATCCGTACACACCCACCCCACACAGACACTTGATCACGTCCATCAACACCAATGGTACACATTCACCTTCGTGGCGACAGCCACGGCAATCAGGTTTCCGTATCGAGCCCCTCCGTACGGACTCGCTATCTCAACCTTCACCGCGGCACAACTCGCGCACCGACAACTCCACGAGCGGAGCATACCCATGCCGCCACCCACACTCCGCAAGCAGAGCATACAGACCCCGCCACCCCACCGTCACCCTCGTAATTGACAACCACCCATCCAGCACCCCCCACAATCCCGCAGAAGCATTTCACGCCACACGCACTCAGACGATCGCCTCCTTCCGGACAGTTGCAGCGGAGACAGCGACGGCCAGTGATATGAGCTTCATCTTCGACGCTATTGTAGCACTGTCTCCCACTGATACAACTCCATCCTCATATGTTGCCCCGTCGGATTCTGATGCAGCCAAGTCGACACCGAGCATGGGCCAACTTGCCCCCCCGCGCTACAGCGGCAGCACTAGAGACATCGAAATCGACAGCCACAAGTTCATGCTCCCCACAGACGCGGTCCATGCCTTCCTGGAAACTCGTGAAATGACGATTGCCGCTTTTCGGATGATTGCGGCGGGGGAAGCGGCGGTGGGGGGCGGGAGGGATATGGCGTTCGTTTTTGGCACTGCTATTTTTGCTACCCCTGAGGGGACAAGAATCGTGGAAGGAGAGGGCGATATGGCATCTCAGGCTCATATTACTGACGGAGAACGTACGCCAGCGCCTATTTCTGAGGAGACAGATGAGATAGAGGTTCACGAGGTTGACGAGGATGAAGACAAGGATTACGCCACGCCCGCGTCCAGTGGCGGCCGCAGTCCTCGCTCCTGGCAGGACCTTACTCCCGCGGTTCCATTCCTTAGCGAAGGACTTCGTCGTCGGGCAGTTGGTGACACAGTGCAGGCTGTAAGTGTGTCTATCGCCTCGACTTCAACCCCTATCATGACACCGGCCCCAACCCCTAAGAATACCCTGGCTCCAGCGCCCCCCATTCCCCCGATCCCCACCCCACCTACCGCAACCCCGCCCCGGATCGCCAACCACCTGCCAAGCACCTTTCTTGGTAACTTCCCCGACCTCGACAACGCCGAGCTCAAGCTCGGCCGGTCCAACAAGTTGCTTTCAGGGATGTATATCGACGGCTGGCTATCAATCGGTGGGAAGTTTGCTGCAACGACGGAGCTGGTTGGGGAGGAGAGGTGTTGCGCGTGTGTTTCGCGGGCTGACGAGAACGGGGTGGCTGGGCAGGCGGTGTGTAAGGTGCTTACGGAGGAGGATCCAGTTGGTGGGGCGTTTGTGGAGGATGATCCGGGGATGGAAAGTGGGTGCGTACTGTTTGATGACGGGGTTGGAGTGTAAGGAGGGCGAGGGGAAGGTAGTGAAGTGAGGGGGGTTGGGTTCTGGGTGGGACATGGGTCGTGTTGTGCTACGAGGATCACAATCATGATAAATGTCTATATATCTGTTTCTAGCACGATATGGCCCTAGTTAAAACATGTCCCATTGACTGTCACGTACTACTACAGTCTTTGTGTCTCTCCTCCACCCCATCCTATTTCCTCCAAGTTCAAACGGGTTGAAAAAACAAACTACACCCCCAACCATTCCCTGATCTTGTGAACCGATCTATACACAATTTGCAATTAGACGTCAATTCGGTAGTGGAAACCAGTACGACACTAAGTAATAATGAGCTAGACAGGTAGTACAGTTTGAGCTTCAGGGTATGGTGGTTAGACCGAGATTATACGCCCACAAACCGATACAAACCTGTACCTGATGGATTGTTACGGAACATTCTTTCTCCGCCCCTTCGGTACTGCCTTTGCCTGAAACACGTGCCAAGAACCCTAGCCCATGCATATCAGAAAAATGGTATCAGCGGTTCAATCATCATGGAGGAGGTGGTGAAATACATACATGTGGTTAGTGGTGTTTTCTAAGACGCCAGTAGGACAGTTTGTACAATACGGGGACGTTTCTTCGATTATGGGTGCAGGGAGACTTGTATTAGTATGCTTACCGCCGGATTTCATGCGGCATCATGCTCCACCGCCACACGACCCTGCTCGATGATGATGAGGATCACAATTAATTTATTGTTTCTCCAATGACCTGGCCTCAGGGTATTCAGTGCTCTGTTGCGTTAGGCCTCCCGCAGTTTATAGGCTTTGGGTTGGGCGGGTGAGTTGTAAACCCCTGTATCGATGTGTGAGGCACGTGATCGAGTGATACCTCGTGACACTCCTCCGAACTCGGGAAATCCTTGCACTGAACCCCTGTCGTGATCTGAAAGCTACATCGTGCTCAGTGTTAGTGATAGACCGTGTGCTTTATAAAATAACTTGAATTCAGGTAATTTCTCGGGGCTAGTTTTAGTTGAGATGCACGTTATCGAGTGATGTTCCATCATAATTATTTCTCGCGGTTTGGATGTTTAAGCGGCTTTCTTGCGAGTGTTTGGTAAAGTAGTTGATCACTTCGTTTTACGGGTGTTGAGCAACCGGTCTTCCATGTCGATCGAACTCCCCATACAAACACTCTCGCCGCAACGATCATGTATCCCAATCCCAAGACTTGCTAGTCTAGTCTAGATTTGTTTGTAACAACAACCGCCGCAACCACCCTGCACCACGACTCCCTCCTGTCCCCTCCACCGAGCACAACCATCACCCCCCCACCATGCCAGGCCAACGGAAACGGCGCACGTTGACGGGCGTCTCAACGCGCCCATCAAAAAACCGTGACTCGTGCGCAACTGCCGAAGATATACCCCCAAAGCCTCCTGCCAGTGTTCGCAACGGGGTAATCCATCGGTCCTGAAGGTCAGGACCGGACCGACTACGAGCTGTAGTCGGTCTTGAACAGGCGCAGGGACTGACTACCGACCATGGGGCGAGGACTACCGACTATAGTCTGGATTATGGGCTTGCAGCTTGGCATATACTACGGCGCTGCTCTACAGATATCTACAGTCCTGCATAGATATCCACAGTTTGGTGTAGATATCTGCGGTTCTAGCACCTATCTGTAGTCTGCAAGGCTCAACTATTTTCCAACCTACAAGCTGCGTATATGAGCCCAATATATTAACTCCACCACACGTATAGTTCTATATTGTCGCTAGAACCGAGTAATCGTTCATGACCCTATAGATATCTATAGTCCGGCGCCTTAACTATAGTCCTGACAAAATCAGGGACTAGACCGACCACGAACAAATAGTCCGCCCAGTCTGGAGGCCCTGCCAAGGCATCTGTAGATATCTATAATTCGGACCTGACCGTTGCGAACACTGCCTCCTGCATCGCCGAGGAGACTGCGGAAGCGCGTATCACGCGCTGGCGTCAAGGACACTCGGGAAGCAGCTGAAGATGGCGGTTCTGAACAGAAAAGGACAGACTCCGCCACCGTCGGGGACGTAGTCCACGATAGCGCTGCGGGAAGCGGTGTCGTTGAAACTACTGCTCCTGCGGCCGCGGTTGGTGGGGGAGATGGCCGCAGACGCCGTCCCGCTGACGCTGCGATGGAAGGAGAACCATTTTCACACATGATTCACGCGGCGACCAACACCTCTCCCCCAAGTAGAGGTTCCACGAGGGTTGAGATCGGGGGTTATAGCTTCGATGTTCCGGCGGATCTGGTGCAGTGTTTTGAGATCGTGCAGCGGCGGGTTGTGTGGTCGCATCGTGCGGGTATGGAGAATGGTGGGACGGCGGGGTGTGTGGCTGTTGTTATGGGTGGTGGGACATTGGCTGGGGGGGGTTGGTCGGGTTGGTGGTGGAGGGAAGAGGGCGGTTGGGGGTGAGGACGTGAAGGTAGGGGAGAGGGATGTGGAGGAGAGGGGGGTGAAGAGGTTGTGTGCGAAGGTGCTGGGTGGGGATGGAGGGGAGGGTGGCAGTGTGGGTGAGGTTCGGGATCGGGATGGTGGGGAGTGTGGTTCTAATGAGAGTAGCGAGGGTGGTGAGGGTGGGGGTGAGGGGGAGGATTGCTATGCCCCGAAAGACTAGCACTCGGCGGCTTTTGGTATCAGGGTTTAGTTAACTATTTAGGCTCACAGCGAGGATTATTAAAGTGGTACAAGTATATATAAAAACTTAGCTAGAGAACGTAGCAGGAGGTTGAAATACATTGATCCTTCCTGCTGCATTGTCCATACAAGTGTTCAACAGGCCGACCCGGAGGTAACAACTTAAGTGTCAGAAGTCTATTTGAACTGCAAAGATCGTTAATCAATATAATGACCAGGGATTAGAATACACATGTTTTAATACCAATCGATCATGGACTATAACTCGTTCCTGTTCTCGTTTCGGGTGCACGTGAGCGAGTGAGAGTTTATGACTCGTGCCAGGCCTTGAGATTTCTTTTATCGAGACCCCAAGATCGAAAGTTAACTCTTGGTTTTCTGCACAGCATCTGGAGCAGCTAAATGCCGATGAAAGAAACTCCAGTGCGGACGAAATGGACACCAACCAAACACCCCCGGACAGGACATGGAGAACACCACCGGCCGCGCGTACACCCCAGAACGGCGGGGAACGAGCCACTGGGAGAAGATGGGGGTGACACCGTTTCACAAATCATCGCTGCAGCCTTCTACAGTTCAGGCTGCATCATCCACAAACGTCATCCCCACCCTCCCCGGGGCCTTCCCCCCGCGGTCAACTCTCATCACGACAATCTCTCACATCATTTCATGTCCGACCCCTTATATTCAATGTTCATCAGGATGGTTTCCTCTGAGGACAGATTCGAGGCCCTGCGCCCCGTACCAGGCCCTCCATGTGACACTACTACTCTCCACCCCGCTGCAAAGGTTACCACGCCAAACCCACTTCCTATCGAGATCTTCAGTGACAGCGACGAACCGCTGGAGAAGAAGCCTCGCATCACCTCCACGGCTGTACCAGCAGGGTCCGTCCTCGACGGGAGTGACAAGGCAGCTACGGCCCCTGCTACGAAGCAACAGAAGCCTCGTGTCGTCTCTACCGCTTTACCGATGGGGCAGGTACTCGGCGGCGGTGACAAGTCAGCTGTGGCCACTGCTACGAGGAAACAGATGCCGTTCATAGTCTACACGCCTGTGACAGCAGGAATAGTCCCCAGTGGTAATGGCAAGTCAGCTACAGCTACTACTAGGCGGATACAAATGCCTCCTATAGTCTACACGCCTGGGCCAGGAGGAATGGTTCCCAGTGGTAGTAACAAGTCAGCTACAGCTACTACTACAGGGATATGGAAGCCTCACATTGCCCCCACGGCCCCCCCAGCAGGACTAGTCCCCACTGGTAGTAGCAAGTTAGTTACAGCTGCTGCTGCTGGGATACAAAGCAAAACACCTACCCCTAGACCTACCGCCGGTAACACTGCTGCCGCCAGGAGACAGGGCACGCTGCCCGCCTCCAGAAATCCTCACAGTACAGCGTTTATTGAAGCGCCTGTCAAACCACAGAGCGTGCTGGGTACCTTTGTCATACCGCCGGTGATACATATGTCCGGTAATAAGACTCCCACATCTACAACAGCAGCTGAGGAAGACTCTCTGCCGCCGCTGAGCGAGGAGGATAGAGAGTGGGCAAACCAAATCCTCGCCCTTGAGGATAGCGCTAGGCGCAATCACCTCAGCGACAAGTTCCCTGATTGGGATCTAGGTCTACCTGAATCGATTCAACCTGCTTACGGTTCTCTTTATCCCGGGGAGTGTTCCCACACCAAACAAAGTGAGGTCAGCATCTCGACCAACATCGCAGGCTCGACGAGAGTCGATATCGGTTTCTATAGCCCCATACGCCAGACAACAAACACCGCTACTAATAAAATCCCCTCGCCGCCCATGGGTAGCACTGTAGCCCCTTTCGGCAGACACCGCACAGCAGACTCCACGACTCAGACCCCTCCTTCCCCAGGGAAAGGCCCCACAGTCCCCACAAGAGCTGTTATCGCCAGACACAATATGGCAAACGCCACGACTAAAACTTCTCTTCAGCCCCCAGACCCAATCGCAACTACTACCGCCACACGCCCAATGACCGACGCCGCCACGAACACCTCTTCTCCATCTATACGCACCACAGCCACTATTGGCATCCAGACCCTCATACCCCGGACCTCAAACGCCGCTACCAATACCGCAGCCTTCACGACAATCGATATTGAGGGTCACGCTTTCAATGTGCCCGTTGACCCGGTGGAATATTTCCATGTCATGCGGCGGGAGATTCTTGCGTCGTTTCGTGCCCTCATGGAGCAGAAGGGTACGCTGCGGGACTTCCATATGGTTTGGAGCAGCGCTAGGAAGCGGGCGGCGGAGGAGATAGAGGCGGAGGACGGCGGAGACTTGGACGTGGAGGAGGGGAGGGTGGTGAAGAGGTGGAGGGTGGAGAATGGGCTTGGGAAGGGTGTGGATAAGGCAGATGGGGATGAGGACTGTTGTTCACCGAAAGATTAGTGGCGGGTATTGCTCAAGCTCGCATCCAGGCTTATTACTTTGGTATTGTTGATATTGGCAGCGTTCGACACCTATACAAAGGAGTGTCGATCCCACTGATCCCGCTGATCATTGTGTACTGATCAACGCCAACGCAAATAGATATCAGAGGGAGGTCAATATGACACCGAGAGACGTCTATATGACGGTGTGTGACAGTCATGGGAATCCGGTTTTCTTGTTTGGGGCCGTAGGTGGATAAATAGGGCCTGTGTCTATCGATAGGAAGAAACCAATCAAGCAATTTTTTCTCGATTCTATCAGGTATAAAGAATAGAAAATGAATAAATTACAGAGGAAGTACAGCCCGGTATATCTCACGCGGATGGATGGGGGATTGAATAATTGTTCCGATAGCGTTCTGAGTAAGAACAACCGTCGAGTGATACCTCATGATACGGACAGCTTCGAAAATAGTGAAAGACAAGTCCGTTTTGTGGATAAGCAAGCGGATGATCTGGCTGTGGGCTCCAAATATCCATCACCATGTGAAGATAAGACGAACGATAAGACTGAGACTTCGAGGGAACAAGGCTGGTTTAATGGCACTGGCAATGCCAAAAGATGGAGTATATAGCAAATAACTAATTGTGTTGATGATCAGGAGAGGAGGAAAACATTGGAGTTTCTTCGACAATTAAGTACAATCTAAGCTACGACTTATCTAGGTCTTGTGTCGTCTTGTATTCTTTAGACTGGGTCTTGAACGTCTCGAGACAACGCTCTAGTCTCGAGACTTTTTGTCATGTGACCACGGGGTTGGAAACGCACTGCGGTTATGCTGCATAATCAATGCAAATAAAGGTCAGCGTCTTTTTCATTTCATTTTTTCATTTTTTCTATTTTGGTTTTGGTTTTTGAGCCGGGGCTGGAGATTTTCTTTAGGTGAGAAGAAAAGGCCAAAAAGGTCTCGAGACAACTTTTGTCGTGTCCATCACTGATACCAATCAACACCTCACCATCTCCCCCCATCACTACAACCCATACTACACGCTCTACCGCGTCATGTACACCCCTCCCACTACCTCAGAATGGTCTCCCTCGAGATTAAACCCGAGTCACAGAGTGCCCCCCAAGACTCAGTATGCGACAGCGGTCATCTCAAACGCAAAGCCCACACAGAGCCTACAACACCAACGGCCCCCCATCTTTGAGCTCTCCAGCGACAGCGACGAGCCACTGATTAAAAAGCATCGCAAGTCCTCCACAGCTGTTCCAGCAGGGCGGGGTCTCAGCGGCAGTGATAAATCAGCCGCGGCTCCTGCCGCCGGGGAAAAAAGAAAACCACCTGTTCTGTCCGATATACCAGACGCTGCCTATCAGGCGGTCATCCGTCAATAGGACGTCCCAACCAATAGACATAGCGTGATTGGGTAGTCCTATCCATGGATGGGACGAGCCTGATGAGTAGGGTGCCCATTCACTGTAGTATCCAAGCAAGGGGTCTTTTTTTCAATCGACTCACCCGGGTGGTGATGCAAGCTTAAAATAAAGTTTGATGCCCCTGTTGCAATTGAACATGTACTTCCCGGAACAGGGATAGCTATTGCTACCTAGTGTAGTAGTATAAACATCTGACATATGTCGGGGTGTCTGGGGTTCAATCCCCCGACCTGCAATGGGTTTTAGGCACTACGATATATAATTGAGGGACTCAAAGGTGCGTCATATTGTCCACACAGAATGGATAGACGCCTTGCCAACTGAGGAAGAGGGTTGTCCGATTACTGTACCATGAACTTATTCCTCTGGAGGTAAGGCGTAAGACTCCAGCTGTTTATCCAATTAGCCTAACCCCACATTGCACATGAGTGCGGTCGCAAAAAGGATAAACAGCTGGAGTAAGTCGATGCAGTTTTTTTGTACACACGGAGTGATAGGTCATGACACACTCTCTGCCCATCTACCAGCACTTCTGCTCGCCCCAGGAGCTCTATCAGTACCTGTACTCGCCTCAGGAGCTCTATGCCCACCCCAGGACAGCTCTGCTCGCCCCAGTACAGCAGTACTCGTCCAGGAGAGCTTTGCTCACCCCAGTACAGCTGTAATCGCTCCAGGAACTCTACCAGTACCTGTACACACCCCAGGAGCTCTGTGCTCACCCCAGGAGCTCTCTGCTCGCCTCAGGATAGCTGTGCTCGCCCCAGGATAGCTGTGCTCCTCATGGTAGCTCTATCACCACCTGTACTCGCCCCAGTAAAACTATACACACCCTGGTCAAGCTGTACTCGCTCCAGCATAGCTGTGGCAGCCCAGGAGCTGTACCAGCATATGTACTCGCCCCAAGAGAGCTGTACTCACCCCAGTGTGGCTGTGCTCGCCCAGAGAATTCCATTTGCGCCTGGGTTTGCCCCAGTAGAGCTGTACTCGCTCCAGTAGAGCTGTAGTCGCGCCAGTAGTGCTGTACACGCTCCAGTAGTGGTATACATTCTCCAGTACAACTGTACTCGTCACAGTGGCGGTATTAGTAGCGGTGCACACCCCGGGAGCTACAGGTAATCAAATAACAATTCAGCATTATTTAAATAAGAAATTCTATGAAAGCTATATGTAGCCTAAGATGATTCAAACTGTTCCATGAGCCTGCGTACCATAAGTAATTCTCTTACACAATGCTTCTGAATATATAAAAAATATTTAGGCAACTGTCTTTCCTCCCATCTTCCTCGTACGCCCTAGTACTCCCTCGTTATCAATCAATCTTCCAAATTCCATTGCATCTTGATCTTCAAGAACAATCACCGCTTCCTCACGCTGAACTGAAAGGTCCTCTTGAGTCATAATAATTATGATTTCCACCGCAATCACCTGAATCAAGAGATGACCGAAATATCTTGACGAGGTTCCCACTTGATGCATCTGTGTTCTCAACTCTCTGGTATACCCTGCCCCGAAATCTTCAATTGCTAGAACTCCAACAATAGAATGACCTAAACAGAGAGTTAACATTGTTTCTCAACGGGATTAGAAGGGTCTATCAGGAGTACGAGATGAGACATACAAAAAGAGTAGTACCCCTTCGGAACTGTATCCATTTGAGCTAAGGTTTCCCTAACCAAAAGGTTTCGTCCCGACCTTAACTTCTACCGCCTTGTTGTGAATGCCTGATAGTATGGTTATTTATGATATTTTTGTATAATTGCAGTTATCAACTGCCGGTACCTCGGTGTTTCAAGATGTTCTCGAAGTGCATTTTCTTGAGTCTTCTCTCGTATCCAGGATAGCTCTGGCCATCCTTTCTCTAATGCTTTCTCTGGGACTCGTTGTTCTTCTTTGTCTGGGTAGAAAGCCTGGCGGGTTTGGCTCATGTCTGCTGTTTGAGAGGATTCATGAGAATCTATCTACAATTAGTATAAACCCGGTACTGGAAGATATAGTAAACAGGGAAATGTCTAAAGACATAATATGAGTAGAAAGCTCAGTGGAGCCATCAGACCTCATGTTGCACTCCCGTACCTCAATGTAATCATGAGTGGATACAACCTCTAAGAAAGATTAGCAAAAATATAAGAATATAGTTTACAGGCTGTACCGGAGCTGCTATCACTAGTGACATCTTCTCCTACCTCGTCCGAGCTATTACTGTCTAAGACAGAGTTTTGATATTGCTGTTGTTCACTCTGCCCCGGCTGGTGACACTTTGGGGAACAATTTGCTTTTCTTCGGACACAAGGACTTCGTTGTGTGTCATATTTTCCCCGACAAGAGCATATAGATATTTCTCAAAGGTTCATCATGTTAGTGAGGTAATGAAATTTGTCGTTAGGTAATTACCATTCCTGTATTTCTTTCATAGGTAAGCTTTGCAGCCATTCGTACTGTGATCCTGTCGTTAAGCCTTTGTTCGTATGGTGAGAAATCCAACGTTTGAGCCACTTCTTGGAGTTCACGTATATGACAGCTTCTCGATATCAATCCGAATTCACTCCTCAAGATATAGGAATCTCTATTTGAGCCGCTGATATCAACAATCCTGTAAATCAAACGTTTTCCATAAGTGGCAAGCCTGTCAGCTTTTGGGACTTTCAGCGTAACAAGTATGCCGGTAGCAAAATTCGGAAGGTTAAAACGTCTCTTATCTCGTTTTATCATCAGATCCCATGCTACTACTGTGGCATTACGGACACTATCATCTAGTTCCATTCTTGTGTTCCAATGCCCCACAATCTCGGGAGATGATTGTACGGCTACGTTGTCGTTCATCGTTAAACTCCGTTCATTTCTGACGATTTCAGGATCAATTAGAACCGCAATCTCTGCACCGGGGTTATCATTGCCAATATCTCTGCTGTTCCGTTCATAGAACGCGACACGATCGCTACGCATGCGTTGTCCAAATACGATATCATAAGGTGCCTTTTTGGTAACAGAGTGCTGTTGGCTATTCATAGCGAAAACGATCTCAGGTAGGGCACTTTTCCATTCGATCGACTGGTGGTCTTGCATTCAACTACCAAGCTTATCTTTGAGGACCCCATTTGCTTATTCGATAAGCCCTTGACTCTGTGGATGTCTTGCTCGACCGTTTATAATCTGTTAATAGTAGATTAGTATTGTTATAGCGTTAACGCAGGGCTAACATTATACCTGAAAACCTACTGTTCTTAATAACTCTAGAAGAGCTCCCTTAAACTCGGAACCATTATCGCATTGCAGAATTCTCGGAGGACCAAGATGTGATACCCATACCTTAAAGACTGCCGCAACCTTTTCACTATGCTTGGATACAATACCGTAAGCCTGAGAGTACTTACTAAAGTGATCACGGATATGGCATATCCAACGGTAATCTCCATCTGGTGTAGCTGTCATATCGATCAAGTCAACCTGTAAACGTTCAAAAAGCTTATTGACTATAACAGCTTTGATCGGCGCAGTCTTGCTCTGTGACTTCTCCATAGCACATGTGGTGCAGTGCTTGAGTAACCATTCTACCTCTTGACGTGATATTCTGTAACAATCTCTATCTAGCTCCTCATATGTCTTCCGCGATCCAGCATGTCCCAGAGTGAGATGTGCGTTGACAATCAAATCAAAGACCTCAAGGTCAGTAAGAACAGTTTTACTAATTGAATTCTTACGCTTGATTTTGAGAACACTTCCTACTAGCTCATACTTTGACCACGTCTCATATCTCAACCTCCTAGCAGCGTCTCCCTCCTCATTATAAATTCCAAGAAGGATTTGTTGTAAAATTATAGCACGTTCTGGAGTTGGACGAGAACTGTTCGTATTACCAGGAGAGCAGATTCGAATCCACCAAGCTTGGCGGGCATCATGGGAGAAGGGAGAACGTAGAGTAGGTTCAGGAATGGTTGACATTATCCTGAATATTGAAGCGGAGCGTGGTGCAAGTAAGAGGAAGCTGGGCAGATTCCGTTGACTATATATTCGTTGAGATTACCAAGTAAATCAACTCGCGTGTGAGTATTGAGATCCACCACACCACCTTCTCCAAAAGGCTTGCTCATCCTCTCGCCACACCTACCCTACAAGTATATCAATATGTGCATTAAATCTATTGATGGCATCATACATTCAATATCCGAGAAAAGCATGTAAAACACGTCATTATTACCATATACATTTCTTAACTTGTTGGCCATATATCAACAAGATTAGGAAGCTGGGGCTGAAGTGTTATGTTGTTAGCGTATGTGATTGCATCATCTTTTAAATCAATATATCAATATTGAACCAACACCTCATTTCATGGTGGATGATGTCGTTACTACCAACAACCTCAGTTGATCGAATGTGCTAGATATTTGTTCCCCGGAATAAGCAATACTAGTATTGTGTAAGTTATCGCCACTAATAAAAGAAATATCCAGTTACCAACTTAACAGTTGTTAGCTCTACGTCATGAGTTGGGATTTGTTATATCGAACTGGGAGAAAGTACGACAGGGTGTGGAGGCGGACTCCTCCCACTGCAAACCGGTTATTCATGGTGGCGAAGATAAGTATCCTGTCTGTATGACAGTTGGTTGGTCATTCAATTCAAAGTACCCATCCCAATCGTGGATGGGACAACCCATTTACCTGTGACGGCCCGATAGGCATTGTCTACGAATTGGACAGAACACACCTGACTCGAGATCATCCGGCGGTAAAGCTCCTGCCCGCAGAAAAAAAACAAGCTTGTACCACCCCCCAGAGATGTCGGCGGTACGGAACCTCATGAGTGGCCTATGATGATGCAGGGTAGATTTGATATATCGTCGCAGAGGTACATGATCTTTAAGAACACTAACATACCTGCTACAGCAGGTTCTAAACACTCCGCGCAGCCCGGAAATGCAGCGGATATGCAGGGGGCAAAACCGAACTCTACCATCGTCTCTAGCGCCAGCGGCGGTGGTGTCAGCGACGAGTTGTCTGATAGGACTCTGCGACCGCACACCAAACCAGCTGAATACCGTTTTGTTTATCGCACAGCAATCGATACCGACTTTAATCGCCCCTCCATACACCGGACAGCAAACGCCGCTACTAACAGCGCCCCCTCCCCGCCCACGGGCCCCACCTCAGCCGCTATTACCAGACACCACACAGTAGATGCGGCTACCCAGACCCCGCCCTCCCCAAGGAGAGGCCCCACAGGTCCTACATCAGCTGTTATCGCGAGACGCCACATAGCAAATGCCGCGACTAACACCTCTCCTCCGCCCCCTGACTCCACAGCAGCCACCACCGCCAGACGCCCCACGGCCGACACCGCCACAGGTACCGCAGCCTTCACGGTCATCTATATCGACGGATACCCTTTCAAAGTCCCCGCTGATCCGGTGAAGTGTTTTTGTGCGATCTAGGGATAGGTCATTGCGTCGTATCGTGCGATTATTAACTGTAGGAGTACGGGGCGGGATCATGCGGTGGCCTCTTCTATTTGTAATTTGAGTGAGCGTCCGAGCGGCGCCGGAAAGACGGTCACGGAGGAGGTGGAGGAGGGGAGAATGGTGATGAGGTGGAGGGGAGAGGTTGGGGATGAGGGGGGAGGGAGAGCTGGTGCTGGTGGGGGTGGTGAGGAAACTGGAGGGGAGGAGGAGGATTACGCTACTCCGAAGGGCTAGGGTTCGGAGGTATCTTGTCGATGTCGAGGCTCATGTAAGCTTGTTACTATGGTGTAAAGAGTTGGCAGGATATACGCAGCAGTGAGGAGGCTGGAATATATCGAGATATTCAGCCCAGCGAGATCAATTAGGTCGTGTGCAGAGTAGAGTGCTGAGTTGTTTCGGATGTAAAGCCTCTCTTAATACATTAAGTGTATGGACGAGAGATTTAATAATCGTCCCGATAGGTTTCTTTGTAACATTCCTTGTGTCGAGTGATATCGCATGATGCGGATACCCTGACGAGAATAATAATAATAATAATAGTAATATTACGTAATGCATGCTGTCTAATCGCATGAACGTCACCAGCACCAGTGAATGAAAGACTGGAAAACTCAAATCTTCATCCCGGCTTGAAGAGCGCTGAGTCTATCGCTTTATTTCTATTTTACCAGTTCGTACCAGTACTACGTAATAATCTTGAACATCTATACCTCATATCACCCTCGGTGTATTTTACGTGCTTTTTTTTTGGTATCTCACCTTTTCGATATGAGGAGCGGTAGAGTAGATACGTTAGGTATCAGAGAGAAGTAGTAGGATATAAGATATTTTGACAAGCCTTACCGGACTAGGTCTATCGGAACAAAGGGGTTTCGTCAGCTTATGTGGGTGGTGAACAAATGATAAGTATTCGGATTCTTTAAAATGAGTATCCCATGGACCGTAACCTAACGATTTGGGGACATATTTGTCCTTAATTTACCTGTTGACAACAATGAGTAGGGGATATTTCCTAACTACATTTGTCAATATCAGCCTGTTTTCGGGAGCTAGTAGAGTGACATAGATAGGTATTTTGGGACTGTTTAGAATCAATGATTTGCTCCCTCCTGGTGGCTTTATCTCTTATAGAGTAAACCCTTTTTTCCCCATACAAAAACCGGAAATTCACATATATCACAATAACATCGCAACCACAGCCACTAAGAACTAGCTCTTTTTTATATAGTTGATTTAGGGCTATATGCTCCTGGTTTCAGAAAAACAGACCCATACAGCTGCATTCCCATTTTATATTAACCATTATTGTTTACATATTTTTATGGGAATTATGCAGAATATGGCTCTATAGAATCTTTTGGAGTAACGTCATCATGTAATTCAGTATCGCCACAGTGCAAATAATACTTCTATGTAGTTACAATATTTTTCGTCTGTAATTTCTACTATTTTACCCCAAGGGTGAACTTCGATATATTAACTGAGTAGGCAATATCATTCTATATACAGTTCTAAAGCATTCAAGCAAGATGGCTGCAGAATTTGTACGGGTTGGGGACTTTTTATTGCAAAAAATCACTCCTATCACCATAGTTCATCAAATAAAACAGAAAAAAGAGGGGTTTTCAATCATATTCAGATTTGTTACCACCTGTCATCCAAGCATCCTACAATACACACATTAAAAAAATCACTTTCCCCACTAAATTTTGATAGATACAGTTGAAGGGCTAACCATGATAACACAAAGGATATTGTGTGGTTGCGATTTCGAATCTTTTTACGTCGTTACGGTCCATGGGATAGGATACGTATTTCAGGTTTCCGAAGAATATGGCTGTAATGGTGGCATATAAATATAGTCGCACCTGGAGGGGTGTGTGGTTTTGGGCATTTTCAACACTAGCTAGGCTTCGGGGATGGGGGTCAGGGGTAAGCTTGTGTAACATGGCCATCGATATTATTAATGACAAGATCTATACTCCCTCCGCGTACATTGCAGGCAAGGAACTAATCTGGACCCATAGTTTTAATTTGGCCGTCCAAACCTCATCCTCACACTCCCTCATCACCATACACTCCGATATGCCCCCAGCCATCACCCTCCCCGGCAGCTTCTTCTCCTCATCTCCCCCTCCCCCTTCCGCCGCCGCCGATGTGATCCGCGTCAAGCAGGCCAGAAAGCCCTCATCCCCACCGCCTCCTGCTCCGGCACGGCAAATCAATACTACTCAACACATCGATGTTCCCTCCCAACCATCTGCTATTTTTCCCGCTCCAGCGCGGAACGTCAATGCCATCAAATCCTCCGATGCTCGTTTCATCTCAATTCTGGCCGATGGCCATGTGTTCGACATCCCTGCCGATCTCGTAAAGAGGTACTGCTGGGTTCGCGAGCGGACAATCAAATCCTACCGCGCTGTCACTGCCGGCACTGCGTCTCCGGGAGATCTGGCTTTCATATTCGGCACCCTGTCTTTATCTCATGTTGACAGGGCTCCCGATCTGGGGATTGGTAGTGAGAAGGCCGCCCAGCCGATTCAGAAAACCAGTAACGAGGGAGGAAAGGTCGAACAGTCCCGGAATGAAACAGCTCTCGAGGAACACCAGCGTGAAGATCCTGGTGCTAGGGTGTTTCAAGAAGACGGAACACAGGGGCTGCCCTACTCTAAAAGAGCAATCGAAGTGATCGAGATCTCGGATGAAGAGGAAGAGGACCCCATCCAACATCCTCGCCGCCGTATCAGACATCTCCCTGCAGAGAACGGGGCATTGCAAGACGACATGCACATAGTCCCAAGGAGCGGAACCCAACTGATCCCCCAAATCCCCGCCCTGGCTCGGTGGGACCGGCGCCAATGGCCTGTACCAATATTCGCGGGAGACTTCGCGAGTGTCCATGATGCGGAGATGAGCACGGGCATGCGTCGGACATGGGTCATGGGGAAGTATGTTGAGGGGGAAATTTCGTTTGAGGGCCAGTTTGCGCAGGTGAGATTTATGAGCAAGAGATGTTCTAGGTGTTCACAGAAGGGTAACGGGAAGGCTTGTAGAGTGCTGGTGGGGGGTGGGGATACGTACGTTGTGAGTGCGAAGTGTGGGTGGTGTTTGAAGGGAGGGTTTATTGTAATGCGGAGGAAAGGAATTAGAAGGGCCGTGATGGCTGGTGGGCAATGGCTTGGGGGAAAGAGAGTAGGTTGAATCGATATATTCACCCTCGTAAAGGAGTAAACCTCTTTGTTAGTCTAATTAGTAGAACGACATACATATTCATCAACATGCCTATATTGATCCTGGTGAAATTCATACTATACTACAAGTATATTTGTAACGAAAAAGATAATTATTGGAAAAGATATGCATCAATAATGCAGTGCTCACGGTGGCATGTCAGTTTACCAGTACAAACCGGTAGAAAACTATTGATTGCGAGATGAGTAATACAGCTTTAATATCTAGATAGTGGTTAAGCCGAGTACTAAACATTAGAAAATAATGTCAGTCAGTGGCATATTTAGCCCTTCGTGGTAACCTACATGTAGTTTCTCAAACTGCTGCCAAGAACCTAACCCACAAAGAATTTTCCAAAACGGTTCTAGCGATTTATCCAAATTTGAGTACAGGCTTACATTTACCCAGCTGCTACATTCGTAAGTTTATGTATGTAGTACAGTTAGTACGATATATATATGCGCATTTTCTACTGGTTTTACTATTACAAGCACAAGTTAACAACATCCTCACAAGGCTCGAGGCATCAAACTACCTTTGCGGTCAATCCAAATGTATCTTCTTTTGAATATCAAAGATTACTATATCGTTTCCTGTGCAAGAGCTCACATCCGTCGTGGCATTTTCCCCACATACTGAAAACGAGATCGACAGGATATCATGTATGTCACGGCAGACCGAACTGTTCCCGGATGTGCAGTGAGAGGGGGTAAATAAAGGACGGCCTAGTTCCATCATCCTGGTAAGGGGGTCTATTCAACCACGTACATCAGTTCATCTCCTCGTCCCCCCTTTATTGCAACTCTCAATCCAGGTATCGTCCCAATCATCATCAAGATGTGCCCACCACCACTCTCCTCAGAGGAAGGCTGGACCTCATCATCTCCGGCCCCCTCATCTTCGTCGAAAATTACCCAAAAAGGGGCAGCAGAATCTGGAAAGGGCTTCTCTTCTCAAATTTTAGATCAAACACACATGCCTATCTCGGAGAGCCTACCCAATACCTACCAGCTCTACATCGAAGGTCAAACAGTAGTCATCCCCACTGACCCTGTCGAGAGTTTCCGCTTCATTCGCGAGCAGACAATGGCATCCTATCGTGCCATCGTCTCCGGTACCTCGACTACGCGAGAACAAGCTCTCACCTTCGGCCACGTCGTTTCTGAACCTAATGGTGGTAGCAGAAAATTGGCTTTTTCTGAGCCTCTTCTTCCAGGCGCTGCTGTTAGCACTGGCGATGCCGGGAACAAGGCGGATGATCACGTCCCTGCTGAGGCCATCCCGATCTCAGACTCTCCCAGCCCACCCCATCTATCTGCGCGCAAACGTATGAAGGTTCCTCAACCTGAGCCCCCCCCTTCTCGACCTCCATCCCGCGCTACCGCTACCCACTCAGAACGCACGAGCATGGCGTTTAAGTGTAAAAGTGGGTTCATAGGCGATTTTGCGGATCCCTACGATGTCAGGAGAAAGACTGGGATGTCGGTGTCTTGAGCGGAGGGAAAATATGTGGACGGCCAAATCTCGTTCGGAGGCGTGTTTGCGAAGACGGAGGTGCAAGGTAGGAGGTGCAGCCGGTGTGTCGAGAGTGGGGAGGAAACGATTTGTAGGGTTCTTGTGGACAGTGGAAGGGATGATCCTTTTATCTGGTCGAACGAGAGGTGTGGGCATTGTATTACGAGATGGCGTCGTTGTACTTTAGAACATGAAAAGAAGAGAAGGCCGGAGCATGCGGTGGCTTAAGTTTGTTGCTGGAGGTAGAGTTGTTTGTTCCTACCAACGTGCATGTCAGTAGATGAAAACGAAAAGAAAATGTCTGGTGTTACCTACTTCTAGTAATTAAAGCTATCTTTACATTCACCAAGTCTGAGCTATTCGCCCGAAACTGTATAGATAGCTGATCTGACAGCATGTATGAGTCTCCACGAAATACTTCCCCACGGATGTTAATCTCCTAGTTCCTGAAGGTGACGAACCTGTACTAACGACGAAAGATTTTATCTATCCTTAGGCCAACCTATCTCTATCTGTCCTTAGGGTCGAAGGAGTTTCTAGGAGTGTATGTTCTCCTGAAATTCCTGGACGGTCTTGGCACCGAGTGATGATCTGTGATTGACTTCCGGTGGATAGGACGATTATTTGTTCACCTCCTAGTGCTGGGAGAAATTATTCAGTGGCTGTGACCTGGGGGCAGAGACTGTATACGAAGTTTGGTGCCAAATATTCAGTGCTCAATCTACTATGTACTGGAATATAATTCTTCTGAGATTGCTGCAATCTGATTGGTTGACAGCGACAGGGATATTTAGTAAGCACGACACATCAAATTTCGTTTGTTTGGTGCAGTTACCCTGCCTAATTTGGTGCGGTTACCCTGCCTGATTTAGTGCTGTTACCCTGCCTGATTTGGTGCAGTTACCCTGCCTGATTTGGTGCAGTTACCCTACCTGAGGTTACCCTGCCTGCAGGTAGCGGGTGCGCTCTGAATTTGAGGTGTCGCGCCCGTTGCTATGCACCTTTGAGGTACGGTGCGGGTTCTGAGTGTGGGTTGCGGAGTTGCGGAAATGCACCAAAAAAAACCCGTTTTCGACCCTGAAAATAACCCCCGGTGCGTCAAGTGGCCGGAACCCCCCTATTTTGCACCGGTGGGTCTATGGGAGCTGGGTGATAACACACACAACTCCTTGGGACCGGACTCTTTGCCAAAAATTCAATCTACTGAACAAAATCTACTGAATAAAATCTACTGAATAAAATACCATCAACTCTTTAACAATCAATATCTTCGATTAAATTATCTGCTCCCGGGCCAAACAAAGTCCATTCCATACCGTTCCATAGTGTTCTCACCGAGGTCTCTCGGCAACATGTCGACAATTAAATACACAACCTGTAAACAAGATAAGGATATTGCAGATTATGATCTCGATCGTAATGGCCGGCCCCGTAAATCATGTCGGCCATGCTTAGTGAGTTTTTAAGTTACAACTATTAATTGAATTCTACTGATTCGGATCTTATTACAAGGCTCGCTCGAGTGAAAATACACGTCGTCGAACAGAATTAAGACGGCGGCAACAAATCGTAAATAATGTAGAGGTGAGTGGCAACATTGCTCTTTATAGTACCAATACGCGGGGCTCCTATTCTAATAGATACTCCTATGGCAGCCATCTCGGCCGCCGATTCAACCCGCGGTACCACTAGCATTCCAATCGTCACGGGCACGTTGGACGCCATTGGAGTTGGGCAGAATGACAGTGATTTGTCCTTCATGTCAAGCTTTACATTGGCTAAGCGAGCGCGTGCAAGGGAGTTCAATCACGTTACCGCGGTTTGAAAATTGTTGCAAGAAAGGTGATGTTCAGTTGCCAGCATTGGAACAAGCCCCCGAGTACTTACGGTACCTACTAGAATCTACTGATACAATTGCTAGACAGTTCCGTAGCCGCATTAGGGAGTACAACTCCGCTTTGACCTTTACTTCCGTTAAATATACCTCAGATGAACGCATCGACCGTCAAGCTGGGGGGGTTACATGCTTCCAAATCCATGGCGAGCTATATCACCTTCAGGGGCCCCTGACTGCAGCAGCAAACGATACGCCCGCTTTTGCTCAGTTATATTTCTATGACCCACTCTACGCTGCACAAATGATGCAGCAGGAACATCCAACTCTAGATATTGCGGTTTTGGAACGGTTGACACAAGAGATACACACAGTCAATCCATTTATTCCATTAAAGAAGACAGCGAAGGAAAGATTGGAAGCTGCATCCTCACAAGATGGAGATGTACGTGTCTTACTCAATCCGCAATTGCGGTTGATAGTGGAGAGTGGAGCGGACAAGCGGAGACACAATTTGCCTACAAGCAATGAAGTCGCTGCGATTATCCCGGATGAATATGGTGAAGCAGGATTCCGGGATATTGTCTTAGCACATAGAAATCCAGATGCCAATAGGCAGTTTAGTATAATTGATCCTAATCATGCCGCTTATATGCCCTTACATTATGTTCTGCTATTTCCAAATGGTGAGAGGGGTTGGCATTGGGGCTTACGGCTGCGGGATGAGTTGAACCGAAGGAAGAATTTAAGGTTACAGCAACGCGAATTTTACAGGTTAGTTATAAACACCAATGGCTCAAAGACTTTTTGATATGGCTAACTTTTTGATTACTATACATGGTGTGCAGGTACTGACTGCATACCAGGACGACTGAACCCATGAATTTGTTCCTCTCGCAACGGCTATTTCAGCAGTATTTGGTAGATGCTTGGGCTGTTTGTGATCAGAATAAGTTGAATTGGCTTCGACTGAATCAAGCAAATATTCGGGCTGATCTGTATAATGGGTTGGCGGATAATATGCGGCAAGAGGACTTCAACTCGGAACAAACCGGGAAGCGTATCATTCTACCACGAAGCTATACAGGAGGCGACCGGTACATGCTGCAGTTGTTCCAGGATTCCATGGCTATAGTCCGTCATTTTGGGCGTCCCTCACTATTTGTTACCTTTACCGCGAATCCAAAGTGGGAAGAGATTACTGCGGAGTTACTACCGGGGCAAACTGCTGTTGATAGGCCAGATTTAGTTGCAAGGGTGTTCCATCTCAAGCAACAACAACTCCTCCAAGAAATAAAGCGTAAACACATCTTTGGTCGCTATCTTGGGTCTGTATGGACCATTGAGTACCAGAAGAGAGGGCTGCCACACATGCATCTACTGATATTCCTTCATCCAGATGATCGCTTTCTGACAGCAGAGAGGATCGACGAAATTGTGTGTGCAGAGTTACCGGACCCCGCGACTGATCCTACGGGGGAACTAAATGCAATCATTAGAAGTTGTATGGTACACGGTCCATGTGGAGAGGCCAATATGCGATCGCCCTGCATGGCTTCAAAGGAGAATGGGGGACCAATTGCATGTTCGAAACGGTACCCTAAGGCCTATCAATCAGAAACAGTTGTACAGGAGGATGGCTATCCACTGTATAGAAGACGTAATGATGGCAGAACCTTTTCAGTGGTAGTAAGGGGCTCAGGGTTTAATCAAGAGTATCAGATGGACAACAGATGGGTGGTTCCATATAATCCTTATCTTTCTTTACGGTATAAAGCTCATATCAATGTCGAGATCTGTGGTTCTATCCACGCGATAAAATATATACACAAATATATATATAAAGGTTCAGATCGAACAACACTTCAAGTAGGGAGTGACTCGGATGAAATTACTAGATACCTCCAAGGGCGTTATATAGGACCCACTGAGGCTGTATGGCGTTTGTTCGAATACGGAATGCACGAAGAATACCCGTCAGTCATTCACTTGGCTGTTCACTTGCCCGGCGAGCAACCGGTATACTATGGAGATAACTCCAACCGGGAGGAGTTGATACAGAGGATGCAAAACTCGAGAACTACACTGATGGCTTATTTTGAGTACAATACAGAGCACGAGGATGGTACCCGGTATCTCTATCAAGATTTCCCGGTGTACTTTACCTATGACGCTAAATCGCGGAAGTGGGCATCCAGGAAGAAAGGTGTGGCTATTGGACGTATGTGGCATTGCAATCCTATGATGGGGGAGAAATACTATATGCGTTTACTGTTAACCGTGATCCCTGGCGCAAGATCTTTTGATCATCTGAAAACTGTCAATCATGTGCTGTTTCCTACATTCAAGGCTGCATGCATTGCCCTTGGCTTATTGGACGATGATCAAGAGTGGGTGCAGTGCTTTACTGAAGCAAGCTTATTCTCAAGCGGATATTCCCTCCGTACACTCTTCACTACTGCCTTACTATTTGGCAACGTGACTGAACCTTTACAATTATGGGATAGATTCAAGTCAAATATCTGCGATGACTTGCCCCGAGCTATGGAAAGAAACACAGGTCTCATTATCCCCCCTGAGCTTCCGGATGCCCACCTGGACTATGGCCTCTACCTGATATCACAGATTCTTGCCGACTCCAATAGAACGCTTAACGACTTTGGATTGCCCCTCTATACAGTGGATTGGAACCGAACAGGTGGGAACGAGATGATTGCATCAGAACTACGATATGATGTGGTTGCGGAAGCGGCAAGTCTACAGTTGAGGATCTCACAACTCAATTCAGATCAGTTGGAATGCTTTAATACTATTACACACAGTATTGAAGAAGCTGCGTCCACCCTATTCTTCATTCAAGGGCCCGCAGGTACTGGAAAAACGTTCCTATACAACGTTATCTGTAACCATTTCCGCTCCCAGGGTAAGATTGTGCTTTGTGTTGCCTCTTCTGGCATTGCGGCACAGTTGCTCCCTGGAGGCAGAACATCCCATTCCAGATTCAAAATTCCGATTGCTATCCATGAGGGCTCAACATGTGACATCAAACGGGGCAGCCTGTTGGCCGGTTTAATTCAAAAGACCGCGCTGATCATCTGGGACGAGGTACCTATGCAGAACAAGTATTGCTTTGAAGCGGTCAGCCGAACCCTGAATGATATATGTAGTGTGGGGGATGATTGCCTGTTCGGAAATATTCCGGTCATACTCGGAGGGGATTTTGCACAAATTTTACCAGTTGTGCAACGCGGTAATAGGGCTCAGATAGTGCAGGCATGCCTACAACGGTCTTCTTTATGGCAGCACTTCAAGATATTGAGACTCAAGATCAATATGAGGGTCCGCAATGGGGTTGAGAATGAGGCGTTTGCGGCTTGGCTTGGGCAGATGAGCCATGATTCCCGATGGTATGGTAGAATAACTCTACCACCATACATCCAGAGCTGTAAGACAATTGAGGACCTTTGTATGCATGTATTCCCGCAGCATATAATTGAATCAGCCCCAACAAATTACACCGCATTCTCGAAGCGGGCGATTCTGGCGATGAGAAACGATACAGTCGCTGAGTTTAATGATAGAGTTCTACAGTAAATTCAAGGCGAAGTGCACACGTACTATTCGGTAGACACTGTTGACAGTGGTAATTCAGAAGAGAATGCAAATCTGCTACCTCCAGAATATCTGCAGGGTCTCAATCCGTCTGGCCTCCCACCGTCTATCATCAAACTAAAGGTGGGAGCACCAATAATTCTTCTACGCAATCTATTTCCAAAGCAAGGTCTCTGCAATGGAACACGAATGACGGTAACTAAGCTGGGTGTACGGTGCATTGAAGCCAACATTCTGGGTGGTGAGTTTGATGGGGAGCCAAAGGTTATACCACGTATACAGCTTTCGTCCACTGAGGGAGATCTACCTTTCACATTAATGAGAAGGCAGTTGCCTATTCGGCTATGCTTTGCGATGACTGTCAATAAATCGCAGGGTCAATCACTGGATGTCGTTGGGGTTGACTTGAGGTGTGATCCCTTCACTCACAGGTAGCTCTATGTAGCGCTCTCGAGAGTCACAGATGTAGCTGGCTTGATGGTGCTGCAACGAGATGAGACGCCGCCGCAAACGGACAACATTGTATACCGTGAAGTGCTGCTGTAAAGAAGTAATTCCCCTTAATCCATATTTTTATTGATACTGACTGTCGGTTAGGGTAGAAAGGACTTACGCTGGAGCCGGTTGGAGGACTTGGGGGTATATGGTTGGAGGTGGTAGAAGGTGGATTTCTGTGTGGATGGTATGTATATGCCGCAAGGTGACAGTTTGGTATATGACACTAACGTTTATTATAGGTTTTCGGTAAGGAAGGGAAAGAGGGGTCGGTTACGGTATTGGATGTAGGATGGGGGGAATGCAAGAAGTTGGGGGATTGGGTATCGAATGGTAAGTATATATACCGATCATGTACCACCCGGAAGTGCTTACCAAATTATTAGCTAGAATGACTTATGGAAATGGTGGGGAGGATCCAGGCATGGAGGAAATAGGAGAGAAGGATAGAGTTGGATACGGGAAGGTGGGTGAAATTGCATAGTAGGTGGGAGGAAATGTGGAGGAAGCGGGAAGGAATTGAGCGGTGGACTGTATTTAGTTAGCAATTTGTATTTTCTTTAGCGTGTATGTTTCTTAGCGTTTATCTGTCTTATTCCCTGTCTTATCGTTGTTTTCTAGCATGGTTTCTTTGTAATAGAGTGATAAAAAGTTGTTAAAAAGATATGCGATTAGTAGAAAAAAACTGCATCGAGTTACCCCGGTTATTTATACCATTCCCCGACTATGATCGTGTGAATTTATTAATTTTGTCACAGACTGCCGGATGGAGTAAATAACCGGGGCATTACACTCTTGGATCGTTGGCTGTTCCCAGCCTCACCAAGCGGACAACCCTCTTCCCTATAGGAGGCATAAATACCAACGTCTATAGGGTTATCAATGACACATCCTCTAACTAACGTCTGAATTTCACAGCTCGCGCTCCCGCCATGAGTTGAACCCATAGCATTGAGGACATGTATCAGATATTTACCACTAAGCTAAGTACCTTTGTTGCACCAGCAACTCTTTTGGACCCTAAATACCTTGCAAGTATTATTTTTTCTTTTTTAATTTTTTTATTTTTTATTATTATTATTTTTTTTTTTATATCTAATTTAATATAATATTTCCGCTGCCTAAATTGCGCACACAACTCGCGGTCGCGAGGTGGCCCACCCCTAGTGATAGTGTATCCCACTACGAATTGGCAATCAAGTTCAGGTAATGATAGTACTATTGGTTGTATATTTCCAGTGGGGCAGATATTGCCGAGAGAAGAATTAGGTTTATTAACTACACCACCACAGAGGTATCAGAATTAGAATAAAATACAAGCTTCACAGATCCCAATATAGTAATTATCTTCCTCAAGTAGCTGGGGTGCCTCGAGGTATCACCTATTCCTTGTACGAACAAGTGAAGGTGAACATTTAGAGTATACGAGGCAGGGGCACAGCAAATCACTTGTCCCTGATTGCCATGAGTGGCCTCAATGACGACACTACTATGTGCGGGGAGACATTACATGTAGCTTACCTTCGCTCGTGAAAACGAACACACGCACACATGCTTTGGGTAACTCAGCCTTCACGTAACAAAGAATAATAATCTTGTGTTTTGAACACTCTTTTGCATACTATCGAATGATATACTTCAGCTACGAACACAGAAATAGTATAACACAATCTGCTCACAAGCACCACCGGGTATCAGCGGAGCATCCCACGCACCGCCACCTGTATCACCATACATATGCTGTCCCTCTTTCGGAATGAACGTGGCTCCAAAATTAAAGTTCACCCTCCTTCTATACCAACCTCACTTATCCTATATAAAGACCCCATCTCCCCTGCCAACTTAGGTAAACATGCACCATTTGAATTAATAAAACCAAAATTGATAACAGACTCTAAATCTCTCAGGATGTCAGGAAACAAAATAGTAGAACTCTACAACGGTGCGCCAGCGGACTTCCCTATCGTACCTCCCAGAACCCACGACTACACCGCCCGCCAACTTATAAATGTCTATGGCACCCACAAGCCTAACCTCGCTCTGCTGATTAGCGAAGCCTGGAAGGAGCTCAGAACGTACTTCACCACGGACCCTGTGGTGCGAAGACTTGCTTTTTTTCTTTATTGGAGTAGTCAGTTTGGCGTCGGTTCATCCCCGCAGCTAGACCTATTCAACACTGATGAAGAAGGTTGGGATGCATCAGGCAATACCTCTGTCACTCTTGATGAAACAGGGCCAACTGAGGAGCAACGGGTTTGGGGACATCAGCTTCTTGACACCGCAAGGGAGAGGTTCCAAACTATGCAGATTCACCGCGCAGTGCTTATCCACTTCATAAATGTTGAGGGGCCGTGGGCAGATAATCCGGAGATGCAAGCGGATATCTATGAGCTGACCTGGAAGATGCTCAAATCAGCAATCTTGAGGTTCAGGGAGATGGTTCTGTTAGAGGAGTCCATGGAGATCTTAGACAAGAGGTACAACGCAGAGCAAGAGGTGTACTACGACGCACCTCTGATAGTTGGGAGTGAGGATGGGACGGAGTATCGCTCGTTTGAAGATTTTATTGGGCCAGAGAGGAGAACCAGAACCACTTAAGGGTTTTCTGAATTCCAAAAGATCCGTGACGATTTACTTGTAGTTTTTCTAATGTCATTTCTTATTTTATTTATGGAGGTTTGGGAGTTAAGTTGTCTGAAAGAGATTGTCTCATTTTACTTTCATATACATCTTTTCAGCAGCCTTACAAGGCTCGAAGCTTCGTGTTATTTCTGTTGAATTTAAAAGTTTACGTCATGTTAATCCATTATTCTTAGGAAGCATTAAAGAAATGTTTATGCTTAATAGTCATTTTAGGCAATGTGAACGAAATCTTGACGATATACACACTTTCGAACAAACCACCCACTCTTGACAAGTCCTACAATCAAAAGACCACATCATTGTTCTCTGAGATCTCATGGTATACACTCATTCCATAACCGATCGAGAACAAATATAGATAACGTGAATAAGATATAACAAGGTTCACATGACGTATTCTAGATCCTGAGATAATTCCTACAGGATCTTCTTCCTGATTCCTACTCATCTCGCCCCCACACTCCAACATTCCGGGGAGATCTACCATTTCTCTGTCCCAATGTCGGAGGTTTCCGCATCATGAGATATCACTCGAACTCAGTGATTGGTGTTAGAATGCTTATGTTATCCGAGACATAACTCAAGCCCACCTCGATACACCACAAGTATCAAGCTTCAGTGTTATATATAATTATAAACTGTAAAGACATAAACGGCGGTAAACGAAACGTCCGGAATAATGGCACACGCAATAAAACCAACACATGTCCCTAATTCCCTTAATGGACCGAAATTGGAACACGCAGAAGGAGATTCAACTCAAGTGGCACATTTTTATAAGAATACCGTCACATAGATAACTCCTAGACTGTCTTTCTCGGGGGTCTTTAACTACGATGGTCCGGGATTTTTTATGCTCACTTATTTGCGGCATTGGGTTTATTTTTGATATACGAGATTATTTGGAGCATATTAGCTTTTATCGACATCCGATCAGGTGCGCAGTTGAGATCAACAAATTGAGTTCAAGCCTTCCATATCTAATGAATACTATCATTTCCCCCCACAAAACACACTACAATCCCAACCTCCATTCCCAAGCCAGCCCCGCAACAACTTAAAAGAAAAAAAGAAAAAAAGAAAAAAAGAAAAGCATACTCAAAACCGAAACCCCTGTATTCCACGATCAGACCTCAGCTATCGCCCTATACGTATCCATAAACTCCTGCATCCTCTTCTTGATCCTCTCCTCCTGTGCTTCCAAAGCCTCCGACACCAACTTCCTGACCTCCGCAATCCTGTCTTGGCACTCAGCCGGGGATGCCTTCGCCCAAGCCTCGCACCCATCAAGGTACTCCCTCGCGATATTGGGGTGGCCTTTGATGGCGCGCTCGTACATCTTGAAGTGGGCGTCACTCCCGCCGACGCCGTTGAAGCTGCCGTAGATCTCGGTGTTCATGCTGGCGACGATGTCGAGCCAGTGGGCTTCTTGGGCTTTGAATTCGGGACTGTCGAGGCCTGACATATCTGGTTGTTGTTGTTTTGTGGGTGTGGTTCAGATTGTTGTGGTTTAGATTATGTGGTTTGGGTTGTGGAGTAGTTTTTGTGTGTGAGTCTGGGAATGTTGTGTGGAGGGGGAAGGAAGAGCATGGAAGCTGACGCTTTATAGTCGGTGGAAGGGCACCCCCAAATTGTAATTTTAGACGTTTCAGGTACTGCAATTTCCTATTAATAAAAGCTCCAGACCCCACACAGAGTTTGTTGACATTACCTCTCGGGGATGCGAGGAAGAGGTGTATACAATAACAATACTCTGTGTGTACCCCGTGATACAAATTGCGGGGTATTAGTGTTTTTAAATATGCTTAAGCTTCCAGACTGGGACTCGGCTTCAATGGGGCGCGGGATATGGTGATATAGTATCACGGAGGTACCTGTGCACTGTACTATGTCACATATCTGGCTATTCTAAATTTGTTGTTTTGGTAGTGCACAGTATTCCGGAATGTGATACAGAGAAGTGTTGTTGATCGGGAAATTGTCTGAGTGCTGACTGAAAGAGTATGCTCTGGCTCGGTTATTTGAATGGATGCCTTGCTAAGATTTCTGGGAGCCAGGTTGCTCGGGAGTGGAAAACAAGTTTTTCTGGTCTCAACCAAAGGGCTCCTAATGGGTTCATACACCTGCTTCAACTAGAGTTCAGTTCAAATTGTAAGATTATATAGAGGATGAATGATCAATAGAACCTAGGGATAGTGTGAACCTACCCAAGGGACATCGAGCATGATTCCAATTGCTCAGTTGGCCCATACATCGCGTTCTACAGCTCTGGAACGTGGGTCAGCCACCGTTCAAGTCACGGTCTAATACCCACTGGCCAATAGCAAAGCAGACTATGCAAGGGAAATACCCAGTACTATCAGAGTAGTAAACACCTGGACCAGCTATAAAAGGCATCTCTTTGGCGGTAGTCTCTCCCTAAAACACTCATCAAATTATTCCACATCAATATTATCAATAACACCCCTCCACTCCAAACTCTCAAAGCACTCAACCACAATGTCCTACACTGCAGACCAACAAGCACGTTCGCACCATGTTGTCCCCTTAAACAAGCTTACGGTTATGCAGTACGGCTTTAGCGTCGGCAAAGACGTCCGTACGATAGACTACTGCCACGATAATTATACTGCATTCGTCGACGGTATGCAGGAAGATCTAGCAGAGGGAAATGAGCTACTGCCTGCGGAGGAGTCTATTGGCTTTCTTAACACAATTCTGGAGGCAGGGCTTGAGGTTAAAAAGAACCTTCTTTTTGATAAAGAAATCCTCCCCGTGATGCAAAGTGTTCACCGGGAGGACCATGACCAGATCGGTTTGTCTACTCAATTTACGGAGATAGAGAGGGGGTTGGTTCATGTTCACCTGATCGAGATGGGTGTGAGGCAGGAGATCGCAAGGCTTGCAAATTAGCTCCGGTAGGTGTAGTAGGCGCTTGGTATTCTAGTCTGTAAAGTTGTTCGTGCTATTTGTTTTCTCTGTCATTATTTTGTTATTTTGCAAGATTATTTTGTTTTGAAGCGTAATCAAGTATTGAAGTGTGTAACCTAGTCAATATAAATACCTCGAGACCCTTTTAAACTTTGCGCAAGAAACACATTCAAAGGAAGATCTTAGCATTAGTGAAATATAATGATCACCGTGAAAGATGAAACGAACCTTCGAAGCTACACCCTCCAATCGTATTTAGTTGCTGTAATTATCATATCAGGGGATAGGGCCGGATATAGACCTGCAGAGTATGTAGAGTCCGTGTAAGTTTGAATGAATGTGTAGATACCACAGCGAATTAAGGGAACTCACTTCCCATATGGGGGCAAGAGAGCAGACTACTCCTTAGTAACGTAGAGACAGGGAAAGCCGTAATATAAATACCATTCAGTTTATGTAGACACATCACTCAAGATGCGATAAAGTTCAAGCTGCTGAAAAACAAAATGATCCCCACACGGAGGTAGCGGAACTACCGGAAACAGAGAGGGCCTTTGAATAGCACATGCTAAAGGATATTAGAGAGCCGTAGAAAGTTTTTGTGACCGATGTATAGGGGGGAGGACGCCGTACCAAGGTCATGAGGCTAGGGGCACGTGTTATCACTCGTTTTCTTTCCTCCGCTTGTATTTCAACCCCACACCTGTCGTGGTATTCATCCTAGATCACTTTTCATGATCTCCCGGAGAGGTAGACTTAGGAATAAGGAGCGAGAAGTATTCTCATTCGAAAGCGCTTATATGATGGTTGGTCTATAAGGAATGGTCGGTGATGAAGGACAGCGACGGAAAACAACACCGCTAGGTGTTCTTGTTGAGAAAAGTCTAGGTGTCCTCAGATATTATAGTAGAGCCGGAAGAAAGATCACAGTAGTCTATCATAAATCAGATGTGTTGTCTAACACCCAGTCAGTTTGCCTGAATCATAGTTTATCACTCGTAATTACACTCAACAGAAGGTATATCCAGATCTCAGTTGCTGCGAACTCTGATACCTCGATACATTTTGTAGTCTAACAAAGCCTGATGTTGCATACATGTAGATTAGATATGGACTCAAGCCATTCTTTCTAGGCTGTGGACTGCCGAAATCAACAAGTAGGGATCCGATCAGGCACATGCCTTGAAGAGCAGATCTTGCCGCATAGTATTACTACCGCGCCCATTCTTCAGAAAGTAACAGTAGAACAAAATATTGCGAATTATATCAGTACCACCTACCCATTTTGACACCTTCCGGTTAATAATAATGGGAGAGGCTAACGAAGTCGAAGTGGTAAGTGTTCAGGCGAGAGTCCGCCAGAATCATCGCGTAGCTTTCTCAGCCTTTTGTACCGCGCATGCCTTAGTCCCAGACCTAGATGAAGTTCAACTACTTCACCTTATTTCTTCTTGTAGTATCTCCCCTGTGGTCCTTTCCCTTCCAAATCTACCCGTCAAAGCCTACACATGAGGGGCCTGGAAGAGGGAGGGAGGGGGGGGGGGTTTAGCTGTCAAGGGTACGCCACCTGAAATAGGTTCGGAGGTGTAGAATAGCCAGTACATCGTGCCGAATTTGCGAGTCGGAGGAGGAAGAATGAGATCCTCTACTAAGAGAGTCCGCGAGTGATAATGTTACGAACGTTGATGCCCAGGAAAATTCCGGAGGAGTCAAAATATGAGGATCACGATGAGAGTCTGCTCGACGAAACGTCTGAAGTTGATGGACTCCCTTCTGCTCCTTCTTCCGCCTTTCAACTTTGAAGGTTATAGTTGGCCTCTATTCAACAGTTATAATTCTAAGATTCTCTCAGTGTCGATATCCAGTGACGATGTAGTACCACGGAAAGATCTCAAAGGGCTGGGGTTCAGTATGGACAAATACCATTGTCTGATGATTGTAGGCACAAGCGGCAGCTAGTATCTAGAGGTTATGCTGATCGATTGAGAGGTAGACGGAGGTGTATCTTGCGGCTCCTAGATGTCGTCGGATATCTCTTTGCTCCTGATCGGGATAGAAACAGAGACGGTATTTCATAATTAAGTGGTCAACCATTCCAACTATGGGGCAGCAAGGATCTTGGTCGTGAGAAGAGTGCACAAAGGACATGATGGCACGTAGCACAACGGAAACCGCTGGTGAGACTGGTGTAACGATACAGATGTCTCCAGATGTCACTCCCGCGACAATGGAACGTTCTGCTTCACCGCTATCCCGCCATGGGTCATGAGTGGCTATATATTCCGGAGATCCGAGATGCAGGGGGTGGGGAAATTCAGTTGCTTATTACATGTAATTTTAGGTGGCGAGGCGGAGGGCTGTGTACATACAGCAGCGGCTGAGCATCCAGTCTCATGTCATACCTAGAACCACGTGTACGGTAGACTGGCATCTATTCGTCTAGACATGAAATATACAGAAAGCAACGTTGCCGTCTCCGGTTACCCCTACTCCCACCCTCGGGTGGGGTGGAACGTGGTACAGTGTTCCCGGAAGATTCCGCGATTGCGCAACGTACTGTTACGGACGTCGTTATCAGACATCAACAAAAGTAGAGCCACGGGGGAGCGATCATTGAGCCACTCTTCCTCCTTTTTTGGGCAACTTAGCCGACTGCTACCTAGGTGTCAGGACACGTTGCAATAGTTATGTGGTTGTAAACAGTGAAGCATATGTGTTAATTTCGAGACCTATGAGTTCAGCGGCGGCAGCCCTTTGAATCTCATCATTCTTCATCTGAGTGATAGAGCGAAGAGCTAGAACAATCCCCTCGAGACCGATCCAGAAAATAATTCACCAACAGCCGAAAGCGTTCAAAGATTTGGCGCTGGATGGTCGAAGGGACAAACCCTTGAGATATCTCTCATAGGTTTTGAATTGGATACCAGGAGAAATAGCTGAAGGAAATATCACGCACTGAGAGTTCAAGCTGAACGATCTGAGCAAGGATCGGTCCGGGGGTTGCGGTAAGCTTATTTCAGCCTCATGTCTTGGCGCCCGCTAGATCACGCGCTTCCCTCTGATCATTGCCGTTTTCAAAATATTTCTCACGCTGAAAGGTCTCGAAAAGAATTCGTAGGAAACACTTTAAGTAGCCTTCCAGACGAATGGGAGGAATGATTCCAATCATGTCTTCTAGAAGAACAGGAGGCCATGTGTTGGTGCTGTCAATCGGCATTTTCTGCTAAGCGAGAAGCGGGATGCAGGGGATGGCTCATTGGAATGTGACCCCTGGAACCGGTCGGCTATGGAAACCTTCTCTTGACGACTTGTCTCTCGCACAGAACGTGTGGAGATTTGGTATAACACGCGATCGATATGAGAAGCGATGCAGTCGGATCAATGTCTGACAATAGTCGATTAGAGTCAGGTTTTTATTTTTATTTTTTTTATCTTGGAAAAATTAGCCAATTGGTGATGAGCATGAGCTAAAGAGTTTAAAGCACTGAATCCCGATATCATGATATTGCATACCAACAATGATATCACCATATCAAATTGCTTCACAGCGCGCTATTCTCATAGCAAAACCCATACCCACCAGGCGCTAGGTCAGCCGCGAACTCTGGGAAATCATATCATTCACCCCCGAACCTGCAGAATCACCATCGAAAAAAGCACCTCCGACCGACCGCCTACCTCCCTCACCTGACAAATCCTCCAAGATGAGAATTCAGGAATACTGGGAGCACTGCCAGCGAGAGATCCCATATTCTATATTTCAGACAACTGTCCCACATCGGCACATGCGGCGCAGCACTTCATTCTGTCTCAGTCGCCTATTCGACCCGGTTACGTCGCCTAGCCGTGGTTGTGCTTTTACTTTGTGTTGGTGAGTGCAGATGCAAGCGCAAGCCACGCTGCGTTGGGAGTGTTTTTTGTTTTTGAGAACCCACAAAGGTGGGCTTCTCTTCTGGAATTGATGTGAAAAACATCTGCTCAAGGGCGGCAGAGAAATCAAAACGGCTGTCTCGAGACTTCCGGACGAAAAAGCTGCAGCTTAGACCATAATCGATAGGGCTTATTCTGATCATTGTCTCCCCCGCCAAATCTAAGCCACGTTTTCAGCACTTCAAAGGCAGTCTCTCAACGCCTCAACATGCAATTCCACCAAGAATAAACCCACACTAGCTGCAGCCAGTACCAGATCTGCACCTACCCGTCTCTCATCAAACCCCAGCCTCCTCCCACCACACCACACGGCATTATCTGTCTCATCACCGCTCAGCCGCATACGCCAAGACTCCATCTGGCACCACGGATGGCTATAAACACCCCCCACACCCCAACACACTCATCATCTGCTTCCTCTCTCTTGCCTCCACATCATCTACACCGCACCGCACCGCACCACACCACACCACACATCTACACAATGCAGCTCGTCAACACACTCCCGCTCATTCTCCTCACGCTGGCTACCACCTTCTCTGGCGTCTCCGCCAACTGGTTCTACGCGTAAGCCCACTCCCACCACCATCTCTCCCCCACTCAGTCGCAGCTAACAACTCCCAAAAACAGCCGCCAGGAAGCCAACATGACAATATCCTCCACAAACACCACAATCAGCACAAACAGCACCCTCGGCTACAACAGCACCACCGCTATCTGCGACGATCCAGACAGGCGCGCCGAGTGCTGTGACGTGTACCCTGACGCCATGAACTGTCCTGTCGGCCCGACGCTCGAGAATACAAGTACCTATGATGAGGGAGCTGGCATAGTGGATGACCATAGTGAAGGCACTATTCCGGAGGAGAAGGGAGCGGCGGCTCGGAGGGGGGTGGATATGACCGTGGTGGCGGGTGTGGTCATGGTTGTGGGTGCCGGGCTGGGGGCGTGGTTGTAAGGTTGCTAGGAGTTAGGTCTGGGAATTGAAGGATCTGGTGATGTCGGAAGGCTTTTTGCGGTGCTTTTCTTGTGGGATTGTCTTTATGGTGTAATGATGGGGGTATTTAAGTATCTTCTTATAGTACCTACTACTATTGGCCGTTCTCTTCCGGAATCAAACCAACTGTTCATGTGGCCATGCATAATCCTCCCATTCAAAATCATCTGCGTTAGATGTTCATCCGATATAATCCTCTTAGTGTTGAGTCATATCAAGAACGTCTCCGGACCGGCATTCACTGATGTAATATGTGAATGTTCCCTGATCTTACTACTTGCTATAAACCCTCATTAACACCTTGTGCTCCAACTCGCTAGGACAGAATCCTGCCTCTTAGCTGCCTGGAATGATATCGCGGGTTATCAAAATCGTTCAGGCACAATTGCGCACTCGGTAGTACCAAGTGCTCCTCCGATGACCCCCACACGCACAGTCGGAGAGTGCGCGTTGAATTATATACCAAGGCGAGTCTAGTAAGTTCTGATAACACATAATACTATAAGCGCCAACCGTTTCGCCTCCTCGTTCGGACCGGGCGAGTCTCAACATATATAACAGCCACCTTATCAGCGCAGGACGATATATACCCTTGATTCTGAAATAGAGTCGGTAGAAGTGATGTCAAAGTGAGCATACGCGACGTGTCGCTAAAAGCACTACACGCCGTAGTTGCAGGTGGTAAGTGTCAATGATGGAATGAAACGTGGGCGTCTGATATCAACGCAGGGTTAGGGTTCTGGTTCTTGTTGTTTATCTTTTAGATTCGTGACAACACACTCCTTCGGAAGAATGAAACAGGTATGTAGGAGATATATAAGAGGGGGGTTGGATGGATCTGCTGTCATCTTTAAGCGGTCTTTCCTCGCCCGGAAAGCGCGCTCTCGAGTTTTCGAGTGGACGGAGAGGGTGGGACTTGAAGACTTGGGTGTGGGTATGTATGTATATGCCTGCAGAATCAAGCTCGTGAAGTAACAGGTACCGCAACTTCTCGACCGCTCGATGAACTACTATCCTTGCCCGAGGAGATTATACCACTGGCAACAGGAGAAGACGCGATTCCGGAACACAGGTTTGCCAGGGATATCGAGCTCCTATATCCGCCTGTACGGGGGTGAAGGATATTTGGCGGGACTTGACGTCAATATGAGAGGGTCGAGAAAACATGAGATTGAGTGGGTATCCTTGCTGTAGCTTAGATCTTCTCGGCGGGATGCTGCTGATACGTCTATATTACTTATCGGATAGAGAAATTAGCATAAAGGCTACAGACTATATCTACTAGAAGGCGGGCCTAGTTTTAGTATATAGACTTTCCGCAACCCAGTTTGCTGGCGCCTGGTCACTCCGTATGTTTTGACGAGTAATAATGATATGACTCTCCCCTGCCCCGGATGTGTTTGGTGGAGACGTCTGAACTTTATCATTTGTCCCAGCAGGTATTGCTTCCAGAGTGATTACCAGAGTAAAAATGAGTCCGCACGGAGATAAGTACGACGGAAGGACTTGCAATTGGGTGTGCTCAATGAATCTTCATTACCGCCCCCTCCCCCCCCACCCTGTATTTCTACTTCCGCTTTTTGAAGTGTCAGAATAAACAGTGAACCAGAACCAGCTGATAGTCCTCTTGAGTATATTTAGCCGGTAAGTAAAAGCGAAAAAATCTCAAAACTTACTCTCGAGACATCATTACCCACCACATTCCTGCACCACGAAGGTACCCAACTGAGCGGTTTTTTTTTTGATGAGTGTCCGGTCTTTAGTGCTATACAGTACTCTACTTCAAATCTATGATCTTTTGATATATGTTTTAGATCTCATTGTTGAAGATCTTTCGAATTCCGTTCACCGTATATCACTCGTCTTACCTATCGAAGCTCACTCCGGTGGATAAAGGGGTTTTTTGTGATATAGAAGACGCGATGGACTCGTGTTTCAATAATTATTGATTGAATGGAGGAGAAGACTTGGAGAATTGACAGTTTATTGATAATATGCCAATTTTGTACATGTAATCGTGGCATCCACATTGCCAGAACGGTGTCCGGACATGTGAACTTGTTTCTCTAGACAAGTAATAGAAACAAAAATCGATAAGATTTCTGAGCGTAGAAGATACATACTGGTGATAGGCATATCTTCCTTACGCCTCTCCTATTCCCAAAGCAAGACTCCCGCAAGGCTGAACGTGGAACCTAATGAATGAGGAAAGCCTTTCGATACTGGGGAGATATACCATTAATCAGGCGTAATATGTATTACTCCTATCTCTTAGAACGGGCGAGAGCTATCGTACAAGTTTTAGCTCCATCTGTCCCTATTGATTATTCCACGTATCTCTTGACTTCCTACAGGTTCAAAAAATAAATTTACCGGCGGGGTGCAGGACTAAGACCTGCACTTAGCCATGATAAAGCGGGTTGCAAGAATCACCAATATAAAGCGGTAGATTCTAGACTCAATATAAAAATCTAAATGGTGCTAGGATCGGGAACCGTAGAAAGAGTACTTATATCGATGTGGGTTAGGGTTACAGTGCCGAGATCCTACATCTTTACCTCCGCAAGAAAGTCAACGAGTCTATGCAAAACCAGCAGTCTCGGGAAGAAAGAGAGTGAAACGTTAAGGTTCACTCTCCCAATCAGTTTTCTTTATTCTTTTAATGACTCTTAACAAAGGCCACACCCCATCTGCATCCAACCACCCGGCCTTCCAGGACACAAAACAACTACAATTACAGCTAACTAGCCCTGCCGACTCCTGTTCTCCTCATCAATCCTCTCAATGTGCATTTCCATCTGCCTTCTGCGCATTCTCGCTGCGAGCCGCCCCTCCAACGAATAGTCTCTTGTGGTGGTGGCGACATACTGCGGCAAGATGGTAGACGGAATCCTGGGGGCTGAATAGGGTGGACGTTGGGCGGTCCAGGAGTGGGTGCGGCTGGCGGTGGTGGGGCTGATGGCGTGACTGCGGCCGCGGGGTAATGTGATTGCTGGGGGTGTATTAGTGTGTTGGATATAGAGAAGGAGGAGGTAAGGAGCGGGGGTGGGGCGGTGGAAGATAGGGGATTATGGCGAGTGGTGACTTACAGCGGCCGTTGATGCTCATTGAGTTGGCATATGGTCTGCCGCGACGATTAGCGGGAGAGGCTTGAAGACGGTTGTTGACTGAAGTTTATCCGTTAACATTTGCTGGAGTTCTGAAATGTTTAGAGCATAAGGGAGGTGATGTATTGCAAAGGACAAGAGTATAAGAGCTTACCTGGCTGATGATCATCGAGATCGAGAACAATAGGATCATGAGCCGTGTTGCCGGGAGTCTGAAAATTGGGAATCGATCCCGGAGCTGTTGATTTAACATATCAGCCACCTGAGTCTAGTGTTCAATGGAAGAAGGCACATACCATTCCGGACGGTATTGTAACTAAATCCAGGGGTGTTACCGGTGAGCCCAGGGCCGACAACGAGGTTGTTCCTGTTAATCATCTCGTCGTCGTCGAAGCCATTGTGGATTGTGAAACTGTTGGGTGCTGTAGCATGGTAACATTAGAATAAGAATGAAGACATTGGAAATGGGAAGAATCATACAATGAGTCTGCACCAATCCGGGAACAAAAGGCTCACTAGCAGGTGCGGAAGCTATAAATCCTAGGTATCAGCGACACCTCCGGCGCATGAAAAAAAGCACATCAAAAGAAAGAATGCTGAAACGTAACTCACCACTGCCAGGAAGGGGACCAAGAGCATGATTAGAATATGCGATAGCCTCATCCAGGATGGCTTCAATCTCACTTTGAGTAAGCTCAAGATTGACACATCCTATGCATTCGTCGGATTAGTTCCAGAAACAGTTATTCATCATGGGAGGGAGCATATACCGTACAGCCCCAAATGTTCAGTATTATCGGGATCGAAAGGGAGATCGAGGGCTATATTTTCATTTTGTTTGTTAGTCCTGGGTTACCGGATCACGCTGGATATATAATCCTGGATGCGTACCAGTGTTTATCCAGTCGTTATTAAGGCTGCCGAAGCCCTCAGCGGCATCGCCGCCGGAATTGTTAAGGAGATTGAAGGAAAGATTGGCTGCTTCTTCACAGCGCTACTCTTAGATTTTGATCCATCTAGAATCGGAGGGGGGGAGCCTACCAAATGCCTCGGCACTCGAATCACCTCCTAGACCTTGATCAACGCCTTGTTCAAAGGCAGGCGGAGGAGAAGGAGAAATAGGCTCGACGGCTGGAACCATATTAGAGACGTGCTCAATCGATATAGTGGGCTGGTGATCTTGAGCTCCAGATGGTCCCATTCCCAGTGTACAGTGGGATCGGTCTCCGATAGAGAACAAAGACACACTGTCGGGATCTGGGGGTAGAATTTGTTAGCTGAGATAATCATAATACTGATAGGGCGCGGATAAAGCTTACCGTCTGTATCGGGATGTTTCTCGTCGAGATAACCCAGTAAAATCTCAAGCCCTTCGTCGGGTTCGGAAGTGGGTGCAGGCTCACCTTGGATTGGGTCGAGGAATGACCAGCTCAGACCTCGTAGGGCTGGATGTACTGGCTCATCTTCAGTGGAAACTATGTGCACAGTGGTTTGATGGGTTGAGCAAACTAAGATAAAACCGAGATGAGTGAATGTAGAGACTGACCATCCAATATTGTAGCCTGGTTCTCCTGACTACCTGCGACAGTCCCATCGAGGACAACAACCGGGGGAGGTGGGGTTGTCTCCTCCGCAGAGGTCGTGTTCATCAGGGCCTTCGGAGAGGCCATCATAGAAAGCAGTGCTACGAGGGATGAGTTAGCAGCCTGGAAAACGAGGAACAGAGTGCTAGATACTCACCATCCCGGGCTGCACGAACACCTTCTCTGGCGGCTTCACTTTCAGTATCCACACTGTCAAGATCGACAAGAATACGGGAAAGAGTGGAAATCTTCTCAAAGAGCTCTTTGCGCGCATCCGGGTTCCCCATCGTGTGATAAAACAAGAGCTTTGTGGTGGATGATGTCCGGAGGGAGGGGAACTACTGATGGAAGACATAGACAGCCTGTGGGGCGAAGCCCCCTTTGCTTGTGAGGATTCCGCCCACCATTTTCGCGAGATCTATGCTAAGGCTGTAAAGGAGGGCCTGGCCATTACTGCTATTCCCCCATAGAATGTGGATGAGCAGGGATGTTGATGGAATAGGATACGTAACCTTCATTAACTAGCGAGATGATAGAGTTGGTTTTGTTCCTCCCGTTTTCAATAGATTCTGTTAGACCTGTATCGGATAGTTAAATCCCCAATTGAATCCGATTCCAACTGCTTGGACTGCAACTGATATATCGAATAATTCTTTCTCCTCAAGAGTAGCAAGAGGAGGCTTGAGCATCGGGTAATCTGAGATCAGTTGCTGATCATTCTGCATGCCCCCTGCCCTTTGAGTAGCGAAGGACTCTGTTTCGACAATTCTTAGGAGCAGGCTACTGTTCTGGTTGTGTAATAATGATATAGAGCTCTGGCTCTGAAACAAGAAGGCTTTATATATTTTATATTTTTGTCCCGTTTGTCAATTCCAGTGAAGACTTTACATTTGCTTCCCTCGCTTCCTTTTCTTTCCGGCTTTCCCGAGAAGTATCATGAGATCAACCCCCTCGAGAGTAAGATGTGTCTATCTGGAGTTGTCTTGTTTTGGGGTTATATCCGGTTCTTTATCCCATTATTCGATTGATTTGGTATCTGTAAATCTTCCTTTCGGAGGCCATATGTGCATGTGTTCGAGCATGTTTCAAACTCATGGTAAGAACCTTCGTATTGAACTCAAAGTCTAGTCTATGCAGATTGGATTTGTATTTGCGTGAGAGCCCGAAGACTGGTGACGGAAATATTGTTGGATGCTGTGGAATAGGTGCGAGCTCGCCCGGACAAGCTCACTCGTTTATCACCGGGGAACCAGAAGATGCAAGTGACCGAGACAGGGAGAATTTGTAAGAGAGATCGTCGCCTCTCCGTAGAAGGTATCTTTGCCCTGAGCAGCTGAATTTTTCGGTTCTCTCCCTGGTCAACGAGTGGGCCTTCAGGGATATGGGCGTATGGTGGGTTTGAGCGGCGAGAGGTTCGGTGGCTGTCGCTCAATACGCACCGCTTTGGCAATGGTGCATCATCATTGGCTCGGAGGATGATGATGATAGTGACAGGAAATGAAGGATGAAAGAATTTAAGAGTCGACGTTCAACTAAGCTTTCCTCCTAACATGGGTTCAGTCAAAGTATCGGTAAATCCCGCTGGTGACACCTCGCTCGAGAGGGCCCATGTGCGACAACGCCAGAGCTATATGAGCATAGCATTGTGATTTTACGACTCAGGACAACTCTTCTTCAAGTACTGACTCCATTGCGTCTTTATTCCTGACCATGGGCAAAAACTACAGACCAGCTTTCCTCCATCCCCCCAATTCAACACCCCTTCGCATTGCGATACCTCTCCTCCACACCCCCTCCTTCCACCCCCCCTTCGACACCTCTCCGCTGACGCCTAGCCCTCCGCTTCCCCCATCCGCTCTCAACATCTGCCAATGCCGCCCTCGCCTTCATCACTTTGTCCCATGCCGTTTCAATTATCAACCACTGCGCTTCTTTCGCCTTTGTCACTCCCGCGAGCATCGCACACAGTGATCCGCGCCTAGTTTCGTCCTCAAGGTTCGCCAGGTCGGCGGTGAGCTTGGTTTGGAGCTTGTCGAGAGCTGACCAGAGAGTGAGGAGGGGGTCGCACGCCTTGAGGGCGTCGAGGAGGTGGGCGGTCATTGCGCTGTAGGTTGGCGGCATTGCCGTGGGGGAGGTCTCTGTGGAGGTGGGTTAGAGGGAGATGGAGGGGGAGGTATAGAAGACTTACACTATGATGGTTCTGATCACTGTTGTGGTGTGAATTGTGTGGTGAGTGAAGGATTCCGGGGGGGTGGGGTTTCTGTGGGATGAGACGGGGGATACTCTTGTGGTAAACATGTTACCGGAAGTGGCTAACGCGAAAGTGGTATGAATAGAGCCTAGGCTGATACATCTATATATCGAATCGCGTCTTCACCTCCGGATTTCACAGCACGAGAAATCCATATCAGTCTGGAGTTGGAGAATCATATGCAAGCGATATCGTATCGACTCATATCTTAGAAACGACATACTTAGGAGATGTGGGAGGTTAACAGCCTGAGGGAGGGAGAAACCATGATCATGAACATTCCACGGTTCTTCCGTCCATATCTGGAGTCAGCCATATCGAGGAAATTCAAACATATACAGTTTATATAATGCCTACACCAATTTCCGGGTATCTGAAATGTCATAGGAAAGTGTCAAACATCTTTGGAGGATACATGTATCCATAGCGGTCTGGTTTGGCTTTAGAGAAACCGGCTAAAACCCTAACCCTATAGAAGTAATAACAATTTAAAGCAAATGGAGTTCTGGCTGCCAGGCATCCAAGTCACAAAATCTCATAGTTATCCTCTTTCAATATCGATCACGATCTAAATTCTATTGAAACTCATCAAAACGCGGTTGCCAATGGCATTTCCGGCGACCCTGCAAAGCCGCCCAGAGATGTACTTTTAAGGCAATGTCGGTGTGGTCTACGAGGACGTTAGGGGAGAGGTCTGAGAGTGTCCTCGAGGCGCCTCGTCCCCGCTGACCTCTGTCCTGGTCTGACCTCGGGGTCCAACACCATTATTGTCCTCGAGGTGTCTTGAGGAACCTCGAGGGCGGTTCCGGGAGACAAAAAGGCGCTATATGTTTCAACTAAAAAGCATATTTTGTCTTTGAGCGATCAACCTCATCTCCATTATGAGGATTGTATAAGTGTATAATATGCCAAGAATTGTCCTCGGGGTCTCCAGCCAAGCACAAGTAGTGTCCTCGAGACTCCCTACCCCTTAGACCATTGTCCTTGTGTTTCATCGAGGGAACGTGCTCGAGGCAAGGACACAAAGACGCTCACCCTCGTGAACCACACTAGGCAAGGTCTGGGAAAAGGAGTGTGGAGTATGGCCTTTACAACATGCTTTATAGGTGAATGGATACGGGTGGTGCGCTTAATGCAATTGGCCGGGGGCTGAGTGGTTCGAGCTAAATGTGGAGTATTTCAATCAAGCAGTATAGTCACAGAAAGAAACAACTTAAGTAGAGGAAGAACTTTAAACTGTAATCATTTGATTTGGACACAAAGTTAGAGAATTAACAAAGTTCCATCAAGTTTTACTCTCCCACCGCAGTCAAAACCCAGCTCAAATCTTCGACACCTCCCTCCGGCCCAATCCAGTTTACGGCCTCTCTACCCACAGCCACGCATTCTCCAACGCAACCTCCCTGGCATCCTCCTTACTCAACGTACCCCCCAACCGGACCCATGCCTTCCTCGCCGCCACAAGCCGCGCATGGACCGTCGAACACCTGCCGTTCGCCCTGTTCACCCGCTCAGAAGAAGCAATAAGCTTATTAACCAATTTCCCCTGCAGGAACTCGGACTCTGACATGTGCTCGGGAAAGAACTCATCGACCAGTGGATCATCCGCGACATCGAGGCCTGGGTTGGAAGTGAGGAGTAGCTGGTACTCCTCATAGAGACGGCGATGAGCGTCGTTGATGGAGACCCATATGTTCCGGATCTGAGTGTATTCTTCTTTGAGGGCAAGGTATCTGTCGAGAGCCTCTTTGATGGATGTGGGTTCGGGTGACGGTGGGATCCGCCGGGGGAGGGACATTCGGACTGCAGTGTGTTAGTGAGGGCAGGGAAATGTGAGGTTATGGGTGATGTTATTGTACCTGGTGTTGTTCTGTGTGTAAGGGATGCTGGTCTCTGTCTGGCGGGAAGGCGTTGTGTTGACTGCGAGGGGTTTCGAGAGCAAGAGGACGTGCATGCTGGTTGAGGAAAGTGCCAAGACCACGCCCTTGATCGCTCGAAAACGGCACACTCCTCCCAGCGTGTTTGTACCGCGCGTACGCGTGTAGGCACATTGCGTAACTTGAATATAGGGATATGGGCGTTTGATTAGCGTGTTTATGTCGCCAACTGACTATAAAGAATAGGCCTCATCTCCGCCCTGAGCCCAGGGGGTGATCGCTATCTTAACTAACATATTTCATTCTTACGACATGGCATAGGTTGGGAATGGCCCGATTACCATCCGCCAAACCGGGCTCCTCTTTCGATCACTCCTTACTCTCCTAGCGATTGGTCTCTAATATTTGAAGCATTGTTCTTAATCACTAGACTCACAGAAGATAAAAGGATTTGAACAAGAATAACTGTAACTCCAACGGTAACATTTCTATTTAAACTACCGAACCCGCGGATTGTTGACGCATGTTGATATTCTACTCGAATATTTTACCCCGCCATAACCGCCCTTCACCGAAACCGCCGTTCACCGAAACTGCCGCTCCTCCACCTCTTCACTCTTCAAACTTCCCCCCCAGCGCCACCCACTCCTCCTTCGCCTTCTCCAACTCCCCCAGGATCTCCATGCAGCGATCGTTCACGTCGTTCGCGGCCTCAGCGCTCGCGACAACCCTATCGAGGAGGTTCTCCGCTCTTGAGGCATAGTCCTCCAAAAGAGAGGGGAGGTGTCGCGGGTCGAGGTTGGCCGAGGGGTCGTCGATGCTCACGGCAAGGCTGGGGTCGAGGCGGAAATCGTATTCCTTGTGCAGGCGCTCGTGGATAAGGCGGAGGTCCGTCCAGTGGGCTTGAAGGTCGCTGTACTCTTTGTGCAAGGAGAGGTACTTCTTGAGGGCGGCTTCGAGCCTGGATCCTGGAGGGGCGACGCATGGCCTTTTCGGAGCCTGGGCGGTTGTCATTTGGGGACTATGGAGGTTTGTCAGTTACTGGACGAGAATGAAGTTTGGTGACAGGTTGGAAATAGAGAGGAGAGATTGATGGACTTACTCTGCCTTTGTGTCTTGCTTTGGGAGACTTGTGAGTTTTGGAGTGTTCGAAGGTTTCCAGGACTTGTAGAAATTGTCTCAAGAGAGAATTTTCGCAGATGTCTTTTTGTTCCTAAAGGCCAAGCCCGGCTACCTCAGTTTGAAGACGCCAATCAACCTGGCCGGAGGGTTAACCATTTTGTAATTGCTCTCGTTAATGCCGAGGAACTAACTGCGTGCAGTTCAAGCTCCCAAGGCGGAGACCAACACATTGAACCAGTTCTCCTTGATTTAATGACACCCATGAGTTGAATTGTATATCTGAATTGAGTTAGATCGTAAAAAGATAGAATTATATCAGCGTTGTGTCGGTTGGGAGAGCAGGGAACCCCCATCTTGTTAAATAGATACAGCTATCAGCCCATGAGATTACATCGTTGGCCATTACTTGATGCCCGCTCTCTCGCAAACGTCTGTGTCAATCCACCGCTTCTCCTCTTTCCCGTTTCATTGAAAAATGCTTTTTTCCTCCCGGTATTACACGGAAGAGAAGTGAAATAACTACCGGTAAGAAATCTCGTGTCAAGTGCATGCATCGCACGTATGAACAACGGAAAGACCGACAAAGTTGGTTGCTGGCCTGGGCTGACTTGGCTAGTGCGACTGATGCCTCATAATTTATAGCCGATGGGATGGATCCTAAAATAGTGAGCGGTTGTGCCGGCGTTTTGGGAAATGTATCCAGGAATAAAGATCGCCTGTCGTGAAGATGTCAGGAACTGAAACTCCGAAGTGAGTAACGACATCAACTTCTACTTGTACGTAGGCATCTTGAGAAAACATAAAGGGGGGAACTATTTCCGCAGGGCAGTTCGACTGGGCGTGAGAACTGTGAGTATCGATTAGTTGATTGGTGATTCACTGTACTTGGTGCGATTCTTCTACGTACGCGTGCCTTGGGATTTGTCTTTCCTGCCTCCACGCGCGGTGCGTGGGACGTGGGTGCGCCTGATATCGCTGTTATTGAAAGAGAAACTTGCATCCTCTCTCCTTTTTCTATTTTGTTCGTCAATGTTTGCCATTGACCGATGTTTGCTGTCCCTCCATTGACCTATATATCCTGATGATTGTCCATTTACCTTGTCCCACGCGCACATGGTTTGGCTCCGGGTCCTCTTAGACATGTTTATTTGTCAATTGGGGTTCAGGGGACTGAAGAGAAAAGGAATATACCCATAGTATAGAATCCTTCAGATTCTAAACGTTTGCCATCGTCAAACCCTTCAGATCCATATGATATTGGCTCATGTGGGTTAGGGTTAGTGATACAAACCTTAGCGCATTTTCACCCAGCATACCCAGGCACAAGTGACCTAAGGAGAGATTAAGGTGCAGAAGCATTAAGTGGTGCCTCATACCACTGAAACAGGTATAGGACTATAAAAGGAACCATCAGACGATCTAGAATTAGTTCAGTAACCACCAACAAAAATAATCCCCCATAACAACCAAAACCCCCCACCAACAACCATTTCCAAAATGAATTCCAACCCCGATAATGTGTTCAACCTTACCGGAAGCACCATCAACACCGTGACTACCTTGACTGTCCCCCGCAGTAAATACATTACTGCACGCCTTCTCGAACTTCGACAGCTGATCGACATCCACCAAGACGATCTTCCGACACGGCGGAAAACCTACAAGAAGTATCTGGAGCGCTATCGGAAAGTGCGATTCGAACTTTGCAGAGCAGCCTACGCATCCACCGGACGCAGCAACCTCACCCCATTTCAATTATCCTCAAAGGTTGAAGCTCTGGCGGAGAAGGAATTGACGCTGCGGGAACTGGTCAAAATGCTCTCGAGTAACTACGAATGGATGGTCGAAAAGGTTGGTGCCCTTAAGAAAGAGGAGGAGAGGTTGTCCAAAGAGTTGGGGGTGATCAACAAAAAGCGGCAGGAATCGAGAAGGCACAGCATGGCGAGAAAACGGAGGGCCGAGGTGTTGAAAAAGGGGTCGGAGGAGTTCGCTCTGGCTGCCGGTGCTGCAGAAATAGAGGGGATCTTGTGAAAGGTATATCTAGACTAAAGGGTAGGGAGAATTCCGGGGGATGCTGTTAGATTACTAGGCTTTTGTCAATAAATTAAGTTTTGACTCCATTTCACTATCTATAGTATAAGGTGAGTGCGAAGTCGTACCTTAGAAACTGTAAATCTCCCCTCGTGCCCAGCCCATGTCCACATTGATAGCATAAGCAGAGGTAAGTGACATAAATATACGGGAAGGAGACCACGATGGCTCAGACAACCCACAACAACATCCACCAGTAAACCTGTATCCAAGAAAAAAACATCCTCTCAAGATGAATTTCCAACCCATCTCATTGCTCGCCTCCACCCCCGAGCTCCAATTTTGCGGTCCTTCCTCCACATTCTACCGCATCTCCTATATCACCGGACGTCTCATAGAGGTTCGAAAACTGATCGACATCCACCAAGACGATTTACCAACCCGCTGGGCCACCTACGAAGAGCATCTCAAACACTACCACAGGGCCCGATTGAGCAGGTTCATAGCATCATGCGGGAAGCACGAAGAACGCAGCTCCACGGCTGTTTGGGTCACAACAACGCTCAGTGATCTCACCACGAAGGAAGCGAGTCTTAAGGACCTTGTTAAGATGCTGCATGACAACTACCAATGGATGGCGGAGAAAGTTAGCTTGCTGCAGAAAGAGGAGCGAAGGTTGGTGGAGGAACTCGAGATAGACCACATCAGGATGGAACGAGATGGACTCTTTACCTCCGATATCTCGTGGAAGGCTGAGGTGTTCATAAGGAAAGCAGATGGGTCGAAAGTGACGATGGATGGCCTCGATGCGTCGGACAATATCTTTCAGCCGGAACAGTGAATGAAAGCTGATTACCAAGTTAGATGGATATTGCAATTAAATATGATTTTTTCTAATCCGCTATTCCATCGTTTCAAGAACGTTTAGGAATGATGACAGCTCTATGAATATATATCGTCCACAGGTGGGGGTGAGATGACAACAATGCCTAACCGCGGGAGCAGAAGACAACTAGGCAGCAAGATCGATGCAGCATGGCTTTTGAACAACAGGAACCTCTTCACTCGCTGATATACACTAAGATCGCTGCACATGTGAGAATGTGAAGCATGTCACCCGCCAGTCTACAATCATGACGTACCACCGGCCTATCCATCCGGGTACAGTATCTCGATTAACATCAGACCCAGAGAAAAAAAGCTCAGTCAATCAAAAAATCCATCCACAACTCGAGACTCTTACAGCTTGGCATACGGGAAGCTTTAAATTACCAGTAGCCTATAAATAACTAGCATTTATTCCCACTGTGCAGCTCTTCACCTTACATTCCACCCGTGAGGGCAAAAGCCAACAGCCGAAATTTCATCAGCGAATTCAACAAGGAAACAACCAACCGAGTAAGTTATCATCTACCATCAAGGTCTCTACTCAATCAATTCCATTCTATGATCATTCTCCTTTCTATGAAGAACGCACCAGCAATAGGTTACTAATATAAATAGTTCATGTTAAATTGAAAGGTACTACATACCTCACTACCGAAAAAAGAAAGCTTCCGCTGAAGGTTATTCCAATAAAAACCTCGAATCTATCATCGGTATTCACCCTAGTTTCATTATTGAAATTAAAGTCAGCTAACAACTATTAAGCTACAGGCTTTTCATCCTTTTCAACAATCAACAACTCATCCTTCTATCCATCAAAATGATGTACCCCGAGCTCCGTCTCATCGTCATTGCCGGCCTGAGACGAAGAATCCCGCTCATGCTCAAAGAAGGAGATCGTCTTGACAAAGAATACGATGAGGTCTGCAAGGTCTTGGACTCGGGCTACTTCAACTTCGGTGATGAGGTCTTCCGCTTCGATGAGGATGAGGACCGCGTCCTCGAGGAAATCGACATTTTTGCCGAGAAGAAGAGGATTAACCAGGCGAGGTTGGACCTCTTGGAGGATCTAAGGGATGCCCGCCAGCAGTTGAGGGAGCTCCTCAGCAAGCCAGTGAAGAGGCTTTGGGGGTGTTAAAAAGTTCTTTTCTTTTCTTTTTCTTTTTTTTACATATTGAGAGATCATAAAATCGGAGCATAAAAGGGGAGTGGCTAGATTGGCAGCAATGGTGTTTGCATGTTATTATGGGGGGTGATACTTTCTGAAATATACCTCTGTGAAGGTCGTGGATGAGGTGTCCGGTGAGGGGCTGTTGATTAGATATTCATCAAAAGCTCCTTTAGCAAGCATAATTCTTTAGTTCTAATCTTATTATCACCGTGAACTAACAAGCAGACTTCCTTCTCTCTACCACATCATCGGTGGAGGAATCCGCATTAATCTCTTTCAAAATGCTTTACACAATGCCCGGATTAACTATCGATCTTCCTCCTCTACCACGGGATTGGGAGGGGCTTCCTCTCAGAGCCTAAATTTAATGTCTTAATACTCCTGTCCACTCGTAAATTTTGGTAAATTGAAACTCAACCTTCGCTGAGCTCGACCCAACCCCATCCTCACTGCGAATTAAATTTAATCAATAAATACCCTCAGAGCCTACTATGCCTAGGATTGCTTATTCTCCGCTTTTAAAACTTCCAAAATTGTCTGATAAATGTGATACATCGTTAAGCTCCTTCCCGGTTAAGTATATCGTACTAGACCCCCTGCACCCCGAGATCCCGACCGGAACCTCCGCTATAAGTCATCACTGTTATAGAGATTAATATTTAGACGTTGAATGTTCTTATCATAACTGTTGTACGTTTCATTTAAATCTTTTGCGGGAAAACGCGGAGGCGGTCCTCTTGATTCATTTTTCGAAGGGTTACATGTGTTCGAAAACTCGGAGCGGATGCTAGAAGTGATATGCAGCGTCCTAAAAAAAGAAAAAAAAAAAGATAACGAACACGAAAGCCACTTCAAGACCACACGTTGCCACCACTAATATCGGACCAGATTCCAGCAAGCTTAAAACCAACAGCAATAGAAAACATTAAACATTTTTGATTGGAGATTGGAGCCTGATCATCTAACTCTAACTAAGCACAAACGACAGTATTAAAACGCAGAGTAATTAAAACCGTGTCATAACGTCAACACCTCCTACCCCTGGCCTCCCCCACCTCCGATTCTTCTTTTTCCTCCTCAACGATAGTCGGCAGGCACCCACCTCCGACATACAACTCCTGCCTACGGAGGTAGCGACGACGCTGGTCAAGGGTAGCGCCGGCATTGGCGGGGTCGTCGGGATTGAAAAGGTTCTGAAGTGGGCCAGATTCCTCCTCGTCGGGATGGATGAGGGCAAGGTCGGGAAAGTATTCGTCGTCAATCTCGAGCTCGTAACTACTGATGTCGCAGGTACCGTCGTATTTGTCGTACTCTTGGATCAGGCGTGCGACCTCCGTGTCGTCGGAGGTGCCGGTGTTGGCCTCGTGGGCAGTGTTTTCCTGATGAGCTTTATTAGCACAGAACTCCAACTCTTTAGTGCTAGGGGAATCTTACAGCAGGGCTGCTGGTCGTCGATGCCTGCCCGGTCACGGTATTGGCAGCGGATCCGGCCGCTACCTTAGCGCCAGTGTGCGTGGAGGATGACATTTTGAAGGGAAGGAAATAATAATAATATTCTTTTGATTCAAATGTAAAGACCGTGGATTCCGAAGTTGAAAAGATTACTGAAGCGTGGTTGAACGAACGTGGAGAAAGGCTGTTGCGTAGCTCTTTCTTTTTCTTTCTGTGGTGTATATGGGTTTAGGATGAGATCAAGGCGGAGCGGAAATAAAAAGAGTGCTCATGTGTGCATTGCATAGTGGCTCGTTGGAGTTTGTCCATTCTCTGGATTTCACGCCTGTGGAAAATTTTAAATTACGGGTAGTGGTGGTGTCAGAAATTTCCATGTCTCAGGTGCTGGTGCAGGTGCAGCTGGGTCCTATTCGACTTGGCGTTAATCGGGCTTTTGACAAGACAGCTCCGGTCGGGAGCGTTTTCTATTGAGAGTGGTTATAGCGAAGTTCATTGATGTTGGTTTTTCCTCAATAGTCTTTTACGAGAATTTAACTTTGATTCATCACGCCGATAGTAGAGGGAGATTCTCCTTCAATCGTGTCCCCTTTTCGCAACTCGTAGCGAGAGAACAAGAAAAGAATTTGGTCCAGATGCATGCGCCTACGTCATAGCCGTAAACTTCGGTTTCCGGTGTATAAACAGGGACATTTCGGGAGCGGTGCGGATACCAGAGTAGCAGATAGCGCACTCTATTTGCTATCTTTCTTTCTCTTTTAGCTACTTAAACTCTCACCCATGATGCTATATTCTCTTAGAGAAAGTTGGTGGACCGGAATCGCGAGTGATATTGTGTGATTCTCGGGGGCAATCGCTAGTCCCTCTCAGTTCATGCCAAACGTCTAGGCTTCATCTCTTTCAGCGTAATGTGTAGAAAGGCAATTGTAACTTACACTAAAACCAGTTCTCCACACGAGCCTCAATCTAAAAATGGCTTCGTATACGGGTTCGAATCCCATGTCCTCCACCCCCGGTATACCCATCTTGCCGGTCGGGCTGAGTTTTAGATGTTTCCCCAGTTACTTGCTCAAAATGGGAGAGCGGAAGTCTCTTGAACCTCGCCATAGCCTCACGGTTGCATGCGAGTATGAGCGATTGTTATCATTATTTTCGTAATCCGTATGTTACTGCGAGTGAGAATCTATGACTCCAGTGATGGGTTTGGGAAGGTGAAAACGGAAATGTAGACCACCTACGTTCATAGTTAGCGTCGGGTAGTTTCTGGGGTGTGTATAAAGTAACGGATGGCTCAGCAAAGACGGTAAGCTGATTTCTGCCAAGACTCACCAACAGGGGGTTGGGCTGCCTTCTTCATGGACGATCACTCGGGTCGGTATCCTCCGACGCAGCGCCGGCACCTATGTCCTTGTCGCCACGCGTCGGCTGGATAAGGTGTATAGGTGTCTAGTGATAGAATATTGTGGACACATCTACACGCCTACGGGGGTTTATCTGATGCAAGAGGGAGATAACTAGATGTACGCTGAAAAGAAGAAGCAAAACGGGGGAATTTATTTTACTTGTTATGTAAATTGAAAAGTTGTGATGAGATATTTTTTGCTAGAATGTACAGAGACTACATGATGCCGGCGATGAACACTCCAATCGATTGCGACTAAGATGGTTTCACAGGATCAATGGTAAGAAAACAGAAGTGCTATAATGATGATTTAATTTCTTTACTGCTGCGCCAGAGGTGGTCGCTCCTAACTTGTACAAGATGTTTATCTATAGTACCTAGTATAATGATCGATGTTCGGAGTGACGACATAAAACCTCCCCTCTCTCTCGGTATCAGCGATCAACTTCGGGCACCCAACAGGCTCCATCAACCCCGCCGCCCTGGGCTCAATCCACCTGGTGAAGAGGGGCTGGAATCTGATCCATCTCTGCATCCTCCAGATGATATCTTCGAGTTCGTCCACCACACGCGACAAGCACCCAAAATAGTCCCAGTCCACCATCTTGCGATCCTCGTGGCAGCCATCGACGTAGGCGGCGAGATCCGCAACAGCTTTGGCGTGATCATTGGCGTAATGGACGAGGGTAGGGATCAGTACGCCCATTTCGACTCCGAGATCGCCTTGGGCGAAGAGGCGAGGGTTGTTGATTGGACGACGGCTGAGCGGGCTGACTGGGGGTGAGGAGGTCGGAGGGGAGAGGAGAATATCGGAGTGAAACTCGGATCTGGTAGGGGAGCTGTCCGGAAACGCAACGATGTTGGCTGCAGTGTGGTTAGTTACTCACTTCAAGATATCAGTTCATGTTGTTGATGGAAATACCTGTGGTACTAGACATGATGAATAGTGAAATGGTTGTTATAGCTTGTGATTTCACTGGGTGGGAGAGTTTGTGAGAGAGAGAACAACGTGGAACAGAAAATGGTAGGAGTCTTTAATTACCCGTTCGGGGGATTGGCGAGCCACTTGACACTCTGCACCTTGCGTACCCCTGTAAAATAAACAGAGCAGTATTCTACTATGACCAGGGGTATAATCAGGTACTAGGAAAAAAGAGATTAGGTAACACCAACGAGGCAGAGTTGACGAGAGCTTGTGGGAGTGCTTGTGGCGCTGCAGCTCATTTACACATATTCTTTCTGCTGCGTCAATCAATTGATCAAACCCAAAGATTACATATTTATGCAGGCAGCGGGCATATCCCGCTGAAAGCATGAATGGAAGAAATGTTTCTTATTACACTTGACTGTTGAAGTATAAATGAGTGTACCGTCGGTGAAGAGAAAGATTCATCATCCTGTTACATGTACCGGGGGTTATGGGTTAGTCTGAATAACCAGTTTTGATAGGTTGATTGTCGTGATTGGCTGAGACCGTCCGAGACACCGGCCAAGAAAGAGCACCGCCACTGCCACGTCGATTAGTAGGGAGGTGGTGGAGAGCGAAGTCGTGAGCTCGAAATGAAGCTATTCACACCCATTCGACCTCCTTAGGCACCCGTTCGACTGCGCTTGACACCCGTTCGACATCCTTTGACCGCTTGTGACACCCGATTGACGTCGATTGACTGCATGTGACGCCCGGTTGACGCCCGTTGATACAAGTTCGACGCCGTGAGTTCCTTCAATGCCGAGTGATCGTAGGTGTTCGTGTTCGTACCCCGAGAGTTCCAGCTTCTGACCCAGGTGTTCCAGCTTCGGCCCCAGGTGTTCTTCATCATGAAGCAGAAGGGAAGGAGAAGAGATCACTTTGGTGATCGAACCCGGAACAGGGAGGCAACTAGAGATGAACGGGTGAAAATAATTGCCCTGAGGGAGTCAGGTATGACCTGGAAAGAGATAGGACGTCAGCTGGAAATAGACTATCGTACCTGTCAAGGTATCTTTAGGAAGGCACAGGTAGGAGTCTCGTACCCAGCCCACTCCAGTGGCAGCTACTTCAATTCATTGGCAGTAAGTTGCTCACAGTACGAACAGGCAAATGGTACACCTAGCAACTTAAGGAGACAAAGGAGGCCACCTGTTTTCAATGCAGAAGAGAAAGAGAGACTACGAGAGTTTATCACAAGAGATAAAAGGACAAGGAGACTACCTTTTCTGTCTATCATCGAGGAACTGGAATATGTATGTTCTGTCAGAACTCTCAGAAATACTTTAGCATCTATGGGCTATCATAAAAGACTACCCCGAAAGAAATGGGGTATAAGGCCACAAAATCTCGTCAAGAGAGTGGAATGGTGTCAAGCTAGGCTACATTGGACCTACAATGACTGGTTCCGTGCTGTCTGGACAGATGAGTCTATTTTCAATACCTCTGGCTTTGCGCATCGCCCATGGGTTCTAAGAACACCAGAGGAGGATATCACTCAGACTGCATTGATGAGACGTGGGAGTCAGGGAGGAAGAGCACAATGATCTGGGGGGAATTCTGCGGGGAGATGAAGAGTGAACTAGTGTTCACTCCTGCTGGAGTTACTATCAAGTCGCAGACCTATGTGGATGAGATATTGGATCCATATCTTATACCCTTCTGGCATGAGACTTGTGAAGCATATGGGTGGACACAGGTGGTCGAGGACAATGCCCCAGGCCATAAGGGTGTCGCCAATCAATGCAGAGAGGTCAATGAGGTGGAGACAGTTCCTTGGCCCCCACAATCACCAGATCTCAATCTCATCGAGGCCTTATGGGCAGAAATAGAAACTGAACTGGGAGAGACTATAGGTCGTGTAAATGACATAGAAGTGCTACAGATTATGATAAGAAATGCCTGGGATTCTATTCCTGTAGATAGACTAGATAGTTTGGTCAGAAGTATGCCTCGAAGACTGGCAGCAGTCATTGCTGCTGGCGGGCATGCTACACCTTATTAATGAACTATATTCACCCTTCTCGAGACTTTTTTCCCCCATACAAATTTTGAGACGTCAGCTCGTTGACCATTGGCTGCTGCAGCCCGCCACAGCTGCTCACCCGTTCAAAACCCTGCAAACCCGCTGCGAATGCAACCAATCAATCCGAGTTCTTCAGACTAATGGCGAACACCCGGTGCTTTCAATTTGTTCTCCTTAGTTTCCGAACCTCTCCCCATATTTCTTACATCGCCGCTCCTGCCGCTATTCTCTTGAATTGGGAGTCCGCACCATCTCAGCGCTCACAGTTAGACTTATTCAATTGTGATTCCGAGTAACTTGATCGAGGCTACTTGTGATCGTGTTTCAGGATTGCAGGTCATGAAATTGATTAACAACCATATCCAAACGTACAATTTCATTACCATACCGGCAGCCCATTCACCTTCGTAATCTTGACAGAAAGTTGAGATTTAACTGTTGCGCCTACTACCTCCGGATAATGCTTCAAGGGAAGAATAAAATTAACCATCCCAACTCCCTCATTGGTGTCAGAAGGACCAGGTAGAAATCGAGTAGGAGTAACAGCATGAAGTCTATCTAAACCCCATAAAATCTCGAAACTAAATATATATTAAGGGCCCGGAGGTGAGGAGCAGCTTGAAGAATCCATAGTGCGGAGATGCACACAGCAGAAATAGGAGGGGAGGGATGAATTCCGATGTATTCGCTCCAGAAACACTGGTAACGAAATATTTTGTAACTCGCCCTCTAAGGTCATAACCGTCGTCTCGAATCTTTCAAGTAATTGAACTATATAGGTGGTGTGAAGGAAAAGGATTGGGGAGGACGCGGAAATATGGTCAGCCATGCATGTGTACAACGCTCATTTATGATCCATCTGGCTAGAAAAGAATATCGCAGGAGTATCCTATCCCCTCGCGGCAGCCTACGATTTGTGGGAAATAGGGACTATAAGGGGAGACATAGACGGCGATAGATCACCTCACTTTGCGACGGAGGTACTCTTCATCCGGATATACCGATATCCTACAAGCCATGTGAGACATTGAAATTGAGAAGGTTATTCGTTGTTTCCGGATGATTCAAAGCATTTCAATTTACGACTTTAAATGATAGTGACCGATGCATACATGTAGTCAAACCCCACGGGGATTCAACATTTCAGTAGATGAAAGATTAAAGACTGGGCTTACTGAGGAGAATCAACTCGATAATCCAGGAATTCAACCCAGTTACCTGTTATAGAAAATAATGCGGTCTCACGAGGACAGATGCAAATTCTGTCTCGGCTGCCTGAATACAATGGTGTTTCCCGCCTAGGGATATATACGTGTCCTAAGTGTTCATCCATGACGACACATATCACCATACTGATATATATGTGTGTAATGGGAAATTTCAATCATGGATAGCCGTCATTCTCTGTCCACATCTCTTCCCTTCTTTCTTCCCTCCCTCCTTCCTTCTCTTTTCTTCCACCACCATTCTCTATCATCCATCAACCAAGACCTCTGTTTCTACTTCCATCAGAAGATTCTATCAAAATAATTCCATTTTATTTTAAATAGCCAGTCTCTGATTCACAAGATGTCGAATTCTACTAATAGTGGTCAAAATACCGCTGACATTTCCCATACTGAGCATATGCCAGAAGGAACATCCATTGTCAATCCGTCCGGATCTATCAATACAGTAAGTCTATCTCGTCAGCTGCTATTCAGACAAGAATGCTAACCTGATAGATTCAAACCGCTTCTGGGGATGCAATTCCATCTTCCGAACCCGGGGATCAGGCCCATCTCAGGCCCCGTAGAGTTGCCCCCGCTAACAGTATTGGACCTATGCTTGTTGGAAGCCATCTCGCTCCTGGAGCATTTGGTGACCTTCTTACCCCGCTCTTTGATCCCCAGCAGGCCAGCCAACAAGTAAATCCTGCCACTTCTACTGTCCCTGGTGATTTCCGCAACCTGCAGCGTCGCTTGGCCACTCTCCGAGAGGTACAAGCTGTGGCCCGTGTAGGTATCTCTTTTTCGCTGCTCACAACAACTGCTAACCTTCTAGATCTTTACAATTTCACCTCTCAGTTATGATGGGTGGGCCCCCGAAACTCAGCGTCGCGCTGCTTCAGGCGTATTGTCGGAGCTCCATGAAAGCGTGCAGAGGTGGAACCACTTCGATACCGCCGCTATGGTAACATTAGTCGATTCCATTCTTTGTAGAGCGAATTGCTAACAGGACATATCATGAAGGTGGGTGAGATTATGCGTGCTTCCAGTGATATTGAGGCCCTCAACTCGGCACTTCTCTCTATGAGAATGACAGGTGTAGCCGAATCTGTGAGTGTTAACGCGTTTGATCTTTGACTTCGAGCTTTGCTGATATATATGTTAAAGGTGCCCACCACCACGCAGATTAACAATGCGGTAAGCGCTGCGGCATTTCTGGATGCAATTGCATCAATGGCCATGGAGATTGGCGTGTTTGAAGAGGCGGCATATGTATGTTTCCCGTCTCTTTTCTAATTTCCTTTCGTTCATGTTGACTTTGTTCTGCTCATAAATACGGCTCCCTTCCTCCACCGTTTTGTCTCTCTTCTGTATAGAAACTCTTTCTTCCCCTCTGTCAACTATAATCCCTTCATTTTCACTGCTTCTTCCTGCTCGTATTCTATTTATTTCGGCATCTCCCTCAATATATACTTATATTCTCCAGCATGCCTATGATACAGTCATCCGGTTGGGTACTGTCGTTCGCGTTATCCCTGCCAATCCCCTCAACATTGCACAGGCTGTCGCTGCGATGGGCCCTGTTAATGTGACGACTTCCGCCATCCCCACCGCCCCCTCTGCTCTCGCTACACCTAGCGACCCACCCATCATGGCGCTCTCTGCCGTACAGCGTGCTGAACTCGACGAACTTCACGCAGCAATGGTAACAGTCTTGGATGCATCTGTTGGTCACTTCCATATCGTGCCTCCGACGCCAGCAAACTCCTTGTCTACGTTTTCCGCGCCCCAGTCCCCTCCGCCATCGGAGGCATCCTCGTCATCGAGCGACTCCTATTCATCGGCTCTGTCTGGCTCGCGTCCAAGTACTCCAGTCAACTCCATCGTGGATACTGACGCAGAGCTAATGGAAAGCCTTGAAGGCCTTCCTCAGATGGTCTGCGTGCTTGTTCTTGAACTTGTAGTCGAGCACAATTGGTGGTCCGAGGTTAGTGCTGAGATTGCTTGTACTCGCGCAGGGTATACTGAGTTGCGGGAATCGGAGCGTGAGGGTGGTAGTAGAACGAGGGCTAGAGAGGGCATTTGGGAACAGCAGGAGGAAGTTTTGAACCTTGCCAGGGATAGCGTACGCTGGGCCCAAGAGGAGCTCTTGAAGGAGGACGGCCAGGACCAGTGGGTCGGATGGCAAAGAGACTATTATATGAAGGCCATTTAAATCCTTCTACGCTCGTTGGGATCATCTCTTTTTTTTCGGTTGCTGATTATGGGACTTTCTGTTGTTGAAAAATCAATGGTTGGAACACATGCTGTCGGATCTGGGACTTATTAGTTAGCTAAAAGTCATTTTAATTGAAATACATTGCTGTAATACTGCAGAGCTTCTAGTAATCTGGCTTAGTTTGGGAACGCGTTTCTCCCATTTGTTCAGCGCCCCCGCCTTTCCTTGCACCGCTTTGCCCCGCCAACTGTTTAGTATCTCATAATATATACTTAACTAGCTTTTATTCCACTTGCATCAATTTCACCCTGCCCCGATAGCTCCAGCTGTTGCCCATACTACTCCGGAGTGGGGCTGCAATTCGAGCAGGAAGTGGCAAGCTCGAGAAGTTATAACTTTGGAAACTAGATATCACTCAACATAAGTTGGCACAATAGTACTTCATCTTCGCAGTAAATGCAAATATAGGCACCCCCGGATTCATTAACAAGTCCCCAGGGTGCCAGACAGAAACGGAATCTGTTATCCCTGCTGCTAATCTTGCCCGGAAGGTATATTTCCGCAACGTAGTTAATTAAAAGTTTGTGATGTGTTCAATTGAACGTGGTATATAAGGGATTATGTTCCACTACCTGGTGACGGGTCGTAAGGCCCATCTTATCTTATCCATCTTATCCCATCTTATCTTATCAAAATTGGCGACGTCAGGTGCCAACAAGTCGTATGACAAGCGAATGAGAGATGAACTAGCTGAAGATCATTTGCGGGACTCACATATCAAAATTTGATCGTTGGAATAGCCGGATAAGCTTGATTCCAATCCTTTTCTCAGGCGTATCATGTAAGTATTGAATCGCGTCGATGTAGCCGCGTAGAGCTTAAGCTTGCTATGAGATGAACCCATCGTGTGTTAGCAATATTAATTTGAGAGTTGATATGGTTTCAAAGAAAATCGAACGGGTCAAGAATTACCTATATAGGATACCAGAAATACATCTTAACACAGATTCCAAGGGTGTCCGTTGGCGCTCCGAACCTCCATCTCTGGAACGGAATTAGCCGTCTTTCAGGGAACGACCCTAGTCAGTCGGTGACCCCGGCAAACGTTTAAGCTAATGGTCTAGAGATACGGTTTCCTCTGCTCGCGGTAAGGACATCTGACTCTTTCCGAACCTCCAAATCCTTATCATCACTCAATTCCATCGCTGTATCCACAGAAAGACCACGTTCTCAGCGCCTCCGGTCGATTAAGCATTCCCGGAATATGTGCAGTTACCTCAGTATCCGTGTCGCGTCGCGAGACGATGATCTCCTACAAATGAACATTTAACATGTCTCGATTGCAGAAGAGACACGGGTCCGAGGGTGTACAGAGGCTCTACCGGTGCAAGCCCTCCCCGAAGTTACTTCTGGTACTGCGTTCCTTCAGACACCGAATGGGTTCTCGGAGATGGAGCATTGCGGATCCAGAGGACTCAACTCTAAGCCTGCGAATGAAATGCTGCTGGAAGCAATATTGAAGATTTAGCTCTCGCTATATTCTAGGTAAGGATAAGGTTGCTTCTTCTATTAGTAAGGTTGATTTTCATTATTTCGGGAATGGCTCACGTAGTCCCTCAAGAAACCTTCTCCCCCGCGTATTCCAATATCTCCATGACACCTGAAGTGACCTAGGAGTGTTAATATCATTTAGGGTATAACCAAGGATAATGTCAACATCGAAGGGAAGCCATTCGGTCAACCTTGACGCTCCAGCTTCTACGATAAGCGAGTTTCTCTTTTTGTGCGGAAAAGATGCCCCATGTTCAATGACCGGTATGGTCTTCAGTGGGGTAGTAGTCCAACGTATGCTCAGCCCAAAAGGTCTAGAGAAATGATGCTTTATCTCTGTATACTGAGGGCGCAGGGAACCCTCAGGACAGATGTATTCCACCCCCCAATCTCATCCTCCCCAATGGGTTGATGGAGTAACTTAGGCCTTTTCTTCCTGGATGCGTAGGTTTGCGACATCGAATTCTATATCTTCCACCCTCAAATATTCCCGCCTAGTTCCTGTTTCCGGAGGACTGCTTGACGATGTCACGGAGGATTTATCGTAACATAGTCTAAGCTCGGACAACTATAATTAGAGGTAAGATATAAAGTTCAGATAAGCTCGATGATCTACTCTGACTTGTCCCCACTACTAGAGTCTCCCATTGCGCAGTGAAATGCCTTTTTTGACCACCGCCACACCCCCCCCCCCCGGGGGCCTTTGCTCGTGATTCAGGGGACCTCCGGTCTCAGAGAGAGCTTACTCTAAACCACTTTGGCCAAGGTTGAATGGTGTTTTTATATGCATTGGGGCCGGGTATTCCTGGTATTGGCTAGGAAGAAATGTAGTTTTTTTTCTCATGCTGGGGAATACTCCTCCAGGCTTTTCTCTAAGAGACACCAAGCGGGGAATGGAAGTTCAGTATTCGCAATGGTACAAACTGGGATAAATTTCCACTTATCCCGAACCAGCCGTACGGCGAACACCCCCTAACTATACTAACTACTATATGGAGAGACCTATGTACCATCAAATCGGTATCACCACTGAATAATGTTGGCACCTGCTTCAGGGTGAAGTATTCCACCGACTGACAAATTCATTACCAGATTTGGTCAGAAAAAGGAATGTTCAGTACACATAAGTGGCTGGTTGTACAGGTTTGGATGTTCCCTTGTCCCAGTTTAACCATATCACCTATTGGTTTGAACTGTACCGTATAAATAAATACCCGTCTGAACTGCCTAAGCGTGGTCCCATTGCAAACACTAAGGATCTTACCGAAACAGAAGTCCAAGGGAGATAGCACTTGGAGTTTAATATTCAAAGTCAAGCAGAATTGATGCAAGATATTCAAAAAGCTACAGGGTGAGGAAATATGTTTCTTTATTGGTTGACAGAGAACGTTACTAGTGTCAAACTTTCCTAAACCCATTTTTCACCGCCTCCCTATCCACTCTTGGTGACCAACCTCATTCATCTTATTCCTCGAACTCCAACGGCACTAGCCATATTTGAAACATATCTGCTTTAATTGCAAGTCATCCATCTCCAACGAGCTGACATTTGTCTGTAAGGCGCTGACTTCCCCCATCGAGTCTCTCACCTGCTGCCTAAAATTCCGAATTTCCCCCCAAATATCATGCTGAACCTGCTGGCTCCATCTCTTGCTCTCCTCAGCGGCCCGAATGCTACTCAAATCGTTGTGTGCCAATTCGACGTCTTTAAACATGACGTTCATCCGGAGCTGGATATCACTGTGGAGCTTCCTGCGGGCTTCGACCTCCTCCCTCATCTCGCGGCCTTGATGCATCAGGCCCGCGGGAATATTGAAACCTAGTTTAATAAGAGCCTCATCGTTTCTCGCTTGCTTCACGTGGATATCTTCGAGCGAGCTTTTGAACTCAAGAATTTGGCTCTGAATGGCTTTTACTCGCCGAGCAGGGAGGTGAGCTTGCACTGCCGCTTCGACGGATGGGGCGGAAGGCTGGGAACACGACATTGTGGTCTGTTTAGCCTTGATATCTGGAGGCTGTGGTGCAGGTACGTTGACTGATTCAGATCTGATGTGAAGTGAAGATATTGTAAATATTCCGAGCTTGGGTGTGACAGTGACTTCGTAAGTACTTATGTGACCTTGAATGACAGACCACAAACGTCATTTGAGATGTGAGGTACGGATGTGATTTGTCCTTGGCTAATTATTCTAGATCTTGGTCTTGTCAACTCAATCCATTTTTCTGGTACCTGAAATGAGGCCACCACATCCACTCAGCACAGGATAGGTGCATTGCCTTCTCGCATCTGTGCAGTACCTTAAATATGAACAACCACATCATGCATGTAGCTGAGAGTGCTTGGATTGAGGTCAGTAGCAGAGGTAGCTTGCCTATGTATACCTTGCACTTATGGAGAGCTTGAACTACCGCACTTGACCTGCTCATATGAATGATGCTGGTATAGTGACTGGCGCTTTATTGCATATATGGCTCAATGCTCTGGTCCAAAGAAAGAGGGAGGGCAGTTGTATTTTACCGCCACAATGGATTTTTTGTTCGAGGATCCAGCCCAGAGGTTTCCTGAATCAACCTATATTATTACATATATGTTCTGGAAACCTCCGCCCGCTTTGCTTTCTTCCGAAATGTAGTTCTGTATCACCATACCCAGTACATCCTCTCCCAACAACAAGCAGTTTTTAGTCTCTCATGAAAGCGCGTTCTTACATGATTTGGATTTAGGTACTGCAGCCACATTCAAAACCTACGTGCAGAAAATTGTGAGAAGGCAAAAATAGAGGCAGAGGTCTGCAAAACAGTTATCGGAAACTAACTCGGGCTGGTGAGACGAGTAATGATTCAATGCTTTGCTTGAACTAAAATAAATAAGGTGCCATATCTCTGATACCTCTCAACGATACACTCCACTATCTAACGCTAACAGGAACATTAACAGGTTTTGCGTTCCCCATACTTTACCGCCTTTCTAAGATACATCAAGATGGGAGTGTACTAGCTCGAGAGGAAATGTTTACCATACACTGAAGGCCGGCGGTCTTCTAAAGTACAATGAACCGGTATACAAAGAATAACATAAGAAAACCACCTTCAAGCTGGGCTAGAGAATAATTGATCCGTATTTTTCCGGTATAATTATCATTGGCATTCTTACACGAAATGTTTAGCACCCCCCCACCCCCCCCGCCGCGGTACAGATCTCATGGACGGAGGGAAAGAGCCTCCCGTCTTCTCAAGGGCCACACAGCTCACGACGTGGTTCTAATCCCCGCATTAAGATAAACTCCACTGGATAAATAACTGGTTGGTATCGAGCTCGGGAGTGGCTTAATTAACTACTGAGATGATTATATAATATCCACCGCCGTAGAGGAATACCTGAACCGCCGGTAAGGGCATTTCTCAATGGAAAAAACACACTTTACTAATTATTTTCTCATTATATAGCGATTATGCGAAGAAATATCTTTATTGTCTAAAATGCCTCAACACCTCCGCGATCCACAGGACCCCGCTGTTAACCTCCCCTTCCACATGCACAAGGCGGCGCAACCGCCCTCTTCGTATGTCCAATCACCTTCAACCAGGCCGTCCGAACGACCTTGGTATAATTCTGGAGTCCCGCTATATTTTTATAATTAGAGCTCAACCTCGCCCGAATTTCCAAGAACAGACGAACGCGTTCTCTCTCTTCAGGATCTTCGCCTCGCCGATCCCCGCGGGCGCGTCGAACAAAACGGCGGTAATCCTTCTGCCCGAGGCACTCGCAAAAACGTATGTACGTCCGTTCGAGAGTTTTTATCGTTTGCCAGGCTTCGAAGGTTTCGGTTTCGAGATTCCGGAGCAAGCGGGCGATGGTAGCGATCTTTTTGCGTCTAGTGCGTTGGGCGGAGGTTGAGTATGACATGTCCTGGCGGAGCTTGTCAGTATGGTATCTCTAGCGAAGGGTGGAAATTACCGCAATGTTCCTGGGATAATTCAAATGTGGCTTCTGGAATGTCACTGAGGTGATGCAAGTTACCTTGGGTCGTGAAGCGGCGACTGACGAGGTTTAAATACCTTTCGTCCGACCATGTTTGTCATAAAGTCAAAAGAAGCTCCGGGTTTGACAAATAATTACGTGCTGGAATGGCAAGATTCCGCGGGGGGTCCGGTTGGACTGGTGGTGATCTCTCGCATAATAAATAGGACGTTAAAGGCAAGAAGATTATTAGGTAACTTAGCTGTCGTGTCTATTTATATCTTCCCCATATTTGAGTTCACACAATATTTAACTCCGCACACGTAGCTCATAGAAATTACAGTGATTATCGACCACCAACCACTTTGGAGTACGAGTGCTACCAGTACTACCGCCGTTCAACCCCAGCATACTTCTACGGCCACCTTGCCGCGGCAGTGGGGGAGTCGGGGGAGTCGGGGGAGTCGGGGGAGTCGGGGGAGTCGGGGGAGTCGGGGGAGTCGGGGGAGTCGGGGGAGTCGGGGGAGTCGGGGGAGTCGGGGGAGTCGGGGGAGTCGGGGGAGTCGGGGGAGTCCAGGGACCGTACAAGTGGTCGAAAAGGAATATTGTGAATTTCATCTCAGCAGCCGCAACGGTACCGGGAGAGAGCTATATGTACTTTTGGCGGTATAGAGATCTCGTCGCCCGGGGCTTCTAGCTAACGGACCAAGCTTGTTCTGATACAAGAAAAAAAACCGCGCCGACCACTAATTCAATAATGTCAAATCGCACCAACAATACCAACTATTTAACTTACCGGTTTGAACCTGTTATCACCTAAACCGTAGTGCTATTCCCTGGAATAGAAGTAATAATAAATTAACACTTGGAGCTTAAGTCTCTAGAAATGAGTCCGTAAAATAGGTGTTCGAGCTCACGAACAGTACTTGCATAAATGATTCGAGGCGTTTGTATAACCGGTTTTGAAGATTTATAAACCGTTTAGAACAATTTACTAAAAGGATGGGAACAACACGGACCGTTAGGTCACACGGTTCAGTAGAACCGGTTTGAACTGCAGAACTGGCAAACCACTGGAAGCTTCATTACCACAATGTTGCTGCCCAGGAGCAGCTGCCGTATACGGCCACTTACAATATCTTGCTCTTCGTCTATATTTAAATGGATATAGCCTGGCCTCCAAGCTCTCTCCTGGGGATGAATAGGAAATGATTGTTTAAGCCATATTGCATGGAGCGACTGATATACGCTTTACGAGATTCCTAATTACAGATAGGTGGATATTTCTGGATGATCTTTGCTGAAATATAAGCTCCAGTCTAGGATAGTAGGCGGATACCCGTCGTTACCGTCCACCTTCTGGGAAGTATGGAGATAGGACTTGCAGTTTAAAATTCAAAGTCAAGAAAGACCGATATCTGATATTAGATACACTGGACTCAAAATGATAGAACGATATTGAAATGAGCTTTTTATCCGTTCGCAGAGAACGTTACTACTGTGAACTCTCACTAACTGTACGGTTTCACGCCTCCTTATCTGCTCTCCGTCGCTTACTTCCGTCTCATGTATTCTTTGATTCCACCGTTGTCCTTAAGATCACCACCGCCTCCTTTATGTAGAGGATATCCACATTTATGATGTCAATTTACGCCCTTACCTCAAGTAACTCTCCCTTTATTAGATTTATTTCCTTCTTTAAATTCTTGATTTGCTCATTCTGATCCTCCTCTGTCCATTTAGCCCTCGCCTCAGCAGCCCTAATCCCACTCATCTCATTACCCACGAATTCAACTTCTTTATAAACAACGTTCAACCGGTGCGTAATCTCTTCACCGCGGTCCCAGTAGAGCTTGACCGCCTCGGTCATATCAAGACCTCCGTTCGTCAGGTCGGAGGGAAGATGTAGTCTTAAATTACAAAGATCGGCTTAGTATTTCTCGATATCCCTGTGAATAAGCTGGAACGCGGTGATAAACTCTCGCATTCGATCACAAATGTCTCTTTGCGTGATAGCCGGGGTATCTTGCGCCGCCGATTCGGCAGATGGGGTGGAGGCTTCGGCGGACGACATTCTGCGCTCTTTATTCTTGGTATCTGGTGACCGTGGTGGAGTTCGCTCAATTGAGATCTGATCAGAACTGAAGATAGTTTATAAATTCCAACCTTGGGCGGAGAGGTGGCTTCTTAACTACTTAGGTGGTCTTGAATGACAGACCAAAGACGCCCTTTGGGAAGTGAGGTACGGATGAGACGTGTCTTTACATCGCTCCTGTTGTTTTCGACTCATGCATCTATCCGGTGCCTGAAAGGTGGCCACTAGGCCTACTCAGTATAGGATACGCGCATTGCCTTCTCGCATCTATGCAGTACCTTAAATATTAAAAACCGCAGCATGCATGTAAGTAGCTAAAAGTACTTAAGTTGAAGTACATAACTATTAGAGGTAGCATGCCTATCCATACGTTCCTTGGAATTATAGAGAACCTGAACTACTGCACCGGACCACGCTCATATAAATGATGCTGGTATGTGATGGGTGCTTTATTGCATGGGTTTTTTACTTTAGCACAAGAAAAGAGGAAAGGCACAGTTACTTTTTACCTCCACAATAGATTGCTTGTTTGAGGATGCAGCCCAGAGGTTTCCTGAGTCAACCTTATCTAACTATGTTCTGGAGACTTCCACCCGCTTTGCTTTGTTCCGAAATGTAGCTCTTTATCACCATATTCCTGTACATACTCTCCTAACAACAAGCGGGGATTAATTTTCTGTCTCATCAAAGAGGGTTCTTACATGATTTGCATTTAGGTACCGGCCTTATTCTAATCCCATAAGCTACTGTGCGTATGAATAGATCTATATCACACAGGGATATGATACCGACTGCAACGACTATAAAGATATTACAAATGCGGATAAATATCTGAATTTCTTTGACTGTGAATTTGTGAGCTTCACATACTATACCTAAGAACAAGAAACCAACAAAGACCTATAAAGGGAGGTATTATATTACATTTAGCTGACTCAGGACCTTTCCTAATCACAGAGGGGAAAGGCAAGTTGCCATCAAAAGCTCACACTACCGTCACTACAAACTGGGAAAGGGAAATTTGCTACAACTCCGCCAATTATGTAATGTAAGTAAGATTCAAGGAGATAATTATACACATTTTAATGGCTTTATGTTTTGTTATTTAGACATACACAGATCTTGAATTTTATTTTTTCAGCGGTTATTGGTGGGCCAACCGATCTCTCTACTCCTTTTTTAGTTAGTTTTACTACTAGCAATTGTTCATCACTTCTACAGGGTTACAACTAGTCTCTTCCAAAAACAGCTTTAGCAGTGAACTGTCGACTATCCGATTTTTATTTGTTCCAGTTACACAAATTCCCATTCACTCCTTCACAATCCCCTAACCCTCCACGCTCTCCTCCGCCGCCATTTTCTCGCGGTCCTCCTCCTCCTTCTCCTTCTCCTTCCTAGCCTGGACGCCCTCGAGATAGCTGAGATAGGAGCAATTCAGGTCGAGAACCTTGCGGAGATACTCCTTCGTGAGCAGCAGATTCTGAAGCTCGATTGACCATGGCACCTCGAATGGCAGCGTATCGGTGGAGATGTCGTATCCGAGCTCGCTGAGTTGTCCTTGCACGGAATTCATCTCCGTGAGAGTTGTGAGGAGCTTGTCGTTGGTTTGGTGGATCCACAGTTTGAGCTCCTCGATATCGGCGGCGAGAGACCTCGCGGGGATTGGAGAAGGGGCGGAGGACATTCTTGCGAATTCCTCGTCGGTGATGGAGATGGACTCCGTGCTTTCTGTCATGATTCTCGAGCGTGACACCGGGTTGTTTCTGCCGTGTGGGATTTTTTTCGACGTTTTTGAAACGAATTTTCGCTTGGTTATTCGGACAGCTAATCAGATATAGATGAAAACGCCAAGCCTATATATATAACCACCTTTTTTGCAATGCGTGATTAACCAGGTGTCACTACATCACGTTTAGTGCTTGTGCATCAATCGACTTATAGGTTTATGGTTGTTGACAGGTTCTTTGAACCCGGTGGATTCACTCACGGGAAAAGCTAGAGTTTAATAATTTCACTTTGGTAATTGGCAGAGCACCACCGGCAGGTTCTTGAATGTGATTTTATGTCATTAATTTGAGAGCGGAATTAAAGAACGGTCAACATTTAAAGTCCGATAGGATTCTAGAAAGTCTTTGTATTGATTTGAACTGTATTGTAAATAGGGGGGAGAGCTGTTACGGCTCATGCATGAAGGCGGCCCACCCGCAAAGCTCCGTGGGTGAACCAGTTCATTCAAGAAGTATTGATTCTTACGGTTGAAAGTATTTGTGTCCTTGTGAGCCAGGTGTTCCCTCCTCACACAACGCAACCACTACTTGTAAAATTGACTAGACGTTCCACCCCTTAAACACCACAGTCTAAGTCCATGCGGGACAAGATACGGCGTACTCCTCCGGTGTCTGGTGGTTCATCTCTGCTGTGTAGGCTGTCACGGTCCAGTTTGGCTTCGTTCGTTATTACTTTACCGCTGACTTCGTTAGTGAACTGGGGTCACCCTGACTGAGCTGGGATATTCCGATATAGATCTCACTCCTTTCCTGGATGAACTAGTTTACTCACTAAACTTCGTGGAAAAACTTGGTTCATGGATGAGCGGTAACAGAGCCAGGACGCTCTCCTCATGGATTCGACGTTTTCAGATTACTCTCACTCACTATCATAGGTTATGCTCTGATGCGAATGTGGAGGAGTGATGATGATTGGATTGCTATGGTGCCGCAGCGTAGCTTTATACAGTTCGGAAAACGAGACAGATCTGCTTGACCTCTTTCAGCCACGTAAGGGCTGAACTGTGTGACACCACGTGTACCCGTTTACGTATAACCTGGACCGCAAAGTGCATGCTGTCTACATTTAGGTCTTGTGAGAGAAGGACAACCTGGCACCGTTCAGGCAGGACCAATATTATCTAGGCCATATTGAGACCTCGGAACCTGTATATAATCTACGTGGGGGTGTCGGGAATGAATAGGGAGTAGGCTAAAAATCGCACACGAATAATTGGAAATAGGAAGATTATGATATGACTCGGATAATAATGCCTGCTTTTTTTCTTCTTTTTTTTTTGTATCTAATACATTAATTGTATGCAGACCGTAGTCTATGACAATATCACACTGCCCCAGAACTTCCCAATCACTTCCTCCGCCTGTCACCCACTAAGAAAAGAAAGAAAAGAAAAGAAAATAAGATAAGATCATGAAATAACAGGCCAGTAGCTTGTTAATAATACTTGCTTTAAAACAAATGCAATCTAGGAGGACGTAGTATTGTGGTTTATAATTTGGCGTGATCACGAATATAATTCCGCTTGATATCTTGGTTTCTTCGGATACGACTGAATACTCTTCGGTCACCGATGTTCACCAACTTGCAGTGAAAAAACGCAATAAAAAATCTGATTTTTCTAACCTAGACAAATTGATCTTTATTCTTTACTCCTTATCTAGAACATGAAAAGCTGATTCTTTATTTGCAATTTCCTAACACCTTCACGTAAACAGAAAAGATTTGAACACGACGGCGGGATCTGTTTATTCGTGTCTGAGGCGTATTTCTCGTCACTAATCATCTACAAAACTATGTTAGTAAATCTATGGCACTAGAGATCTGGACATGTTATACTTGGAGGGACAGCACTTATGACAGCATACTTTCAACCCTGACCATGCCTTGTCAGTTACACAAGGACCATTTCAACGCCTAACAGGCGCTCTCCTCAGAACCCTCCTCATCTGCCCCGCCGTAGCGCTGGCGGCCAAAGCTTCACGCCCCAGCCTCTCCACCTCCCTAACCCTCTCCTCCTCCTCCTGCAACCTCGCCTCCTCCCTAACCCTATCCTCTTCCTGTAACCTTGCCTCCTCCCTAACCCTATCCTGCTCCTGCAACCTCGCCTCCTCCTTCTTCTGGGCATTCTTCAAAGCCTTATTGAAAAGCTTGACTATGAGCTTGTCCCTCTCAAGATAAAACTTGTAACGGGTCATATTGTTGATCTCATTGATGATGTCATTAGTCAGAGGGACAAGGGGATTGAGGCACTCCTTCTTCCAATCGTAGCCCAGCCCGACGAGCATGCTACGGGTGCTCGCGAGCTTTGGTTTGACGAGGTCGATGGACGACTTGTAGTTGGCGACGCCGCGCTCGTATTGGGCGATCAATGCGGCCGCGTAGGCGGGCGCAGTCATAAACTGAGGGCAACGATCGGCGGGGGTGCCGTGGCCAGGGGGTTGAGGAACCACGGGCTGGACACCAGCGGGATGGGCAGCAGCAGCAGGATGGACGGTAGCAGGCTGGACGGCAGCAGGCTGGACAGCAGCAGGTGCAGTGGGAGCGGCAGACATAGTAGTGGTGATGTGTAAGTTGGTTTAGTTCCAACTTCGACAGCAAAAGAGGTGAGAAACTTAGTGTGGTTGGGTTTATGCGTTGCTGACGTTATTGTGGGGAAGTGGGGTGCGTTCACGATATATATATGAGAAAAACGCTTTTGAAATTTGACAACTTCTTGGCATGCTTGCGTACCTTGGCATCCCTGAATACCCTGAATTCGCAACTTGCGTACATAACAGAACATGCCAATTGGCGGTAATATACACGTAGATCACCATGAAAAGTCTTCTGGCTGGGAGTATGGAATATGCGAGGAGCTTTCCGCTATGGAGTACTCGGAGTAGAGAAGAGAGACATGTATAAACCTGATTCTAAACAAAACACATGAAGTGAAACGAAGCTTAAAGGAAGAATACGAAAGAATCACGTTGCAGATGACAGGTGGCAGACCGGCTCTTACTCCTCTTCTACAATGTCATAATTCGAGACTAGCGCCTGAGCTAGACGTGAAAAGGGACAAATAATAACGCACCCCTAAGAAGCTTATTAAAAGCAAACTTCAAATTCTAAATCACAGATGAACAGCCCTAGGGACGATATTCCAATTCGACTAGAGTGTACGTTGTCGTGGAGACTATATGTAATTACAAGCGCAACTGTGTTATGACACGATTCAGCAGTGACGTGGCTAAACCGGGTCAATTAAGCGAACCTGTCCTGTTTTCGGGCCTGTATAAAACGAGACTCCGCAACCCAGACCAATACATCATCATCTCATCCATCATCGAGCTCGAGCATCACTCATTGATCAGGAACAGCCTGAAACCGTGCTCCGTACCGACGTCGCAATAAGCTTTCTTGGCAACGGCGGATATGTGTCATCTAGCCGTTTCTGTACATGTGTGTAACAACAACGATTGCTTGGCAGCAACGACAGGTCAACGATCGAGGTGCCGGAAACTGGGGGTGGCAACGTGGGTGTGCTAAATGTGGTTTTAGTAGAATTGCTAATGTGCTGCGTGAATATAGAGAACGGAATTTTTGCGGGATCATGGTTTGGGGTGTTTGGAAGATTACTTTGGAGTGTCTTAAAGTTATGGATGTGTTATGATGTGATGAATTTATAATATAATCATAAGATTCATTGGCCTATTGAAGAATATATTTTTTATTACGATACGGATACATTCTAAGATCCTACGCTCGCCCCAACCTTGGTTTTGCACGAAGCGAGGAAGCTTACGCTTTGTATCCCTGCGGCTAAACGGATAAATCTAGCCTCCCCTATAATACTTGGCTCAGAATGCAATACCTCATTTGGCGTCCACCTCGAGTCAGTGCACTATAACAGCCAACTATCAGCAACATCCTCCCTTATGCCTCTCTTCCTGAACACAACGTTCTTCTTGATCAGCGAGAAGAGGACAAAGAACTCACGCCTTCCTCACAGCCTTGTTCACCACTTTTAGGGTTGTTTCTTGAATGCGAAATACCTCGAGAGGAAACAGGATCAAGGAGCATTCACGCCTTCATAATATCGTTCACCTACTTCATACCTCACTCTCTCACGGCAGGAACTAGACCTTTATCCTCTTTTACTACCTTAACTACAACCAACTTTACAAACACACAATGTCCACCTCACCCTCCCTCTCCCCCTCTCCCACCCCCTCCACCACTACCACCACCACCGTCAGATCCCCCACCCTCTCCCCTCCACCCCCCTCTCCCGCCTCCACCTCTTCTGTACCCACCCCTTCCAACGCCGCAACCTCAACCTCTCTTTCCCCAACCTCCGCCACACCCCTCGCCCACCCTTCCACCTTCCACGAAATCCCCTACACCTCCCTCACAACCCCCGAACGCACGCTCATCACAACCCACGCACGCACCCTCCGCCTCACAACCGGCACCCGGCCCTCCCCCACCGCACTCGCAACATGGTTCGCACAGCACCACTCCGGCCGCCTCCCCGCCGCCTCCGCAATCACGCGCCTCACGGCCTCCAAGCCGCGAAAGCTCATCAGCGCCGAACTCAAGTCCCTTGCCTGGGGGTTCATCGTCGACGAAGTGCTCCGCAGCGGTAAACGGCCGGAGCTGGGCGAAGTTGTGGCGTGGCTGGCGGCGCGCGAGGGGCGTAGGAGGCGCAGGGTGGTGGTGAAGAGGGCTATGGAGGGGTGGGAGAGGGGGGTGATGGAGGGGTTGGAGGGGCTGAGTGATAGTGGGGGGGAGGGGGAAGAGGTGTTGTTGGGTCGTTTGGATAGGGGGGTGGTGGTGCCCGTGAGGGGGGAGATGAGGGGCTTGGTGGAGGAGAGGAGGAGGGCGGTGGTGGAGGGGGTGTTGAGGGGGGTGGAGGAGGGGTTGGAGGTGTGGTGTAGGGGGGCTGCTGGGATGGGGATGAGTGTGTGTGAGAGAGCGCTGAAGATGAAGGCGAGGGTGCTGCTGGCGGAGGTCGATAAAGGTAGGCCCCTATTAACCTATTTAAGGAAATTGAGGGAAATTCACTAATTGGCAGTAGATATGAAGTTTCCACCGGGATGGATCACACAGTGGCGAATGAAACACGGCATCCGCACCGCCGACGACATTTCCAATATGCCACCTCCAGCACTTCCTGGCCCTGCAGCTACGGTGTGTACAATCCATCACTGCCACAACTATCGTTTCCATCAATACTGACATAATCAAGGGCTCCACCCCTGCCGTTTCCACGGTTACCGCCGCCGCTCTTGAGGCCGAAACCCCCAACGCCGCTGTTGAGACTGATACGGCAGCCGCCGCTCTTGAAGACACGGCTACTCCCGCAACTATAGGCCTGAGCTTTCCGCAGGCCCCTGAGCTGTACAGTGATGTGGACGAGAGCTATAGGGTCTATCTCGACCTTATTCCGGAGCAGTTTAGGGGCGAGAAGAAGCCGCCGATTCCGGGGGATCGGGATCTGCCGATTTACCTAGATTAGGGGAGGTGCGTGAGTTCTCGTTTGTGTTTTTGTTTTCTTTTGATGGTTGGAGGTTGTTTTTCTGGCGCTTCTCTGTCTTCTTTTCCATTTCCTTTCGCTCTTTTTTTGCTGTATGGGTACTGGTTCGGACATTTGTAGGTACTTCATGAGGGCAGTTGGAAGGTTAGATGGAGGGGATAATAAACACACCGAACAATCAGTTAATTGCGAACGTTTTTGATGCTTCCGTGTTGGTTTTTAGATCTTTTGTACACGTGTATAACGATGCCATTAATACCAGGTAGTCAGAACAGGTGTCCACGTATGTCACTGTTTCGAGACAGTTTGCCCATAAGTAATAAAACGCGAAGTTGTCAGTTCATCCATTTACGCGGTTGTTTTAATAATCTCGAGCAGTGGAACATCTCCTGCCGTCATCGCCTGTCACTCGGCTCCCGAGTGATAGACTGTGCCGGAGTGATAGGAAGTGACGCAGGTCATTGCACTACATGGTTTCGAAGTGTTTAGTTTGATTAGAGCAGGTGTGAACGAGGCCATACAGTAGGAAGTGGTGGTTGGCAGAGCTCTTATTCTTCGTGGTTTTTTAATGCTTCAAGTAGAATGTGGACGGCTCTAGGAAAACAATCTTCTCGTTGGTCAAATTGTTGTTTATATCCATGGAGTTGAGGGTGAGATGGAATTCATATATCGAAAAACATAGATGAGAACAATGTGGCGATTCTGTATTTTCTTTACATAGCGGTTGGTGACGGGGTTGATGGAAAAGATCCCCCCTCAAGCAGTTTTATCAGGTGTTAACGGAATGTCCGGAGGTGCCAAATTCAGAGAGTTCTATAGACAAATTCCGTGTTCTTTCCTTCAAACAGAAACACGAGTACCTGTTCTGTTAGACACGGCGGTTGATTCTTTCACTCACACAACGCTGTCCTCTGGGTGCAAAATTTAAAACGCCGCGCTCGACCTGACCACCAACTCCTCTTCTTCCAACCTCACCTCCTCCACCAACATCCACAACGACATCTCTTACTCCTCCATACCCACCAGCTACACCTCAAATAACAACTACATAAAATCCCCTTGTTCTCTAAGATATTTTTGTATCTCCCTCCTCAATCTCTATTGCCTTATTACTCCCACTAACAAAAACCCAGTGACACAAATCACCGTTACACAACCATGAAGCGCCACGCCTCCCGCTCCCCCCCCGACCCCCCGCGGCGCTCCACCCGCATAAAACGAGTCCCCCCCGCCGGCCCCATCTCCATCGCCATCCCCGCCCCCCCGCGCCCACCGCCCATCCCCCGCCCCATCATCACCCACATCCCCACCGCCAACACCTCCTCCACCCCCAACCCCACCGACCCAAACGCACCCCCCACCACCAACCCCCAAACATACTACCTCCCCGCCACCGAAAAGTCCGACCTCTACACCTACTTCCGCGCCGACTACGCGCGCACGGGGTACCGCCCCACGCTCCCGCAGCTCGCCGCGTGGTTCGCATACACGCACTCCGGCCGCCGCCTGCCGCTGCCTGTCATTGCGGCGGTCGTCAACGGCGGCGGCGTCGTTGGGCGCAGCGCGAAGGTGGGGCAGAATATGGCGGCGAGGATACGGGACTGGGCGTTGGCGAGGAAGGAGGTGACGGGCTGCGTGCCCGGGGTGGGGGAGTGTATGTTGTGGATGCAGAGGGTGGGGATGGAGATGAGGGGGGATGTGGATGTGGGGGAGGTGCTTGGGGGGGTGGTGGATGAGGAGGAGGAGGATGAAGAGGAGGAGGAGGGGGGCGGGGGCGGGGAGGGGTGGGTGGTGTTGGATGGGTTGGTGGTTGATGGGGGTGTGGGGGAGAGGAGGGGGCAGAGGAGGAAACCTTGGGAGAGTGTTGAGGCGCAGGAGGAGGTGTGTGAAGAGGTCGAGTGGAAGAGCTGCTTGTCGCAGCCTGCGGCCAAGTGTGCGAGGCATGAAGCCAATATGAAGGCGCAAGGGCTGGAGAATACGACGGGTACCACGGGAGGGTGGAGAGACAGTGAGAGAGGGGAGAGCTGGGACGCGAACGAGGACACCACTGACGAGAGTGAGGAAAGCAGGGACGAGAGTGATAGTGAAGAGAGCTCTTCAGAGAGCGAACAGATCCGTTCCTCACGAAGGAACACACGCTTCTCTAGCAAGCAGACTGCCGCCCTCAGCAAGAGCTCCAGTCCCTCCACCAGGTGCCGTACATCTAGCACCCCCAGGAGAACCACCATAAGCAGATCCATCACCGCTTCCAGCCCTCTCAGAAGAAGCTCCAGAAGCGCATCCAAGACAACCTCAAGCCCTCTGAGAAGAACTACCAGAAGCAGATCCAACACCGCTTCCAACCCACCTACCAAACCAACCAGAGGCAAACCTTGTCCCAAACCAAAATCCGAACCTACCCCTTCCACCAGATCCACGACCTCGATATCCCACACCCCCTCACTCAAGCCTAGCGCCAAACCCGGCCCCAAACCGAAACCAAAGCCTCCGCCCTCCAATACCAGGTCCACAAAATCCAAATCCCTAGAACCAACAGGAAGGTATACCCTCCGCAGCGGACGCTCGGAGACGTTCGTCAGTAAATCGGACGACGAGAGCGGGGATGAGAACTCAGAACATGATGCCGATGATGAAGATGAAGATGAGAGTGAGGGTGAGGAGAGTGAGGAGGAGAGTAAGGAGAGTGAGCTGGAGAGTGATGGTTCGATGGAGGAGACCATTGTCTGTGCTCCGCCTCCTTCTTTGGTCCCTGGGCTAAGAAAAGAGGATTTGGCAAGTGAGGATGATGAGTCTGAGGATGAAGAAGACAGGTCGGAGGATGAAGAAGACAGTTCTGCGAATAAAGAAGGCACCTCTGAAGATGAATCTGAAGAACCAGAAGTACCTACAGCCGAACTTCCCTCCATTCCCGCGCGGGAGGAAATACACGATAACGACGAGGATAATTACATGGACGAGCTATCCAGCCCTCTCTTTGAGGCTTCGCATTCGCAGGAACAGCCTTACGTTTCCACACCTGATGTGGTTTTGAATAAGCCAGGCGAAGCCGAGGAGGTTGTGAAGGCTGTATCGAGTCCGCCTTCCGAGCCTACGCTTTCGGGGGAACGCTCCTATGTTGATGAGCCTGAAGATCATAGCAATACTCTCGAAACTTTCGAAACTGTCGCAGCTGGATATAATCCTCTTTTGGAGAGTGATATGGAGGCAGAGAGCTCTAGTGGTGCCGCAGTGCCTACCTCTACCAGCAAGCCAATTCAGGAGGTAGATGGTGGAGAGCACGCAGTAGAGACCACCGCGCGAGAGCTACTCTCCCCCGATGTGCAGCCGTTCATCGCAGAAACCCGGTACACCTCTCCGGCGCTGGATGAGGAGGGTGATACTACTATCACAGGCTCCCAGCCTGCGCCCACCTCCGTAGGACGGGATGGCGAAAATTACAGGATCGTCCTGGACTCTGAGGCCGACACTTCGGATATTGATATGGTCATGGATCTCGACAGAGACTCTAATGACGACCCTCCTACAGCTCCTGAATCCGTATCAGTTTCTGAGCCCACAACTCGCTCTGCGTCCCACCACCGAACCCCCACCACACCAATGGACTTTGTCTCCTCCCTCGACACTCTCACAGCCCCCTCCCTGCCACCGCACAGGATCGTACAAGACCTCAACCGCCGCGCCGACATGCTACACCAACGCCCCTCCTCCTCTGCTGTAGACATGCCAAAGATGCCCGTGTACCAAATGCTCCGGCAGCGGCAGCAGCCGTATGAGGAGGCCCAACAGAGGGACACACTGGAGAGACGGCGGCAGAAGGAAAGGGTGAGCGAGGAGGCGAGGGCGATGCTTGAGGAGTATAGAGAGCTGTGTGGGCGGGTGCCGGAAGATGAGGGGGGTATTATGACTACGGATAAACAAGTTCCACAGCTCGAGGCGGTGGCTGGTAGAGATGTCATCGATTTGCAGTCTGGGCCTAGAGAGCTCGTGATCCCCAGCAGCAGCAATATACAGCAAGCCCCCGTCACCGCCGGAACAGCTGCAGCACTGCAGACAGAAAACACACATCTCACACCCCACACCCCCCGCGCCGTACAAGAGCAGACCAGTCTCCAACCAGCCACCAACACCGAAGATGACGAATCCCAGGATCAAACACCATTCCGAAACTACGACGATGAAGACGAATGGAGCAGCCTCGGCGACACCACAGTCTCAGAGGGCGGGTGGTCCGTTTCTGACAACTCTCGTTTTGCTCCCATAATTTACGACACCACTACTACAGAAACCAAGCACTCCAGACTAAGCCAAGCCCACACTACCACCGCCGCCGACGACGACAACGATGACGATACCGATACCGACTGGGACATGCACGGCGACACCACCGTCTCCGAGGGCGGCTGGTCTGCCGCTGCACCTCCAGAGGAGGAGGCTACGGTGGTTGTGAGGCGCTGCCACGGCAGGGTTGTTATTGCCGCAGGCGATGGGGTCGCGGTGGAGGAAGGTATTGTGGAGGATCTGGAGGCGGAGATCGCGAGTGGGTTGTATGAGTATCGTGAGGGTAGTGATGATACAGAGATACCTGAGCGGGAGCAACATGCGGTCACAGAGGATAATCGCATGGTTGTTTATGCACGCCATACCAACGATCTCGACGGCAACGGCGGTGTGGACAGGGAAAATAGTGAAACGGTCTCAAAAGGTAGCCGTGCTACGGCTGGTGATGGTGAAGAGGAGCAGCATGAAGAAGACGAGTTGTTCTTCAGTTATGGTCCGCGTGCGGGGGATGACGGGGAGGAGGGGGATTGTGATGCTGTTCTAACGGATGCTGGTGAGTGTGTGGTTCGGAGACGGGGTGGCAGGGTGGAAATCACTGCGGGTGGAGACATCCCCGTAGACGCTGGAAATGATGGCAACAGTGTTAGTGCGGAGGTGATGGAGCTCTTCGAGACGGGAAATCAGATGCCGGCGCTGGTGGGGATGGAGAATTATCTTTCGGCGGATGAGGTTACGAGTGAGGAGGAGGATGTGCTTGGGGTTTGTGTTGCGGGGGAGAGAGAAAGTTCGGGCGTTAAAATTCCGATTCAAAAATCGGACACAAGCGTCAAGCCCGCTGAAGATATTTCGAACGAAAATAACGACGATACCACTGCCACAGGAGCACATCATACAGTGCACGAACTTGTCGATACCATATCAGAGGACGAGAGATCCATCATTATCGACCTGAGCGACTACATGCGCCCTTCACAGGAGGCGGAAGCCCTCTCGCCAGCCTTGTCCGGCATCGATCTCAACGCCGCAGAGGAGGACGTGGACGACACGATCACTGTCCCTCTAACTCAAGAGGGTGAGGATGCGGCTCGAAGAAGACCTCAGGGTTTCGAAAGCTCGATCCATGCCGATGTGCAGAGGTATCTTGAGACTTTTGACCCTACGGTGTCGTTGGATTTGGAGAGGGGTGGGTTGGGGCTGTCTGTGGGTGAGGGTGCTGTACCGGATGGGAGTGGAGTTGACACTGCTGAAAGCCCCGACGAAGACGAGGAAGAAGAGGAGGAGGGCGAGATTCCACAGAGGCCTAGGGGCAGAAAGCGGAAACGGGTCGTCCTGAGCTCCAGCGACTCCGAAAACAGCGACTCCCTCAACCCACCCAGAAAAGCCAACGCCGCCTTCGCTCCCGAGTCTAACTCCGAGGCCACCTCCCTCCCAAACCTCACCTGGAACCGCACCACCAACCGCCCCCACAACCCCTTCCAATCCCGCACCACAAACACAAACACCCTCCGGTACCTCCGCCGCTCGCTGCCCGCCTCCGTCCTCCCACGCCCACGCACGCCCACCACGGCATCAATAACACACGCCGCAACGCTCCTCGCCTTCTCGCCGCTGCACACCGACTTCCGCGACACGCCGCCACCGCCGAGCGCCTGTACGGTCGTCACGGAGGAGGTGATAAGGGAGCAGACGCCGGTGCCGGATGTCGTTGCCAGTGTGGGGCGCTGCACGAGTGATGGGAGGTACTCGAATGGGACGAGCCCGAAGCTCAGGAGGACGCCGGCGTATGGGAGGAGCCCGCCGGCGGATACAGGGGTGGGGTTGGATCGGAGGTTGTGGGCGTGGTATGAGAGTGTGGTGGGCGCGGGGGCAGGGACAGGGGAGAGGGGGGTGACGCAGAGGGCGTTGGAGGGGAAGGTGGCGGAGTTGGTGGGGGGTATGTTGTTTTTTCGTTCTTCGTTTTTTGGTTTCATGGGGATCCGGGCTAATGTCGTTTGTAGGAAGGCTTTTGCCGGAGGGGTGGCTGGCGGATTGGAAGGAGCGCTGTGGGGTGACAGCTGCGGTGGGGGTGAAGGGGTGTTTACCGGTATGTTTTCCGTTATTCTTTTAGGTCTGCGAGGTTGTACTAATCTGCGTTGTCGGGATTTAGGAGGATCCCATCTGTTTGGATGACGATGAGGACGAGTAACGTCTTCGAAATTGAAGCTTGCCTTTGGTATTAGTTTGGAATCTTTGCAAATGATCTTTGGAGGTGAAGAAATAGCCAACTCTGCATTGGAATGGTGTTCAGCGGTTTCGCAGGAGTCTTGGATATGGCGTTCCGGTTCTTTCAACTTCTTTGCGGGTTTCTGTGTCGATTTTAGAAATTTGGTTGTTATAGAAGTATACTGTAATAAGATACCATCTCCTTAGGCGTTAATGTCAAGCGTTTCTTCTTCTCACTTCTCCTTATTTGGATTTCGAGCATATTCGCGCGGGTTTATTTAATATTCGGTTTGGCAGCCTAGTATACGGCGTTATGGGGGTGTCATGGGCGGGGAAATGGGTTATAGACATTCTTGGATTCTCTTTTCACGAGTACTATATGTGGAGTTATAAGACGCGTGGCTCTGGGCTCAATGTCTTAGAAATTCGGCCACTTGAAGGTTGATACATCCAATTAGCTTCATGAATTATCACTCGGGGTTCTCCCGCCCGAATTGCCTCACAATAACACACGAACCTGTTTTCTGAAGCTTTCCTGGATCTAGATCCATTGTAAATTTGTAATTCGTTCGAGTTCGTGCCGCGTGGTGCGTTTCGAGATTGTAGTCTATCAAAGCTATTTTGGTCATAGATTATCACTCGTCTTCTCTCGGCGGGGCGCGTCTATGTCACATTGATCGTTTGTTTGCGGACCGGGCCGGGTCTACGACAGTGTTCGTTTGGAGAGTAAGAGTAAGAAAAAATGAAAATAAAAAGAGATTAATAGCTTAAAGAAACAAAAGAGAGCGAAAACTCATCCTAATTTTCCAAGTTCAACGATAGTTTTCCTATTTCTCTGTCTGTCTTCGGAAGACATTTGCGCGTGTTCATTTACTATTGGCTTTATCAATATAGTACACGGCGTTATGGGGGCGTCATGGGTGGGGAAATAATTTATAGAAATTCTTGGATTCTCTTTTGAGTACTGAAAGTATATGTGGAGTTATCGAAAGCTTGGTTCCGGGCTCAAAATCTTTGTAGTCCTGCCAGCTGGAACTTGACCTATGATTGAAGCAGCTTCATGGACTATCACTCCGGTTCTCCCCCCCCCCGGGAACTACCCCACAATGTAACACAAATCTACTGCGCGAAGCCTTCTTAGCTCTGTATCAATTGTAATTGGTGAGAATTCGTGCCCCATAATATGTTTCGAGATTATAGTCTAACACCAGCTATTTTGATCATAGACTATCACTTGCACCCTCTCGGCGGGGCGCGTCTGCCAGATGGATTGTTTGTTCATGATCACATCCCGGGGTCTCCGAGAGTATGCTTTCCGAGAGTAGGAATAAGAAAATAAGAATAAAAATTGAAAAAATATTAAAATAAGATAAGGCGGAAAGCGAATGTCACTATATATAAAGTCTGATGGGCACAAGTCTATCCGAGACGAGACTTTCACAGCCGAGGGGAGACTTGGGAAAGTCTCGTCTTATCTTATGCTTAAACAGAGTCTTTAAAAACTCGAGAAAATCTTCTAGTCTCGAGACTTTAATTTTCCTCGTGTGAGTCTAAGGCTAGACTCTAGAGTGATTCTAATTAAAGCAAACCCACTATCACAATCTCCCCCAGCCCGTAATCTTTCAAACTCTATTGGCATAGTGGAATGTGTACTCGAACAGAAACTTAGTACGACAGCGAGGTGCCGGGTTCGAATCCCGGGTAGAGCCTAACTTCAAACCTTTTTTACCCCGATTTTATTTTGCTTCAGCTCTTGAAAAGTAAGACTGAAGACTAAACCGGAACCAGCCGACAATTTGTCTTTGTATCTCTTGTCCGTCCTTAGGTGTCTCGAGGCTTGGGTGTTCGCTCGATATTGCTAGTCCCGTGACCATCCCTACCGCAAAGCAAAGAAAACACATACAAAATAAAAGATGAAATAAATAAATAACACGATGATATAACTTAAAACCTTCCGCCGATCGGACTCTCTAATGTAATCTATCCTTCCGCCCTTTATTCATCCGTCCTATCTCCAGCTCTGGCCCTCGATTGCAATTGAAGCTGCTCTCTGCTTTCACTTTCCTCACCTCAGTAACCCTAGTTCAGGGATGGACTCTAGATCTACATATGCCTCTTTGAGAAACCCGGCATGCCTAACGGGGATCTCTGCATGCTCTCACTATGTATGTAGTCCGTCTGAATTCGAAACCGAGAATTTTCGGGATAACGTTGGTTAGTTCCCTTTGCGTATTATATTATCGGATTGTATTGTGGTTTCGTTTTATAAACCGAATTGTGAGTATGGATGAGAGAACAGTCAGGAGAAATCTTTCTTCGATGGACTGTATGTTAAGAAGGTATTCCGGTAAGCCCTGATTCGCTGCACCGGCCTGGGTACGGTGGTAAGACCTCCGGAATTGGTTTTTTCGCGGGATTTCGTACGCATAGGAGCTATAATATTGCGAAACGGATTGGTAGGAAGGCAATTACTACTATGTTATCTGAAGCGTGGTTGGTATGCTAAGGAGCTTGGTGTTCATGATATCCCCGTGATGCTGAACCCATATATCTACTCCATACCTATTCACCCTAAATAGATGCTTAGTAGATTAGAAACACTTTAATGCGTCGAGGTGGTGCAGGTCAGGATTACATCACAGCTAATAAAACCCTACTAAGGGGCTGATTTGAAACTAGTGTAAAATCTAAAAGTCCTACCTCGGGGGTCTCCAAAACAGTTGAATGATCCGACATATATATTCCATAAGTGAGAATGGCTTCGTCTTTCGATGCTGTGCTTATATTGCCGGAAGAGTCTTCCAATTTGTCGCGTTTTAATTATCTGTGTAGAATCACAAAGCCTAAAGCATTAAAAAATGCAACACCGAATAGTGGCTACAAAATATAAGCCTTTATTTAGTTTATGTACATTTCGAGCACACTCTTCCACACCGACACCAGATCCCGTCATGAAGGGAAATGCGTGTTACGCGGTAACGAGTGGAGCTAGTTGTTTTGGGAGTTAGGTTAATTCACGGAGGTCCCTACCTAACTTTTGCTGGCGGTGAATCAAGACGAAAGAAATTGTAGACTTACCTGAAACGGATATTAGAGATGTACCATTAATGAGATATTTAGAGTTAAGATGATCTCGTATCCCTTCAGATGCTGCTCTGAGGTTTATTGATTCTACCTTCTCGGACCTTGTAGCAGAGCAAAGACAGAGGCAAGGGGCCTCGGTAATGCAAGCTCCCCTTCATATCTTTCCTGAAACCCGTCGAACTGTTTCCATATATATCATTACTGATCCCCTGCCCAGATACCACCATATACCATGTCCTGGTACCACAGAAACCACCAGAAGCATCCCATTTTCGGACGAACTACAGAGCTAAGCTCTATAACGCATATATCCATCTGTGTACTGTGTATGACAAGATCCAGGTACTTGCCCGATGCAGACCCCGATTGAGTTCCACATAGTTCTGCAGATGCCCGCAAGGAGGTGATGTTCTATTAGTGCTATATTTCACCTCTAGCACCGAAATTGTGCGAGGTAAGAAGAAAACCTAAAGCCGCATGTAGAGCTGGGGAGCTTGAAACATGGTATCGGGAGATATTAGTCAGCTATATACGGATGAATCGGATATGCCGTGGATATCCAAAGTTCAGAATGAGCTGAAATTGCAGTCGGGACAGGACGATATTTGTTTCAGGCATCACAATAGATGAGTGAGTAACTTGTGTGGGTGGAAAATGATACCTATTACGTATATCCATCAAGGTTCAGATGAACCCCTAGATGTCTGAACGAAACTGAATTCGCATCGCGAGGTGAGATGAGGCCAGGGGTTGGGGGAGTATAAGCATAGATCGCCAAAGCTTCTTCGATTCAGGAACAGTCTTGTGCTCCTGCTCCATAATCACAGTGAATATTGATACTGCCAACGTACGAGGCCTGGGTATTGATCGGGAGTATCCGAAGTTGAACCTTATCCAGTTGGTAGAGGTTTCCCGGTCAGGAATTGCATCCCGATCACTGTCTATTTTTGCATGATTGGGGGCGCGGCCGGGGGGGGGGGGGATATGGTAATGTCCACGAAGATAGACACGAAAAAGTTCTATCGAAATCTCTCACTAGCATAATATCCGGTATTCGCAGAGTATCTGGCATGCTTAGAGGGCGATCTCCGCGAAGACGGAATTTGAAAATACTATCAGAGGTTATTAGATGCTGATGCTTGACTAAGTTAATTTCAATCCTTGATTAGGTATGAATTGTCTCGCTTGTTCACTCCCTTGCACGACGGCCAGGACCTTTCCCCAGACCCCCGGGAATGTACTCTCCCTTTTGGAATCCCAGACCAATGAACCCCTCGGAAACGCACGCAGCGATCTGGAATAGCTGCAGTAAAATCTACAGATCGGCTTTAAAATCAAGATCTTGTTGACTCGCGAGTCGATTTCTTGGATCGAGCGTTTCTGATCGCGGAGATTGATACGTTGTCTCCGTTGGCCTCATCCGGAGCTTGGTCGGAACCATTGAGTCACCTCTGAACCTCCCTCTAGAGAAAGATAATGAATGAAGCACTTTCTTCACATTGATAGAACTCTCATACTCATTTACGAGTATAAGTACTCTATTACAACCCCATCGCTTCCCTCATCTTCTTATTATCACCTCTCATCTAGCCTTCACACCCAAACCCATCACATCACCAACAAACACCAATATCCCGCCTCAAACTCAAAATGAAGCTTCTACCCGTCCTTTCCGCTCTTCTCCTTACTGGCTTCGTCGCCGCCCGCATCGACATCACCATCACCGAGCATAGCGATAGCGACGAGATCGATGTCAAATACAACGACTACCGCGAGCAACAAGGCCAAGAACTCGAAGGCTGGGGCAAGGACAAAGACAAAGGGCCAAAGTGCAAGCGCCGCGAGCAGCATTGCAGGGATGATGAAGATTGTTGCAAGAACTTGTTGTGCCGTCGCGGTTTCATCGGACGCCCGCTCGATCCGCTTAGGCTTTACTGCCAGTAGATGTAGGTCTCTCTGCTGATTGTCTTTTTTTTTTTTTTTCTTTTTGTGGAGAGCGGTAGCTGATAGGGAGTAGATCGGGATTTACGGAAAGCAACGGAAATGATTTGATGGACGGGTTATTTGAAAAAAAGGTTGACGTAGGCGCGCGCGGCAAGAACTGGATTTTTGGCCATTGGAATAGAGTTTGCAGTATACGAGTAGCAGACTTGGAATAAAAATTTGATTTTAAAATCGGCGATGAAATTTTAACTCTTTACAGTTTGTGATCGATTGTGATAATGATTGAAGGGACGAAATGGGAAATTTTCCTGTGAGAAAAAAAGCATGCCAATGCTCCGGGATTTGTTTTTTAACCAGATGGTAGCTGGTTTTGCCCGAATCAATTCCACCTGAATCGAATTAATATCCCAATGAAACCATCGCTCGGCCCTTCTTTGCCCGTATTATGGGTAAGGCTGTTCTAGGCAATATTGAAAGATCGGCCATCATAGAAGATCTGTTGGGCCATGGCGGAAGCTTAAATCAACACGATGTTAACAGCCGGGAACCAAAGACCTTTTTGAAGAATAGAGGGATGATCAAATCTATTCTACTTGTTAATTATCAGTTTTAATTCCGCTATACCAAGCACCCCTTCCGCCGTGTCTAAACCTTCCACAATGGCCGATCTTCTAAAATTCCCCCGCGCCAGACTGGGTTATTCTGACCCACTTGATTAGGACCGAATAACCGTTACTTGCGATGGAGGGTATATCTGCTCGCCACAAGCCGGAATAGGTTCAAGTAGCATGGTTTCAGAGTTTGGGCGCGAGTGTGACCCCCCAAGTGCTTGGTGTGGCGGTGCTGAGCACCATCCGGATTGAGGTATGGTACTAAGAATACCCTATTAAAGATATATAGTCACAGTTGCTACCAGAGGTGGTATGTAAACTTCACAGTCTTCTTGTAAGATCGAGAATGTTAAAGTTGATTATTTTCACCGAGAATGAACACCAGAACAACCACACATAAGGAAAGAAATTGTTAATTTTTTGACTGTCTCTAAATATATCTATAAGTATACTGTTCATTTTTGCCGAATTAATTACTTATTTTTGGAGGGATAGTAGTCGAAAATCACGAATTTCGGGCTTTCAAAATCGAGTGCTTTTTTATGTTTGGTTGCGATGAGGATGGGTTCTCCCACAGTCGCGACAACCCCCTAGCTACGGTCGCGTCCTGTCAACACATCTACACCAGTAACTTTCTCTGAAAATCACTCTTAAATTATGTGTGTTTATATTATATCAAATTTTACCCAATTTTTATCCCTCTACCTGCGCTCTGGCCCTGCCTGCCCGCTTACAAAATTTCAGAAGGCGTGGCTGAAGGTGACTTTTACCTTGGCCTCAGCGCTGTCATGGCTGTAAGACAAAATTTGGGACCATGCTGCTTGAACCTATTCCCACAAGCCACAAGCCTCGGTCATGTATACCCCTACATCTGCAATGGTCACACAGGATTAGCGACACCATAATTGAGAAACACCCTCTATAAAAGACCTGTGCGTTTAGGGAGAGAAGTAAGAAAAGAAAGAGGGAAGAGGTGATGCGATGCAGGGCGACGAGTATAGGGTGAACGGAGTGGCACTAGAAGTATAGAGGTAAACGTCCCGGAGCAAGAAGCCATTGCGGGCATTCATACCTGAAGGCGCGGAGAGTGCGGAGACATGAGACCTCTTGATCACATTTAAGAACGAAAGCTTGGTATCGACCTACACTCCCCCTCCACCCCTCACTGGGTTTTAGATGATGTATCGGCGTTCATCCCCTCCTCATCTTATGTTTCGCTTACTCATATCGGGGGCGTAAACTCCTCGGCACAAGCATTCTTCCATAGAAGCGGAAGAAGTGATACCCGGGTTCCACTTGAAGGGTTTCATATGCGCGTGAAACGATCGTTTGTTGGAAGAATAAATCCGATAAAGCTTCGCCGCCTTCTTGCTCTCTGTGCCAGCCGTCTTCTCTTGCCTAGCCACTCTCAAATAGCTGCTGTGTATTCGACCGCCTAGTAATTGACTCCCTACTTGTCCAAGATCATTAGTGAGGTTGAGGAATATCAAGATACAGTTCCGGGGTATGGTACATCGAACACCTCCCGACCAGAGCGCACCCCCTAATACGTGTGCTAAAAACTAGCGTTAGGCAGGGGCTGAGATAGGTGTTGGGCAAACTAGCGGCCATTGATAGAAACTGCAGTAGGCTACACTCTGTCCGCATCCGGGATGATAGTTATTCCGCCACTGTTTCTATCCGAGCTGTCAGCATGAAGCGTGGTCGCAATGGTGGAGAAGCTGAGATCAAGATTGATCCAGGTGCGGTGCTTGAGAAGTCTAACCTCGCTCGAGCATGTGATGAGAGTCTGATTATGCCACCGTGCTGATGGATGAAGCAAGGGCTGTGGGGTGCCATTGAGAGCTTCTCGCGCGAGTCGATCTGATCTTTCCGTGGATGCAGTGGTGGGAGAACCTGGGGCGGCGCAGGTCTATTGTTTATTGAGCGCCCTTGATTTGCGGTATTCGGAGAGGCACTAGAGGGTTCGAAGATGTCGCTATGGGTTCGATGAGTGATGTCGATTATGCGAATGTCAAGAGGTACGACGTTGGTGATTTCCGATGTTGTAGCAATCAACGGCAGTTTCCGATGAGCCTCATGGCGGCCCTGCAACGACACAGAGCCGCAACAGAGCCGCAACGCAACAGAGCCGCAACGCACCAGAGCCGCAACGCAACAGAGCCGCAACCACAACAACCATTCGCCTCCCGCCGTGGGTATCAGCGAAGCCAAAGAACCAGCCCTGCTCCCCACTCTCAAGGATTCCAGTTAGAGAATATACTTCCGATAAAGTCCTTCACCCGAGTGTAGTCGATGACTTCTTTCCGTCGTCTTTACAGTGGATCGAGTATGCTGGCCCACCAGAGGCGACGCATTCCTTCGGCGGAATTAACCACACCCACCATCCGACCCGTGGGTAGAACTTTGGGAAAGAGAAATTCAACACTTTGGTAAACAAAAGCGCGGAAAAAAAAATGGGACGAAGGGGGCACTGTTTACCACAGCAGCCCTTCCGCGCGACGCCTCCCATTACAACAAGGATCAAAAAAAAAACTGAGATTCTGGTTTTTGCTTTGGGCAAGATACATGCGTGTACAAATACCATGAGGAAGAAAGACACGTATTAAAATACAATTAGGCAGAGCAAACTATCCCCGAGAGGTGAGCTTTCGGTAATCAGCGTGTACTACTTAAGGTCGTTTATTTGTCCGCGCTTTAGACTTTAGAACAACAACTGCGGGGGAGGTTTTCTATTCTTTGTTGACTACAGCGCTGGACAGTTGTTCATCTTTCTTGCAGGCGGAAATCTTCCTGCCCGATACATCTAGTGACTGTTTTTTGTTCGTTAAACGAATTCGAGGACCACCGGAAAAATCCGTTGTGGTGTAATGGTTAGCATCAGTCGCTCTCACCGACTAGATCGGGGTTCAATTCCCCGCAACGGAAACTTCACAACCAGAAGAGCATCATCATCACTGATGTCTTTTTTTCATCTCTTTCTTTTTAAACGTAGATGGTGACGGCGGGTATCAAAATTCGGCATGCGCGCATTGTGAACAAGCTCGGCTGGTCTAGTGGTATGATTCTCGCTTAGGGTCACACCCTGAGTTGTATGCGAGAGGTCCCCGGTTCAAACCCGGGGTCGAGCCTATAAACCTTTTGCTTATTACTCGTGACGATGATTGATGGTGGTTGTGGATAATTCATAGGTCAGATAGGACGGCGGCGGGGGAGTTGTTGAATGAGCTTCGGAAATGCCCTCCTCGGCCAGACCCCCGAACTTGACAGACGACAATCCCTCGGCTTCAGTGGACAAACTTTGTTTTAATATGCAACTTAGGTCAATGGCCTCGAGAAACCTGCGGGAAACCAACCGAAGGCCCAGTTTTTCAGCGCTTAAAGTATATAAATGATAGAGTGCTCAGATTTATAGTCCGCCTATCAAAATATAAATAGTACGATTTTTGGCTCTGTGTTTATCTCTGGAGGACTCTTTCAGGTCCATCGAACGTACTTTATAGTATTATAGTTCGAAACAGGATTATCAGAGGATCATACACTGATCCACGATTTGTAAAAACAAACACCCTTTGAGTCCGGCCATCAATTCGGCATTGTACACGCGACTACGATAAATCACGTGAGCGGAGATGTAAATACGGACGATATCCCATCGGTAAAATGGTCGGGTATGGGTTCCTCCGGGAGGAAATATTGCCAGTTATATAGATTCCATGCCAGATGTGAAGCCCGAGTGATCGTGAGACGCTGTGCGGCAGGTTAATTAGCAGGATATGTGTTAAAACACGTTTCAACGGCTACGTGGTCGGACTCGGTCAAGCATATGTGTTAGTTTCAAGGCCTATAAGTTAAACTGCGGGAACCCGCTTAATTTAATCTTCATCACTCTCATCTTCTGCATCCATTCGCAATGCTTTTTTTGCTTTTGTGATCATTCTGATAGACCAATCCTATAGTCCGAAACGCGATTTTGGATTCTACGGGAGCAACGATTGGTCCGCTCAGATCTTTTAAGTTAGGCTATCAATTCGGCTTGGCACAACCTCGTCTACAATGAATGAATAGCTAGAGCGGAGATGTGGTTGCAGACAATATCCCTACGGTCAAATGGTCGGGTATGGGTTTCTGCGGGAGGAGATGCCAGCTACAAGTGATACTAGATGTGTAGGCCTGGCTGTTCTTTTGGAGAATGTCCCGTCATGGGTCATCACTCGGAATCGTCAACTTGTCCAGATACCTGCGGATTACTTTATTTCTTGCTTTATTGATGGTTATGGGATCACCGGGCTTGGTTGGATTTATCCTCCCACGAATACATCTGTTTGATTGTGGAGCCTGATTCTGTTTCTAACAACTCGCAGGGATATCTTGGGGATCTGGGTAGGGGTTGTTGCGGAGTTCTCCAGTAAGGGTTTTTGGAATATTGGCCAACTCTCTCTGGCGAGTAGATTTAAGAGATGAAAACGAGATTTTATCATCCGAGGAGAATATTTTCGGAAATTAGGGAGATGGTTTGAAGTCATTATAACATTAATCATTATATCAACAGAATGCATTTAACACGATCGCTACATCTTTCAACCCAGAAGAAATACTGCAATGCACCTCAACATAACGCAGGGGAAAGAGAAACACAAAATAATAGGAGAACATAATTCGAAAGTAAAATCAGGATTAGAAAAAGCGACAGCTCGGCCTTAACCAGCACATGACAGCTTCTCCCACAGTATAACTCAACCCCCCCCCCCCCCCCGCAGCCAATGTCAATCCACCACATACAAAACCTCCGTGAGTCCGCCAGAAATTGAAATCGCTAATATCCTGGCGGTATAAACCCCTCTGGCATAGTTTCCACGTTCATCAGCCTCACGTACTGCGTCTCCCCCTGTTCGCCCTGTACCCGTGTCCACCCACTATTAGCCCAATTCCCACCGCCACCTTCCTCCTGCCTCCCATGACCACGGTCACTATACCTATGCTCCAAGCTCCGCCTGTCATTCCACTGCTTCGTCAGCAGCTTATTCATCTCATTCAGCTGTTCCGCCCTCAACATCGCCATTTGGGTTTTCTCCCTCCTCCGCTCCTCCTCACAGTGGGGCTCGCAGAGCCGGTTGTATTGGCACTTCACCTCCTTCACGGCCCTTTTGTATCTTTCATGCTCTGGCGAGAGTTCCTCGTTATGCAAGCGGACGAGGAGGGGATTGAGATAGTTGCAGGCACTGACAAGAGCAATGCGGAGGGCGCGGCTATCGGTGGGGTGTAGTTGTTGAAGCGGAGGCGGGGGATGTTGGTGCTGGGCGAAGTCAGCGCGGGGGGAGGAGCGGCGGCGGCTGGAACTACGACGGTGGGGTGTGTGGTCGTTTTCTGAGGGGTAATGGCGGCGGTTGCTCATGGGGGGTGGTTCTGCTGGGGGGGTCTGGGTATTACAAAAGTGGTTGTGGTTATTGAAGATTAGTATTTGGAATGAGGGATTGCTGTCGAAGCTGGAGATGGTGTGGTGCTCCCGGGGGTGGCGGGGGGTATTTAAAGCCCACAGGTTCCTTGACTGCAGCTGTGTATTGAATATGACTCTTCTTGTGCCAGCACAAAATCCAATTGCTCAATTCAAGTGTCATACTACACACCAATCAAAATCCCTCCATGTGAGAAAGGAAGTCTTGTGTTCTGTGGACAATAGTAAAGAAACTGATAATCTAAGTGGCCAATTGCAAGCTAAAGGTTGTCTTCATGTAGTACAGACCTAGGGGCTAGCTAGGTGAGACATCACGAGATGGAGGAGGTTTGTGAAGTCTGTTACACGAAGGTTTGCAAAGCTTATTTCCTCTCGTGGGTTCGAGTACACGCGGCTTAGTGTGGCCTATAGGTGGGTTGGAAATAGGATGCTTTATTCCATAGGTGTGCGTTTTGTAACGGTTAGGTCTGGAGACATGAGAGGTTGACAATTAGGATATCACAGGACCATTATAGACAACTATGAAAAGCCTATATAGAATTGAGATGTTTCCGTGGATTGCTCAGTTGTTGGCACTCGCCCTGTGATATCCAATCGAAGCGTAAACGCAGAGATGCGACAATGGAGGAACTGAATTCAATTGAGTATCAATTATGGCTTTCCAGATGAGGATACGTGGAGGACTGCGAACCACAGTTCAGATACCTGTTTCCTTTCTGTCTCGTCTGATTTATAAGCAATTAAGTACCTCCTGCTTTGCTAGGTTTGAGCTAAGGTGATTGCCTGGCTGTCACTTTGATCAGTAGTAGAATTGTTGTGAGGTGGAAAAAGCCGCTGTCGTTCGGTAGTTCGGGGTTCATAAGCACGTATAATATTTAATTTTTCTCAGGATCCTTTTGCTTAAGCCTTCTTGAAATACACTACATCTCCTACCTGCGCTTTGGCGGAATCATGTGTTGAGTTCAAGTAGCTTATACTGTGCTATCACTTTAGCCAATTGCGGCCTCTTCAACCCTCTCTTTCCCCCTGTTAGCAGAGTCTAAATTTACTAGCTCTCATGAGTGCAAGATGATAGATTGCGATTACTATGCTTACATTCATTTCCAGCTGTCAAGACGCCCTGTCCTCTAGTGTCAAATTAGGTTTCAACCTGTCAATTATCAAAGTACATGAAGATCATGATCGGTTGCTGTTTTAGCCTGGGACCATTCCAGCATGCACAGTCCAGACGCGCTGGAGAGAAAGGGGTAAACGTACTACTTGAACGATAGAAGCCACATAGGTTTGGAGTCCCTAACTAACGGTTAATTGGCCAATCGAGCAATGAAGAAAGAAGCTTATTCTCGTAGATTGATTCAATGGAACATTGTTCCAAAGGCCAGTTCATATTTGTTTCCTTATCTTTAATTCACATGAATTCGATGCCCATAATCACTCAATAACCATCCCATCCCGCCATCCAATCAATTTCAATCCAATCTAATCCAATCAAACCTATGCAAATCCCCTCCAATGAACTCCGATGAACTCCAGATACCCTCCAAATCCCCTCTAATCAACTCCAGTCAACTCCAACAAACTCCAATCCACCAATCCCCCATGCAATCAAGCCCCAATACACTCCCATCAAACCCCAGCACACCCTCCCCCCTCCAAATGCACCCCCACCTCCTCCTCCCCCGCAAATCGAACACCACAAGCACACACCACGCTTTCCGCATGAATATTGTCCACATGCCTCCTCAGCGTAAACGGCCTCGCAAACACGATCCCACACAGACTACACAGCACCACCCCCTTACTGCGTCCACCCCCATGACGGCGCTTCTTCACCACAGGCTCTCCCGAGTCCTCGTTATCGTTATCGGCAGTTGTGGGAGTGGCAGCAGTAGAGCCAGCAGAGTCGTCGCGCTGGTGCTTCTTGTATGGTCCGCGCGGGTTGCGGTTTTGCTTCTTTTTTGTAGCTAGTAAAGACTGGGTTGTCATCATGGCAGCGGCAGACTCGGCAGCGCCGAGAATAGCAACGGCACCCACATCTCCACCGATCGAGGCGGCCCCAACGTCAACCACAGTATTGTTATCCTTCGCAACACCGCCGTGCACCCACGCCTTCGCCGCCGCAAGCGCAGGCGCTTGCTGTCTCTGTGCGGCCAGAGTGGCAGCACTGACTCTGCGGTGCGGCGGCGGGCAGAAGGGGTAGATTGCGTAGTCCAGAACCTTGTAGAGGTGTGGGTGGGGGACTGGGTGTGCTGCGGACGCTGGGACTGGGAGTGTCGGACGGCTTTGGGCGGGGGGGATGTGGGCTGCGACGATAGCATGGGTTGTGGTAGTAGTAGGAGCAGGGAGGAGTGGCTGTGACTTGTGGTTGTAGAAGACGAGAGGGCCCGACGGACGACGGTCCATTTCTGCGATTTCGTGCAGGAGGAGGTTTCCGAGCTCTGTTTCGGAGACGCTGGCGTGGTCTTGGGCGGTTTGGTCACTGGCTGGGGGAGGGGGTATGGCTGGTGGTGGGGCATGAGAGGTGTTAGTTTGGGTGTTTTGTAGCTTTTTACACAGCCGGCTATGCAAGTGGTGTCATTGTACAGCACAGGAACCAGGGACGAATTCACAGAGGTCTGGGCACAAGACTCGGAGCTTGGCTTATGGGATGAAAGGGAAAGAGAAGAGTGGAAAGGAAAAAACGAACAGTGCTGTGCTCCAGACACAAGCTTATCCAAGTCATTATCGTTAGAACTAGAGGCCCCGCCGCTGCCCTTGGGCTGGCGGGAGTGTTCTAGCACCACTGTTAGTCATTACTGCTGATGGGAGAAAAGATTATAAGACCCTTCGTGAGTCCTGGTCCGGCGGCGAGGGAAGAAACGGTACGGGACTTGTAGGGGCGCCGGGTGGAATTGAGGGGCTTGCTTGGAAGCATCGGAGCTGCATGTTGCTCGGTGTCAGTTCATGAACATGTTGAAGCACAATTGTCAAACAAGAGGGTAGTCGAGCTACCAATGCGAGTGATCTTAGCGGCCGAATTCATCTTGGGTGGTACGAATAATATTCAGTGAATAATAATATCCTGTGGCGAGTAATAATATGCTGTGGTGAATAATAAATATTGTGTGATGAATAATAGTGCTGAGAAAGAAAATGTGGGAAGTGTGGGATGGGAGGAAAACGGGGCATAGAGTCCGATGTGTGCAAAGTGTCTACTGGCGGCCACATCGAGATGAGCAGATAACATTCTTATTTCATAGTGCTGGAATGTCCGGCCGAGGCATAGCATTGCTGATACTGGCCATCCTGGGTGGGTAGAAACCGGGAGTGATGCTCTTCGATTCGCTACTGAGCTTGGCCGGCTTCAAGCGCGCTCGGTGATTTATGGCTTGGGGTTGAATATATGGGAGATGGAACAGTCGGAGCGCTTTGTATTTCAGGAGGAGAACTAGGGTCATGTCGAAAAGGCGAGGGTTATTGGTAGCCGTGATGAGCTACGCTGTAATACATCTTGTAATCGGAGACAGCTTGTTATCACGAGGGCCTAGATTTGTGGGGAATTTACGCAGCTCTTCCTCGGATACTTTCGACCTCTGGAATACGTGCCTCCGGCGTATTCTAGAACCGGTCCGATATAGAGGCAACTGGAGTATCCTGGGTCTCGAGGTGATAGACTTGGTGTAAAGGTAGCCGGAATATTTTTACTAATCCTAACGGAGATGAGGGACGCGGAGTCCGACATGTTGGCTGGATCATGGACTATCACTCGATTTGAGGATTTACCTGGTCGGGGGTTTGTAACCCGGAAACTATGAACGACGGAGCTTTATCTTTGTTGCCAGTGCTACACCGGATATCTCTTGTGAGCTCACAAGAGTAACAGAATTGGCATCAAAATACAGAAATCTGTTTATTTGGCAGTGGTTCCCCGGTGGATTTAGTAGCTATAGGATAAATAATAAAATGGCCGGACTTCGCCCCGCAAGAGAGAAGCCTTTTAGAGCTGAATCTAATCAATTTCTTGATTGGCATTTATAAGATAAAATACTAGATAACTAGACTATATATATATCTGCTTTCAGGTTCAAAACGTATGGCATGAGCGATTACTTCGCAGCTTCCGGAAGACAACCTTGAGTCGAAAGTAGTAATTCTGGACACATAATATCTGGAGATTGTGAGCTCCGGTAGGCATGCTAATGAGGTTGGTCTTGCGTGGGACACCTTTTGTGATCCATTTGCAAATGCTACCCATCACCGGATATATAGGCGAAACACGTACACAATGTGCGTATCTGTGAACACGTGGTAGAAGGAGCTGACCTCATAGGTGGCATGATGATCTGGCCCGAGGTCATACGTATAAATCGAGCTAGCTGGCATGATGAGGTGTCCCGAAGCCACAGATATAGAGGTGTAATATCTTCTAGACTTCTTGATAAACCGAACTACCTCCTCGTTGGGATGAAGTCCCTCTTACGAGCATTGGTCCTTGGAAAAAAGGCCGGCAATGTTCTTCCTGAACAGCCAAATATTGGGAGGAGTCAAGATAGTTTGGGAACGTAGGTTGGTTTCCAAGTAGCGTTCTATACCTTTAAAAGCTACTGGTTAATTACTCGAATATTGCATGTTGATTTGTCGTGATTATTGGTACCTTTGGTGTCATTTAGGTGTTGGGGAATGGCCCGCCAATATCGGGATAGCACCTAGGCCTGACCTGCAAATAATGTATAATGTATCAGCAGCAACATTCTGCACTCCCTGCACCCCTGCACCCCTGCATCCCCGGTATTCTTATAAATACCACACGAATACCACCACACCTCCCTCCCTCCACTTTCATTCCACCACAATAAAGATTCATCCCAACAACCAAATACCTCAACAACCGTTCACAACCAGTTTTTCTTTAAATCTCCACAACAACTATGTCTCACCTCGACCTTTACAACCATATCACGACCGAGACGCCCTCCATCCGGCCCAAGGCCGTTCTCCCAGCCGAACCCGCGGCAGAAACCCCTATGAAAAAGCTCCTCAACCGCCTCTTCACCCTCTCTGTCGGCACCCCTGCTGCACAAGGTCCCCCAACACCAATGGAGCTCGACAGTCCTGTCGCCACCAAGATTACCCCCGTCCTCGCGCGCCTCGCCCTCTCGCCCGAGACCAAGACTCCGACCAGAAAGCTGTTTGGGATGTTCTCGGCGGACACGACCATCAGGGAGAGTTTCAAGAAGGAGAAGGAGCTCGAGAGGATCAAGAGGGAGAGGGAGGAGGCCAGATGCTTCTGTGTGACCTGTAAGGGGGGAAGGTGGGGGGGCATGTACTGCGCTGCAGTGACGGTGGTGGAGTTTATGGATTTTCAGTATGAGAAGGGCAAGGAGGGGAAGGGTGATGGGAATAGGGGCAAGTGTGGGTGTGTGATGTGCAGAGGGGAGTGGAGTGAGGGCGAGGATGAGTGAGAGTGGGTGCGCGGGGACGACGCTTGAGGTTGGCGGAGTGGATTGACAATGGAGGAGAAGAGCTTTTGTTGGTGGCTTTGGGTACTTTGGCGTTTTCTTGTCTGGGATATGTGGATCAGAAGATAGCCACGGTTATTACTTCTTTAAATCGTTGTGTTCTGATAGCCGTGTACGAAGCTTGTAGCATGATCACATGCAATTGAAATTGTAGTTACTTTCTACAATAAATATCACACTGATTTAAATTATAAAATAAATGGGCATTGTCTTGACACATTTTAAAAGTAGATAGTGGAGTATATAATCTGAACATGCAAAGTCCATGTGTGATACGACTTCCGTGCAGTCCGAAGGTTCCATCTGTGGACCGTAAATAGTTGCACCAGCTTGGCCGGGGCATTAGTTGGTAGCAGGATATGACACTTCGGAGGTGGAAAGAAATTATGGACAAATATATGTACTACCAAGAGTGGGTCTATTATTTTTTAAAAAACAAGCTTTTTGCGTTATCTCTCTCGCGTTGTGTATCACGACTCTCTAACCACTAAGGGCCTATGACCCACATACGTCCGCGTCACCCATGCACAAACTCCTCCTCCCAGGCCTATGGCCGAGCTCGCTGCCTCATCGCTAGCTTCCTCAATTCATCGATACCTATACATGCATCTGCGCGTTCAGATAACCTAGAAATGACTCAACCACGTGCACCACTCCCCACATATCCTTCTACCTGAATTTCTTCCGAATTCACAGCCTTAAATTTCTCGGTATTTGTAGATCTAGCTTCTCCGACCTGCGGGAAGTACGTCCTTAGCACATCTGCACATACCCGCCGCTCCCTGGGGAAATTCGATCACCGATCGGCAACGATCCTCAATTCATCCAAGCGATGAGATTTAACTAGAGTTTGAGTAAAAGCAGCCCAAAATTATGATTTCTTTCTATCTTTCACAGGTGTTGCTTGTGTAACGTAATGTATGCCAAGGCCTTGGCGATACGTTGTCCTTCCGAGGTGCATGTACGTACGCGTAGAGAGGGTCGCCTCACGATCTTATTTGTGGTGTCAATTATTCAAGCGCTACTTAAATTCACGTATGTTACTTCGGGAGTCATGATGATTAGAGTGATAACTACCTGCTTTCTTCTTCGCGGTGTGATAGAATCGGTGTGTGGTCGCGTCGTTGCGGCGAGACCGGAGGCCACGTTGTCCAGGCCGCAGTGGAAGCGTTTCTGGACTCTTTGGGGCCGTTCGGATCGATAATACACCGGTTTTTACCCTAAAATTCAGATGTTCTATAGATATTAGATGGTTACGGTAGGATACTTAAGGGTCCGGAGGTCGCTGGAGTCTCCTTCCTCCTGAAAACTTCCCGCCAGAAACCCCCAGAATGCGACAATACCCTTAAGAAGGAAGACGGACTCGAGTCCTTTGGCCATCTGGATAATGCGAAGGATGCAACGCGTATACGAAGGATGATTAGTAATGTCTCGTTGAGTAATGACTATTATTGGCTGAATATTTTACCCGGCAACGAGGTTGACAACAACATCGACTCCAGATCCAGCCATTACGCAACCTGTGAAAATATCATTGAATGGGTATCAGAAAGGTTAGACGCTGTGCTCTACCGGTTTGGGCGGCGAGCGAGGCCCTACGGGACCTCTTAGATCTGCTATTCCGGCTTAGTTGACGAGCCTGGTGTTGGTTGGAATAATTTCTGTTTTGGGTGCGAGAACAATTAGAATAACACTAGGGATCAATCCGAGATGGGCAGGCACGGGTGTCTATGTACCCCAAAGGGTAGTTGATATCAGGATTGGACCTATCGAGTTTCTCTCTCTTAAACTAGCCCGATGAAAATTGTGCCTGCATATATATTGAGCCTCCTCCTCCTGTGGTATAGTCGACAGTAACATATATAAACAGCAGCAAGAGCCAAATAGAGAAATTTATTTTCGTTTATTATCACTGGTCTCCTAGCTCGAGGCTAGTGTGGTCCACGATCGAGGCATTGACGATCGAGGCAATACATCCTACACCTTGAGCTGCTTGAATTTAGGTAAACACAGGATGATTGGTAGATATTTATCCCGTGGGATTGGTGCTTATAATTATACTATCGATGAGAGGTACTCTTGGATTCTGGTGGAGTATAGTAATTATCTGCCCCGAGCTGGCTCGAGCGTCTTCGAACCATTGCCTCTCTCTGCACGAGCAAGCGAAGGCACCGACCATATGGAACAGAGGCGCCTCGAGGCATTTCACTCTTCTTGCCTCCAATAGCACTCTGGAACATACCATTCATGGTAGGGTGGTATGTTCCACGGTCAGTTTTAGGAACGCTGGTGAGAATCAGTGACGAAGATAGTACTTATCGAAGAATCGCAGTGGGCCTAAATGACGGCTTGAAATACGTTCCTCGATGAATCTAACTTTTGTTTTCCTAACTGAGTTTGTGGTCAGTAAGTCACACCTTACAATTGGTCCGAGGTTCCGAAGTGTTGAAGAAACCTACCTATATGTCAACCGGCGGACCGCGACATCACGACTCCTTCCTTCACCCGACTGCACCAGGAGTTTCAATAGCGTGGCAGTCTATCTTTTTGCCGCGCTAACTCCCCCTGCCTTTCCGTGTGTGCGGTGGGGAATGGGTACGGAGAGTCATGTTCCCCACCCCGTACTCTAGCTCGGTCAGTGATCGATATTCGACTCAAGGAGGTGACTGCGTACGGGCGGTGGGCGCTGGGGTCACCGTTTCTGTCTGTTGATTTTGTGTTGTAATTGGTGTTCCCGTACGTTCCCAGAGGGAATTCAGGTTTTCGGAAAAGGATATCTGTCCAAAGGTCGTGGCTGTGACCCCACCTAGCAAGTTGGCAGAGGTATTGTTATTCAGATCCCGGCGGCACGTATGTTGTAGGTGGTTTTAGCTTTTAAACCAAGCATATGTGACATGGGCGACCTATGCCATGTGCCTAAGATCACCCTGCTCTGGTGACTCTCAAACGATGACCACGGTGGTATGAACCCGTAACTACAACGTGTCCACGCCTCTGTTTTATCTAAAAGCAGAGCTCCGAACCCGAACACTTTGCGCCTTAAGGGTATGTATATCCTGCTGGAAATCAACCCAATCTCCCGCTCTTGTGTGGAGAATATTGCCCACTGTCATTTCAGGTCATGAATGAGCTTCTCGTGTTTGAAACCCGGCCTCAAGTGCGACCACCGCTCACGGCCATAAGCAACAAAAATATCAACCCACCACCCCACCCTCACGAATCAGCGTAAACTACATTCGTCTTCAGTTCCTTTGTGTAGTTGTACCGAGGACGTCCAACCGCTGATATCGATATGAAGTAGTCTGTGTGTGCTGATGGTAGGGGTGAGCAGAGTAAGGAGAGGTGCGGAGTAGTCTTTAAGGGGACCTATGTCCTTCCACCTCTATAATCATCGCAAACACCTCTCCGGAAACACCGTTCACTATCCTGCCGGGGGGTAACATTCGTGCGCATTGACTCAGCGACCAGCTCTCCGCCGCGGAGTGTTCGACCCCGACCACCTTGTATCCATCTTCGTCAGCTTTTGGAGTGGGTTCGGTTGTCGTACGGTAGGTTGTGATCCATCGCGGGAGAGATATCGAACTTCGTCTCTACTATGTACAACCTCTATCCCTAGTTAACGCGCCGCGGGCCTTACGAGCGATAATATTGTACCAATCCTATCGCCCCTTTTTCCATCGGACTCATTCTGTCCGTCTATCCGAAGATGGAAATCTCGCCTGTAGTAAGAGAAGATTTGAAGGACGGAAAGAGGCGGACAGCACCGACACAGACTCAACCCTCTGATCAACAGCAAACACACTTCGCCACATGGTTCACTTCCATGAATCGGGTCCCATAGCCTTCCATCAACCGTACCTACGACGCTCCGCATGTGGAATTCATGAGGTTCCCAGAGAAATATGCGCAAAAATTTAGTTGGAACAATAAACAAACTGAAAACCAGCGGACAGCTTATATTCTACCAAGGGTCGCCAATGCAGCTCTGGCTTGTGGAAACCACGCCTTGGTTAGACATTTCGCATGTTAAGTGAATTGCGACCAAGATCTAGGAAACCTGGAGGTGACCTAGGCACATACGAGTCTGATCAGTAGGATCACCTCCTCTTGTCAGTTGTAGAAGGATCATGCACCCGCGGCCGTCCGCTTAGGTCTCAACGTATTCGGGACACCATTATCAAGTTTATGAGATATAAACTGTTTGTAGATGGACGAAACAACCCGCATGAGGAATTAAAGCTCGCACGCTCCTGTTAACTAGAAAAAGGAGAGAAGGCGGAAACTGCTGGAGGTACGAAACTTGGTTCTCGATAATACTCCCTTCCCGGTTGAGCCTCATTGGAATAATGGGACCCAACACTCTATTAGCAGAGTTCGCTGCTGTGATATATTCGTTTCCACACAACACCACGCGAACCTTAGGAAGTACACACGTCGATTCAGAAATCTAAAAATGGTCGGATATAATCCTGAAGAGAACACAATGCGAGCAAGGACCGGCGAGAGTACGCAAGCTGAGCTTGGCGCCGGCTAGCCGAGAAAGTGCTGAACTGGAAGGGCGGGTCTGGGATGCCATTCAAGTTTGAAATTTTGAACACGAAATGGATGGAGAATTCTCTTCCAGCTTATCTTATCAGGGGAGGATAGAGAGGGGGTACGATTGGAGAAAGAGTGGAGGAGAAAACACACCGCCGCGATCATTGGCACACGGTTGTTGCTGCCAAGCTTTGGTGGATTGAGCCTCATTATTGCAGCAAGGGTTATATGAGCCGGCTGCCGAACTGCAATGATAGTTTGATTCAGTTCTCACAGGTGTAAACTTGCAATTATCCATGTCTTTATCTTACAAAAACCATATATATATAGTAAAATACAAAGTGACTGACAGACTCCCCGCCAATAACCAATTGATCAGAATAGTTTTCACTTCTATTTATATTTTACCAGCCTATGAAGGAGAGTGAAATGATCAATGTACGAATAGGGATATTTGACATCGAGATTATTACAAGAATATATATGCCTATCCGCTTCCCCGAGGAGTCTTCCGGTACGTGTGTAGTAATTACACCATGGTCAGCGCTATTTATTTCAGGTTCAACTACGCGTGGTTAAGTTTTGAAATCATGTACCAACTCTGAGAACTAATATATATACTAGGTTCTCTGATCTAGTATATCATGGCTCGTCGCCCCTTAGATCCGCTTTGGTTTATTTCTATTTGTAATACATACACCGGCACACATGTACAGAAAGAAGAAGAAAATCGCTGTTCAAACGCGTCGAAGTTTTAAAAAGACACCACCCCGCACCTCGGAACCAATGTTCCCCGGGGCTGATCCATCCACTGCAAAAGTAGTGATAACAGTACCTGAGCATATGCAGTTATTTATTTACTTACCGTGTACTAATGAAAAGCAATTATTAGTTCCTTGCGCTAGCGAAATTCGCTGTTGTGCTAAGCGATTTCCGAAGCAATTAGTAATGCAGGCGATCAAGCTAGCCACCAATCTAACAACTGAGCTAACCTTATTAACAACTATAATAATATCTTGGCATCATCGAAAAAGTCGTTAAGCAAAACGATTCCTAGCAGTGGGATAATTCTAGCGTATGCTCTAAGATTTTTGAGATGCCCTCATCTTATGAGACAAAACTTCCATGGCATTTAGGGTGATGGGATTCAGGGTTAGGGTTCATGTGCATTGTTGTAAACATTCAGCATATAAATGTCATAGTTGTTACTGTTAAGTCGTGGCATTCAATTAGGGAAAGATTATTGTTTTTGAGTACTTCTCTTTGTTGAGTATTCTGTTGATCGAAGAATGTGTCATGGTTTCCCGTACGAATATGGTGATCCCAGCGGGTGTTTGGAGCTGCTGTTCCTTTCGCACATCAGTATCTGCTATACATTTTCCCTGCGTTTTTTTTTTATTCCTTTCTAAGAAAGAAACATGAGTCTAAATAAACGCTGGAATCGGATGTCATAATCATTAAGCGTCTGTTTCGTTGTGTAATAAAATGGAGTTTTGGTGGGTAATTTCTTTTTTTTGCATAACTCCATTTGTACGAGAATTTTTCTTTTTTGGTGTTCGGGCCGGTGCCAATCTATAATGGAGTGAAGCGAAAACTCCACCAAATTTGCAACCCGAACTCGGTTTGTGCTTGCCCAACGGAGCAGTTGCCAAACGGAGTTTGGAAACGTCAAAATATCCGAACTAGTCCCAAATAAAGAGTGCGCAAAAAGCAACCTTTGCTTGAGATATATCTTGGTGGTCCATCATCCATTCTCGAGCGACAATATTCAAACTACGCCGTCTCAATCATGAACGATCGCCCGTTCTGCTGGATCTCCACTTCAGGCTCGGGCTTTTCTGGTATCTTGGAATCTAATTTTAAAGGTCCCTTTAGCGGACTAACGATGACGTCTTCTATCGCGGCGAGAATCTCCGACTATGACGAAAGGCTTACAATATTAATTTGCGGTTAGAATATATATAACGAGGAAGGTAGCGAGCGCAAGTCTTCGGACCGGCTACTAGTAATACTATCACGTGAAATCGAGACATACACAATTTTTTTAACATCTCACCTAGTGCCAAATATACGCTCATCGCGCAACAGAAAATTATACAATGACGACCTACCAGTGCTCCCCTATATTGTTACCCCCAACTCTTATCCCAACCCACATACACCATACATTCTCGAGTCTCTTTATGCTAGACTATTTTTCAGTAAGTCAATATACCAGCTGACAATGTCTCGTGTTTCGTATCCTATTGCTAACCTCGTATTACAGTTTATGGCAACCGAGATAAGGAGCGGCATAAAAACCAAAACTTTATCCAAGTCTCGGAACCGTCTCACGTCGCTCCCAAATGAGCTTCTCCTGGAAATTGCGAAGAACCTTGATCGCACAGACCTGTCGCGATTGCTACAGGTTAACCACCACGCTTCTGATGTACTCACACAAATCTTTTACGATGATGTTGTCCAAGAGCCTGCTGGATACAAGCCCTATCTTGAAATAACATACAAGATATTCACCCATTCTGTGACTACGGGTATGCTCGCACCAATGGTGAATCTTCTTGTCCGGAATGTGACTCTTCCACCTCCGATCATCAAAGAGGCAATTCGAAGCGGCCACATGAACATTCTGAGTACCATGCTGCTCCATGATGAGCCTGCCGTCCGAGGAACGATCACGGAAGAATATGAAATAAATTCTGGCGACGAGTACCCTCTCACAACCGCCGTAATTACTGGACGAATTGAGGTGTTCCGCTTTGTTTTGCGTTTCCTCAATATCGGGCATCGCAGCATCCTGCCAGCCACCCAAGAAGCGATATCCCGAAACCGAATCGCTACTGTCTTTAGGCTCATGCGCCTTCTCTCGGATGAACAACTATCCCTCGCATTCCACTACGCCTGTAATGCCAACAGCCCCGGGATCGCCCGTCAGCTCATCGCACAATTACCGACTGCTAAACGGCCAGAAACTGCAACGAAGGGAGTATCAGCGGCAATCCGCGGCGGGCAGCCATACGTACTAAGATGTTTGATTGCGCTTGGCGCGGACCTCCACGTTTCCGCCGGACTCGATCCGGACTCTGGGTGGAGAGAGTATGCGGAGGAGACGGGGAACCACCTCCATTGGCTTACTAGTCAAGGAGTACTTGAATGGCGGAATAGGCCTGATCAGCTGCTGGGAATCTATCAGGTCCTCCTCACCTCGGGCCTGGATATCAACGAAACCAACTCCTATAACGATACAATTCTTATGACCCTGGCAAGAAACGGACCTAGGAGTATCGACCGATCTGACAGGCCTCCGTATAGGCAGATGGTGGAGGTGTATGTCTTGTTCCACAGGTTGCTGAGGTTGATTCTTTCGATACCTGGTGTCGATGTGAACGTGAGAGATATCACTGGAGAAACAGCATTCGGCGTGGCGGTTCGTCAGCGGGAGTATCAGATGCAAGACCTGTTGATCCGTCATGGGGCAGACACTTCTCTCTGCGTTAGGAAATAGTTAGATGATTGAGAGCGGGCTTTTTCAGTCAAAATAATTATCAAATCTTTATCTCGTTCCTTATATACTTCTTTATTGACTTGTATCTCTTCCAATTTGCGAAACCGTAAAATCATTTATCCGGTAAACGCAGGGGATGAAGTCTTCAGAGCTACCAACAGGGAGACCTCGAGACACATAGTTTTCAAGACAGTATTTCATGAGTTCTCCAGTTCTCGGACCATCAGGCAATCCGAATTTGCCTTAAAATATAGCTGTCCTAGATAGGACCATTCGTAAGCCTTTTCGCCGAAGGATCCGGCTATGGACCTGGCGATACCGACTTCGGTTGCTCCCGGCTTGGGGATAACGGAACTAGCCATGACGGTGTTCCCGATGGTGTTCAGACATATAATAGAAGAAGCGGAGCCCTCGTCTTATATACCTTTTCTCATCCTCAGGCCACGCCATCCTTCTGATATTTGGCCGGTTGCCATGTAACAAGTAATCTAGGCCAATTCGAGTCGCGATGACGCAGGCACGAGTGAAGCTAGTCCAGCTAAAGTAACTAGTATATTATTGACTCCGAGCGCGTAGTTCCCAGCATTATGCAACGATGTTGTTATATACACCTTGTGGTGCATCTAGTTAGGCCGCCCCACGATAACTCGCGATGCTAGTAATAATCGGAGATGGGCGAGTAATTTTGGGCTTGCGAGACATATCCATTGTGGTCTAGACTGCTCTATAGCGGCCGCGGAGGTCTTCGACAAATCAGGGTCTATTATGTTCAAAAGGGGTGTTCGTATGTGTGAAAGTCCATGATATATTTTCTATCGGGTATATTGGCTATTTATTTATAGTAACGAAAAACAGAAGAAACAAATGACTTCACTCTATTCCTTCTCTTCCATATTGAACCCATAGACCACTAGTAACTAGAGAGCGTTCTAGAAAGTGAAATAAAGTGAGACAAATAGTTTCACTAGTGAAATTATTGAAAGAAATATTTAACGGGAAAATTGCTTTATAAGGGAATAAAGAAAACGAAAAATAAGGAATAAAGAAAAACTTTGCGTTGATGATTAGTCAACTTTTTACTGTCGGGAAGATGTTTCTGTGGGGTTGAATGGTTCCGGGCAGGGGTAGCGATGTGGCTGATAGGGTTAGGGTTGGCCAATTAATTGTCGCGGGATACCAGACAGCATGCAAGGGTCTGCACTACATATCTAATGCTACGAAACGAAACGCAAAACTAACCAAATTTTTTTTCCGTTCTATAAGAATATTGGGGATCTGTATAATATGATTATAAACTGTATCACTTGCGACATAACCGAAGATACTACAGTGGAGTCTCGATAGTAGCATATGGTCGGGAACTAGTTTTCGTGTGCTACTAAGTGCCTGCATTTAGCTGTTTGCGCGTTTTTGAAGCCGTGACTGGTATGGAGAGCGTAGGTTGTGAGGTGGTGTTTGTTCTTCTGGGGTGTTCGTATATGGTTACCCCTTATTGTGGAAAAGGTGGAGCGAACGCGCTGCCGGATATCAGTATAACGACGGAGAGAAAGACAAGGAGCGGATAAAGGACGAAGGAATAAGTAAAGATGTAGGTGCATATGAGGGCCGTGAGAAATCCTATAAAACACTCAGTGCCTCGCTCGCTACTAAACGATGGAGCAAGAGATTAAGCAGGATAAGAGAATTCAAATACTTGCCTTCACCTGTCGGTCCCTATTTCTTCTATTTAACTCTCAGCACATGGTACGTAAAATGTACAAATCTGTAATTCGACTTTTTAATACTTTATTTAACTATCTCAGAACCAATCCCCCGCTCTATATTCTTCTATAGGATAAGCTCTACGCTTCTATTTCCTCTCTGGCCTTTTCCTTACAGCACCTCAGTATATTGCCAAATAGCGCTAGTGTCGTCCCTCCTGTCTCAGCTGCCTCATCGAAATCACAATAAATATTGTCCAAAAAGTCTATCCACTTATAACTACATCCCTCTACTAGAGCGCTAAGATCCGTAGTGACATCAGCTCCAGAAGGGTCAAGCGAGAGTTTTAGATGAGGGTTATGAAGCTCCGCCGAGATGTCGCGTATCGCAGACTTGAGATGAACATCGATCTCTTTTAAGACGCTGACAATTTTTAAGAAGTTCTTTGTCGTGTGACGGAGCTCTTCTCTCATCTCAATAAAGTCCTTCTGGAGGGATATGTAATCAGGAAGAGGGTGGAGTTCGGTCATGTCTCAGGGGAAGATGGAGATTGTATCGCTCGGTCCGCAGCCTTATATATAGCTTTCGGGAGTGTGAGCGATGGAGGGTTATACACAAATCCGGAGAAGGATCAGTAGTTTATATATCTTCTTTAATATTTAAATTACCTTTTTATTGCTATGACGGTCCGTTAGCGACCGACCACGAAGGACCTGACCTCTTCGAGGATCTTGGAGACACATAATCCAGACTTTTCGAGCCCACTCCCATCGTTTCCATGATGTTCCCGGAGATTCAGGAATACTTTCTCGCCAGTTTTGAAAACGATGATACTGAGATAAAGAGCACGCTGGAACTGGTATTCGGAAAAAGCTTCTATTCGCATCGCTCTCACGCTTTACTTATCTCTAAATAACGAAGTCACTAATACTGCTACCAGCCAGTCACAAAATCCCCTTACTACTCACACGCGCACTCTCATTCGCCCAGCTTCTCCTCCGGATACATTCGAAACCCCCAATATATCACGGTTACTCTAACCACCATCCTGACATTCCCGCTCTCACCTCCATACTTTCGAACTCGTTCTCAAGCTCCTCCACCATATCATCAATCCTCTTAATCTCCGCCCATATTTCCTCCATAACAGACCTCAATATTGTAATCTCCCATACCAGTTCGAGGTCAGAACCGCCAAACTCAATCGCAGTCTTGATGTCAAAGCCATCGAGGTCGGCAATTGGATTGTTGTGGAGCGCCGTTTCGAGCTGGAACTGCAACTGCTCGAGGTCTTCATGGGCCTTGAAGTAGGTGTTGAATAGTACTTCGAGCTCGCTTTTGAGGCAGAGCAGCTCACTTTGGCAGGAGGTCTGTGGAGTTTGGGTGTCGGACATGTTGAGTTATGGTATGTTTTCTGGGTGCTTGTAGCTTGTGTATAATCGGTGATGAATGTGGTTTTCAGTGTGGAGGTTGAGAAGATTGCTCTCCTGTGGGATTGATATAGGTACACTATGAGAGAGCTTGTGATTTATATAGCATCGGCTGATTTCACGTATGCACAGAAGCTTGCTTGATAAATATTTCCAGGAGGGTGCGGTAATGGGCCAAGAAAAATCTGCTTTCATGATAATTGCAAGCAGCATAAATCAACACCTTGAAGTCATCTTGACATGAATTATCTCGGAAGTAGCAGTTAAATTTGTGAACTTTCAAGATCACAGCTACGTGGATCATCCAATCCTGTATCAATTCCTCTACGCTTTTTTGCCGGAGGTTTAAGGATTGGTAGTAATATCATGGCAGTTGGTGTTAGAGTAGGGAAAGCCGGTGCACACGAGTTTGACGTGACTGAAACTCTGTATATTCTATGCCACGTTCACCGAGTAAAACAGTGAGAACTGGGAATCGATTTGTTCACCGCCGGGTTTCAAGATACGCGACTCCCTCATGTAGCATTCAAAGTAGGTTCCAGAACCTCGCTGCTTATGATGCCGCACTCAAGAGTATTCCACACAGATTTTGAAACCTTCTCTCTCCCCCGGTACAAAAGGAAACCGGCATCACGATCCCACCACCCAACAGCACTAACATTCTCAGATTCTATACCCACAGCTACGAGACCACAATAACAAGAACAACCCCCTCCACACACACATACACTACCACGCAAAATGAAACTGCCCCCCCAGCACTACGCCAGCCATATCGGCCGCAACCTCCGCACTCTCTCGACCACCCTCCACCGTGTCAACACCGGCCTTGACACCATCCGCGTCCGCATCCACCTGCTTGGCTACACCGAGCTTCATGCCCACCTCTCCAGTGGCCGAGCGCCGGAACATATCCATATCACTCCCGACAATGCGCGGGAAATGTACGAGGGCCTCCGTGGGACTCAAGACATGCTCGCGATAGACAGCAGCGACCTCAGCGCCTGCTGCGAGAGTTTAAATGGTGTTCGCGGAGTGCTGGAAGCACTTATTGCGCCTCGGCGGGGCCGAGATTCTGTGGAGGGGGGTGAAGAGGAGGGGGGAATCTCGTGGCCGGGGCTTGAAGACTCGATTGCAGACCATGAGAGGATTCTCCGGAATCAGGGGATGAAGTATCAGGAGCACTTGAGGATCATGATGGTTACGCAAGAGGTGATGGGCACAGGTGCAGCGACTGAGGATGAGCTGAAGGTGGCGAGTGAGTTGTGTACGGAATTTATGAACCTGGCAGAGAGGTATCTGTGGTCGTTGAAGGACTTTCGGGCCTGCTGTGATGTGGTTGCGGATGTGAAGATGTGGTTGGAGGATCTTGAAAGGTGGAGGCGGGGTTGAGGAGAGTGAGTGATGAGAGGGAATAGATTAGTATTTCGTTAGGTGCTAGGGATATTTAAGGTTACAGTTTTCGATATTTGCTTATGGCTAACTCGTCAAGTTTTTCCGGTTGTGAGAATGAAGGGATAATGGAATAGAATTAGTTTAGAAGAATAACACAAGCGGAAATGGATAGAAAACGAAGGATAGAAATAGAAAGGAAACCTACTTAAGCCCAAGAAACTAGCGGAAAAGGAAGGAAACGACAGGGGATCAAACCGACTAAAATAGAGACGAAACAGCCGACATCGATAGAACTGGGAGATTCAATGAAAACCAATACGGAATCAACTATCGGCGTTGGAAATGATAATTACACAGCATTCTGAGTTTACGCCTCAGGCTGGTTAGTCTCCGCTCCCGTGCGTAATAAATTGATCCAGATGTGTTTAGCGGGTAAAAGACTATTATTCGGCTGCAGATGTTGGTTAGCGAGCTAGGTTAAAAGTAGATTTGTTAGCCGAGCGGCTCCTACATTGCGCCGTAGCCGATTGCGTATCCTTCAGACTAACCCACGTATATTGAGGAATGTGGATATACTCGTAGCGTTTTTACGTTTCCGAGCTGGACTGGGTCTGCATGCCACCAAAATCTGGTTGTCAAGCACTATTTACGCCCATATGCCGACCAGTCCAGTTCGGAAACTTAAAAAAACTACGAGTATGGTGCCCCAAGTAATTTCCGAGAGATATGGTATCACGTGGCCTTACATCGCCTGCGGGTGTACTATATCTGGTACCGGTGGCAGGTACACAGGAGGAGGATATCTGGTACCCGTGACTCATTATACCCCCTCGCAGTATACCTCAACCCGTGCGCAGTGACACGGCCCGGGGCCGTAAGAACCGCAACGCCCGCCCGACACACAGCTACAGACCATCAAAAATATATCCACACTTGGAGATAACTCTCGTTCAGGACAAGACCTATCACATATACGAGCCCAATCCCACCCCGTACGTTATACCCCCGAGTCAATCCTTTTAAACCCCCCGAGATCATACCCTTGAATGTTGTTACATCTGATGATTTAGTCATCATTCCCGTGTAAAAAGTTCTAATACTAACGGATAATCCCGATAGAGCATTTTCAGTACGTGCGATTATCGGATATGTCGACCCTCAATGAACGTAAGCGAATTAAGACAGTCTATACTGCCCGACTCTCTGGACATTTCTCGAAGCATACAGGCTCACGGTATTTAGAACTCGTTAATCGAATGAACCCTTCCGACGACATGTTGATGGCGCTCAGAAGGTTTGGGGAGCGGGCAATTGACATGCGTTTGATGTCCGAGGGCGACGAAGCCTATGCAGCTTGGGTGGTGGTTTCCAACGGGCTTCCCGAGCTCCTGCGTCAGTTGAGACCCTTTGCCCCAACTGGGCCTATCAGTGTGGTCACCGCACTCCGGTCTGCTATCGTACTCCAGGAAGAAGATCTCATTCGGGGGTTGATTCCCCACGTCGAAGACGTCGACCTTCTTGACGCTCTCTGGTGCTCTATTGAGTCCGAGGATGCAAAGATGACTTCCGCCTTCCTTCCGAATCTCCCGGCACATCTCCAGGCTGAAGCCGCAACCACCTGTCTCGAACAAGTAGTTACCACGGGAAGGACTGACCTCCTTCAACTACTCATTACCGGAGGAGCGGATCTGGACAAGATAACGACCGAATGCGGGTGTGCTAAAAACAAGGAAACATGCTTACATTGGCTAGCATCGTGCGGACTCTGGACCAGATTTTTTCGCGAGACTCTGCTCCCAATAGTCAAGATGTTCTGTGACGCCGGCGCAAATCTCAACATGAAAGACAATAAGGGGCGCACGGCTTTGCATTACTTCGCCATCAATGGTGCTCGTACGGTCAAGCCGCTTCTAAGACCTGCCGACTTCACCACCGACGGGATCGCTTGGGTATACGAATCTGTCCTCCAGACACTTATTGACGCAGGTGCAGATGTCAATGCGCAGGATACAGACGGGAACACGCCTCTACATCTTGCTGCGATTCATGGCGAGGAGATCATGGTCAATCTCCTCCTCAAAGCGGCGGTCAACGCGCTAATTAAGGACAACGACGGGAACACCGCGAGCACAATCGCGACCTTGAGCATGCAGTACGTGGTGCGCAAGTACGAGAGAGCTCAAGCAAAGAAGCTGGAGGTAGTCAAGGAGTTGGAGTCTGCAAAGCAGCTCGAGGCAGCGGAAGAGATGGAGGCAGCTGAGAAAAGGAAATTCATCAAGGAATGGGAGGATGCGTTTTAAAGACAGGATCGACGTTCTCTATACCTTACCTACATTCCTTAGCCCCTTTAGTTGATCGATTGATTGATTAGGTCAATAAGTTAGTTCCTTCAATTGATTAACCGTGCATCAGAATAGGAACTCGAAGGGTCCAGAAATTAGAATATTAATGACCCTTCAGTTAATTAATTGACCGTCTCACGATGAACCAATGCTTTGTTACCATTACCTTCCGGCCCCATAAGGATTATACCTCCGAAAGCATATATGGGTATATACCAGAAATACCAGGTTATATCATTATTAGTATTTCAAACAGTCTAGAATTATAACAGGTTTAAGATTTCTCTTCCTCATACGTTTCTATCGTAGTGCTTTTATTCAAATTATATCTTGAGATTTATGTATCTAACCTGCTCTAATCCTAACCATACCTACATCCTTCGAACTCCTTTCACTCCGCATGGAGACTAGCCTCGCGACGCCACCAAAAATATCACTTCTCAATAAAATTAAGGACACGGCAATTAAAGTTTGGTTTCTAGGTTGACCAAACTAGCTAGTCAGCGTGTTGTGTAACGAGGGAGTGCTGTGCCGCTAGAGCGTCATGGAATATCACTCGCTTTCTCCAATGATACTCAGTGACCTTGCAATTTCTCCTTCGCCTAATTCACTAATTAGTAACTTTGCACGGTAACCGAGCACAGGTCAAAAGCCTAAGGGTACACGTAGTTATAGAGGGTGATAGGGATGAATAGCAGGATCTGACTAGACTATGCCCATACCAGTGTACTTTGCATTATTTAACAGGATTGCCAAGTCTTTATCCTGTGGGATGAGAGGGATGGGAAAAAGGGCTTTTATTAAAGAGCAATTCAAGCAGGAGGGGAAACGATCATCAAGACGACTCATTTCGTCCGGCTGCTATTAGAACCTCAAGATTCGAACGCGCTCGGAGCTCCCGATGTGGATTTCATAGGCACTCCGATATATCGATAGGAACGGTTCTTAGTGCAGATTTTGATGTTATGAGGGGGCGTTGTTACGGTGGCAAAACCTCTTTGAAAATTAGTTTCTCGGGAGAAGGCCATGATATTCATATGGAGCAAACCTCTTTGTTTTGAAGGAGCATGTGCTTTGTTAAACAAGGATACTGAGGTTTCTGAAGGAGAAGCTGTTGTCTCTTCCGTGGATAAGTTCCTTTGTTCCTGTATATATCCGTAGCTTAGGGGGAGCTATCTGTGTATATAAATAAAGTTTTTTGTTTCTGCGCTGTACATATGCTTGTTTAGACGTCAGTTATCGGTGCGGGATGCACCAAAGAAAATGAAGAGGATTATTTTCTCTCTCATGATGATTGTATAAATCTCCTAATACACGCACATATTGTGTTTTCCTTCTATAGAGCGCAAGAGTTATTACTGCACCGTATATAAACGATAAGAATTATGGTATAGTTAAGCAAGTCAAACCTACTGTACCGGGCAAATGCAAAGCGACAGTTGGTTTTGGCTGACACCCTTCCTTAATGCCACTCGTCCCGAGAAAGCGACAATTGTCCAAGATACACCTAAATTGGAAAGGATCCGTCATATTTGAGACAAGTATTTTTATTAACTGTGGCCGAAAAGAATCTTCTTAGGGAGAAAATGCAAAGGATTACTATTTATAGAGTTTTTTTGGAGTATTTACTGCCAGTTCTAAGGCGACCGTGACATCTGTTGTCGCTTTGCAATTGCCCGGTACAGTAATGGAAATCAGTCATTTCGATCCGCGGCTGGAGCTAGCTGGTAAAGATGGTTCAATGCATTGATGAAGATCACCTGACATTTCCCCGACGAATCTTACTCTCTTAGCGATATTGAGGGCCGCTTCGGTGCCTACTCATTTCCATGTAAGGTGCAAAACCTCTTTTCAGTGTCAGGTGCGCTTTGCTAAAGCTGCATAGATATTAGTAGGGTCGCTCACTTCCACTACCCCCAAATGTTCTCTCATCTCGAACTCTCAATCACCAGCTCAAAGAAAGCTCCCGAAGCATATACTCTTTGATAACTTCGCATCACCTCTATCGAACACAACATTCCGAAATGAGTTGTAACTGGGATACTTCGCTCGATATGTTTGTTACATTCAAATTAATGCATTCTAACATGAGAAGAGTACTAATCGTATATGAAAGGGTTATGCACTGGTTTACCCCAGAGCTGGCTGCAACTCTTGACATTTGTCCACCAACAACCTATGTCATCCAGGAAGAACCGGAGTTTCAGCGTTTGTTTCTCCCACTCTCCACCTCATGATGAACATGTTTAATACTTGTGGCCGGGTTTGTATATGTAATTTTGCTGACTTTATAATAGGTCCACCGTTGCCCTACAATCCGTTCGACCATATCCCTGTGGAGATCATCCGCCATATTGGGGAGATTTCGGAAGATCCAGACGCAGTTGCTGCACTCGCCCTTTCTAACCACGACCTCGAATCCATTTTGGAGGGGTCCAGTGACCCTGGAGCGACGGCATATGCAGCAATTTGCAGCCTCGAGCGGAACCTTGTCCAACGTACACTACGGAAACGGGGCGGTCACGCCATCCGAACTGGATTGACAAGGTATGTGAATGATGTCTATGCCTTAGACGTAATCGCGCAGCACAATCGTCGCGATCTCTTGTCGATCGTCGAGCCCTATATTACATATGGAGACCCCGGCACTCACGCTGCGGTGATCACCGCCGTCGAACGCGGACACCACAACCTCGTCCGACGCCTCATGCCACACCTGTCAGATGATTCTATCATCCAGGCATTTGGGGAAACATGCACCGCCGGCGATTCCTCAGTAGTGAACTCCCTAATCTACCATGTCCCTACCCGCCTCTGGAGAAAGGTCTGCTCTTTAAACCTTGAGTCCGCGGTAACCAGCGCCAGAATCGAGCTAGTTCGTGTCCTGATCGCAGCAGGCGCCGACCTAGATACGATTATGGTATCCGAGCAGGACGAATCCGATCAAAGCACCTGCCTCCACTGGCTGGCGATATACGGCCTAGGGACCAATGAGATCCACCACTCTGTCGGCCCACTTGTTCGGATGTTTTGCGAAGATGGGGCGAATGTCAACGCCCTGGATTCTAAAGGTCGCTCCTCGCTTCATTATTTTGCACTTGGCGGATCGAGAGCAGTAGGCCTCTTCGAGCAGTTCCCTGACGACTTTACGAACCAGAGACTCGGCTTGGTGTATGAGGTTGCTTTAAAGGATATCATTAAAGCCGGTGCCAAGATCGATCAACAGGATGAGTTCGGAAAGACTCCTCTCCACCTCGCGGTGGAGAACCGGGAGTCTGTTATGATCAAAGTCCTAATGGAGGCTGGAGTCAATGCTTTGATCCGCGACCACGAAGGAATTAGAGCAAGCAGAGCCAATGAGACCGCCCATATTACTCCCCATACGATCGAATACCAAGTCCTGATGCTTGAGATGAAGCAGGAGATGTTAGCTAAAATTCAGGAATCAGCAGTTCTCTGAGAATTGCTGTGGGGATAGGGTTGCCGTTGGAAAACATTTACTTTGTCACTTTTCTTTTGTCGGGAGTTCTCTCCCCCCCTGTCGAAAATGATTATTGTAACTTATTTCACAAAGCTTATCAAGAAGTGAAACATCTCTACTGCAGTTAAATTAGAAAACAACGTTATCACTATAGTTGCCTGAAATTAACAAGGTCTTTCCCTATCCTCTTGTCCGAACTCTACAAGATTATATCGTAAATATCTTTAATTTGTGCTTTTCTTTACTTACGCTATGGTCATTTAAATCTGAGCGATAGAAACTCGTGTAAGCAGGTAGTGTACTATGATCCGCGAGGCTCTGGGTAGTAATGTGATCATCCACGCTTATCTCGACATTTGTAGGCATGAGTAGGGCTTGTAGCATGGAAAGTTTGCAAACATAAATCAAATAATTTTTCTGATCTTTCTCTTTGCGAACCTGATCGCGGTCTAATCATGCAAATGAAGGCTTATATATATGTACATCATCTAATCTCCGAACGTGTTCGCTTCCGTCCTACTCGCGTACCTGGTTTACTTTTTCAGGACAATTTACTTATCTCTCCTGGATGAAAGAAAGCTAAGTTTGAGATTCTAACAAATTTTCTTCTTATTTTTACTCACAATCGGCTCCATCCACATCCCTGGTAGAGTACAACCACCTCCGAGCTATTCGCGCTAGCTAAGGGTTAGGGTTGGGTAAAAAAAAATTTCGGGGGGGGGCGTTCGAGTCCCGTCTCTAGCATGCACATCCATACTAAAATGAACATTTAGAGTTACGAAAGACGACTTAGAGCGGGATACGAACGTCCACAAAGAAAATCCAAACTTAATTTACAGTCTATGATATTTGTCACGACTAATCTCTGTAGTACACCACCAATGTTCGATTAGTGTACCCCCGCCGTCTCTAGCTCTGGGCCATCGATCGCGGTATCGAAAGATATTTCCAAGCTTTAATTGGAGGGGCTACTAGTCTTTCTTTCCTCTGAGTACGACGGACTATCGGTTTGACCGCTGCCATCTTGGGACCTCGGCATCGAAAGATTTATTCGCACCGATCGAAGGTGATACTGTGGGGCCCAGGCGTGGGTTATTTAGCATCAGAAAGTGAAAGCGTATACAGAGCAAGTGGAAGATCGTCTCTGGTCAGTCTGCGATGGAACAATATGGGTAGCCAGAATCATAGAGTATCACTCGGTTATTTTCTCGAATACCACAAAGAATTTGATAAATATATTTAGACTCAAAGAATAGGGGGGGAATAGGCTATACTAGCAACGTAAATGAATCAATTGATGCATTGCCCATTAAAGCGAATTGAGTAATTGAATCAATTGATTCATTTACCGGGGACGCCGTTAGTAAATGACACAGGTGATCCATTTACTGCACCAAGTGATGTATTTACAGAGTGACATTTCGTAATAGATGAAAGTATGATTTTCTTTGCACATTCCCACTATATTCCGGTTCTCTATGCATAAACCCATAATTATTCTGTGTTATTTGGCGCAAGTGATATAGTCTACCAAGTGTTTCTGGAGCTTCTGGGTTCAACTCTCACTGCTAGCAATTATTTTTGCTGTTCTTTGGCAAACAAATAATTGACCGCCTAGAAAGTCCTTTTCGAGACTAGCTCGGTCTTTAATGTGTAAACAAAAGGGACATATTGAACTAAGGGATTCGTTTACTGATCCGTTTACACATAGTAAATTTATGACATTTACTTGCGTCGTCATGATTCATTTACAGGATTAATTTACTGATTCGTTTACTTGCGCGGTAGAGAGGTGATTTACAGGCAAAGTCAGTTGTCATCACACCGAGATCTCTCTAGCAGGTTCCAAAAATACTCAGTCCTATTTGCCTTGCGTGCACATGCGGTGGACCCGTTCTTGTTATTGGAATTCCGGCGAAAAATACATCTTGTGTACGGGCTCCATGAATGCATACAAGTATGTATCCGAACTTTTATTTGCACATTACTCTTTTTCAACTTGAACACACGCATGGTTATTTTTCACGCCGCCGGCATTGCTCTACCTAGGTCCCGAGCCTTCATATTTTAGGTGTACAGTCGTTTTGACAAAATAACTTTCTCTGTTAGTACTTCATGCCATCCCTTGATATCAACGTTCTTAACCCCCGCCAAACTACATAGACACCTCACTCGCGAGTGGAGAACACGGTATGATCCCATTGTTGAGACCTAGCATAAAGTTGAGTCATATAGATCAAATAGAGGTTAATAGGGATAATGAACACAACTGCGAAGGGAGCATAGATCGCCGAATTAATCCCTGGCCTGACATTAATTATTTCCATCATGAGCGCTTGCAGTGATACGCGTTGAGTCATGTCGTTAGGGTTAGGGTTACTATTCATTCCTTGACAGTTAACGTTTTTCGTTTTTGCAGACACTGGTTACCACATATTGATCACTCATTTGTCCCTTTGCAGGCGGTGCTGTTGCATCCATATATATATCCTTTTCCCACCTTTCTTTCCTTGTGCATTACCGTTGACATTGCGACTTCAAATAGCCATCATTATTATTTTCATTGTTCGGGAGGACGATTTCCTTATCATCTCGTTTAGTTAAGTTCCTACGTTTTTTCTTTATAGATAAAAGAGCTTTTTGTCTTTGTACATATGCGTGCATGTCAGTAGGTAAAGAAACAGGGTGACAGGAAACCGCACCATTCCATCGGAGGAAAACAAAAGAAATTCATATAAATATCCCTGTATAACACCTATTGATATTCATTACTTCCCTCGTTCCTACGTTCCGGGGTTTTATATTTTAAATCTCATTACTTATGTACTTATGAAACTATGTAATTCAGTGGAGAATTGATCGGAGTGGATCAGCTATATCACCGAATTCCGCCGCACACTCCCGAGACGGATCGGAGGTGTTATAATATAACTGTTCGAGACAAGTCACAGAATTAATTGAGATGGTCTGTTTTACCTCGCCTCATGCCATGTCGCCCTCTCACGGTCTAGGCTTGTACTGGCTGTATGAAATAACATTATTTTATATACCTAGTGTCGTGAGCGCTGTTTGCTGATATCGAAACTATAGTCTCTGTGTTTAATTATATTGTGGTCACTAAGTGGTATGCACGCCCCGAGACATACCTAGAAAACCAGAGTAGATTATGAACTACTGCTAATCATATATCTTCACCAATTTTCCAGCTGCAGTTCGAAAAATCTCATAAGCTATAGATGGATATATCTCAACCACCTAAAGACTCTGCGGATATCGAGTCCGAAAATAATGGTAAGTCATATTAATTCCTCGAATTGCTTGCTGTTTAATCTATGTATCGTTTCTTACCTCTCGAATGAATTTCATAGCTTCGTCTCCCTCTTCCAACCCTTTCGACAATACCGCTGTCGAGGTCATTCGACTTATCGCATCCAACCTCCCAGGTGAGCCAGAGGCAGTCGGCGCTCTGGCTCTCTGTAATCAAGTCCTGGAGTCCATCTTGGACGACATGATTCCGCCAGAAGCGATCGCGTATGCGGCAATCCGTAGCTTGGACCGGAACCTGGTCTCAATGACAATTAGGAAGAGGGGAGCGGACACCATGGTCCTGGCTCTCACCAGAACCGACATTTACGACATTTACGTCCTCAATGTCGTCGTAAAAAACAATCGCGAAGACCTATTCGGTTTAATCGAACCGTTTATTACAGCGGAGCACCCATCAACGCACGTCGCCGCCTGTAGTGCAAGCGGATACGGATATTATCCGCTTCTTCACAGGCTCATGCCTTACCTTGCTGAAGACACCATTTTGGAGATTTTCGAAATGATGTGCAACGGTGGCATCGTCTCCGAAGTGGTGGCTCTCCTCGCCCTCACACCAACCCAGCTTCGCCCAAAACTGTGCACTCTAAATATGGAATCGGCAGTCACCAGCGGTAGAGTCGAACTCCTCCGCGTCCTGATCGAAGGGGGTACGGACCTCAATACGATCATGATCAGCGAGTCAATCGACTGGGAGGAGCGTACCTGCCTCCACTGGCTCGGCATCTACTGGCTTCGGACCAATCAGCTTAATAATGCCTTCTCCCCTATGATCAAGATGTTCTGCCAGGCCGGCGGTGCAGATCTGAATGCACTCGACTGCCAAGGTCGTAATGTCCTCCACGAATTTGCCTTAAACGGTTCGAAACTAGTCACCCCTTCTCAACCTTTCGAGGATGACTTCACCAACGAAAGACCCGACTGGCTTTACGAGTGCGCGTTGCGCGAGATTATCGAGGCAGGCGCCAATGTCAACCAGCAGGACGAATTTGGCAAAACACCTCTCCACTACGCAGTCCAGAATCGTGAGGCGGTCATGGTTAGGATCCTCTATGAGTATGGTGTCAACACGCTCATCGAGGATAGCGAGGGCATCCGGGCCAGTAAGACAAATGGCCTTGCATGCATGGCTCCGCACACCTTGGAATTCAAGGTCCTCATGATGGAAGTGGAACAGGAGAAATGGGTTGATGGCGAGGAGATGGAGGCTCTGCTATTTAAACTTGATTCTTCTGGTACTTCTGGTTGGCTGAGATTCCTTCAGTTATCCTGCCAGACCCGTTAAACGATCAATAGTCTATTGTCTTCGGTGAGGATGCCTATTAACTAGCCTTCCTTAACTTGGTTACTTAAATAAAGATTATTCTTCTAGTTTGTGATGTTCTTAGTACTGCAGCCTCTTTGAAATTGTGTTTTAATATTTTTCCCTGAACCAACCGAACCCACACTGATCTCCATCCACATTAAAATGAACCTGAACTGTATCGTAATTAGAGCTCACTGTATCACAACACATATTTCCACATATATCTCCCCGCGGAAATCTAATATATCGCATTGGTTTCGGGAAGCATTCCCTGTGCTCGTCTCTCGACTGAGTCTACCGTTATGAAATCAGCAATACTCACGGCTTGGCGCCAGGGTTAGGGTTAGGCAGGAGATGGCAGCTTTACCTACCAGTGACACTGGCAAAGAAAGGACGAGTAGCTAGATAAGAGAGCATAATTAACTAGTTAGGTGGATATTACATCCATGTAGAATACTTTCTTATGGTTCGGCTACATCAACGCAGACCTAGTAGTACCCCGGTAACAGACAATCCCGATTACAGGACAATTGGAGTTCGCAAATTCAATTAGCGGCATATAGTTATAAATTGTCCCGATCTCAGACTCTTGGTATTCAAATCTCATGGACTCGGGAACGCTATGAAGTGGTTGGGTTGTCGCACGTGAATGTAGCTGACTAAATTACCTTGGCGCGTGGACGTTTTGGGGAACGCCGTGAGAAAAAGGATATGCGCCACATCATCACCGCTGGGGGCAGATGTCTACAATATGTGTGTGATCATATCCGGGTATAGGCGCTGGACACCTTTCATCTCTAACCCAGGTACCGCAAAATCTCGAGTTATTCGGGGGGTTGCCGAGGCGACCTGTTAAACTGCGTTTAGTTTAGATCCTGTAAAATAGGACTGTTTTCTTCCTCTAAAGGTGAAGATCTTCAGCTTTTTGCTTTGGCAACCCCCCGAATAACTCGAGATTTAATGGTATACGTATGTCGGCTCATCGGACACGCAGTATTATGACGACAGTCTCAACCTATCACTCGATCCCATCAAAAGCCGACAATGTATCCAAGTCTTTGATCCGCCGGTTGCTGCAGACCAGCTTCCCGGTATTAGTATACTTGAGGATCCTGGACTATATACCGCGTTTCCTATAATTCATAATACAACTTCTTCAGGTGGCTTTTCGGTACCCTCGATTTTCTGGCCCCAGGTGCATCATGGTCTATCACTTGGGTCTTGCACAGTTAGGCTGCACGACAAGCGGATAATAGCAAGCAATTACCAGCGATTCAAAAGAAAGCGATTGAGCATGACGGGAATACTTTAAAAAGAAGGTGGAAGATGAATGATTTGAAAGGGATCTTTATGATAGATCATCGCGACTAGGTAGCTCCGGCTGATCCCACCGCGGGAGACCTGTAGCCGAATTCTGAAGGCGCTGGATTTATTTTCCGTTGCGGTCTTCCTACATTTTTAGTGGCGAACGTATCGTGAATACTGTTCGAATAAACCTGCATAAACAATTTCTTTTTCTATTTCTCTTTTTCAACTCTGGAGAGGTTCTTTTGTTAATGGTGGGGTCGGCCTTCATCGTCTGTGGAATAAGATAATTCGAAAGCTTGAAAGAATTGTTTCCGGACAGAATATATATATCCGCGAATTACTTCAAACTGCTGCTTGCTTTTCGGAGACAATAATCGCTTTGTAGATGTCTGTGACCGCGGTCGGGACTCCGCATACATATTTCAATTCTTCTTTTATTGAAGGGATCAGTGTTGGAACATAGGAACACTCAACTCAAGATCCATTTTTTGCGTTCATAATTTGCGCTTTTAGTTGCTACAAGTAGCGCACAATCCGATCATTCGTGAAAATACTCAATTGCCTCTTCGACTCATGCGAGATCGACCAAAGGATATCTTCTTTACTATCGAAATATTCCCAAAAGGGCCTCTAGTAGTGCTCCCTTCCACCTTTCGTCGGTGGAAACCTGAAGCACGATAATCATGTCTCCCGATGCCCTTCATCACATCAGAGAATGCGCAGCCAGGAAGTATATATATGAGCTAAATCCCTCTGCGTATGGATCTGATATCTGATAAGAAATACCATAATCAACTATACATCACGGAAGATTACCTTTTGAAAGAGTGCTTGCTTCGGGGAATGAGACATGATGGCCTACGGGAGTCTAGCTTCTGTCTGCTAGGGTTCAACGCCTAAGTGCTGATTTTCAAAAGTGGGTAGAAGGTGCTATATCTTATTACGCGACCACTGTAATAATAAAATAATAACTCCAAACTTTGCACCAGTCAGTATTCACAGAAGCATTGAGATTCGTCTGATATCTTGACGCTAAATTCACAGGTTCTCTAAGCCTGGAGCATAGCTATAAAATCTTGTTGCCCATTACTAACATAGCTATTAAGATATTTAATCGAGGTTATAATACCTATACTCAAGATGACTTCATCAAACAGCGGTGTCATTCTTGAACAGGCCGGAAACCCTGGTAAGTTCTATACTACCCAATCCTATCGTACGATCAATTTTTCCTAACTTTATTCTTAGATTTAACCTCTATTGGAAGACCTTTCTCCTCGATTCCGGTCGAGATTGTTCTTAACATCCGTCGATCAATCCGCGATGCCGATGACCTGGCATCGCTTTCTTTCTGCTGCCAGGACCTCGAGTTCCTTCTCGAGGGATTTATCGACCCCGAAGCCCTCGCCTATACCTCAATTTGCAGTCTTGAAAAGACTCTAGTTCTCCGCACTCTGCGCAAAAGAGGCCCTAACGCAATGATACTTGCACTACTCCGTGAGATCGAAGATGGAAATGCGCTTGACATTGTAGCGCGGGCAGGCCGCATGGATATTTTCAATATCATTCAACCATATATCACTTATGGAGCAGAATCCACCGTTGCAGCGTTCAAATCAGCAGTCCGAATCAACCACGAACAACTGATGCAAGGGCTCGTAACTTATCTCCCCAAAGGGGGCCTCCTAGAGGTCTTTCTGGATGCCTGCATTTACACCACGCCGGGAGTCATCAAGAGACTTATCCCTCATATTCCCATTAAGATTCGCCGCCAGGCCTGCTCACTAGCACTTGAGACTGCTGTCACTGGTGGCAAAATCGGTCTGCTGAGGGTTCTAATTGAGGGTGGCGTTGACACCGACAGGTATCTGACTGAAGAAGGCCGGGGGCGTGATCAACGTACATGTTTGCACTGGTTGGGGATGTGGGGCCTCCTGAACAACGATATCCACCGGTCTGTCAGACCAATGGTGAAAATGTTGTGCGCAGCAGGAGCAAATCCCAATGCTATCGACTATAAGGGGCGAACCCCATTGCATGATTTCGCCCTCGCTGGACCGAATGCTATCACCCCTGGTGCCAGCCTCGAACTCGGTGGCAACGCCGATGACACCCCAATCAACAGACTCTACGAGTCTGTCTTGCGTATTTTGATTAAAGCAGGCGCAGATATTAATGTGAAAGATAACATCGGGAGGACGCCTCTTCACCTCGCGGCGAAGCACCGCGAATCGGTGATGTGCAACGTGCTCATCAAATTTGGCGTCAATGCGCTGATTACTGACGACAACTGGATCAGAGCGAGTCGAGTCAACGGACAAGCAGTATCTCCGCATAGCATCGAATTTAAAGTCTGGGAATATGAAAAGCGCCAGGAAAGGAAAGTGGGGCAGAAATGGGCCCATGTCTTGTGAGATCGGCTTGGAGGATAGCTACATATACTGGGTGTAGTTCTCTGCCGTTACAATATTAACATTGTTGAAATATCTCATGTTATTTTAGATGGAGCGTGGTAACTTATCATTCTAATCTAGAAAGGTAAATTAAATTCAATTGGTGTTATCAAATAAACTTTATCGATCGTTAAAACAATTGTTCATCAACTACTTGATCAAAATATTCTTTCATCCTCAACTTAGTCAAATGCAGTTTGTCAAAAATCAAGACGCGTAGAATCTCATTGCAAAGTAAATAAATAAGTAAATCAAAACAAAATGGACTAGGACAGCTAAACTATCAATACTCGCTTTTAGCTGGGGACGGGGATTAAAGTTGCACCTCCGAGTTTCTTCCTGTACGCGACGTGTCCTTAGCTGCGGCTATGCCAATTGAGGTTTAGTACCTACAAACATTTGCACTAATCTAGCTTTAAGGCTATAGATATGTGCGCCAACCGATGTTTAAAAACTGCGCGTGTGCATGTGTCCAGGACCGACGTTTGGGGCTCAGGCATTTTGCAACACGATTGAGCTAGGGACTATGAGTCTTGATTGCGTTGTTATGCTCTTAACTCATTATCCTTCTTTTTATTTATTATTATTATTTGTTATCGCCGCTCTTAAAATATCCATAGTGCTCAGGCTCAACATAATCAATGAATTATCAATCATTGACATGACCGGATCATGAATTCTCACTCGATATCCCTCTTCCTGTAGTTAGGAGTAGGGGATGATCCTAGGGGTTTCATTTTTCTCAGTGGTAAGTGGGAGGAATGCTCCAGCGCGACCAGAATCGCCCTTTAAGATAGTATCACCCAACCAGATAGACCTCTAGTTGGGGTGGGCGTAAACCGCACACCCGTAGAAATTCGATGAGCGCGTACGGACATGCATGGTACCTCGCCATTTTCCCGATGTACCGTATTTCTTCGTATGCGGGCGCGTAGATTCTTCAGTCTGTTCATCGATAGAACCCTACCATTATATTCTCTGCAGAGACCTCCTAGGGCAACTGCGTTTGTTGTTATAGTAATTCCAATATGTGTAGTTTGCCGTATGTTTGAGAGGTTTCTGTAAGGACTATTGCTTGCATATTTACGGAGGCTTCAAGGCAAGAATTTAAAGGAAGTCGTAGATTGGCTGCGGGAAAGTAGAGACAGATCGACAACCCTGGAAATAACAGGGCGTACGTGTATAAATACAGGAGCGATGTCAAATCGCTTAAATTATAAACTATTATATACGCGATAGTAAAACATCCATTACTGGATCGATAACCTCAGACTGTCTATCCTAATTATGACGACACAATATTTTCTTGCCCAACTCAAGCCGCCAGTACAACGTACTTCTGGGAGCACCGCATACACAAAGGTGCTTATATAAAGCCTTGATCGACTATTATATATTAAGATTCCCCGAACTACATATATTCGGTGGCGGCGCTAGACCCATAAACCTATAATGTGGAGGTGTAGGTGGGATCTGGTAGTGGAGGTGCTAAACCTATGTGCTGATTGCAAGAGTAAGGGTTTCAAACTTGAGACAAATAAGGGTACTCTTATAGCCCACCGCCAAAACCCCGTAATACTTTCCAACACACGTCTTGCTCAAATAAAAATTCGTTTCCTTTCGATCCGAGCCGTGAATCCCGAGTTATACTCAACGGCGACAGTCAGTGAATTGATAACGTATGTTTATATCCCATAGCCTTCGTTATATTAATCATTTGTGACTCTGATTTGCTCAAATTATGCTGTGAGGTTTACAGAGCCAGAAATAAGATTCCACCTTTTTCACAACATGTCCCCAACCAACATCATTAGTGCTCCTAGCCAGCAAGAAGGCGAAAGTAAATTCTTCCCTCTCCAACTCTATGGCTCGCAAAATACACACCCTGTCCCGAATCTTCTTTTTAGAGTGTAAATACTAATATAATTTCTTCTTGAGTTCCAGAAGCTCCGCGCAACCCGTTCGAAACCCTGCCTGTCGAGTTGATCCTCGATATCAACGACTCGTGTGAGACGGACGCCTCTGCAGCATTGTCACTCTGCAACGAGGACCTGCAGTTGATCCTGGGAAAATGGACAGATGCTGGGTCTGCAGGATACGTTGCCATTACCAGCCTGGAGAAAACCCTCGTGCTACTGACTCTTCGTAAAAAAGGCAACAACTCCATGGTTTTCGCCCTTCTCCAAGAATACGAAGAGCAGTATGCCTTAGAAAGAGTCGCAGAGGCTGGCCGCATGGACCTGTTTCGCATCATCAAACCGTTCATCACCTCCGGCAAACATTGTGCATTTGCTGCGTTTAAAAGCGCGGTTAGGATTGGTCATGGACCATTAATGCATGGATTGATAGGATTCATCTCTGAGGGGGATTTGAGTGAGGCCTTCCAGCTTGCGTGCGAATCCGCATACGCTCCATCCAACCTAATTCAGTCGCTCATACAGGAGATTCCTATTAGGCTCCGTACCCAAGCATGCACCGATGCATTCGAGTCGGCCATTACCAGAGGAAAGGTGGAACTTCTTAGGGTCCTGATTACTGGAGGTGCAAACGTCAACAAGCATTTCAACAACGAAATGTGGGAAAGCGACGAACGCATTTGCTTGCACTGGCTAGGGATGTGGGGATTATCGAATAGTTCGATCCACCACGCTGTCCTAGCGATGGTCAACATTGTCTGCGCTTCCGGCGCCGACGTCAACGCAGTCGATTATGAGGAGCGTACTCCTCTGCATCTTTTTGCCTTAGCCGGATACTACTCAGTCAAATCGTCCATCCCTCTCGAAGACAACAGCAACGACGAATTCAAAAGAGTCGAGGCTCTTTATCGCTGTTCTTTGCTTACTATAATCCACGCCGGCGCTGACATCGATGCTAAGGACAAGTTTGGAAAGACTCCTCTGCATCTGGCTGTGGAGAAGGGTGAAATTGGAATGGTCAGGCTCCTGGTGGAGCTTGGTGTCAATGCTCTCATCACCGATGATGAGAGTGTTAGAGCCAGTAGGGTGAACGGTACTAGGGGATGCGCTCCTCACATGATCGACTTCCAAGTCTGGAAGTACGAGCAACTACAGGAAAAACGGGTTGGCGAGAAATGGGCCAAGGTCTTGTAGAGACGGTGCCTTCGTTACCTTCGTGTGTTTAAATACCTTTTGTTATGTCCTAGATCATTTGTAACTTATCACTGCCAGCTCTGAGTCAATAAATATCATGGATTATGAATATAAAGAAATAATGCTTCGAGTACTTGATCACTGTATTCTTATGTGCCCAATTTGGAACATTATAGTATTTCGTAGCAAATTATAAATATCTATACTGCATACGTGTAGTCCCCATATTCTTATTCACCGGTGCCTCTAGAGACGTTCATTGATTGTTTAACTTTAACAACTGCGCAAATGTCAATGAGGAAGGCTTGACACCTCCGAGTTCCTTCTGTTCAATGTGAGCTCAAACGCATCGTATACGCCTATCCCGATCGAGGTTAAGCATCTATAAACAAACGCAGTAATCCAGGTTTAAGAACTGCGCACATTTATAAGTCCGACGCTTGGCACTCCAGAGTCTTTGGAGCACGATTAAGATGTCGGGACGAAGTGTTATGAGTATCAAATAGTGCGTTGTTGTTTTCGTATGGAATTATGTTTCTTTCCGCTATACTTACTATTTGTTTCTATCACTACTACTCTCAAAGTATCTAGAGTGTTCGGGCTCAACATAATCAATGCATTATGGGTCGTTGACACAACGGAATCATACAATATCACTCGACAGATTCACTTTGGGCTAGGGTTAGGGGAGTATTCTAGTTTATTTGATCCTAGTTGTAAATGCGAGGAATGCCCCCGGACAACTGGAATAGCCATTTGAGAGAATATCACCAGAAGTAAGCAAGATTCCAGCTGGGGTGAGCGCAAACCACACGCTCCCAGAAATTCTCTCAGGACGTTCGTATATGCATGGTTTTTCGCTGTTTCCCGACGGAACGTATTTCTTTCTATGCGGCACGGAGCGCCTTCAGCCTGTTCATTGACAAGAGCTGATTGTTATATTCTCTGCCAAGATGTTTTATATAAACTGCATTTTTTGTTGTCGTAATTGTACGGCATATCCATGGTTTGCGGTGTGTTTAAGAAGTTTCTGTTATGCTCATTTCATACATAAATAAGGGGATTTAAAGGCGAGAGCTTGAAGGAAGGGCGTAGATGGGTTGCGGGAATGTAGAGACAGACAACACTTCTGGATATATCAGCGCGTGCAGGTATATATATACATATAAAAGACTGATGCCAAATGCCTCTAACTATTATATGCATGATGCTGAAAGGTTCATCATCTGTCTCCATCTTATATGTACTCCATCGGTCCGATGGTCTCGATGGTTTGTACCGCCGGTGTAAGGGTTAATGCGGTCGATTTCCAAGTACGCACCGCTCTCCATGAGCTTGCCCTCGATGGGGTTAACGCTGTCAAGCCGTACCTCGATGACAATTCCGACTAAGAATCCCTTGATACCGTCTACCACTCAGCCGTGTGCACGGTCATCAATTCAGGGCCGATATCAACATCAGGGATCGGTTCGGGAGAACGCCACTTCACCTCGCGGTGTTGATGCGCGAAGCCGCGATGATTGAACTGCTTATGGAGCATGGAGTGAATGCCCTTCTCGCGGATGATGAAGGAATTCGAGCAAGCAGAATCAATGGCTCTAGAGGGGCGGCGCCACACACTATCGATTTCCGCGTGTGGAAATACGAACAGTCTCGGGAGAAAATGGCCGCTATGGGTGCTAGAGTCCTGTAAACTGCTGAGGAGTACGCTCTTTTGTACCATCGTGTTGAAATATTATCTTTTGTATTTTCAATATGGTTATTGTAGCTTATTCTATTCTCTCAAGTTAAACGAATTAAGTAACATGAAAAAACAATTTTTCTTCATGATCCTCTTAATTACTATACTCTGATTTGTTAGAATTACTCGATAGTAAAGCTCCTGTTTAATTATTAAAGATTTACATGCGCATAAGACCAAATAATATATGCGAGTGAGCCACGATATTTTTCGAAGTCTTTTTTTTGATCGCTCCTATTAACAAACCTGCCACTGTGGTATCCTCTTCATTCATATTCTGAATTCTATATCTCCTCATCACCTTTTTTTTCAAGACTGGCTCTTCCTAGCAACCCCTACATATCATCTATACTGTGGAGGCGAGTTAAAGTCTGCTAGTGTGGGTACTAAAGCTATGGTTGGGGACAACTAGAACCTCACCATTTTCGCTCTACGACGTCAGGATCTAATAACCTCCCAACTACAACACCCAAGGTCACGCCGGCTCTATTGGAAGACTCTCTTGCCCCCCTTCTACAACACATAGAGCCGAACTACTTTTATTTTTTACGCTTGTTGAGTTATAAACCTTGGATTTTAATAACAATATCAGTCAATAGGTTATGGCTATATTTTAACTGTAGGTTCCTTAGAGTTAACGAGGTCTTATGATAACCTAATGTACCTTTAACGCTATGCAAATGGCTGGCGAACGTCACAAATGGTGAGGTTCTAGGTGTCTCCAACGATACGTGCGAGCCACAAATCCTTGCCAATTGCGTGTCTTCTTACATACGTCCATTGATTAGGGTTTAACACCTGCGCTAGTGTCAACAAGTTAGACGTAGCATCTCCGGATTCTTGAAAGGCAATTGAGAATTGCTCTTCTAGTACGCGCAGGCGAACGAGCCACGTGGCCCAACAAAACCATGCAAGGTGCTCGTCGCGCAGACAAAACGAACACCGTGGCATCCCGTCAGCGCTTGTACTGAAATATATGTAGCCTCATGCAGGGCCATTGAAGGCTTCTCAAGGTGTCATCTCCTAGCTACCCCCACCACACAGACATCGCTGTATAGAGCTACCTCTCCTACCATGATTTTTCCTGCCATTATTTTTCCATAAAGAAAGATCCCTGAATTCGACTGTTGAGTGGATGGGCATTCCCGTGATTTTATAGGTTGCGGTTAGCTAACTAGGCAGGTACGGTTTCCGATTTCCATAACTGGACAAAAATAGGCTTTCCCTAGCCTTAAATACTAAGCTTTATAACTACATCCAAAACGCTATGCGATCGCATCTCAGTGTGAGACGCGGTTGGAACTCCTCCCTTCATGACCTACCCTGCACCACCTCCAATACACTCTCAGCGTGGATAGATGTTGACCTAGAACACATCAGTGTCCCTTATTCCAAGATACGTTCGAGTTGATAGGATAGAGAACGGGAAGGAAGTGCTGTCGTCGCTGTGTGGGTTTTGACCCAATCGCGGGGGATCCGGGAGTTCCGGAAACGGTTATATCAAACTCAAGAAGGCTGCAAAAACCTTAGGTTCAAGCAGCCTCAGAGTTTTGGCTGGTGGTGCAGGCCCGAGTACCTTCCGGATTTGGTTGCGGTTGCCAGGCGGTACCAAGAATACCTCTGCAGAAATATTGAGTCACAAGTTCAACCAGAGCCTCTCACAACCACAAAACTCGTGGTCGCGACAACCTCACGCTCACGTCCGGTCAACAGACCTACACCAGTAATTTTACATATATTAAATACTGTATACTTAGATTCTACCTAGTGATAATCTTTCCAATTTTTTAACAGGCTTTTACCAATGTGGAGAGGAGAGCTAGAAGGGGGGGACATATTGCGCTGTGGCACTGTTCGTCTTGCTTGGGTGGTTTTGTTCTGACTTCGTTAATTGTATTTCTGCTTTACTTATCGTTTCCTTTTGTTACTACTTTCAAAAAAGTCATAATGTTCGCCTAAACACAATATCTAAATTATCAATTATTGACATGACCCGTCATGGAATATCACTAGCTATTCTGGTATGTAGTCAGGGTTAGGGTACTCTGTAAGTTGATGATTCCTGAATCCTAGCGACACAAGCCAGCGGAGGTCGAACTGCGCCGCGATTAAGACACGCGGGCAGAGGTTAGACGTGTGCGTACAAGAGTTCTCATTGTTTTTGAAAGACGTAATGTATTTCTTTGTGTGCAGGTAGGCGGAGCTTTTAGTCTTGGTCCACGGCAAAGGCCTGATACATATATACTAGGGATCCGCCACCTCGCGACCGCGAGGTCCCCTTCTCTCCCACCTATGTGTACAGTGTCCGGTAGAATTATTGCGAAAGTCAGAACTAAAAGGGTGAGTTTCTTGGCTCGTGCTCACTGCAAAAATTCCTTTGAGGGCCAATGGGACTATCGGGTCACGGAAAACCCACTTTCACATTAATTCTACCACAATCTGTAGTATCTAGGCACCTCCAGTAATTAGTTAATTTTGTCTTAGCCGTCTCATGGTCTGTTTTCCTGGCCATGTCGCATAAATGCCTAAATCTTGCTCTGGATATCTATTTCCGATTTTCAATGCCAGGTCCAGTGCCAGCTCTAATGCCCGCTCCAGTGCGAGCTAAAATCAAGGTCAGCCCCAGTGTCAGCTTCGGTGTCGGCTCAAATATATGCCAGCTCTAGCCGGCGCCACCCGAATGCCATCTCTAATGCCCGCTCCAGTGCCAGCTCCATTAGATGCCGGCTCCAGTGCCAGCTCAGATACATGCCAGCTCCAGTGCCCACTTCTCTGCAAGCTCCAGTGCCCGCTTCGCTTCCAGCTCCAGTGCCAGCTCTGATGCCCGCTCCGGTGGCAGTTCCGGTACCCGTTCCTGTGCCCACTCCGGTGCCAGCTCCGGTGCCAGCTCTAACGCCCACTCCTGTGCCCGTTCTTGTGCCCACCCCTGTTCCTGCTCGTGTTCCTGCTCGTGTTCCCGCTCTTGTGTCCGCTCCGGTGACCGCTCGAATGACTACTCTAGCGTTCGCCTCGATGCCAGCTCCTGTGCCAGCTCCAATGCCGGCTTCAGTGCCAGCTCTGATATATTCCAGCTCCCTTCACCGTTCCTCCACCGCACTGACACCTCCTCTCCCCCTGTTACTGGTCTTCCCTCTCCCTCTTCGCACCCCCCGCCAACTACTGTTCGTCTCACTCGCCTATTCTGCTCACATTTGACTACTAAATAGCTATATTTATTATTTAATCATAAAGGGTTCCGTTGGTTGGGCTGGTCTCATGGGTAAGGTCAGGGTTAGGGTTTGGGCTTGGCAGGAAAATAGGCAGGGTAACGGCCCTGAGCAGGCAGGGTAACGCCCAAAAAAGGTAGGGTAACGCACAAAAAGGTAGGGTAACGGCTCAGAGTAGGCAGGGTAACCGCACTAATCGGGTAGGGTAACCATCTCAAAATAGGCAGGGTAACTGAACAAAATTGGGCAGGGTAACTGCACCAAAGACACGAATTTGATGTGTAGTGCTTACTACACCCCCCTGTCGCTCTCGACCAATCATATTGCAGAGAGTTCAGAAGAAGTGTATTCCAGTACATATTAGATATATATATACATTGTCTCCTGACCGCCTTTTCGGTAATCTGAGTTTTTAGTTGTCGTAATTGTAAATGGCGACTTGCTGGTACATATTTCACGCGTTTGGTTCGTCGTTGAAAGAGGTCCTTGTCGCATCCATTGTAGAACTAGCTCCCATTGTTCTCCATATCGATACACACGTTTGAAAGAAGTAGTCAGGACGGGGTGGGTGGGTGAGAGACGGGAATATTTGACAACCGCCAGCTCTCCCGGAAATATCTGCACCTGTAGGTATATATAAATATAAGTCTAATGCTATGTCTTATTATGATACCCATTAACGTCTATATTTTCAAGCTAGCGTAAACATACCGAATATTCTATCCTGGGTTAAATTTTATAATCGACGTCTATGTATATGTCCTCCGGGCTGATTTGAGGCCAACATGAGTCCGGAGACTATGTGAACTCAATACGAGGTGTAGAGGCATCCAGCGTTCGGGGATATATATTGATGGGAGCTGCGAAAAGTTGATTTCGACTGGAATTCGCGTATGACTGCGCTCTTACCCCCGGCTTTTTAAGGTGATCAACGCCGCAGTGGTGCTCTTTGGAGAGGGAAGGTCACAAGATCTTCTCAAATTTGCCAGCAAATGAAGGTTTGGCACTATTTATGGAGGTCTGGACGTACCTAAAGGTCTGCCATTAACGATGAAATATAATAACTCCCTTCTTATTACTCATACTCTATAGACATTATACCCAACTATCGAAGTAATATCTATTTGTGTCAACCTAGTTAAATCTATCAGTAAGTTTCAGGAAGGATATTAACCTAACACTACACACTGCTAACAATATGCATTTAAAGTTACTTATATTCGATAGAAATGTCAACCCTAGAAGAACCGGCTTCCACAATCGGATCTTTAATGAGCCAAGGTATATGATTCCTTCCTCTAGCTGCGTTTTTCTCTCTTACCTTAAGTCACCATGCGCTTCTTTGAAAATATTCATACTAACCTCTAGCTCGCCAGTCTCCCACACTCCCCAAAACCCATTCGACAATCTCTCGGTGGAAGTGATCAGGTTGATCGCGGCCTCCGCCGAAGGACCGGAGGACAACGCCGCTCTTTCCCTCTGCAATAGGGAGTTAGAGTGTATCCTGTCAGCGGGCTTCGAAATCCCGGAAGTCACCGCCTACGTGGCCGCAACTAGTCTTGACAGGAACTTGATTCTTAGGACTATTCGGAGGCATGGACGGGAGTCAATGATTCGTGGATTAACCCGCACTGTCGCCAACAACATCTACCCCATTAACTACTTCTACCCTGCGCACGATGTATACGCTCTGGATATCCTGGCACAGAGCAACCGCACTGACCTCTTGCTCCTCCTGGAACCATTCCTTACACCTGGCGACCCCAGTATTCTGGCCGCTTTCAAAGGAGCAGTGTCGTTTAAAAATCAACAGCTTATCGACATCTACCTTCCAATCCTCAACGAGCGTACAGTCGATGCGTTTGCTTACGCCTGTATCTTTGGGACTGCTACCATCTCCGCTGCAGTTCTGGCCTACATTCCGAACGAGCTTCGGGCCGAGGCGTGCTCGTCCGCTCTTGAGATGGCGGTAACCTCCGGTAAGGCCGACATTCTCCAGGTTCTGGCCTACATTCCCAACGAGCTTCGGGCTGAGGCGTGCTCATTCTCTCTTGAGATGGCGGTAACCTCCGGCAAGGCCGACATTCTCCAGGTTCTGGTAGACGGGGGTGCCGATATCGATATGGTGTTTACCGAAGGCGATGACTACATGGACAAACGTACTGCGCTGCATTGGCTTGCGATGTATGGGCTTTCGCAGAACGAGAACAAGCCTTTCCTCCAAATGCTGCAGATTATTACCTCAGCTGGAGCGAACGTGAACGTACTCGACTCCGAAGGGCGCACCCCACTACACGAATTTTCTCTAATGGGCTCAAATATGGTGAACCGTCTTCTCGCTTTCGAGGATGAGATTCCCAATGAGAGCCCTGATTGGGTCTACCGATGTGCGTTGAATTGCCTAATCGACCCCGGTGCGGATATAAACACCCAGGACGACCTCGGGATGACCCCGTTGCATCTAGCTATGTCTACCCGAGAGACAGTTATGATAGATGTGCTCCTTCGCCATGGAGTAAACGCTCTCATCAAGAACAACGAGGGGGTTCGGGCAAGCATGGTACATGGTCAGAGGATGGCTCCTCACGCGATAGATATCCAAGTGTGGAAATATGAGGCTGAGCAATTAAAGCGGTTTGATCCGAGGTGGATTGCGGTTCTCTAAGGGGTTTTTTTTTTGAAAGGGACGGTTATATTTCCTTGGTTAACCACGTTACAATTTCTGTTGTCATCGAGTATTGTAGCCTATTACCGGTTCTTTTAAATTCTGTATTTTATATGCCTGGTCAGTTCTAGAAACAAATGAAATAAACAGTTGCCATAAGACATGAGCTTCTGCTAGCTGATGTCTTTCTTTCTACCTACTAGTTACTCTCGTGATAAAACAATTTCAACATATTTTGTTTTCCCCGTACTCTCTAGCTACCTCCCAGCGCCAGTGATTCCAAGAGTTGAAACCGGTGGTATCTGGATAACATACCATACCAAACCAAACCAAGTTGCCCTACAACTGAGAGCTGGACGGAATTTGGGGGATATATACCATTTCTATAACCAGAACCGTTCTTTAGTGTGTTTCCAGGTTCACTTGATTTGTTGGGAGGTTCGTAACCCCAACATGTTGTGGCAAAGAGAGATCCGCCATATGAAGACTCAACCCATCTGTTAATAGCTGAATTATCTCATAGCGTAGAATAGAACCAAAATATTAGTAGGACCAGTTTACCAAAACCGGCTTGCATGGTAGAACGTTTGAACCGTTAGGAACCCTACCTCCCACGCCCAACTACCTAGGTGTCAATATCTGTACATTTAGATTCTAATTCTTAGATTTTTGATTGATTTGTATCAATTTTTAACAGACTTTTACCGATGCGCGATCTGAGAGAAGAATGAGAAAAGAAGGACAAATTGCACCATGGCACTGTTCGTCTTGCTTGGGTGTTTTTTAATCTCATAAAATATGTTTCTATCTTATTACCGTTTCTTTTTGTTACTGCTGTTAAAATAGTTATAGTGTTGTCCTGAAACGAGTCCAAAGGATTTGTCTTTGAAATGGTTAAGATGCTTGCCTCCGCCAGGGCCGATGTGAACGCCACTGACTACAACGGGCGCACTCCTCTTCACGAATTCGCCATGAACGGCTCCAGGGCGGTCGCACAAACTCTCCAGTATGAAGACGATATTACCAACGAGTGCCCCGATTGGGTATACGCGCTTGTCATAAAGTACTTGATCGACGCCGGTGCCGATCTTAACGTCCAGGACGAACACGGCATGACACCTTTGCATCTGGCTGTCTCCAGGAGGGAGACTGTTATGATCGAGCTCCTCCTGAACAATGGAGTGAATGCCCTTATCACTAACAACGATGGAGTTAGGGCCAGCAAGGTGAACGGAGATAGGATCGAGCCCCATACAATCGACTTCCAGGTGTGGAAGTATGAGGCGGAGCAGTTGAAAAAGGTCGATCCAAGATGGGTCGCAGTCCTTTGAAATTGGTCAATAAGCCAGAAGAAGTATGCTAGAATTTCATTGGTGGTGTTATTAACAATCTTCGTTGGCAGTAGGTCTTGTAACTTATTACAGATTGATTAAATTAAGTTCTGTATTCAACATGAACGGCCGGTTCAAGTAACAAATGAAATAAACCGTTGCCATAAGAAGATAAGAGTTCCCGAAGTCTTCCTTTCTAGCTAGCAGTTACACTCGTGATAAAAGAATTTTGTGGACTTGTTTATTCTCCCCGTACTCTCTAGCAATACACTGCGCACAACTACTGTGTCCCGCTCCTTTAATTTGCTTTGTGATCATGTTCCTCTCTGTATTCGTTACTGTAGAATATAACTAGTTATCCGGATTCACTCAAGGTATTGATATTTAATTATTCGACTCTTCAATTCGGAGCATACGCTGGATTTTGACTGTGGCAGAAATGATGGTCTCCTTCTTCTCCTTCTTTTTTTTTTTGAATGAGGTTGTAACTCATAACTGTGAGCTGGGATTACATAAATAATCTCCATTAAACGATCGTTCATCAGCTCCTTGCTGACTTAAATCTCATATTTCTATATACTCAGCCTGGGAGGTTATTGGATTTCAGTTTTCAAAAGCATATCTGCGATCTCAGTAGCAAGGGATAATGTATACATTAAAGGCAAGACAGAATAAACCGCTACACTAACTTCGATCTTCACACTCCTCCCTACGTCGATTGAGGCTTAGCACCTCCGTACGTGACGCAGGATTAAGGCTTGGTACCTCCGGATTTCTAGACAAGGATCAGCCTAGCTGTAACATCTCTGGGACACTATGTGATTTAGTGAGCCACGTAATCCAGTAATATGATCTACATTTTTTTATCACCTAGTCAAATTGACAACGTATCATCAATATAACGCGCGTATCCTTAATGCCAGTTGGCAAGATTGTGGCTTTCTTGATTTTCCTTCCATTGTCCATACCGCTCAATGAAAGTTTTCTACCACTCCTACTATCTCTCTACCTTTGACAGTTGGCTTTTGCAATTGCATTCTTTCTAATGTGGTACTCTAGGCGCTGGAGTTATTGACGAAGTGAATCATGGATTATCACTCGGGCCAAGCTTCATGCAGCGGAGATTGAACTCTTATATATATGGTATTTTTATTGTCGTATAAGTAGTAGATTAATTTCTGGCATTTAAAAGAGCTTTTTTGGGGATCAATGGCAAGTAGACACATTTCCAGCAGCGATGAGATCAAACAACACACTTCCTGAAATTACACGGGCTCGTACCTACATAGGTTCTTACTACTTTATAATGAAAATTTCTGTTTGTGAGGCAAGTAACCGCACGTGGTGCTCGTCTTTTACGGCTTTGAACAATGTTTTTTACATCTTTACTCGACATCTCTCCTGTCAATCCGCATCATCTTAAAGAAATATAAACTAAGCCCGCTCTCCGCTTCCGCTGTCATTATCGAATATGTAGATACCCGGGTTGTAGGGAACAATAAAAAGAAAATAGACAGGTTGATGATAGCAATTTTGTATTTAGATCCTCCGGTCTTGCGCAATTGTTCGATAATTTATCTATAGATGCCGGAGGCTATGACAACTCACCACCTCCGGGGCCTTTGTGTATTAGTATAAATAAGTGGCTGATAGCCCGCCCATCGTAACAGAAACCATCTATATTTGTAGCTAACACGCATATATGTCCTATTATATTTGTGAACTTTGCTTTCGTAATAATCTATCGTACGTATTTCTTCCCAGTTTGAAGTTAGGAAGTCGGTTTCGAAAAGGAGGGAGAAAAATACTGTTTTGCCATGCGTTGTTTAAATTGAGGGGTATGAAGACTTAGACTGAGCGCAAGTGGCGCCTCCTTGGGCGCTGGTATTTCTCCTAACAAGTTATGGGCCCTGATACTATGCAGCCCATACACCTTGGTGGGTCAATTCACCAGTTTTGCGATACCGCAAGAATATAAACCCTAGGCCTGGAAAATTCAATTAGCACCCTCAAACCTTCTTCGGATGTTCAGGTTGGGCGTGCTCGTCATCTGTTCCCCCCAATATCAAACCTCGAAAATCTCAAAGACCAAGTATCACCGCCTGCGACACTCCCTTTGATTTTAGGTATTTTCTCTGGAACGAATTAGAATGACTATGACAAGTGCTAACAGGTTATATAAAGACATAAAATAACACAGCAATCAGTTAAATTGTCCCCAAGATGTCAAATTTACACAGCGAACAAGCTATTTCATCTGATAACATGCAAGGTATACATTCCAACTTCCTCCTTTTGTTTTAACATATTTGCTTGTATGGAATCTCAATGACAAACTTTATCCTGACTTCTTCAGGCCCACTGCCTCTTACAAATCAGCTCGAAAACCTTCCAGTTGAACTAGTAAGGATGATCGCGGCCTCACTCAAAGATGAGGAAGATATTGCCACCTTCTCCCTCTGTAATCAGGACCTGTTTTGCGTCCTTAAAGGCATGGTTACCCCCAAGCTCATCGCATACGTCGCGGCCTGCGGCACCGAGCCCAGATCTATCTCCATGGCGATCCGGAAACTAGGAGCAAATACCATGACTCAAGCCCTAACGATGGACGTCAATGGCATCTACGCTCTTGAGGCAGTAGCCCGGGGAAGGCGCACGGACATCTACAGAGTCCTTCAGCCATTCGTCACACGCGGGCACGAAAGCATACTGAGAGCTTTCAAAGAATCCGTCTCGCTCAAAATTAGTCATTAATCAACGTTCTGATGCCAGAGCTGGCCAAACTGGCAGTCGAGGCATTCCGACATATCTGCAATTACTCCACTGCTTTAGTCGCCGCAGCCCTTCTCCCCCATATGTACCCTCACCTCCGCGTACAAGCCTGTACTGGATCTCTAGAGGGGGTGGTTACTTCTGGTGAGGTAGATCTCCTGCAGGTCCTAATCAATGGAGGAGCCAATCTCGATACGTTCTTTGTCGAGGATCACATCCCCCCGGATAGACACACAGCGCTACATTGGCTCGCAATGTACGGGCTGTGGTCGAACAAAAACGATCAGTTCGTCGAGCCGATGGTGCGAATGCTTACCGCCGCAGGAGCAAATGTCAACGCCGTTGACTTCCAGGGCCGGACCCCGCTCCATGAGCTTGCCCTTGGAGGCTCACAGGCTGTCATTGAGCATTATTCTTTCCCGGACGAGCTCACGACCCAGACAGTCGAGTGGACCTACAAATGCACATTGGGATATCTGTTTCGTGCGGGGGCGGATGTTAATATGCAGGACGACCTTGGGATGACGGCTCTCCATTTTGCTGTCAAGAAGCAGGAGACGGTTATGATTGAGCTGCTTCTTGCGCACGGTGGTATCAATGTACTGCTTGAGAATCATGAAGGCATTCGCGCCAGCATGATGAGTGGCGAGGATGACTTCCAAATACTTGCGGTAGAACAAGATCAGATGAACTTACAATAGGGTCGGAGGGGTGGATTGAACATGGCGACTAAGCATGCTCATTATTACATTACATATTCTCCTTTTCTTGTAATCTAGAATTATTGTAAAGTATAACACTAGGCCAATAAACTTAAATATAAACCCTGTTTTCTCTACAATTGTATTGACCGATTAGAGTCTTGTTTGAACAATTGCATTTGCATAGAACAATTACTTTTATACATACATAGGTGCTTCCGAATGATCATATAAAACTGTCTATACTGTCTTATAGAAATAAACTAAATTTTTGTTATTACTTTATGCGTGCGTGAATTATTGGTTGAATGATTAATTCCATTCCCAGATTTATCTCCACTTGTGCTTCTATATCAGGAGCAGAAACTCATGGTATACAATGCAAATCATGGGGAAGACAATATTCCCACCCGGTGCAACTCCGCAGTCCGCATGAAACTTGGAGATTGGTGACTAGTTTTCTAGTAACACGCGATATGCCGCTTATACCTAGAATTACAAGCTCTCACTCAGACGTACCCCCGAGGGCTGACCGCGGAATTCGTGATAATTGTGTGCATGAATAGATATTTCAAATTGTCATTACCCTCGATGAAAGTGGTCGATGATAATATTCAGTATACCTTCCACCATAGGAATTAGCTGCCCCTGGCCTCAAGAACCAAAGAAGCACAGGCTTTTACTTCTGCGGCCGCTTCTGCGTATGCGCAGCGATTGCGTATGTCTTGAAATAGGTCCCCCTCCCTAGCTCGTCACCCCAGGTTGTAGATAATCCATCTTTTCAAATTTTATTCTAGGTTCTTCCCTTGCAGGCAGTATTATAGGGTTACTAAATTACACAAAACCCATAGTGCAATACGCGTTAGGAGCTCAATCACGACCATGGACTAAAGCCACTATTTCCGAAATTTTCTTTATAGGACACATGCGCATTCTGGGCCACTGGCGAATTGAATCTGTTATAATCTAGAACTAAGCCATGATGACAAAACAACATCGCCAGATTCTTAGACGCCTAGCAAATTATCCTCGGTTTTCGTTTGGAAGTGCACTCTCTAATTTGGCAGCCATATCTTTCGTTTCTCCCTAAGTTTAACTCTTGGCGCACCTTCATGTTTCAGGGCGCACAGTAATCCATATAGAGAAACCAGGCAAGAGACAGTCCCAACATATCACAACTCATAACATACCCCCACACACATTCGCAATCAGCTTCACAGCCATTTTTCCAGCCCAAGTCTAGTTACTACTCTTCTTGCTTAAACAGGTATAGGATAGTGTCCTCCCAAATCTTCTCACACCCGCTGACATCTTCATAGAAATCATGAGCAAAGACATGTTCAAAACCCTACCTGTCGAGGTTATCTGGGCCATTGCCGACGCCTGTGCAAGCCCCGAAGATGTGGCCGCTCTCGCCATGACCAACCGGTCCCTCCGCTTCCTCCTCTCTGACCGAGTCACCGACGCTGTTGCCGGCTATGTCGCCATTGCCTCTCTCAGCGTGCAGACAATCGGGTTGACCCTGCATTCAAGAGGACCGACATCCCTCGTCCTCGGCCTCATGCATAAGGGCACCATCACCCGGCGCTATGGCCTCGACCACATTATTCGGACTAACTCTCTGGGCATCTTCCTCCTGATCTCGCGGTTCATCACTCGCGGCCACTACAGCATCCAGGAGCTTCTCCTCATGCTCATCTACACCAAGCAGCCCTCCATGGCCCACTGCCTCACGCCCTACCTCAGCCTCCGCCAGCAATTCGAGTGCTTCACCCGCTCCATCTACAAGCCCGACCTGCGCATCGCCCACATCATCCACAGCTCCATGCGCCCCGGCGACGCGCGTTCGGTGTGCCAGAAAATGTTCCACCACGCTATTGCTAAAAACCTGTGTACCACTCGGCGCTTCCTCGCTGAGCGCTGCGCCCCAATCAACTATCGCCCCAGCAACTACCTGCACTTTGTCATCTCCTCAAAGACCCGCCCATGCAAATACACGCCGCGCGACATCCTCGAGACCGTGGAGCTGCTGTGCCAGAACGGCGCACCGGTGGATGAGAAGGATGCGAACTCGTACACGCCGCTGCATCTACTGGCGCTGTTTGGGCCGCGGAAAGTGGAGGCGGTGGGGAGGGCGTTGTGGGCAGAGACGCATGCGGGGTGTGTGATGGCAGTGTTGAGGGCGGGGGCGACGGTGGATCTGGAGGGGGTTCAAGGGAGGACTGCGCTATGGTATGCTGTGAGGGAGGGGGAGGCGCCGATGGTGGAGATGTTGCTGGATGCGGGATCGAACTTTAAGAAGATCCATGGGGACGGGCTGAGGGCGGATGAGATTCAGCAGGAGAGTGACGAGTTTGTGAGGTGGGCTGCGCGGTTGGTCACCGAGAGGAGGGAGGCGTTTAATAGGTTTATGGAGGAAAGGAGAATGCATGAAGTGGTTTCAGTGACGTGATAGCAATGCTTGAGGCATGGAGACTATAGCTAACGTCTCACGAGGGAATGGAATTTTCTGCGTTGTAGTCTAAGGAAGCGTAAAGGTGGAGAGACCGCGATGTTCCATGCATTTCGTCCAAGCTGCTGTACACTTACAAGAGAGGGCATGTCATCTTTTTGCTCTGAATTTGTATTACGCTATGAAAAATGACTAGGATCAGAATAAAAAATCTCTACTTTTTTTAAAAGCTTCACTCTTGCAATCATGACCACCCTCTTTCCTGTCGTCCAACTATTTTGCCCCCACCATTGTGAATTAAATATTTAGGCTAGCACCACGAACGGTAAAAAGGCTCTTCACCATGTCCAGGCTCCATAATCATATGCATTGAAACAGAAGAGGTTCGAACAAAATGAGAGAAAGAGAGACCAAGATCACTACGCCTAATCAAAGCCCAGAGTTAAAAAAAGACATCATAGTTTCGGTAGCCTGGGCTCCTCTCGTAATGGATGAGATTGCACAGAGCAGAGGCTCCATCAATAAAAATATCTAGAAGAATCACATAGAAAAATTATCGCTGGGCCTGAGTTGCACTCAGCTTCCGAATGCCACAAAAAAATCGTTCACATATCCGCGATCAAAAATATTCCCACAATTATTATATTTGTCTCTTGGACGTTAGATTAACCTCCGCCTTATCCCTGTCGACGATGCAGGGTTGCGCTTTGCATGACAGGGTTGGTTTCGGCAGGGCAACCCGTCATAGATCCTCACTCGGATATGTGGTGCTATGCCTGTGCCGGTTAGCGGTTCCCACCCAGAACCAACATGTCAACTGCACGATGAGCAAAGGGATACTACGGTTACCCATGTTCCACCCACAGGTTTCCACCAAAGATAATACGCGGTGTTTTAGCTGGTCAAAAGGAGGAATGAGATTTTGTTCGATGCCGGGCATCGCAATAGAGCGTATTTGCCAACCGTCAATTTCAAGAATTTACAAATTGTAGGGCTCTGAAGTGGCAACCGGGGCTGTTAATTTTGAATTTCGGTGGGGCGGGGTGCTGTGAGATATACCAGGAGGATCATAAGTACCCAGTTTTGTTACTACCGAAGCTAGTATCATGGGTATGAATTTTCAGTTCCAACAGCGTACTTCACAGGTAGCGTGATGGGTTGTCTGGTTTTCGGGGTTTATTCTGTCATACCGTTAACCAGATCGATTTTGGCCACTGCGGGGAACTGTCAATTTTGCCTCCCGAAACTGTCAAGTTTGAAGTGTCAATAGTTGAAATTGACAGTTGGCAAATACGCTCTAATGTGAATATTTATCTAACTCCATTTCTATTGACTTTAGCGGCTCCATGAATATAAATTATTAGCGGAAACTTTATAGAAAATTACAGATAGGCCTGGCTTAGGTTTCACTGTCAGATTCAAGAAGAAATACCGTTCACATATCCGCAATCAAAAGAATTCCCACAATTATTAGATTTCGCTCTTTGACGTTAGATTATCCTCAGGCTTATCCCTGTAGATGATCCTTGCATGCCAGGGTTCACTTTGCCACAGCAACCCGTCATAGGTTCTCACTCGGGTACCTACTATGCCTGATTCGGTTAGTGACTCCCTTCCACCAGAACAGCAAGGAGATGTCAAACTTGGCCACGTTACCAACTGCGAGGTTTTCATCCAAGACAAGTCGCGGTCGGTTTGGATAACCGGAGAGTGGTAATTAAATAATATTCCATGCCGGTGATCGCAATATGAACCTTTCCTCCAATCTAATTTTTGTCGGCTGTACAGCGACAGGTAATAAGTGATGGAACGGTCAGAGGTGCAGTTATTCCTGAAAACACCATATGTTGGTGGCGTTTCGCCCAAAACAGGTGTCACTGTGTTTCAGTCCGTTCCATCACTTATTACCTACCGCTGTACTAGCTACGCTCGTCAGCTGCAGAGACAACCCCCTACCATAATCACATATCTATCCCTCCCCCCTCGATTATAATTATAGCTATTTCAACTACGACACGTTTAGCTTCATTACCGCGGTGCTTGAATATGTGAGAATAGAAAAAATGTGGTGGTGATTTCGGTACCCGAGGAATTCCGTACGAGCGAGAGGCGGGGAAGGTTGCTGGGAGGTTCTGGGGTCTTTGTGCGATATCGTTATACTGAAAGGCTGCATACTATTAACAAGCTAAACAGAAAAAAAAGACTCGGTACCAGCTAGGAAATGAACGATTGAGTTAGAGGAACCCATCCCGGGCCCGAACTGAAAATTAGAAGAAGAAAAAAAATTTGAAAAAAAGAGGAAGAAAGAAAGAAAACGCCCGACTGCCAGAGAATGCCAAAGATCATTTCTTCCGGCCGAGATAATCAACAGCGCTTGATGAGAGGAACATTATATTTCAGGTTTATCTCAAACCCAGGCTCCTCCGAGCTCACGGAACAGATGCTCTCCGAATCCGCTCTGGACTGGGGATGGCAATCGGTTTCGTAAGGTGCAGTCTATGGGGAGAAGGGTTGGTACCAGGTGTTGGACAAGAGGTAACCTGTCCATAATGTACGTAGAAAAAGACAGCGAGGCTTGTTCCAGGAAAGCCAGGTGTAATATAGAACTAGGTGACTGTACTTTGGAGCAAGAGTCGCGTATGTTGAGCGATTGTATCCCATCCGACCAAATATAGCCCAGTTAAACTGGTTCCATCTTTCTGAATGCCGCTTCTTTCTAGAGATTCCCGAGATTCCCGGTTCTCCATGCCTTGAGATTTGATTAAAATGTTTTCTGCTGGTGTCCTATAATAAATATTGTGACTATGCCTGCGTTGAATACGTTTACCTTAGACCACTGGCCGGGGGTTACGCAAAAATTACAGTTCGGCGCATGGGCCTAGAAAGAATACTTGGAATCTTGTTCTCAGTCAATACGAGAGGGATGACACTAAGAAAATAAAAATATCCCAGAGGTAAATCTTCCGTACGTGGATAAACCTCGGGATTCTCACTATTCCTGTCATCGGATGATTTCACTTAAAGGCTTGCGACCGGAAGCCATTCGGTGATCAACAGCCCGTCGCTTGATGCATATGAAAGAAAGTTGGAAGTTACAGGAAACCAACGAAGCCACTGTGGAGTTCCTCTACTCGGTGTCTAGAGGTACTGGTCGGGGGTTTTGTTTGAACTAAAGTGGGTAAGGTGGAGGATGTCTAAGATGTTACGCCCCAGTCTATCGGGCAGAGCTCAGCGTCTAGGCGTAGGGAAGAGGTGTGTGAGATGACCTCGAATCCGTTCTCGCGTTCGTTGATGATTCCTTTCGCTGAATATGGTCAATTGACCATCCGGTGTTGAGAAGGATAGTACCTTCCCTCAGGTAAGATGTTGGTACCCTGGGTTCTGTAAACTGTTCTTCCCACAGTCCCGATGTGGTTTGGCGAGTTCTGCCCCACGTGGCTTTAAGAGAAGGGCTTGGGAAAATAGGTTTTGCACTTCGCTAATTAGGGCACGGGTTTGTTGGTCGTAGTGCCCACCTGTAGGAATACCGTTGTCACCACACATCTTCCTTCCATCCTGCAACACACATCTTTACCCAAATTGCACAGTAACAAGTATCTTTTTTCTGTCTTTTCCCCCATCGGTATGCCTTTAGCTGTCTCCATCCTTGACATGTTGTTTCTTTATTGGTGATAGGATATTAATGTGCCTTCATGTTATAGCACTTGAAGATTTCGGCAACTTGTTACTTTTTTGCAGTTCAATTTTCGTGGTTCCTTGAGTAAACGTGTGAGCATTTATTTCCCTCCTTGAACATCGTTTAACAGAACAACCACTATCATTTCCTGTTGATGGCCTGTGACCGGGGAGATTCACTCTGTTGTCAAAGAGTGTTCGACTAACACTCCCCCGGTAGAGAAGTGGTACCCATAAACAGGATCTGACCAGTTTCTCCTGCACTCTTGAAATAAAACTCTCTCATTTGTTCGTAGACCTGAGAATATTTCCTTAAAAAAAGAAAACTAATGCCTTCCAGTCATCATGAGTAACCTCGATATTATTAGTGGCATGGCAAATGAGTTACTCTTGTTGGTTGCCAAGGCCTGCCAGTGCCCTGAAGATATTGCGAATCTTTCTTTCACCAGCCACCTCTTTTATTACTTGCTCTTTGAACAAGTCGACACCGGTATCGCTGGTTATGCGGCAATCGAGAGTGTCGAAATCCAGAATGTTAGGCGTACGATCAGGCTGAATGGACCATATGCCATTGTTCTCGGACTTCAGCACTGTCACAGCGTAAAGAACGTATACGCACTCCAGGCCGTCGTCGCAGCTCATGATCTGGCTATCTTTGATCTTATCTCCCCCTACCTCACTCTCGGGCACGAATGCCTTGAGCCAGTCTTAGAAATGATGTGTTCGGAGAGGAGACCCCAGATGCTAAGCCTCCTGATCCCGTACTTGAACGAAGACCAGCTCCTCTACGGCTTTCTCTGCGCCGTCACAGACAACATCCTTTCCATCGCTGATCCTCTCTACCGCCTAATCGAGCCGACTGCCCGTACAAAGGCGTGTGACCAAAGCCTTCTCCATGTAGTGACCTCCAATCTTAACGAGGTCCGTCGTTTGGTGATTGAGGGATGCTCGAACGTCAACCGTAACCAACATAGACTCCTCCACTTTGCTGTTAGCGTAGGACCACAGAGCACACACAAATACTCTGCCGTCGACTTGCATGAGACTGTGCAGCTTCTCTGTGCCAGGGGCGCCAACGTCAACGAGGAGAACGAAAGCGGCCTTACCCCGTTACATATGCTCGCCCGCTTCGGGCCAGAGAAGGTTGGTGGGCCGGGTGATCGTGAAATCGTGGGCTTCAAAGCCGCTCATATCAGCTGTGTCAAGATCATTCTTCGCTCCGGTGTGAAGATTAATCAGATCGATATGAGGGGTCGCACTGTCCTTTGGCATGCTGTGAGGTCCGGCGAGACTACCATGGTGCCTGAGCTGTTGGCAGCGGGTGCCGATATGGGAGTTCTTGATATGAATGACACAAGGGCTGACGAGATCCCGAAGGGCAGTACTAGAAATGTGGTTGTGGCTGCTGCTATGGTTGTTGCTCACATGAAGAAGCTTAAGGAGGCGATTAGCATGAGGGAATCAGCGAACGGAGCGAAGCGTCAGAAGAGGGAGGCTTAAGTGATCATGCAGGGCACGTTTAGGTGGAGGGTTATACTAAGCATATCGTGCATGGCATGAGTTACTGCAGGGTTATTTGTTTCATTTTTCGGTTCATTCTCGAAACAGCTCCGATCTCTACCGAGCTGATTAGCTTAGGTCGTTATGCTTTGTCTTTTACTTCAAAGATTAAATGTCTGTTTTCACACTTTCCAGATTTTCTCGTGAATTCGTCTGCATGATAAAAAATTATTTCTATGTCTATATATATTCTTCTTTATCCCAACTCGAGTTATGTAAGTATAGCGCTCATGACCTCGCACTGAAACTGGGAATACCTGAACTATACACGCCATCCGCCAAAGGTACTCTGACCGAGTGAATGCAAGGAAGGCATGAGATGTGATTGCCGCTGTTATGGGAGGCTAGGTGTATATCCTGAGTGTAGTAGTAGAGTCTTCTCGATTTGGGAGTAATAGTCTGTATGATTGCTTCCTATTTGGATACTCCGTAATTTCTTAGCTTCTTTCCTACAGAGTCGGAGTCGATCTAGTCTGTATCACGAGGAACTGCGGGCTGTGTGGAAAAATTAAAATTGCCACGGAGGTTATATATAAGCAAGACTTTTTGAGCGAGAAAGCAGAACGTATCACGGAAAGCTGTAGCTCTTAGGCAACAATTACAAGAACAGCTATATATGGGGAAGATTTAATTAAGCGGATAGCTAAGGACAGGTCCCACGCTTTGGTATTGAATTTTATTTTTTGCTTGCAAGGTTTATTGGTCACATGTGAAATAGGGCTATGGACAGAAAGATCACTTGAAAATTTAAACTCGATTTTTCTCTTGTTACAAAGCGGAACTGTTACAGAGGGAAAGATGTTTGTCGAAGATTCATCAGAGCCCCAGTTATTCCACTCATCGAACTTAGACTCAAGATCTACGGTAAATCCTGTAAAACGGGAGACTTTATTAGCTATAGTCCTTCCTGGGAGATAAGCAAGTGGAAACTTGGAGAAAGGCTTACAAAGGCATCAGGATATCAAGGCTGTAAAGAAAAAGGAGAATCGAGTTATGTCCCTCGAACTGAGAATTTAAAGGTTGACCAAGACGATAGCTCGAGCGTATTGGAGGTGGGGAAGTGTGGGAGGGAACATGTCATAAAGCCTGTTTAGTCATTAGTACAGCGAATAGGAATGAAGAGCTAAAAACCTACGATAACAGTTTGAGATAAAAACCAACTACTTCACTATTCCAAATTCGTTCTAATTATCAGTATCGGTGGCAGCCTCCGCAGCGCTAGTAGCAGCTTCGGTGATGATGGCACTGCGGAGATATCCTTCAAGGACTTCGATGTCGTCGTTAATCTGGTCCAGCAGAGCCCTAATACGCCATTTCTTCGCGAGGAGCTCCCCAATGTTGTCACGCAAGGTGGCACATGGGTAGAGACGATTGTGCCTGATATCCGATTCGACATCACGAGAGATGCATCCGTAGCTGGACTCATAGCTGGCTCTATTCTCGTATAGGAGGCTGAGGTGAGCGGTGATAATGATAGACCTCGCTGGGGGGGTTGTATTCCCAGGGTGGATGACTGGGGAAGATGATCGTTGTTGGTCCATTTTGTGTTGTGAATGGATGTGAAAATTAAAAAGATTATGAATATTTGTTTGTTGGTGGGAAGAAAGAAAAGAGGAGAAGGGTGCTTGCTATTTATTAAAGTGCACCAAGTGCGAGTAACCCCTAACCCTAGGCACGTATCTTATTTGTTTGGGTGCACTATCATTTTTCACGGACCCTTATATTTTGAATAGGCTTGGTACAGAAAATCCCCTGCAATGGTTATGTGCAAACCCGAGATTTAAAATCAGTGTTAGGGGGATAATTCTCGAAGCCACTTAATTATCACAGCAGAATAATTAACCTCGCACAGTTGAAGTCAACTCTAATAGCCCGGTAAATGCATCAATCATCCCTTTTCCCATAAAAATGGAATGGTAAAAGGAACAAGAGGGCACGAAAAAGCACATTTACAGCCGACTCCCCGCAAATGTATCCGTGGATGCTTTAACCTACGACTTTACATACTGTAATCCCTTTTACCTACGATTTTACTATGACTTTACAACTTCCAGACCCTTTTCCATTTCCACCGGAAAATGTTTCTTTTTCCGATGAAGTTTTGGTTAGAATCTCTAGATAATTGATCACCGAACAAAATATGTACATAAGATCACCAGATGTTCTTCTATGTTAATGGGCTTGTAACATTTGAGGAATACAATTAAAATTTAGAAAATATATTGTTCAATCGGAACGTAGAGGGAGTTCTGTGATTGTAACTCTCGGCCTTCGGGTGTTCCCCTTGATCAATATGACCGATTGTGTTGCCAATTTGGTGTATCCGTGATGCGATCACAGGTAGAACCAACCAAGCTTATCCCCCCCGACCCTAAATGCCACGAAGTCGCTGGTAAAATGGTATGTAAAGTCGTTAGTAAAGTCATCCAATTCCCCTAACTACGACTTTACTGATGCATTTACCTACTCAAAACTACTATGTATTCAAGAAACGACTTTCCCGATAACCTTTACCAATGATGCCTTTACCGATAACTTTGCTGATTCATTTACAGGGTCATTAGTATGGAGCGCTAAATGTGTCAACAGTAATTTTAGCAACTGTAGTAAATTATTTACCACCGATGGTATAAGCACTGAATTTTAGTCATTGTGTCTGCATGCTATCCTACATTAGTACATTTCCACCGGTATAAACAGTGGGTTTCGGTCTTTATGCTGCGCTACTAAATAAGTAATTATAAATGTTCAATCATTAATGCCAAAACTTATGAAGATTTCCCACAGGTAGGGGATTTCCCCATCGGTGGACAATTTTCATGTATATTGGCATTATATGGCCCCTTTTGGCCAAAAGGTCTGTGCTTTCATCATAAAAATTAGCATTATAGGTATAGGTGCTGGTATTATTTTCACCACCGGTGGTAAAATAATTTACTACTTTTGACACAATTACCGCCCCATACATTAGAGGAACCGATGCTGAATGATCATGAGCGTTGTGGTGCAGACTAAGCGTAACTGTGTACTTGTGACACGATTCAGCGGTGACTTGGCTGAACCGGGTCAAGCAAACCTGTCTTGTTTTCAGACCTGTATAAAACGAGACTTCGTAACCTAGACCAATACATGATCATCTCATCCATCATCGAACTTGAGCATCACTCACCCCGAGACTTTGGTCACGAACATCCTGAAAGCATGAACCCTAACCCGGTGTTATCTCCGTCCACGATACGTTTATAGTCCAGTAAGACCCAAACTCTAGGTTTGTCTAAGGTGAGTATATATAGTGACCGATGTTTGAAAAATGAGACGCGGTACACCTCCGGGCATTAAGTATAACTAGAATCATAACAACAAAATATTCGAGAGCGTTGTAATGAACCTCAACAGTAGATGCCATGGCCATGCATGATTTTATTTATGAGCAGAGAGAAGTTACACTATCGAGTAGAAGGTACGTACAACCTGTTGCAGAGAGCTAGAAAGGATGGAGAGGAGAAAATAGTTGAGGGGAAGAAATCAATTATTGGGGTGCCGGTCGTAATCTTTACCCTTCATAGAAATTAGAAAAGATCTCGTACTTTAACTAGTCGAGACCCATCCAATTATTATAATCTCGGACGCCTACTCTGGCCTCGAAAAGAATTCAACGCTTCATCTCTCGCAGAAATAAGTTCATTTAATTATTGACACCGCTTACGTAGCCTGTTCGAGTGATACTTCATGACGTATGCCAAGAACGTGATATCGCCTACCCGTAATGAGGACATGAGCTAGATCCCTACGATTAAATAGCTACTTTTTCTAAGATGATAGAGTGCAGTTCCTCAGCCATCTTGCATATCTTCTAGGCCGGCGCAACGATTCGTCAATTTATGTGGTCACTATCATTCACCCGCTTCGGAGATGAGACGAGTAATATCTCATGTGTCTAATACAAGGCCAGTATGTAGATAGCTTGCTATTGTATATTGGTCTAAGCTTCTAATAAATTTCGTATCACCGCTCTAGGATAGTTTCTGTTCAGATCCCAAATGCTGTTCGGAAGGTAAGGGTCATGATCTATCACTCGTAACGTCACTAGCTACATTAAACCAAACTTCTTAAGACAAAGTGTCCTTATAATGGTTGAGGGCACGTTTGGTTTAATACACTATATGCATGTCCGTACCATCAAAAAGTAATGCAAGATGATTGAAAATAGAAATTTAAATAATTATTTTCATTGAGGACCCGCAGTCCAGTACGGTATCAAAAGGTTTTAATAAATCACTGTAAAATCTCTTGATCGCACGCTATCCTGAGAAAACTTATAAGAGACCTTATATTTCTAACATTTATTTTAACTCATTTAATTCCCAATGCTCTGCCTTCATATCAGTCAATTTACAGCTAAATTTGTTCACATAGAGTATAAACCCAGTGATCGATAAAATGGGAAATGTTTAGTAACTAGTAACTTAAAGAATCGCAGACTAAACCGCTTTCGATGGTTGTGCATCAGAGCACAGAGGCCCAAAGCTTTCCGAACTTTGCCTCTTGACTCCGCTCGTATTTCCGCACTCCATAGTCAAAGCTAAGGGTGGGAATTGTGTATCCCGGAATATCAGTTGCTCTCCGGCCTTCATCGTCCGTAATGAGGGCGTTGACTCCGTGCTGGATGACGATTCTCGTAAAGATCCTCTCCTTTTTCGCGAAAGATATGTGCAACGGCGTTCTCCCGGAATTGTCTTGCGCGTTGATGTCGGCGCCGGCATCGATTAAATTCCGCACGATGCATTCGTAGACGAAATCAATACGCTCATTTGTAAAGTCGTCCTTAAATAAAAGCCCCGGCTTCACCGCTGCTGCTCCGACCTCCGCGAGGTAGTGGAGTGCTGTCTTTCCTTCGGTATCGGTGGCGTTCACGTCCGCACCCGCATCGCATAACATTTTAACCATCGGCCGGATGGCCCCGAACTGCTGGCTGGTTAACATCCCGTAGACAGCAAGCCAATGAAGGACTGTGCGGTCTTCCCCTTCGTCACAATCTACCAGGAGGTCATTGACCCTTGCACCCCCGCTGATGAGGACACGGAGGAGGTTGATTCGGCCAGAGGTAACTGCGAGTTCCACATTACGGCTGCTCCCCTCGATCCGGGGTTCGACGGGAACCTGATGAAGGATAAAGTTCAGTAGAACCGGGGTCGCCCGGAGGCAGGCGTGATCGATAGCACGTACGACGTGCTCGTTGCTGAGATATGGAACCAGGAGTGTAATTAAATTGCGGTTGTTGAAGCAGACTACCGATTGGAAACCTCGCAGAATGCCCTTATTGCCGGTAGTGAAAAAGGGCTCGAGGAGATTGAAAATATCTACCCTGTTCTGCTCGACGACCCGATCCAAAGCGTAGATCTTACCGACTTTGTGGGTAAGACCTTGTTTGATTGATTCGACGCCCAGGATTCGGATGCTCGTCGTGATTAGGGCGAGCTCGAGACTGCATATCGCAATATATGCAGTCACCCCGGGTTCGGTGTATTCGTTTATGATGTTGTAAAGACTCGTATTCGAGAGTCCGAGGGCAGAGACATCTTCTAGTGCATCGAAGCAAGACGCGATATGTTTGACGATTTCGACAGGGAGAAGACTGAATGTGGCCATTTTCGCTGTGTTAACAACATATTAGCACAGGGCGCATACCCAAGAACCACAATACCAGCGTATTTTCGATATAAACACCAGACAAAGAAAACAACACAAGTCTCTATGCGAACTATTTACTCAAGCAAATGATTAAACATGAGAAAGACGGAACGTACATACATTGAGGTATAGATTTAATTGCACAATGGTTGTTGGGATCTTTCGGTGTGGTGAATAATTATAGAAGTAGGAGAAGATCTGACTCTAACAGATCTGGTATTTAAACTATTGGGCTCGCCGTTTAAGTTATAGCACCCTTTCTTAAAGACTAGTCACTTGTACTCTTGCTACCTCTTTTGCTACGCTTAGTGTCGGTTAAAAGTTCAAATCTCGCGCAAGGCGAGGTAGAACATCTAGCAACAATGTTAATATTAACAAAGCCATATGCGTTGTGAAGCACGTAGCAGAGATAAATGACCAAACACAGCATATGGGGACTTTACAAAAGAGGTTCACTCAATCATTGACTTTACCACGCGCTGTCACGAGTGATAATCCATGATTACAGCACTCAGGTCAAGGGCAATGAGCGAGCCTTCTGGAGGTTTATCTCGCTTTGTTCAGGTTTCGTGACATGTTCTTCTTGTTATGGTAAAATGAGGGTGGCTTGACTTACACTGTCTCGCTGACACTGTTCGAATCAGTTCGATCTCCCGTATCGAGTGATAATGTATGATCCATATCCGCTCTTTAGACAAAACCCGAGGAAGTAAATGTCGGTATGGTATAAACGGATTATCCATACTTCCACGGTTATCGGGAGGTGATAAAGCCTGTTGGCGTTATAGGTGTAGTAGTAATAGTTATAGCATGAATGATTGATATCGTCAGGGTGTGGTTGATCGTAGTTATATCTATTATATATCGGAATCCATACTTTATAAGTAAGTTCCCAAGCGATAGTTCATTCTTTAAATAAGGAAAATGCCATCGAACACCAGCTGCCCATAATATATAAACAATTAGTAATTACTAGATACACGTTTTTCTCCATTATTACATGGAGTTTTCTAGAGGAATGTTGGACCAGTAAACTCTTTGACGGAGCTCTAGATTATGTGACAGAAATATGATTGATGGCACAATGCATGCATATGGTTCTGCTTGATTGTCATCACTGTTTGAAAACAAACTCAATAGACTCCCAATTTATAATTAATTTACATTGTCCGGCTAACTCCGTCACCTTTATATTAGAGCAGGTGATCGTACTCCAGTTGCATATATCTATGCAGATGCTTGGTTTTGAGGAGTAAACGCCTCATCGCCAGGAAAAACGGCGATGAATTACTACGGGTAGGCACAGAAACTAACAAGGAAAATGCGAGGAATATGTCCCGAGCTTCCTAAATCCCGGGATATTCCCGATCCTCTATATGGAAATAAAACCTGCGACAGGATTCCAAACATGATCATTTGCTAAAGATCGATGAGAATTAGAACTACCATTAGCTTCCCTTCACCTCCGGAGGTCACGCTTGGCGACGTTATTCCTTCCACTTTTATGTAATCGATGATTAAAGCTAGTTACAGGAGTCGTCCGGTGCGTTACGAGAACAGGGAAACTGAAGGCGGTATTGAAAAGGACAGATATCGTGGATATCCAGAGATACCAGAAGGGAGACATGCAAGATGTATATAGTACAAACATTGATGCATGGTTTGAAAGGTTAGCATGGATCATTACAAACATAACTCAATAATTTATAGGAGGAGTACAATCGAGCACTCGGCTTGTGAGTAGCTGGCATGACTGAAGAACGAAGATCTTTCGATGCTTTCAATTCTTCGGCGCGTTATAGGCTAGAACACGTAGCTATTGCTAGTCTACCAGAGGAAGTAAGAAATCAATTTTAATTTAACGGTTTTTCATTGATGGCTATTTAGACTTTAAGGCCTAGCTGGATTCTGGATTTGCTACAAGTGAATACAGGGCGCGAACGATACAAGCTTGAGAGGGGATAATCACCCGATTGGTGCTAGCAAATCTTAAATAAAAACCTAAACTTTCCACCATCCTGCCCCGATCACGAACTACGGCAATCTAAGGTTTCCCGAATTCCTTAACCGTTCCATAGGCGTTCGAGTATCCTTTATTCGAGGCTGAGGGCGGCCATGGCGCGTTCCAGGTCTTCGATTGCCTCGCGTTCGTCGAGAACATGATCACAGTGCTCTATCAAGATTCCTGTCATCACCTGTTCGTCGTATTTGTCTGCATAATCGTAAGCCGTCATTCCATACATGTCCTCCACGCCAAGGTCGGCACCGAACTCGATCAATGTCCGAATGATATCCTCGTAGATCAAGTCGATACGAGTATTTGGAACCATATTCAACGACTCCAGGTGTTGCTCGACGCTGAATGACCCGATGCGGGCGAGGATATGAAGCGCTGTCCTTCCATCTCTGTCGGTCGCATTAACATTAGTCCCGGCCTCGCAAAGCATGCGGATCATGGGTTGAAGGGCCCGTTCCGGTTCGTTATTGGTGAGTCCCCAATAGGCAAGAAAGTGAAGTATGGTCCCCGATTGTATATTATCGCACCGCCTTCTATGGTCCAGAAGGGTGCTTGGGTCGCCTCCTCCGGCAATAAGAATTTCCAGGAGCTCAATCTCTCCCAATTTAACCACAGTCTCCATGGCGGCGGTGCAAGCATAAGCTCGCCACCGCGTCGGCAACTGGGATATAAACCACCGAACGAATTCTGACGGGGACCAGACGCAGGCAAACAAGACCCCGTTAGCCAGCTGATCCGCGTCGATGTGGGAAAGCAGAAGCGTGATCATCGCACGATGAGATACCGAGATTGCTGAATTGAGGGCACACAGGAGGCTTTTATGCCAGCGACAGACGAAGGGGTAGAGGAGTATGAAAAGGTCCATTCTTTCGGCTTTGGCCACAATCCCAAGGGCGTAGGAATTACTCCCTTCATACTTAAGGGCCAGTTTGATGGTTTCTCTGGTAGCTGTCTCGATCGTCCTCTGAACCAGTGCGATGTCCAGAGTGCATATTGTGACGTATGCGGAGATCTCCGGAGGGGTGTACTCGGCGGCGATATCGTGTAGAAAGGTGCTGCACATGGAGAGCGCTGCAACGTCCTCAGGATCGAGGTTTTTGGCGATCATCCGGATAAGCTCCACCGGAAGATGGAGGAATTGATACATTGGATGTGTGCCTATGAAATATTAGTAATGGTTGAGTATGGGAAAGATATTCATACCTACTTTGTATCTTGGTTGACTCCTGTTTTGAAGCTTGTTAGATAATTGTGTTGTACGGAGGTAGAGAAAATACAGGTAGGTCTGATAAGGTACCTCGGGATTTACCGTGCCAAGACCGGATAAGTCCGAACAACCAAATTTTATTCATTAACGAGCTCGCCTAATTAACAAAAGTTGGTATCCGGAACTAGGAGTAATGAGTAATTCAAGTGCGCAATTTATCGTGCTATACCTATTGACCCGGTATAGCGCCAGTAATAGTGTACATGGTGTCTCCATTAATCTTAAACCACCGTTCGAAGAACTATTGTGTAAAGTTCCAGTGTAGATAGAAGAAACTGTGATGCTCATAAGCTGATATTTATTTCAAAAGGGTCTTTTATCGAAAATCGTCCAGAATAATCATGGTTCTGATAGCTATTTGTCTTGAGTGAACATCTATGAGCTGCCAAAGTATCATCGTCTTCTCCTTTATACTACTGCGATGGACATGCGCTGTGACCTTCCCTGTACCCATTGAAGAGAACCGAGACACAGTTCGACGGGCAACAGAGACACAGATCTCCGGAAGATGCTTTCACATGTCCCAGATATGCCGAAAAAAGGCAGCATGCATACCCGCAATTTCAAAGAATTTTACAAAGCCATATAGACAAAACAAGCACATCAAAGAACGGACAAAGTATGATCTGGCGCTCATGACACCCTTTAGTTCTAAAATTGAAGTCTACATTTCCCGTGATCTTCCAATCTTCATACACCTTTGTCATCACCACAGCATCGTTGCCATTACTACCGGGATTTCCTTTTTCAGCCCGGCAACGAAAGAAAGCTAACTGCTAGCTTCGCAACACCGTGCATATCCTATGTGAATACCGCGGTATTTGAGAAAGTTCGTTACGCTGTAGTAGGTGTATGAGCTAACTTGAGCTAGTATTTGGACGTCAATATGCAAGATTTGGTAGAGAAGACCCCTGCCGCAGCGCAACGAATTTTCTCAAATACAGCGGTATTCCAGTTTGTACCAGTACGAATACGGCTAAACTAGTAGTAGTGACGTGTGCAGGATACGTATAATAATGCTGCGCTAGCCCTATTGGCCTATCAATATTAGTATCTATTAATATATTAAGTATCTGGTGATGTTGGATTTGATTGTAGTAACCAAGCTCTGGTTCCCAATATAAATCCACAAGCTCACAATGCTATTGCGAGTGCAGAGCTGTGCGAACCTCCTATCTCATTTTCTACGTATAAACCTGTCATTAGGTTGACACTCTTATTTCTGTTTTCCCGGAATCAAAGATAGCTCTCATTCCTATGAATTTCAATCATATATCTCTTACACTTGATGTACTGTGTTAGCTAATACACCAACTGAGGAATTCTTCCTTAAGAGGTTGCGTGGGTTTATGGGTTGAAGGTGGGGGGTGTGGAAGAGCGGCTAGGGTTAGGGTTGGTAATGACCCAATGCATGGAAATGAGTGGCTGCATGTCAAACCACTGAAAAAAGGACCATTGGCACCTCCCGACTACTTTGACAATGCGCTGGCTTCTAGTTATTGCTGTAAGTAGTATCCCGAGCCCTAGGACTCTGACGGTTAGAATATTCGTTCGGAATACGTGCGGCCATCGCGCCGTGCGCGACCATCACCGAAATGTGATTTGATACCGCGTCAGGATAGAATTTCGGTGTTCAATTATCTCTCTGTCGGATTATTTTTGAGCCGTTGTTATTCGCGAATATCTCTCTTCTAAACAGCAAAAAAGCCCTTCCGCATCAGCAGCACCATAAGAACTGCAAGCCGCAACACTCCTCGCCTCAACCTATACCCGGGGAATCTGAACCCAGCTCAGCATGCGGAGGGTTATATACTTCTTGGAGTTAGTGTCATATACAGAGAGGTACAAGTGATATAGGAGATCTACCTTCAGCCTAATATAGGTAGATCCTAACGGAAATATAGGGTAGATGTGGGGGTGCATACCGGGGGTGTCTGAGCGCCGCTGAGCTGTCTCAAGAGCTGCATCATCCATGGAAGCGGATTCCTGGATACATCCTAGCATATGATTAAATAGGATAGGGGCATCAAGTTGCTCATTCGAAGGAGTGACGTCAGCCACAGAGGGAGGGAAAGAGAGGGGGGGGGGAGCCAGGGGTTGAATGGTCCGTTGGAATATAGGAAATCTTTCAAACCTAAGATCTATAGATGAACATATCCCCTACCCCCTAAGACTTGGAAAGGGACCGCAGCTTCCTACCTGTATGTATTGTATCACCTCCGGAGAGGTAGTGGGGGGTCTAAATCTCGCAAGTTAGAAATGTTAACTGCGAGCATAGGTGGCATCACAGTATGAACAGCTGGTCTTTGCCACCGATTACTACCCGCTATAAGAATACTTCACCTACGCCTGCAATATTCCTTGTTCGGTTGACTTCCAACTTTCCACTCTCCCAACGTACCGTTCTTGGGGGAGAGCTGTGATAATTGCGTATAAATATATTCGAGTATCATCAAATCCTTCTCATCAGCGATTCCGATCGCAAGCATACAAAAACGTCTTATGACAGTTTCTCCCGGGTTTCTACCGTCTTGAATTCCATCGCCGTAGCCCATACTCCCTACACCCTTCACTGCCGTGATCTCGCCCCCCGGCCTACAACAACCACGTGCATTACGGTCTTGGCACCTCTCCCAGAAAAAAGGAAAAATAACGTCCAGGCTGAGATTCGAACTCAGGCCTCTCTCGATTTTATAATTTTTAATGTTTTTGGTGAGAGTGTGCAAGCCATTACACTACCAGGACTTGTATTGCTTTGTATTCCGGCGGAATATAACCAAAGTATGAACACATACCGGGTGCGCGAGACGTAGCGTTGGTCAGAAGCCTGGTCAAGTGGCCACAGTATCAATTGCAATGTCAAATTTGCTTATAAATACGCGCTCACTTGAGCTCGAGCCCGTCCCCATGCTGTGTAGAGTTACTTGAATTATTCCGGGACCCGGATTCGGTCCCTAAAATACTACAGGCCAAGAAAATAGTATAGATCATAGTAGAAAGAAAAAGAAAAAGAATGACTAGTTTAAAAGGGAAAACAAGCTAGATCACACCCAAACTTCTTGGCAGTCACGTGATCTTTCTGCCAAAGTTTCGGCCAGAGTTTGGGCTGGTGCGACTCGTGAAAGTTTGGTAGGGACGTGTAATGCCAAGATTCTGGGACAGCGGAGAGGCAGCAGGAACGGGAGCAGGAACGGAGCGGAAAGTGAAGTCCTGGTCTCCGGAATCAAAATGGGCTTCCGGACTAATTACTCCGGTAGTAGAGCATTATATAGATGCATTATCCTGGGACATCCGCACCGCAGGTGCGGATGGGGGGGATACATTCACTGATGAATTATGCTGATCAATTTCCTGCCGTGGTAGTGTCCGCTAGAACAGGGTTCTGGAAGGATAAAATGACGACTGATCAGCGAGTAGCCGTGCAAATCTTCAGGTCAATGAAAACTTTCATTCTTTTGTTTCTTTTAAAAAGTCCTTTGTTCATTTAGAGAAATTCTTTGTTTCATTCCTTCACTATTTTTTTTTTGTAGATTACATAATGTCACTTTCTAGAACTCTATCTGATTTTCTATGAGCAGGTTGCCATAGATTGCCATAGAGTGCATAGAGCGCAGACTTTACTTTCATTTTATTTTCGTTTCTATAAATAGAAGGCTATGTACGATGGTAAAATGTATCATTGACGTTTCACTAATATAAGAGACGTGACATCTACTAGAACACTCCAATTGACAGTGTCTTCAGCCGCGTTTTCGACTAGTGCGGAATTAGGTATTTTAGAGGGGAGAACTCTGGTGGTCACGTGTCACCCAGCGTCCAAAAGCTCCACAACCCCAGATCTATCAATATCTACACAACTAGTAAATATAACATTTAGCCGAAGGTGGCTCTGATACCGGTACGCTCTAGCGGATCTAAGGACACTACTCGCTTTCTGTTCTGAGAAGAGTGTTGTTTTCATTCTCTAAAATATTCTCCGAGGTCAAGCAGGTCTGGGGGTCACGTGTTGTGTAAATTATCCCCCTCCCTTCACAATGCGCGAGACGGACTATCCGACAACACCGCTGTAAAAATATGGCATTGCGACATCGGTTATGTATAGTAATTACTCATGTATAAGGGATGACTCATAGTTCGAACAAGGAGGCTTAGCGCTAGGATTATGTAATCAGGGGATCATGTGGTACTAAGAACTGTCTGTATATAAGGAGCAACAAACTCCCATAGTTGTCGCTGGGACTCAGCGGCGCAATAGTATCTTCTTTGCACTATAAACATATTCCTCACAAAGGTCACGTGTTCAAACCCTCCTTAAGTCGTCTATTCTCCCACACTCCAATCCACAACCGCGACCATGCGGTGTAAAGCATAGCGGTCGGTGGATCTGGCACCGGTACGTCCTAGCGGATGTAGGGACACCACTCGCTTTCTGTTCTGATAAAAGTGTTGTTTTTGGTCTCTGAGATCTTTTCTGGGGGACTGAAGCTCTGCTCGCTGGAGTTGTCACGTGTACACCTCCTCCCTTCAAAAACGGCAATTCCAATTTCCAAGTCAGTCGACAACGCCACAACTACGGATTTTCAATCTTAGCAGAGCCCTACAGTACAATTATTCGTGTGTAGACAGGTAAATCATCTGCCCCCGCCGGTTAACCGGGGGTCAAAGCTGGTAATATAGGCCCCTTTGAAGATTTTCTGTTTATCTATCCCCAGAGAAAGGTAAAGCTGATACCGCCGGCTCAAGCTCCCCAATTTGGTTAGACACAGAGATAACTTCCCCCTCCACCCTCCCGAGATAGCCCTTCTAATGGCAGCTGTGTCTCGAATTGTAGTGTAGTGGATAGGTCCTGTATAAGCGCATATATGCACACAGGTTCAATC